CCTCTACAACACAGACCACCGGCGATGCACGTGTGACTCTTGACAGTCCGTGGAAGTCTACCAAGCCGGAAGACGACAAGGAGCGATGGAGACGTCTAACCGTTGCTCTCTACACGGACAGTCTGTATCGCTATAGGCATAGCAGTGACAGCATGCTAATAGTTGACGCACGGCAATACATACTATGGAGAAACTACACGCACACAAAAAACAAACCAACAATGGCTGCCGTTGCTCCAGCAGCCTTGTACAACATTCTTCCAGTGGACTTGGCCAAGTCATCTCCAGTGCTTGCCGTCAAGCAGGCCGTGTTCCAACCAGTCGTCGTATCCGCTGATGATACTGAGCCGACAAAGTCAGCACCTGATGGGCTCAAGGTGAAACGAAGCCGCAGTCGGCGCCACCTCCCCCTGGATGTCAGTGCTGCCATACGGTGCGATGTCGGGAAGGGTGTGCTATTTCCGCGCTATGCATTCCGTTACCCCGCCCTGCTCATGGCATGGCCCGGTGATGGCATGCACGTTAACGGTGGCACGGCAAAGGCTGGTGACTGGCCTGGCATACGTATCAATGCATACCACAACGTAACAAGCAGCCCGCCGTGTGAAGCCAATATCCTCGATATGGGTATGCACCAATCCTCAGGCTGGGGGCTGCTCGATGAAATTATTGAAAGCGTACGCATTCGCTACCATGGCTCTAAAGTTGATCTCTAGCAAAACCGTGAGACACGGGGCTCTTATCTGTACCGGATCAATGCCACGATCCGTTTCCACGGGACTGAAAACTCTTGAATCCCTTACTGCGAGTCTGGTGATTAGCTGCTATAGTGAGCCGCGGATAAGCTATGTCGCGAGTGAAAGAGAGAGAGAGAGAGAGAGAGAGAGAGAGAGAGAGAGAGAGAGAGAGAGAGAGAGAGAGAGAGAGAGAGAGAGAGAGAGAGAGAGAGAGAGATAGAGAGAGAGAGAGAGAGCGCTTTGTTGCGACTCTGAGTTTCAAACTTTCACGATCATCAGGCAACCGATATTTGAATAACACTAAAGTGTGAATGATGATCATGGCTTCAGCAATCTTGATCCAGCACCCAGCATTGCATACTTGAAGCAGTATTACATCATGGATCTCGATTCTCAACTGTGCAATACTTGTAGTCTTGTCCAGTGTGGAAGCGGTAACTTTTATCCATGCGGTTTTTTTTGCTCGGGCAGCCGTGTCATATCAACCCGGGTACATCACTGCATGTGAGATTCCCATGGCCGTGGAACTGTAAAAGAAGTGGTGAGCATTGGCTACAAACTGTTACTTACACATAGCGATACCAGGAGTACGATGGAACCTGCATGCTCTTGGTGGTACATGTGCATGTATACCGGCGTAAATGTAGGACTATTACTCTGCCCTGCAGCCTGCCCCACACAATGCCAAAAGTGCCCAGAATGCAGGATATTGCACCCTAATTTCACAATTTTCCCGGGGGAGACCCCACCCCAGCCCTCCGCCCAGACCACCTCCAACGGCGGTGCTACGCACCTGCGTACTTGTTGCTATGACCAATTATGAATATGAGTGTGACCCGTCGACTGGCCGTGGGTGAACTGATCATCACAGTATTCTGTATGCCGATTCGGCGATACCGGCGTACACTACAGTATGACCGGGCACTGGAAAACACCTGGCCTGGAAATGGCACAATTTTTTTAAAACTAAAAGACCCAAGCTCATGACTGTGAACAATGGCGAGAAACTGTCAACAAATGCGTTAGCTCATGCTTTAAGTGACATGCGAAACTGTATAGCCTTATTATTTTTTATTAAAAGAACAATTCACACACAACAACAATTCAGGCTATAAAAAGTTGGTTGTGAGCAACACTGGCTCACACTCAAATCACTGCTTTTCACCCGAAAAATATTTTATTTCAACGTTTCGTTTTTTTTTAGTGTGAGCCAGTGTTGCTCACAACCAACTTTTTACTTATGAAGCTGCGTGATGCGTCCTACAAGATTTTAAATTCAGGCGATTTATTAATTTATTTATTTATTTCTGCACCTCGTGGCATGTCAAGACAGCCAATTGGAGAGGGTGAGACCAACCACGGAAGAAGAGAAAAAAAGAAAATGAAAAGCACGTACACAAAGTGGGAAGGGATTAGCAACTTACAATTTACAAAGCAATGGGATGCTCAGCGAGCTATGCAGGGGAAGTGGGGACTGTGACTTTGTTTACTGGGAGATACTGAAGTGCTGTCTGCCGAGGGTACGGAATTTGGGCATATCTGGAGCTTGTCTAACACTGGGAGGCAGTTGGAGCCACGTGGAGTAGGAGGAAAAGAAAGGGGAATTTACGAATAGGGTAGACCTAGCTAGGGGGAGACGAACGCAGCTTTTAAGGGACTGTAACGGCAGATTTTGAAAAGAAAGGAACGAATGACTGCTGTAGTAGTCGACTGTATTGTTTTCTTCATGTTATGTTCTCCGCGTTGTTGATCTTGATCGAATCGTGTGATGCTCGTCATGATTGCAGAATAAAAACAGACGTTTAGCCTAACATTGTTCGATATGTTAAAAAGACGTATTGAACATTTACACAAAGGCAGAAGAGAACAGAGACAGCCGGCTAGGTCATTGTTGTAACGCTGCGCTTCATGCACATTATTATTATTATTATTATTTATTAAATTTTTAATAGGGCATTCCCACAGGCCTAAGGCCTTCTTACGGGGTACCCTATATGTTTTTGTATGGATGAGCGGAAGTCTGATAGCGTGGAGCAAATACGAACAGAAGCAGGGAGCGAATTCCAGCGATCTGCACCTAAGAAGCTTAATGCGTACAAGCCATAGCGGTTATTAGCCGGGGGAAGAGCAAGACTAATTAACATAGCAAAGCTATAGCCGACTGGCCGAAATTTTTAAAAAAAAAGGCAATCCTCAGACAACTGTTAAAATGTTCTCTTCTGCCTTTGTGGTAATGCTCCATCGTTGTGGTGTTGAGCACTCTAGGCAATCTGGGAACTCTCGCTATTGTGTATTGAACATTTAGGTGAAGAAACCCTGACCTTGGCCCTGCGTTTTTCGGCGCAAGATCTTGCTGTAGCCGGTCTAGAGTTTTTACACTTACCATGCATACAGACTTGTAGCTACCGTATTTTTCGGAGTATTCTAGTAGTGAGCACCTTTGTATAACGCGCATCCCCAATCTTCATTGGGGGTGCGCACTTCAATCTTCATTGAAGTACCGGTACAGGCATTTCATATTCGGAGCATAGTGCGCACCAGGGAGTAGTACAATACTGTATATTGTACTACTCCCTGGTGCGCACCTGCGATTTAGGGTCTAAAATAGCACATCTAAAGTGCGCAAGATAGTCTATACTCCGGAACATACGGTAGCCCAGCAGTGGTAGCCACATGTCGAATGTCCTCGAGCGCATACTTCTTTTTTTTTTTTGATTGATTTTTATTTCACGGATCCTCCAGAGGCAAATAGATGCCTATCGAAGGGAGTCTCCTAAGTAAGTATGGAAAATGAGAAAGTATGTTCGTAAGGGAGAAGAGGTAGAAGATACATTAGAATATAGAGTACGAGGTGAATTGCTATTTCTGGACATTGTACATTTCTGGACATTTCGAGTAAAATAATTTTTCGTCGCGTGTAGAGTCAAGTCAATCAGGTTGATGAAGTTTTTTTCTTGTTGTAGTTGATAACTGGGTTGTTGTAGTTTCTCCTCGTGTCGGTGCCTTGTTGATAGCCTTTTCTTGGGAGGCATTCCAACGAGTTTTGTGGTACTATGTCGCATGAGAATTTTGAATTTTGAGTAAAATAAGAAGTAATGGACGAATCGTTGGCTTCCCCATGTGCACTCCACTTCAGACGCTGTATAGTCTTGGACCTGTTGGCTGGAAGTGTGAAGAGGCCAACTGCAGTCCACCAATAGAAAAAATAACAAAACTTGTGCTGTATAGGATGCCTATTGACGCTATTTTTACTTTCATGTCCAGAATTCCATACACTGAAATTTAGGCCAAAAAATTGGCCTGTCGAAAACAACCTGCTATAAAGTCTCTGGGATCACAGCATGAGCAATTGTCACATATTTGGAAAGATGAAGGATTAGGCCATACAATAGATACAAAAAGATATGAAAAATGTAAAACACACAGCCAGTGGGCCTCTATTTTATTTTCATGTCCAGAAACTGCTATTCACCTCGTACAGAAGAAGTAAATTCAGTACTTCGGGTAGTACATTGCATGCTAATCATAATGAGAATTAGAAAAGCAGCATTGCGGACTACTATAACTGACATATACACAAACTATTGAAACTATCATAGATGTGGTTAGCCTAGACACAAAAGTCAGGAATACCTTTCAAAGAAACATAGATTGCGAATGATACCGACGAACAGCAATACTAAAATTTCGCTGTTGTAATGAGTGAATGAATATCTTCAGGAAGTTTATTCCAGGCAACACTCAAAGAAAAAAGGGTCAATTTACGAAAGTAGGTGCCAGCTTTAGGAAGAATTATGGATGAAGGGTGACGACTGCTTTGGGAAGAGGGTAGCTGGAAGTGAGACAACAAGGAGGGGTATTGGGAGAATACATGGTGGAAATAGACAACTTCGACAAGGCATACGGGGCCGGTATACCGGTACGGGCGCTGCAGATCTTCACGTGGCCTTCGTCGCGTGATCTCTACGTGAATCGATGCGGATGACATCGTTCGACTCATGCTCAGTCGTAACCAGGGGCAAGAGTCGCATTTACTGGACCATACTCTAATACTCTCTATGACCATACTCCATAGCATTAGTCGTGACAAAGCTAACATGCATGGCCCATCATCATAGTTCATACGTAACATCGGATTTTTTCTCTCCGTCCCCTTTCACACGACTCATCCTGACTGAGTTTGTAGGCATTTAATACATCGTTTCTACCAGCTTTCAGGTCTGCTGCATGCACTTGCATGCTAGGCACTCACACGTTAGTTAGCCAGGCTACAGTCAGTGCAGTACAAGTACAAGACAGTCGCGTGGCTGTCGTTCCCCTTGTTGGTGGTGGTGATGTTCAGTATCACGTTGCAAGAAACTGAAAATGTATCTCCCTTTCTTCCCGACCGTGTCGCCCTATCACGCGTAATACTACTACTACTAGTGTACTAGTGTTAGGTACAGCTTGCTGTGAACAGATTCACTCGTCATGCATGTACATGTAGTGAGATAGTGCCTATTAGTGGTGCCTTCTGGCTGACGAGGAACCCGTTGTCCTTCGTATCACAATCCTATTCAGTGGCTGCAACTGGCTGTGCTATTGAGGCCCGGCGAGCTGCCAAACGCGCATCGAAGCATGAAAATAACCTACGAATGCCTGCTTCGCCATGATGTGAGGTGATCACGCACCGGCTGGCTAGAGGATTACTGCCCTCGCCAGATGCAGAGCAAGTGACTCAGAAGCCTGGAGAGTAGTGTGGCGGACGGTAGATACTCGCGTTGCCTCACTAGCCTGGTCTCGACCTGATGGTCTCCGCTTTCCACTGTACTAGATCTATTGCCGGCCGAGCGAGATAGACGTTAGTCTAGCTGCGACCTGGCACTGGGATCCATGACCCTTTGGCATTGCGCAGTGCTGTCGCTCGTTCACTGCGCTGCGCCGAGCACAGCTGTGAGGAGTGATGACGGAAGAAACGGCGGAGGCTAGCGGTGATTCTAGCGTTGCTTCCCCTGACGCCGAAGCAGCTGTAGCTCTGGGCAGTAACGGTGCTGCAGTGGTAGACGCGGCGGTGGCTAGTGGTGAAAGCACAGCAGCCTGGCAGGATCAGGGAAAAGATGTGAGCTCCAAGATGATGATGGGTAGAAATTCGTCTACGCAGGATCCTTCAAGAAAGTAAGTGCATCTGAGCTGGTAACTGCATGCACGCATAACAGCTGACAGTTGTGTAAAATGCTGCCCTTGACCAGATGATCGAGTTTGGTCCCGACCTGATCTCTGCTGAGCTGACTCGCGTGTCCCATGCCATGGCCCAGATGCGGAGTATTTGCCAGATCCCCTCTGCAACGATAATAACAATACTGTAGGTTAGAAACACTTCAAGTTGACAATGAACTAAGTGCTTGGAATCCGGTCAAAAGGACTGCACTGGTCAATCTTTCCACTGAACAATGGGTATTGATACTATTGTCACAATCCATGGATGCAAGCTACATGTACCTCTCTGCAAAGGAACATTGTCATTATTATTTGCTCTCTTTTTCTTTTTCTTTTTGCATACAATAGTTCCACTAACCAGTCTGGAGGAAACTTTCGGATGAATGAAACATGATGATCCGAGTTCTTTCAGAATAAATCTTTCTATGCCGAGTCGACTGGTTTTGGTCCGATGAAGGGGAGGTGCACCAGTTTGTCAAATACTCTCAGTCGGAACTTGCTGTCCTATCCAGGAATTCCAGGTGGTAGCGAATTACGTAGAAGCAGACCGTCGGAAAGCAACCAATGCGTTGGCAGTGCAAAATGACACACTTTGGAGCGGGTGTTCAATTGAGAAACACTGGATCGCAGCCTGGAGGGGGGGGGGGGCAATGGATGCATTGCAGCCTGTTCGAACCGAGACTACAGTTGAGTCAGCAGCTCGAGCTCAACAGACCCTGAAGTGTTACTGGAAGTTTCCCTTAATTAAACACCGCGAAAGTCTGCCACGTGGCTGGTCTAACTCCAAAGTCAGTGCATGTTTAGTAAGTTGAAACTACCAATGTACAAGCGGAGGTGGTGGCCAGGCCTCTAATCAACTGAGGGTTGTATTCTAACCTGATACTCAGTCCAAGTACAGTTGCGCTGAGTGAAAATCTACCCAACGTGCATATACGGCGACCTGTATTTTCACGCCCCGTAACGCCCAGGAAGTGGTGCAAATGCCGCTAGGCGTACACATTGACAAATACAGTGATGCAATCGGAACCGGTCCACAGTGCCGGCTTTGTACTTTGGGTCGGATTTCACAAAGCGCGACTGTACGTAGGCACAACACATTGTGCTTATATTGGAGACCGTGTTTTCCTTTTTCAACCAATATCTCTCGAAGAAATACATGCTAGATATCATGCTTGCTACACTGAATTCTAGTGAGACTGGGCGCATGACGTTTCGAACGGTGCTCATGTCACAACAGAGAATGTCCTTAAAGCCGCATACATTTGACTGTTGAAGCCAGGCATTGACTTGACTAAGCTACTTGTGTCAGTCAATAATGCTGGAATGATTGTCTTCGTGTTGGCTGCAGAAACCTGAATGGCTCGACACCCGGTGGCGTTCTTCGCGGTCGTGAACGCAAATGGATAGACATGATCAAGAACTGGGACAAAGTAATGAAGCACAAGCCTGAGAAGGTAAGGATCCGAGCACGAATACTGTAACACGTACTGCAGTTGTATGAGGATTGTGTGGAGTTGTGTGTGTGTGTGTGTGTGTGTGTGTGTGTGTGTGTGTGTGTGTGTGTGTGTGTGTGTGTGTGTGTGTGTGTGTGTGTGTGTGTGTGTGTGTGTGTGTGTGTGTGTGTGTGTGTGTGTGTGTGTGTGTGTGTGTGTGTGTGTGTGTGTGTGTGTGTGTGTGTGTGTGTGTGTGTGTGTGTGTGTGTGTGTGTGTGTGTGTGTGTGTGTGTGTGTGTGTGTGTGTGTGTGTGTGTGTGTGTGTGTGTGTGTGTGTGTGTGTGTGTGTGTGTGTGTGTGTGTGTGTGTGTGTGTGTGTGTGTGTGTGTGTGTGTGTGTGTGTGTGTGTGTGTGTGTGTGTGTGTGTGTGTGTGTGTGTGTGTGTGTGTGTGTGTGTGTGTGTGTGTGTGTGTGTGTGTGTGTGTGTGTGTGTGTGTGTGTGTGTGTGTGTGTGTGTGTGTGTGTGTGTGTGTGTGTGTGTGTGTGTGTGTGTGTGTGTGTGTGTGTGTGTGTGTATGGAGTTGTGCGTGTGTGTGTGGAGTTGTATGTGTGTGTGTGTGTGGAGTTGTATGTGTGTGTGGAGTTGTAGGTGTGTGTGGAGTTGTAGGTGTGTGTGTGTGTGTGTGTGGAGTTGTATGTGTGTGTGGAGTTGTAGGTGTGTGTGGAGTTGTAGGTGTGTGTGGAGTTCTAGGTGTGTGTGTGTGTGTGTGTGTGTTGTGTGTGGAGATTGAGTACTACAGTGGTATATTGTTGTCGTTAGTGAACTGTTGATGAAGCCCCCCCCCCCCCCCCCTCCTCTACTGGCATAGACCTTTACCACACAGTACAGCACTGCTCAATGCAATTGGATCCGGTTTCATGAGTCCGGTTTCATGAGTCCGGTTTCATGAGTCCGGTTTCATGAGTCCGGTTTCATGAGTCCGGTTTCATGAGTCCGGTTTGCGTAGCCCTGTACCAGTTCACGTCCCAGTGTTCGCAGGTCTAGGGCTGCACAGCGCTCGGCGGCGGTGGCACCGGACTCGATTGATTAGACTTCATTGAGCAGCACTGTGGTGGCCAGCCAACACGTGAGATTCAGCTCCGTAGGGAATTGCTTTCGGTTTGTTCCTGCAGGTAAAGAAGAGGTGTCGCAAGGGTATTCCGCAGTCAATCCGACCCAAGGCCTGGATGCTTCTCTCTGGTGCTGAACACTTGAAAAAGAAGAATCCACGTCGGTTCGAGGTAGGTCACGAGCCCTTGGTTGTCCGTCTGCGCTTGGAACTGACTAATGAATGCTACAAGTGACATCTTCCATCGGGTATGGATACCACTGCATGCTGTACAAGGCAGATGGATTTATCGGAAGGCCTTTGAACCAGGACAACACCACCATGTACAAACTGATGTTAGTTTCCGTCTCTGCTGTCATTCCATCAATTTGCCTTCTTTCAGGAATTGGCTGCTGGTGAAGTGGACGAAAAAGTGATGGAGCAGATTCGGAAAGATCTTCACAGAACACTTCCGAAGTTTGAGATGTTCAAGTCGCCACAAGGACAAGGGTAAGCTCTGCTCTAATCCTAGGTTGACTGTGCGTCACGGCATGGACGCTTCAAGTCTAGGAAGCAAACGTTGATCTCTGCTTCAGTGGCATGGTGACCACATTGAGTAGGCTCATCGCATTTAGACTACTGACCGAGAGTGTTACTGTCTCCCAGCCGAGGTAACACACACACACACACACACACACACACACACACACACACACACACACACACACACACACACACACACACACACACACACTAGTTCCAGAAACACAGTTATGGCATCCAGGGATTCACAGGTGACACGAGAATACAGATAAAACAAAGTGAAAGTCGGATAAGCCTGAGCCAAACGCTCTCTCTACTCAAAGTCCTCAATAAGCTTCACCCCAATCAACATCCGCGGGCATTTCGGCTCAGATCAGTCCTTGCGTACATTTCAAGTATTGGCATGGTAGTACGCCAGAACAGAGTAGTAATATTATAACACGGAATGACTTCGACAAATAAGAAACAACTAATCTGGGAAACCCACAGCTCTCACAACGAGCATCGCTTGCTTCAGCACAGTGAAAGTCCCTGGTTGGACTCCTGGCAGTGACAAGCAGTATTTCTTCGGATGTTCATGTGTAAAAATATTCTTAGTCTGACATGCGGCTTATATACCGAATGTCACCAAAAAAACGAATTTTGGACCTGAAGAGGGCGATGCATCGATGCAGCTTAGACCCGGTGTGGCTAACACCCCGGAAAATAATATCAGGGTTCTAGCCAAAGGGGGGGTGGGGGGGGGGCAGCGCCCCCCTGTGAAAAAGTACCCCCCCCCCTTCTCATTTTCCGATTTTCGTGTTTTTCATGCAATTCAATGAAAATGCAGCCGAAAGTCATTATTAGATGGCTCATAAAGGCATATTTGTCTGGGGCGAAGTCGGGGATTCGCCACATACGTTGCATTTAGTGTGGCAAGACAATATTGGAAAGTGGAAAAATGGGATAATGGGTAACTGTTTCCCATGCCCCCCCCCCCCCTACTATTTTTACCTGGCTAGAACCCTGAATATGGTACTTGGAATCCCAGTGTGGACACGAACACGTCCTGCTGCGGATGTGAAGCACCCAGTCTAGCAGCGCAGGATTTGCTGGATCACTTTTCAGCCGAACAAGCATGTTCTTATAGTGAAGAAGGCATAAAGGAAAAAGGAGAAAGTTGACTCAATAGTACTGTATGCCTTTGTATGGTAGTGGACAGACCAGTGCGCAGCAACTGTTCTAAATATTGTGCTACATGTACATGCTTGCTGCTCCTTTGACACCCGCCGTTCAGCCTGATATCACAGGCTGGGCTGCTGCTACAAACAAATTCCATGGTCACCACCATAACGTTTGTGACGTCCTACTTTCAGATACCAAGGCAAACTCTATCGATACCGGGTCACAGCACCGGGCAGGTGTACAACCCAGAAGGGTCTTATATGTTGTTCAATTTGTGTAGCCTACACGTGCTCAGAAGGCATACTTTAAAATGCTACCTGGCAACTTCGTAACCAGCTCATATAATTATACTTCAGCACGAATTATATTCTGACTTGTGGTCCCTAGACAAGGGAGCATCAGTATCACCAGAGCCATGCCAACAGTAACTACATGTAGTTACGAAATCGTAGCAGACACACAAAAGGACGTGACACAAGATGATGACGACGTTTTTAAGTCGTGTTTATTGAATAGAATACTTTTGAAGTACCGCCAGCACAAGAAGCAAGTGCATGGGCTGGTCTGCATCAGCTCGCCTTTTAACATGCAATAAGTAGTATTTGACACCAGTGCTGAAGCACTGGTCCCGTATTCCCAAGTCACCTGGTCACAGCATGACCTTTGCTTTGGTTGCCAGCTTATTGGCTGCTGCGATTGCTGTGGCGTTGGACTTCATGACTCGATCGTAGCTCATCATTCCGTTGCACTCGGTCTCAACGTCCGTGATCTGAGTGTAGACTGAGGCGCACAGACCCGCAGAGTCGCGCAGCTGACCGACCGCGCTCATGTAGGTCGTGTAGAGCGACGCCAGCCCGCTGCCATCTACGTTTTTCGTGTAAGCGTGGCAATGTCCCGGCGCCCACTGGTGCTTATCAACCTCGGACAGGATGCCGCCAAACTCACCGAGCACCGCTACCCGTCCGTCAGCTGTATCCACCTTTGGACTGGCCGGCGGTGAATAGTGATGTAGGTCGGTTACATTGCCAGAGCAACCACCTGTCCACGCCGGAGCACCGGCACAGTGCCCGCCGCTGGCATCGTCAACGAGACGATGTGGGTCCAGGCTTTGAACAAGCTGCACCATGCTCTTAGTAAAGTCTTCTGATGCCTGTCCCCAGCCTTCGTTGAATGTCTCCCATTGGACGATTGACGGATGGTTGCGTCGGCCCATGACCAGGCGAGTCAACTCGTGTGCAAACTGCTGCCGATGGACGTCGTCTTGGTTACCTGCCGAGGGCATGTCCTGCCAGACCAGCAGACCGAGGCGATCCGTGTGGTAATACCAACGACGCGGCTCCACCTTGACATGTTTGCGTACCATGTTGAAACCCATGTCCTTGTGTGCTTGTACGTCGTACGCCAGGGCATTATCGTTCGGCGCTGCGTATGCGCCGTCTGGCCAGAAGCCCTGGTCCAACGTGCCGGCTTGGAAAATGAACTCGCCGTTGAGCATGGGGCGCGGAATACCGTTCTTGTCCTTTGTCACGCTGATCGTGCGCAGGCCGAAATATGAGTCGACAGTGTCGATGACTTTGCCACCGCTGATAAGCATAGCGGTTATGTTGTATAGCTCTGGACTGTCCGGAGACCAGGGCCTCACCAGATCAGTCGGGATTTGAACTTTAACCGGGCTGCTGGGTGAACCGGTGCCATTAATGGTACGAAGTGCATCGTCCGCATCCCGTATCGACACGATAATGGATACAGTCATGTCGACAGCAGCATGTTCCGCCGGTTCTGATCCTAGCAACGCACCACTCACGTTCACTGTAACGGACACGGATTTCTCAGCGAACGATGGTTGATTAAAGATATCGCTGATAAACACATCGGGCACACATTCCAGCCACACTGTCTGCCATATACCGCTTGTGCATGTGTATCGGATGCCCCCTGGGTGTGTGACCGCGCCACGACTCTGTTTTCCGATGGGCCAGGGTCCAGTTGGATCGAAGACACCCACGAGCAATTCGTGTGGTGACTCCTTACTCTTTGCCAGTATGTCAGTGATATCGAAGCTGAACGCGTCATAGCCTCCTGCGTGCCAACCCAGCATTCGGCCGTCCACGTACACCGTTGAATTCCAGTCGACCGCTTCGAAGTGCAACAAGGTACGTTGATTTGCGCAGGACGATGTGAACGTCCGCCTCATCCACATGTAATCCTTGTCGGTGGTTCGACGGATTCCGGACAGCGGCGACTCGATAGGATAGGGCACAAGCAATTCCTCGCCCAGGGTCTTGCCGAACGGCGGTGTGTTTAGGTCGGAAACGTTGGAGACGAACTGCCAAAGTCCATTCAAACTCGCCCAGCTGCTCTCGCCTCTAACCATCGTCGGTCTCGGGTACTCGGCTTGTTGATCCGGTGTTACCTCTGCTGCCCACTTCGTCAACAGCGGAGCAGCTGCTGGTTTCCAGTCCGCCGTCGTGCTGGGTACATGCGCCGCCACCAGTAGGAGGATCGTGAAGAGGCATGCTCGCTGGAGAATCATCTTCGACACCGGTGCTTTGTGGCGATCGTCCGCCTCTCGTTGCTCTCGAGATCTCTCGATGTTCTTCAACGTGTTTACTTCCCTACGTCTGCCTGGTAAGTGCAGCACCTGCAAAATGTATCAGTACAGTAGACCGTAACTAACGGCGTCTTCAACTTCAAGTCCTGCTGTCCCGTCCGTGACCAGTGGTGACTACTCGCTATGATTGAAATCGCCTGACCAGCTTACTGTAACTGAGTTTTACTAAACAGCTAGTACTAGTATTTTTCTGCACAGCAGGTGTGTCGCAACACCTGAGTAGGTCTGTCTGCCTGGCCGCGAGGTCAGACTCTGTCGTTCTTGACGTGACTCCAACTAACTGTTACTTCAACTTCAAGTCCGGGATTCGAAGGCCTTCGAGAGCAGCAAACTGTCTAGTCTGTCAGCGCCCCACTTACATGTACTGTAGCTGATAAGTCGGTGATACAGGTCGTCCCTCGTTAATACATAATCTCTGGGACTTGACAAATGTTATGTATTAACCCTTTGCCGGTCTAACTCAATGTATGTGAGGGGTGGTCACGCAAACACATGTACACACAACCAGCAATAACTCAAGAACCATGTGATGTAGGTATGGGTAAACCATATATTTTCAAAATCTGTGTGCCTGAACGCGTCCAGAAAATTCAAATATGACTAGGTCCAGGCAAGGATAGGGCCCATGGTAGCCCTTCAAGTTGAGAGAAAATACAATTGCGAATGAAATACACGAATATCACAGCACGAAGGGCATACCAAGTTCGTGATGGAGCTGAAGTCGTACGATAAACAATCAGGTAAGGGCTACGTCTTTACAAGAAATGTAGGCTCTCTACAATACCGCCATTGAACACCAACACCTCGCCATCGGCGATACGCCAGCAGCAGCAATTCCCATTGCACGATATCGCAGTTTCGTTTTGTTCATCTCAGCGCTGCTCGCGTCAGATTCACTCTCGCTCAGATGAGTACTCAGGCGCGAGCTTACGCATGCCGTAATTCTCACAGCCAGGCGAATCAGCTGATCGCACCTGACGAGTCCTTGTGACAGTCGCTGTCGCCGTGTCGGCAGCAAGAAGGCTTCCTCTCTGTTTGGAGAATTTTGTTTCTTCATTCGTGGACGATATATTTTTGAACTAGCAGGACTCAACGGAGCTCTTTTTCTCAACACACTACACTGCAAAACCTCCCGGGACATCCAGCCTGGACTAGTGATGTTACTGCTCTCAGAGCGCTTGTCAAACACGGCCCCAAGAGATGCACTCGCATTCTTGAAATGCGCGCATGGCGGATGGTCGTCTTTTCCAATTTCAACAAACTTCAGTCGATCGATACGGCAAAAATTTGTATGGTAAGCATGGTTGTTTTGCACATCGTCAGAAAGCCTTGGACCTCAGCTACGCGTAGAGCGCCATTTTAGCTGTCTCCTAGCAACAAGACCCCAAAAAAATGAGGGCCAAACGTACCGATACTATAGTATCGGTACGCTTATGGTAGACCGGTAAAGGGTTAACGGGGTTTATGTACTAAACGAAAGTGTACATAACTTGCTTGTGTACCAGAATTTTTCACTTTTTTCTGCTTTTCTGAGTGTTTCTTGCTACCATGACTAGGCAGCGAGATATTCTTGATTCCCTCGATATAACATAAAAATTATGTTATACCGGCGCGGTCACAGTTAGCGAAGATTCTACAGTTTGCATGATACATGCCCAGCCGCGCCTGTATAGTCACTCCAAAAAAACAGAGCTTTGTCGGTTTGTGATGTGCGCTCTGATTTCTGAGCTAATTGCGTCCACAAGTAGAAACTAGAACACGATCTGCCTCCACTGGAAGGCCAAAAGACCAACAAATTATGTACTATTGAGGTAGGTGGCATGCGGGTACCGAGAAATGTTATGTACTAACGGGGTTTATGTACTAACGAATTATGTACTAACCGACAAAATTTGTATGGAAGTGACCACGTTTCGTCCGGGACTTGAGATTTCTTATGTACTAACGGGGTTTATGTACTAACCGGACTCGTATTAACGGGGGACGACCTGTACTGCCTACTGGTAGATAGCATACAGTGCTGCTGAGTGCATGCAGTAGTACCTCGGACATGACACATCACCTGATCAAGGTCAGTGGTTTGGCGTCTTCCTAGATCCTGCCTGAATCCTGGATGTATCATGCACCGGCAGCAGTGCAGGGTACCGTGACCAGGTGACCACCTGCACCTAATCAGTGTCTGCTCCAGCCCCGGGTGAGGGGGGGGGACCCGGCTCACCCGGTTGGGCGGCGCTTGGACCTGGTTGAAAATATAGTAGTTGGTACATGTACTTTACACTTTCGAACTTTGAAACTTTGAAACTTTGAAAGGACTGACTACATGGCTGGTATGCAGGGAGTAGTGCAATACCATTATGGTATTGCACTACTCCCTGCTTGTAGGTGTCAGTCTGTCAGATACTTCTTCTTCTTTCGTAATTTTCTAATTCCTGTGCTCTCTTTTCTAAATGCGGCTTATCCATTCGTCTTAATATCATTGGGCCTAGTTTCCGTTTATTGTCCGAATTAAAATAAACCAACCAACTAGTTCTAGAGCATGTGACTCGGCTGGTGAGGCAGCGCCAGGTGCGTGTGTACCCGGCTCCGACCCGGTTGAAATGGTTGCGCCAGGTACACGTGTACCCGGCTGTCCTACAATCCTAGAGCAGACACTGCTAATAATACTATTAAATAGTCCTTTCCTGGCCCATCTTTGCGAGGGAACGATTGTTTTGTCCAATACTGGCAATAGAATTTTTGATTTTCCGAGGTCAGCTGTACTTTGCAGTTTTGCCAGTCGTTTCTAGAACACATTGGCATTAGCAAGACAACATAGATATGGTAACCCCAAGACTCGGGTCCAAGTACAATGCTATCGTAGAAGAATTCAGTCAGGTTACGGTGATGTTGATTATTATTTTTCTGAAGACATGCCACCCTTCCAAAGACACGGCACATCCGGGAGCATTACTGTGATTGTAATGCTTGATGTACCCGGGGGGGGGGGGGGGGGGGGGTACTTGACAAGGCATAATGCATACAAGAGTGTCAGGCATGTTGGAGGTATATTCATCATCACTCAAATTAATTATGACTTTGCCATCTCTCTAGGGCCTGCTCTCCAAAGCAAGGTGAACAACAAAATACAGGTTTTGTAACTTTTGTTTATTTCTTATTATTGAACGTTACTGGGTTTGAAGTTGAACTTTGAACCCTGCGGTTCCAGTGTAAGGTACCTGAACTAGCCACTCAGCTAGGATGCAAGATTTGATTTCTTTCCACCACCCCCCCCCCCCCCCCCCCACAAAACACACACCTCCTCCCCATTGGCTTTGGTTCGAATTCTGGCTTTTTCTCTTCCATTTTCCCGCTTGTGTCTGTTGCAGGCAAGCCGATCTTCTGAAGATCCTCAAAAGCTACGCAGTTCACAACCCTGCGATTGGTTATACTCAGGTACGACAACACTTACAGCTGCGCTCCAGCATACACAGCTAATGGTTGTATAAGCAACAACAGTGCATATCATGCCAACTAGGACATATGAACCGATAGCCAGCCTTGCGGCCCAGGAAGGTTAGGACTTCTGGCTCTGTTGCAGAGTAGAGGCTTGACAGCTGTGGTGCCGACACCCGGCGGAGACCAATGATGCCGGGGTATACTACCTGTATGTGAACCAATGTGCACTTTCAAGCCCTTTACTGTATTTCTCTGAGAAATGCTGGAACTGTGACCCCCCCCCCCCCCCCCCCCGATCTGCACAAAAATACATGTATGCGTGTATTTTGACTTATTTCTGGGTGCTATTTAGGCCATGAGTGACATAGCTGGCAGCCTACTGACTGTGATGCCAGCAGAGGTAAGTCACAACGTACACCGTGCGGCATCTGTTAAGCTTATCCAGCTGAGGGAGAGAGAGAGACAGACACAGAGAGAGAGAGAGAGAGAGAGAGAGAGAGAGAGAGAGAGAGAGAGAGAGAGAGAGAGAGAGAGAGAGAGAGAGAGAGAGAGAGAGAGAGAGAGAGAGAGAGAGAGAGAGAGAGAGAGAGAGAGAGAGAGAGAGAGAAAGAGAAAGAGAAAGAGAAAGAGAAAGAGAAAGAGAAAGAGAAAGAGAGAGAGAGAGAGAAAGGGGTGGGGGGGGGAGATGTGCGCTTGTGTTACAGTGATAAGATGTCAAACTGCTTTGGTTGCTCACTGACCTCGGCCGTATGCATTGTGTTCCTTGTCTAGTTTGACATGTACATGTACTAGTATACCTTTGCCACTGTAGAAAACTATCTTTTCTGTATTACTGTATCACCAATGTTGTTCATGTAACTGCTGTCTATTTGGTATTTACCGTGGTGAAGCACTGTCTGTCTGAAGAGCCTCTCCACTGCAATGGCACGTGTTTTGCTTCCGGTGTGTCACGGTACAACCGGCTTTTAGTATGTGCAATCTGTCACGCACCGCAAGATGTTCCTTGTCCATTCCATGTAACACTGTGCTGCTCTATCTCACTCGGCCTTGTCTGCTCAGGATGCGTTCTGGGTGTTTGTCGCCATCATCGACAACTATCTGCCAAACTACTTTGCCGACGGAATGGTGAGGCTAAACGGCATCGTAAAGAATTAGGAAAGATCTGTAGTATCCCGTTTGAGAATCAGGTTCTGCTTGTGCTGTATGACGAGAATGTTGTAGCCCGATGTTAGCTGGGATCAGGGAGGCGTGAGAGTGCACACCAGGGTATGGCGAGCATGTGTGGCAGGCTGTGGCCTGGCCAAGTCACTTTGTACTGGCCTAGGTAGCTATGTACTATGTACTGGACTAGGTGGATGTAATTGTTCTATTCAATATGCTAGCATTGAAAGGAAGTGAAATACATGCAATGCAGTACATGTAACCTGATCCCATTGAGTCAACTGTGTGAATAACAACAAATCGCTAATAATGGCACAATCTTTAGACCTAGTGACCATCTGACTGCATACCTCACGAATACCAACAACTCGCCAATAAGGACACTTTTTCATGCACGACCGAGGGTTAGTATCCGCACGGTTGACAGTTTTCATTCTGCCACCGGCGTCTTGCGTTCTCAGGTGCCCTTGCTGAACGATGCAGACATCTTCGATGACCTACTCAGCGAAACACTACCGGACATTGATGATCACCTGGTGAGTGCACCGTGACAGTGCGTATGTACAGTGTACTATCTAACTGCCTGCACACATACACACACACACACGCGCACACACACACGCGCACACACACACACACACACACACACACACACACACACACGCATGCACACATCGGGTATGACTGGTATGACTGCATATACCATCTGAAGACCACGGCCGTAGCAATGAATACTGGAATGGGCACAACCATGTAGTACTGTACCACTTTCTGTAAATACGTATGGATGGCAGCTCGTGTGTTGTACTGCATTGCTACTTGGGATACTCTGAGACAGGATAATATAGCAAGAAAATAAATTTCTTCACCACAACAAATTTCGTGACAGCCCTAAAATGCCTAATAAGCCTTTAGTTTGGAGTATGTAATTGGCAACCCGTGACAGTAACATGTCTTACAGTATGTGTGATTTGCCGACTTAACGTCTATCATGACCTGGCGGTATATTCACTCTATCATTGTTCTGTGTTCGCCTGCAGAAGCTACTTGGCATTCCGTCACTCACTTACCTGCCACCGTGGTTTTTGTGTATCTTCACCAGGTAAGCCATGTGTGAAGGAAGGTCCTCTGCGCCTACCGTAGCTTGTGATGGTTCTTTCATTGTCCGCTTTTAAATTGCAGCCCAGGCCTTGTCAGGCTCCAGGTCGCTTACCTATAGGCTATGGAACGGGCATGCTCTAATTTCAGCAATTTCCAGTGCTCAATATTTTCGGTATGAGGGCAACAGGCCAGGTTAGATGAACAGAAATTTTCGGTACAGAGAAGCAGTTCCCTATTGGATTATGTGTGTTAGTATTTGTTCGGTGTATTGAAATTTTAGATATGAAACAGACGCACCGAAAGTACCGAAAATAAAAGTACACCGAAATTTGTGAAATTACAGTAGACCCTAAAAGCATGACCTGACTGTAGCTCACAGCTGTGGTGTGACTCATGCCTCATGTAAGCAGTGTGCTTGTGCATGTATCATCTATAATCTGTGTGCTTGTGCATGTATCATCTATAGTCTGTGTGCTTGTGCGTGTCTCATTTGTAATCTCTGTGCCTGTGTGTGTAACACTTTGCATTTCATTGCAGGACACTGGAGTGGAGCTGTGTACTGCGCGTCCTTGATATGTTTTTCTTTGAAGGTAGGAGGTGCATGTGCCGTGCTACACTGCGGCATCCCAGTATACTATACCAGTACACTTTACACGTGTAGTGCAGTCAGTTTTAGTTTATCTTTCAGTTGATTACCCCTCTCCCTGTGTGGTGTCTCCATCCGGTATGATGCTGTTCTGTCACATGTACAAGTAAAACTTCCAGACCTAACCTTATATTGTTTCATTGACTGCTATTTTCCCTGTGCGTGCAGGCATCAAAGTTCTATTCCGTGTTGCAGCGTCGATTTTGCAGTTGACTCTTGGATCACCAAGTCAGCGCGAAAAATACCAATGGTCAGTTTGGTGATTGGGCAGTGCCGCATGTGCATGACGGTGCAGCATACAGTAGGTGTCGATCTGGGATTGCAGAACACTCCATGCGGCAATGTAACGATACTCACTGACGATAGAGTTCGAATCATGCGGCATTCTTGTTCGATGGGAGGGGAGCTCAAAGGCAATCACATGAACTCCTGATGCATGCGTGATCTGTGTACTGCTCTGTGTAGGAAGGCACAGGATGTTCAGTTTTGTTGCATGCATGTGCACGTGCATTGGTAGTGTTGAAGCTGTGCATTGGTAGTGTTGAAGCTGTGAATTTCAGCCACATGCATCATAACCTGTGGCTCTCTTGTGTCCTATACTGTCCTCAGTACAAGTGATGTGAATGACCTTCTGGTTCGAGAGCTACCTGGCGAAGTGATCATCGCCGACAACCTCCTACCACAGGTAAGCTTACTGGTGATGGGGTATTTTAAGCTTGAAATGTTGACAAGTGGCACACAATCTGCTGCTACAGAGACCTTCGATGCTTCCCTTTTTTAGGGGACACTAGCTATGCTGGCATACTGTGACACCTTGTGAACATGGTTCGCGCGTGCTATTTCCTTTCTTTTCTGTGCAGTACCTGAAGATGCCGATCACAAGCAAGGTCATGGTACGTCATCACACTCGAGTTGAGCGAAAAAGCACCAATAAAATATAGATGGCTGAAAAATTGAATGTCTCCTGCCACCCAACCCCCTTTCCCCTCCTTCCTCTCCCTCCCGATATTCGCGTTGATGAGCAAAGATTCCTTGCAAACAGTTGTATGTCTTTTTATCACCATTCATCAGTGCATTGCTGTGCATGCTTTCCAGTTGGTTCTATCAAATGATTGCGTTGACCCCACATTGCATACCCTATGCAAATTGTTCTAGGCAAACTATAGCAGTGCTATTAGGTGGAGATTAGACAATTAGAAAAGATTGCGGATATTCGCCTCGGTAAATTGTCATACTGTAGTATACTGTTGTGCATCTGGCCACTGCCATTCAGCTTGGGTCTAATACACAGCTAGGAACACACAGTCATGTGCCGTACTACTACTGCACAGAGAACCACTAGCTAGACTCCCGCAGCGAATCATATCCACTACTCACGCGTGTATACATAATTATCCACTTAGCTCTTCTCCATTGTAGTGGGAGTGTGTTCGCATTCTAGCATATTTTAAATTTTCTATTTAATTTTTTTTTAATACTTCAAAGAGTTCTTCCGCTTTTCCTTCTATCTGTTCGAGGCCTGCATAGTCAGACTGCAGCAAACCAATCTTATCCTGGCCTGCATGGTCAGACTGCGGCAAAAACAACTACCGTAAAATCCCACCAGAGCGCCCCTACCTCCTCGACGCTTCGTTGGGGAGGGGCAGATGGGCGAGTCCTGCTTGCCGCATTCAGTACTACATGAAACAGTACTCACCCTACGAAAACTGTTCGTGCATCTCGTACACCGACCAAAGGTCAAGAGCCAGGAATCGTACAGACCCGTCGAAACCCAGGGTTTGTGCGATCCTTGGTCAAGAGGGTGGGCACTGTTGCGTACATTTCCAAATGGGGTCAAGCACGCGTCTGCAGTACAGTACGGTAGCACAGAGTCATACGTGGATACAATCAATCACTTCCCTGGCAAGAAGTCAGGGAGGGGCGGATCACATCTCGCTTATCCGGGACAGGGCATTGCCGGTCACTTTGAAAATGCTGTGATATGTTTCAATGGGCTCGATAACTGGCACATGACGTCACTGCCGCTGAAATACTTCAACAAGAAAATGGCAAAAGAGTAGTGATTTTTCCACTACAACTTTCCCACGGTGCACTAGAGACGAGGTGCTGGGTGGACCGAGGTGCACGTAGCTTTGATGTCCGGATAAGAGAGAGAGAGAGAGATAAGTGTACTGTCTTGTCAACTGCAGTTGTGCTTTTGGTACATAAACAAGAGTGCGCAGCTTCACTTGGGTTGGCGCGCCGTGGTATTTTTGTTGGCGTCAACTTTTCTGGAGGCAATGAGTATGTGATGTACTACTATGTACGAGTCTGTGGCAGCGTGAACTAACAGTAATCACTTTCCCCCAAGTTACACTAAATGTGTACTCGTACTCCCAGTACAGTCCGACCTCGCTTATCCGGATCCCTCGCCATCCGGAAGAAAATAGCTGGTGAGATGTACAGCATATTATGTGATGCATCCACCGCGAGGTCTGACTGTACTATGATACGGCTACAAAAGTGGGATAAATATTTCATTTTGAAAGCCGCAAAAAATATCACGATAGATCTGAAGGTTGGCGCCCAGCCGGCCGACATATGCTTTGCACATGTTTTAGTCATGCATCCTAAAAAGGTGCCGTCAACAAAATATTCCGCCATGTATGGACCAGACCAGCTAGCTGGAGAGTTGCACTCTTGGTGAGATGTGAGCCAAAGACAATGCAAACTGCAAAGCTGCCGCCATGGACTACATGTACCGGGGATCATCCGCGGCATGCACAAAGAGGGAAATACTACGGCCGTTCAAGTCCCAAATTACGCACATTGGGTAGGAGTTCGAAAGCACAACTGAGAGGTGCAGCAAGAGTGGCACTTGCAGGGACGGACAAGACCCGAGTTCCAGACAAGTACACACAGAAGACGGCACATTGTACGGTCAGTGTTTATCCTTTTCTTCAAAAACAAGTCGGAGACCAGTAATCAATGCCGTATACACGCATAACAGATCATCGTCCGTTTTCAAGTCACCATAAAATTCAGAGTAGACTGGCTAAACCCAAAAAAGAGATGAGCAAAAACAGGAAGTAGAACGGCAGTGTTAGCGGTGGGAGCGAACATGTCGGAGCACATGACGGCTAAACTCAATAGCAGCTGACATGCACGCACAAAACAAATACAACAAAGAGCGTCATGGACAGGATGTAGGACAAGGATGACAACGAACAAGTGATGATAATGTACAAATAAATGAAGGTGATAATGCTACTGCTTCATGGCAAAGTTGAAAACGAGGGCATGACTGGGACAATAATTATGTGTAAGTCAATGGTTAACCTATACTAGGCTATAAGGAGTTGGCCAGAGCAGTTAAAACTTATTATTGTTAACAATAACCGGCTTCATGAGCGAGATGCCGATATTATCTACATATGAGGTTCGCACAGGAAGACACACGTGTCAACAAAGGACAACGTGCACCTATGGCATACGGCAAACACAGATTGGACTGTCATCAGATTGAGAGCCAGTAACAGCACAAACACTGTCACCATTGACACAACAAAGGAACGCTAGCGAACCGATAACCTATGGCATACGGCAAACAAGCTAAGCAGATAGGCACTGCTGTTAATTACGCGATGGTAAAAAGGGAACAAGAACGCTAGCAAAAGAGAAACCAATCGCAACAAGACAGACAACACGCATGTATATATATCTGATGTGGGGCGCGAAGAAGCGGTACAGCCTAGGTTACCTGGGGTTTGGCGTGAATATTGTACGAGTTCATTACATCAGTGAGATGAATCATTTCTTTCCCTTTCCTTTCTGATCCTTTTTCTGCGGTGTGACTGGCCGGCCAGAGTTGAGACCACCGTACTGATACTTAGCCTTCTTTTCCGAAGGCTTGAGAATCTACAAAACAAAGGAAAGTCAAAGAGCAGCAGAGAAGGCATTCTTAGCACGGCTACTGTGCTGGCAAAGAAATTAATCAAGCTCCGCAAGCAAGCTTCCAAGCACAGAACAATGCCAGCGAGTGCATGACTCACACGGAGAGTATGCCACATGAGAGGGGATGAGAAGCTAAGACAGACAATCAGTTATCTACCGTAGAATACTGTTGACCTGCCACACTGTGTAGCTTCCCAGCTGGTTATTCGGGTGAGGGAGGTGGGTACTGGTAAATAATTTACGGGTTCATCACGGCGTCAATTGATGGTTTGTTAGAGGAAACAGTTTGTCTCTTTCCCTCAAACTAGTAAAAACAGTTTTTCTAGTCGTTTCTTGCTGGTAGAGGTTTGTAAGGCTGATGTAGCCTTGATTGGTCTTCCCAGTTTTCCCAAGCTGAAATAACTGGGCGAAAATATTCCAGAGGTCTGATCCGCTTTAAATTCTCGCCTTCCCCAGCATTTTCTGCCTCATAAATTGAAAAAGTTCAGCTGACTGAAGTGATGAGAAAGGACACAATGCGAAAAATCACATTTTACAGTTAGGAAAAACTTTCACCTGTACGTACAAATCACCTTACTCCTCAGGAAAGGCAACAAAGGTACAGGACTAGCATGACAAACGGTGGTTGCAACTTCCTGCAAGTCACTGCTCTACTCAGCGCTTCAGAAAGGAGGACGAGGCTACCAGACGCATGGCCTGAGAAAGGACATCTGGGTACGTTGTGTGAGGTACCGTATCTACTATAATCTGTACAAGTACTAGTAATGTCACTACGAAACACGTGCTGGGGGATGCAATGGTTGCTTGTACGCAGTTGATACGAAATTGTCATCGACCGGACGTGACACTTCGGAGCTCTATTGCCCAGCAACGCTCACTCAGGCGGACTACACTCACAGCTACACTACATGTATCGTTGTCGCCACCTGAGTGTGTCTTAGCAGGTTTATGCACAGGGTCTAGTTAGTCAAACATAAGACTTAAAAATTCATATTAGAGAGGTTCCGCATAACGTAATTACGTTAGTAAAAAACGCAGTCGATTTACGGAAAGTCTTATGTAAACTGCATGCGCATCCGGAGTTTTCAAATCACGTACTTGCCCTTGGCAACTCCGAACTCGGCAGTGTACGACCAGATCGACCTGGGGAGAGTCATAAATTTGTACCCCAATCCAATTACGGACCAGCTACGTTATCAGAGCCCTATCTACGTACTCTCCGTAGACAACTTTGCATAAGTGGAGTGCAAACTCGCGAATGCACGGGTTTTACCCGCCCACTAACGTAGAGTTGCTCAACTTTACGTAGTGCGGAACCTCACAATTAGCATGCCTAATGACAACTCTAAACTAGAGAGTGCAACTGAAAAGTTCGAATGCAAAAACAAGTTGCAGTTATGACATGCTTCACAAAGTCGAGCAAAATGGGCTGTAGGGGTGCAGCGCCATACTGCCAGCCACAGGTGGCAACGCTTTTGTCTCATTGAAATGATGTACAGTCGACTTCGCTGATAACGACTGCGGATATACCGTAAAGTACCGTTGATCCGCCCCCTGTCGATTTTCTCCTTGTGAAGCGACTTCGGCGTATACAACGAAATACGATGTTGAACCGACGCATACACTGTTGTACACAATACTTGCCAATCCAGGATCAAAATGTGCACAATCCAGCACATTGAGACTGATCCTCTACGTTGTTGTACATCGTACTGCACTTGACAGCCTTGATCTAATTCCCGCCCCCTGCCGAAAACCCAGCTAGGAAGCGACATGGCGTGGGGGCGGATCAACGGTACTTTACGGTAACACAGAATTTTCATGCCCAGAGCAAAGTCCCATCCAACTGTAACACATATAATGAGACTTCGGGTATAACGACACTTCGCGAATAAGGACACTTCGCGAATAAGGACACTTTTCTGATGCCCCGCCGAGTGTCGTTATAAGCGAAGTTGACTGTACATAAAATTCATCCCATGGTTCGCCATTCGACATCCAGAGCTGTACACCCAGGCTTACATACATCAGTAACTGTGTATGAGGATGCAGCATGGCAACAGCAAAAAAAGACATACCTGGAAGGAACACATCAGTGTCTCGTCCACGCTCATCATACCACCGGCGTTATCAAACTCGCCACAGTAATTGGGAGCTGAGAACAGTGTCACTAACTGCCGCTTGGCAAAGAATTCATAACCATCTTCGACAACCTGGAGAAATGAACGAGACAGGCAAAGCAGAATGAACGAAAATCAGGGGTGGAATTCAAGCAAGCAGATCCCTGACAGAATAAATGCATGACAAGAAGGGAAATTTGAAGTCAAATTTTATTACCGTATGTCTGCACCTTTAAAGCCATGGCGGTATATTCGATTATAAAGCCAGTCTCAGTTATAAAGCCATGGGCTTCATAAATGAAATGACATTTGAAGTATGTTTTGTAAAAATGAAGGAATAAGTACTATGCTAACAGACTTACAGCCCAGTAGGAAGGGTGAACAAGTGGATTTAGATTGAAATTTCTGTGTGGACTTGGACTTTTATGGCATGGCGTAGTGGGTGAGTCATTTTACATCTAAAATATCTAGGAAAGCAGCGGTGTTTCGAATATAAGGCCATGGTTTAAAGGCGCTGACATACGGTAATAGTGCATTAAAAACACACACTTGCTTTACTTACAGTAAAACCTGGTTTAACCGACCACCCCACGGTGCAAGCAAAAGCGGTCGTTAAAGCCAGGTGGTCTTTGGAACCAGGTCCCATACATTCGTGACAAATCGGATTGCGTACATACATGTGCATGAGTGTACTTCAATGTACACATATAGACAGGCGTAGCGCATAGAATACTTTCTGCAGCAAAGCACGTCTCACTCAAGTGCATGCAGCGCGTCCTGCACTGTCCCTTCTGTTGACTGCATGCACATGAGTCAGAGCGCACTTCAACCCTGTTCAAGATGGCACTGTTGGTTAGTTTTGGTCGCTGTGTGCAGGTCCAATATGGCACTTGGTACACTAAAAGTCGGTCGCTGGATCCAGTGCAGTTTCTGTGTAGAGCTGTCCGTGCATGGAAAAACGGTCGTTAAAAGCATGTGGTCGCTGACACCAGGTTTTACTGCATTACACAATCGTGGTGTTTGCACTCAAATACAGATAGACTCAGAACGAGGCAATGGGGCCGTCCGGCGTTATCGATAATTTAGTTTTGACCCACCCCTGATGCGAAAAATATTGACTTTAAACCGAGTATGGTTTTATTGTTCTGCTATCGATGTTTTTTTTCGTAACAACTTGAAATGGCCTCGGCACACCACCCATAAATGGCTTTAATTCCATGAAAAGATCAATTCAACGCGGTGTAGAAGAAAAGGTCTTCTGGTAAAACCCTTTGATTCTACGTGGATTGCCACCCCGGACACAGAATGACACAGAAATGTAACAGTGTAATAACTGCTATAGGGAAGTACAAACCTGATGGGCTCGGCAAATCAAGTCGAAGTCGTGCCTCTGCAAGAATTTGCTGACCACATCGCTGGCAAACGTGAATGACACTCCTCGGTCGTTCTCACCCCATCCAGAAATGTCTTTATCCGGATCAGACCAGAGCAAGTCACAGAGTAGACCTGATTACAAAGCACAAGAAAAACATAGGTTGAAGTTACGTAAAAGTTAAAAACAAACAGACAATGCCAATACTTGCACACACTAGAAACGTTTCAGCTAGGTTGCAGGATCCCACAAGGTTCAATGGCTTCAAGTACTGGTACATAACTGCGGTGTGTAGAGTGCATATGCTGCTACACTGCAAGAGTTTTTCAAAGTTTCCAGTGTACTGGTATGGGTCTGTGTGGACTCAGGGGGTAGTTCTCGTATCTATGTTTTTTGAAACACACTAGATCGATGTAAGGCCCACTGATCACTGACAGATGAGCTAGGCACAATCGGTGTATGTAACAGCATTTCTTACCAGTGTCAGGAACATCCGTGGGGCGCATAATTCTTCTGATATTTTCCATGGATTGCAAATCAGGCGACAGACCTGGAGCAAAGCAGGTACATCAACAGAGATCAGAATCAGATACTTTAGGCCTGTGCAGCCCTAGACCATGGAACACTGGGATGTTCACTGGGGCAGGGTGCAAAGTTGACTCGCTCTATCGAATTTCACTGAGTAGCACTGTACATGTACCATATTCTCTCTCTACAATAAACACTGCCCTTGCATATGTACAAGACCCGTCTACCGCCAATATTTTAATCCTTTGTTTACGATAGATGGTCATGAAGTGCATGACAGTCACATGTTTCGCCCTTGGCCTTTCTGCTATGTTCTTGTCAAGGTTCAATGCGTTCCATTTCAGCAGAAAATGACTGTCTTCACATAAAGAAGACTAGGGGTGTCATCGGGTAGTAGGGTACCTGTGTTACCCGTAACTAGAGCGGGTATTCGGGTAGCAGTTTGCTCCTGAGAACCTGATCGGGTAGTTGGACTACGGTGTTTCCGCAACGGTGCATGTAAAATGCACGGCTACATGCTTACTGTAAACGTTTTATGTAGAGCCAGTGCACACTCACTGTACAAACTATGTCAAAAAATACCCGATACGGTACTCGTGCTACCCATAGAGATATACGAACTCGTTACCAGACCGACCTCCTACCCCTGCAGCCCTACTAAGGAGCACAACTGTAGGGTACTCGGAGGGTAAATTTAAGGTGCATTGGTATATTCTAAAGTGTCATGGAGCTGTGCTTGTAATGGAAGGAGGAGAAATCATCACAAAACGTATTAACCACACTCATACCTCCATGGCAGCAGAAGATCTTTTCATCTATGATGGCAGCAACTGGCAAACAGTTGAAACAGTCCGTGAATGTCTTCCAAAGTTTGATATTATACCGTCGCTTGCCTGTAGGAATGGAGCAGTCAAAAGCAGTAGAAATCACTCAATAAACCAAGCAAACAAAAGGCACCAACTTACCAATCAATTAACACACACGCAGGTGCAGCTCAAACAGGTGCATAAAACGCACAAAGCATTCAAGTCAAAGTGTGGAAAGCATAACACAGCATAACACATACATCAAGCTAATAGCGCACAAGGCAACATATGGAAATGTGCAAATTTTCTAAGAATTACAATGGTCAAGCACCTCACACCCAAAACACTTTCCAGTAACGCAGCAGAGATGTACTTACATTCCTCATAAAATCCATAAATTCTATTGATGCTGGCACACTCATGGTTTCCACGGAGCAAGAAGAAGTTCTCCGGATACTTGATCTTATAAGCAAGCAAAAGGCAAATAGTCTCTAGTGACTGTTTTCCACGGTCAACGTAGTCGCCAAGGAACAAGTAGTTGGCATCTGGAGGGAACCCACCATACTCGAAGAGACGAAGAAGGTCCGAGTACTGGCCATGGATGTCACCTGAACAACAGAAAAAAGACAGGCATTGACATGATGTGACCAATAGTTTGAGATTTTAAAAAATAAGCAAGCGTTCGGCTATTTTTAAGTTGTTGTTTCCAACGTTTTTCAAGGGGAGCAAACAATACGATACCATGTATCGGCAAGAGTACATAAACCAGAGTGTGCAACTGTGCATATCAGATCTGAAACAGCGCAGTTCGTGCACTACGTCACCCTGATGAGGTCAGCCACGCCGCGACTTGCGTACAGCTAAAATTTTCGTGTTTCATCATAACATAGTAGCCCAGAAATCAGCCAAGTTTGCTTGATTTTAGACGTCCTGTTTCAGATTTCGGTGTTTTTGTGTGGCTGTGTACGCTGCGTACATCCACCGACAAGTAGTCACCAGGCTATCCGTATCAAAAAACCGAAATCAGGACAAACTCAGTGACCTGCACCACCGTGACTGGTTACGCAACTTTTCACCGTACCTGTGGCCTACCATGCCGTCAGAAATGCACGAATTACGCTCCCACAGGAACCATCCCGATTTGCACACTCTGGTTTATGTACTCTTGGTATCGGCGATTGCACATTCACGGTATATTTCGGAATCATATGCAGATGCAAAATTAGTTCTATGGTGGAGCGTGTGTGTGGTGTGGAACTTTGCAGATCAGGAATGAAACAGGGATCAATATCCCTGTCAGTTAATCGCTTGGGAGGGCGATGACGGAATGTGTGTGTGCAGATTCATTGTTGGCTTCCCAGGCTAGACTTGCGACCGAGAGCCAAAGGATGCATAGCAGCAACACGGCAAAGAAGTACCACAGAACAGTGCAAGTGAAGGCGAGAAGAGAAATTGCCATTATGAGTATTAGAAAAGCCAGTGTGATTTTGTCAATGCTGGTGCACTGCCCATTGCGATGTTGCGATGAAGTTTACAAGCATGCTTCTGGAGGTGATCATTTTTTTGATACTCGTACTGTTCTTCAATCCTCCAGTTACCAGACGACAGTAACAATGGAGGATGAGGAGATGGTGGCGGGGGTGACAGTGATGGGTTGTCTAAAACGTAGTTCACAATTGTCATAATAATCATTCTCAGTCTCAATCTCAAAAATGATACTTCCGGGGAAGAAATCAACGTTCCTGGTTTGGTCTCGAGAATAAAAATTGCACACGTGTTACATGCTCCAGACAGGGCATTTGTCAAGCGCCACGAATGACCACAACATAATAGTAGCTTGCCTGTCAACTGCATGCCAATGGCAAAGGTCAAGAGTGTCGCTTTTGTTTGATCCCACCCCACATCAAAACAAACGGCCAAGGATCAAAGATTGAAAACACAAAACCATTACGAGTGCTGGTTTCCAAGACGGCCTATTAGTATACAGTGAGGAGTCCACACCGAGAGCAGACCAGTAACACTAACTGGTCGCTTCAAACACGGCGAAAGGGAACATGGATAGTTCAGACAGCTAACAGTGGGAAACTGGACATCAGTTCCAAGTCCATTTCATGACACGATTCAAGACATCCATGCTTCACAGGCTAGTTACGAGACGATGCCCAGGACGGACACGACAAATGACACAACGTCCAAACGAATTACGGAACAGCATAGCACTGCCTTCCATGCTCCAGCAAACCACTATTATTTTTGCAGTGTTCAAATTCTCAAGGAGAAAATCAAGCCAGTCGACTTCCGCCCTAACTTCGGCTTGCATTACTCGACAGCGCGAATCACTAGGAACGAATGAAGGTCTCAGTTGACATTACAGCACTGCACTACTACATGTGTTGTGTTCGAAGCCTTACAAAGCTAACCAGAAACAAAGAAAGCATACAAGTAACAGTTTCCTCTCAACAACACGCAAAATTGTAGAACCGCGGGATATGGTTGACCAATACACTTATGATACTGAGTAGCGTCCACATCGCAGTGATGTTGCAAATGTCACAGTCTGCAAGTACATGAACGCTACAACGAAATGATATACTCCAGAGTGGGTGCAATGTTGAAGTGCGGACGATGAAACCATCGAGTCCCACAGAATCTCAGTAAATAGCAAATGAATATCACACTAAAAAAATCAAGAGTGTGTTTTCACTCACAATAATGCTTAGAACACCAACTTTCAAACAAGGAATCAACACCATGGCCCAATGGAAATGCGTGGTAAGAACTTACCGCATATTTTAATCGGTGCTTCAAGTTCCAACAAGATGGGCTGACTAAGGAAGACCTCCCGGGATTTCAAACACAATCCGCGAATTTCATGTTCAGCCAGCTGCACAGTCTTTCCAGGCTGCCTCCCACGTACTGCAGCACAGAAACCCTTCTTCAGTTAACTCCTGCCACGACCCACTGCCAAATGCTAGTTTCCTTACCTTCAAGCAGCCTGGTGATGATCGAATCGACGTTCAGTTCTCCTTCCGCCATTATCAGAGTTAGCTACACTTCTTTTTTTTTGTATCGCGCATGCGCAGTCTTTATCACCTGGAAGAGAAAGTGTCCAGTTTCTTACGATGTTCAAGCCGAACCGGTGGTCGCTGAGAGACTCTCCTGTTCTACCTTCTTGTGGAATGGTGACTTGTTTGAAGGAAGCTGCAGACTAAAGTAATGATGATGTTATTGTACTTCATAAGTCTGATGACCGCCTTTGGCTTGCAGCTTGTTGATCATTTTGGTGCGAATGTAGCAAGAAAATATTTAGGGAATTTCACGGTTAGCACCGAAGTTCCACACTGTACTGGCAGTGGCAGTGCATGGTAGTGATTTTGGTGTGTGATTTTTCACCATTCCGAGCCTGGGAGGTGCACCCTTAGCTAGTACTAGTAGTGAGCCTGTTTCTGTGCCGTGAAGGTTAGGATCATGTACTAGTACATGTATCGCGGGAAGCAGCTCTTCGCAAGTAAGCAAGTCAGCTAAATTTTTGCATCCACATTGTTACGTGCACCAAATATCACTGAGGTAGTTTCAAACTAACTCCGAACATTGTAATAATTATTATTGCATTCAAATATCCATCCTGGCAATATTATCGCCAAGATGAATGTCGAATGTTCCGAATCATTGTCGTAAAGGTGCCAAGTTGAGTCGTCATTATGGTGCAGTTGTTTTGAGTGGTGTGCTGGATGTATGCCAGCTTATGTTTTGCAACCCAGTCGAGTAAAAAGTACACTACTGACATGGTGAATGAAAGTAAGTTCCTTCTTGAAGAATACGGCTGAGTATACCGTCGTTATCATGGAGAGAAGGCTTGGTCCACTTAGTTTGGGTACGGGTTGTACAGGTAAGTGTATTATGATATAACATGCTGTCAATCTAACAATTAGGTAAGTGTATGCACAATCTCATCCATGCAAAATACAGTCGTCCCTCTCTAATCCGGCTCCTATTGCGACTGCATTTTCTGCTGGATTATCAAATTTTGTCCCCCAACCCGTCCCATCTACTAACAAACATGTTTGTGTCGTACGTCAAAACGCAGGGATTTTCCGTGTCAATCCAAGTACTTTGTGGAATGCATGTCTATACAGTGCATAGGATATTCCCAAGTGTACTGTAAACTGCCTAATATCCACGGCGGATTATATTAATGTTCGCGAGAAGAGCGCGTGAAATCAAGCTTCAACAGTGGGTTTACCGTATTATCTCTAATATAAGCACGGTCCTTTATTTTTTCAATGTACCTCCGCCCTGTGCTATTAATGGAGACGTTCCTTTATTGGAGACTGTTCCATTATTATTTCAACCTCATTTCAGAGGCATCTTGCCATGCCAAATTCATGTCAGACACACACATTTCAGGGTTTTTTGAACTTTTTTCGCCGGTACAGATAATGCACACAGTGTACATGTACTTATAATGGAGACTGTGCTTATATTAGAGATAATACGGTATGTAGGTGGCCCCAGTGCTTCGCACACTTTTGCCATCGCAAACTCGCTGGTTCTAAGAAATCGTGAAATTTATTGACGCGAATCTTGGGCGGTTTACAGTATGTTACATAATTGTGTAGAATGCTCCCTGATAAGTAGTTCATGCACTGACCAAACGGACATAGCTGTGCTCCGGTACGGTATGCGATGTACAACTGCTGGATTAGAAAACCGAATTATGTGCAGTTTGTTGGGGAAAATCGCTGCTGGAGCCGGAATTCAAGTGCCGGATTAAAGCGTACAAAAAGAACTGAAAAAATCCGTTTTGCCAGAAAGTTTGCTGGATAAACAAGTACCGGATTTAATAGAGAGGGACGACTATACAGTCGTCCCTCTCTAATCCGGCATCTTTTGCAACGTCATTTTCTGCTGGATAAACAAGGGTGCTGGATTATCAAAATCCTGTCCTCCAACCCGTCCCACCTATTAACATACGTGTTTGTGTCGTACGTCAAAACGAAGCGATTATCTGTGTCAATCCAAATACTTTGTGGAATGCATGTCTATAACATACACTTGGGAATATCGTATGCACTAGCATAGGATATTCCGAAGTGTATGTTACAATGCTCCTTTGACAGGATGCAATGTACAACTGCTGGATTAGAAAATCGAATTATGCACAGTTTGAGTGATTTGTTGCAGAAAATCGCTGCTGGAGGCGGAATTCAAGTGCCAGATTAAACTGTCCCCGAGGAAAATCGCGGAAAAATCCCAGAATTTGCGGTGAATATGATTGATATGCGGTAAGTTTGCAGTTGATATGAGGCAATTTTCAGTGAGTGTGTAGTGATATCAATCAGTTACATGTCTCTGGTGTAAGCACTCGTCATATTTGAGTACAAAGCCGCCACGATGAGACGTTGCTGACCGAACAGTGCACTGTGTGTACGTGTAGTGCAACAAAAAAGTTTTTAAAAACTCGGGAAAACGCGGTCTTTTAAAAAATCGCAAAAAACGCGGAAACAAACACGGCCGCGGAATCGCGATTTTCCCCGGGGACAGATTAAAGCGTAGAAAATGAACTGAAAAAATCTGTTTTGCCAGAAAGTGTTCTGGTTTGCAAGGGTGCTGGATAAACAAGTGCCGGATTAGAGAGGGACAACTGTAGTACTATTCTGGATGAAAAGATACTTTGCAGACTAGCAATAGGTAGTGCAACCGCCCTTTCGCCCCGCATGTATATCCATTATCCACATTTGGTATGAATTTCGTCATTGTGCGTTTGGCCTATGGCATTACCGTACTAATGGCAGAATGTTATGATGTGCATTACACAATAGAGGTTATGTGAATGATTTCATGGGGGATTCTCTAATGAGTGATGACTAATGGGCGCTATGTATGCAGTGTCACTGTGAGTCGCCAGTGCAGCGCTGTGCTGCGATTCTGACACTACGCCAATGCATCTCAACTGATGCTGTAATCGTATGCAGTCAGCTTCGCTAATAACGACTGCGGATATAACGACAATTCGCGGATAACAACAGAATGTCCATGCCCAGAGCAAGGTCCAATCTAACTGTAATAGTACATATAATGAGACTTGGGGTATAAGGACACTTTTCTGATGCCCCGCCGAATGTCGTTAAACGCAAAGTTGACTGTAATCGAGAGGTTCCGCACTACATAAAGTTGGGCAACTTTACGTTAATGCTCGGGAAAAACCTGTGAATTCACGAGTTTGCACTCCACTTTAATTACGGAAAGTTGTCTACGTAGATAGGGCTCTGATTTTTGCGCCGAAAATGGATTGGGGTACAAATTTATGACTCTCTCCCCAGGCCGTACACTGCCGCATTCGAAGTTGCCATGCAAGGGTAGCTACGTGATTTGAAAACTCTGCGTGCAGTTTACGTAAGGTTTTCCATAGATTAGATCGGCTACGTTTTTACTAACGTAAATACGTTATGCGGCACCTCTCTAATCTCTATAGAGGGAGAGAGAGGAAGTTGTGTTGCAACTCCGAGTTTCACGTGATAACGATCAAGCAACTGAACTGATGGTCCAAAAACCACTACAGGAAAAGAAGAAAAAAGGTTTTAACCTGGGAGGTTCGAATCCGCGAGGTGCAAAAGTAATAATATTTCATAATATTTCTGCTCCAAACCGGGTACCCCCAACCGGTTCGCTGACTCAGCTCTGGAGCAGACCAGGCGCGTAGCCGGCAGTGTTTCCAGGTTGCCCGGAAACCCCCTCCGTGGTTCCAGCGCAGATGCCAAAACCTTTGGAAACTACATTTAAACTCTCCTGAGTGCATGCATATGGAGTCACGGGAAGTACAAAGTGACAGTGCGGTGCATGCTACACGCATGCCCTTCAGTGAGGTGTGAAACTTCACGAGTGCTTCGTCCGCACCTACTACATGTAGCTGGACAACTATGGTCTTCTACGATTTTGTAAAAGTTCTCTTTCATGTTGCATATTTTAATACCGTATGTCAGCGCCTTTAAAGCCATGGCCTTATAATCGAAACACCGCTGCTTTCTTAGCCATTTTAGATGCAAAATGACTCACCCACTACGCCATGCCATAAAAGTCAAAGTCCACACAGAAATTTCAATCTAAATCTACTTTCTGTATAGCAGGAAATGTTCGGACGATTTCGTACACGGCTTCTTTTGTACTAAAATTAATTCCGTACTAAAATTTGTTCATGTGAAATTATGCACACTATAGCATGCATACTGCTTGCGAACACGTGTATTTAGCATGCAGCATAGCTAGTACTGTGCGAAAATATAATCCGTACGAAAGGTCAAAATTCGGCTTTGTCCGAAAATATAATCCGTCCGAAAATTTCCTGCTATACAGTATTCGCCCTTCCTGCTGGGCTGTAAGTTTGTTAGCATAGTACTTATTCCTTCATTTTTGCAAAACATGCTTAAATGTCATTTCATTTATGACGCCCATGGCTTTATAACTGAGACTGGCTTTATAATCGAATATACCACCATAGCTTTAAAGGTGCGGACATACGGTATATATTTCTTAGATGTGAATGAACCACAACACATTGACAGTGGTATTGTTAAGTCTCAGATTGAGCTTCTCAGGAGCTTGGAATTTGAATCGCTGGGTCCTCCCCCCCCCCCCCCCCCCCCCTCCGGCTACGCGCCTGATCTGACACTGACCAATATGTGTATGTATGCAATATGTATGTCAAAACGGTGCTCTTTGCTTACCATGAGACCAGGAGTCCAAGTTATGGACTCTTGATGAGACCATGAGCGACACTGACTCACGCTGCTATCTGGTGTTCACGAGGTGTTTGTCGAGCTGATAAGGGAGCGTCTCTGTAAGTTTGTATCCCTGGTCACCAGGTGATGTTTGTGGTTGGAGAGCACTATATACATGTGAGTGGGTGCTCTTTAGGCACAATCTTCCTCGGTCTACTCAAGCTCAACTGATGAGGACTGAATTCCCCGAAACACTGCGTATTGAGCAGGGAATGGTGCTTTCTTGCTGGTTTGCCGAGTGGAAGGTTCGATGAACTTCTCGTGTGCTCTGGATGGAGGTTGTGAGTCAGTCAAGTGAGAATTCAAGTCGGAAGGAGTAGCGCAAGCTCCCACGTAGGGAGCAACACACAATTCCCTTTCGATATTTTGCTTGAAGAATTGCTAGCAAATTTTATTATTTTGGTCTGACCCTAGTATAGTGACAGTGCAGTGACACAGAATCATATAAAGACTCAGCTGATCAGTGAGACCAAGAGTACATGAAAACCTGGGTGGTTTTCATGTACTCTTGGTGAGACTGAGGTTACGTTTGGTTGGTCACATTCCCAAATGGGAATCACTTGGAATCACTCGGAATCATTCTCGCCCGTTTGGTTGGTCAAAAAAGTGCGTTAGGTTGGTCACATTCCACATGATTCCAGAATGGGAATCGCTGAGAATGATTCTTTTTGGAGAATGATCATTCCACCTCACATGCTGGAATGAGCATTCTCATTCCGGAATCAAAAATGATAATGGCTGCGATGAGCCAAACAATGTAGCAACAGGTTCAAGTGCCTCAACTCATGCACTCAGAAGTACCTTGACTCTCTCAAGGAAACTAGAGTCGGGTAAAAGAAAAGACAGCCGCCGTTCCACAACGACATCATGGAATTGCTATGTCAAGTGATTCCTAATTGATTCTGGCGCGTTAGTTTGGTCAGGTGATTCTTGCCGATTCCCATTCCAGAATGGTTCTCATTTACATTCTGAAAATGCCCAACCAAACGCAACCTGAGAGTGGTCCACTGTCACCATGGTCACTTGTACTAGGTCTGGGAGTCTGGCACTGTCTGCGGCACTGCCAAAAATAGTGCCATGCCCATTGCCAGTCGAGTCTGCCACTGTACTGGCCTGGTACAAATAATTGAAATGGTGTCATCATGACGTAAGACCGGCGTATTCAAAATACTTGCACCGGACAGAACCAGTACTGAGTAGATCTACTCAGTAGTACAGTCTTGATTGTTACGAAACACTTTCATGATCCAGCCAAACTAACTTTGGGAAGACAGATGAATAGAATTGGAATGTCACGCTGACCTACGATTGAGAAATACGACTGCTATCTCGTGCACGGTCTCGTCGATGAAAGCTCTAGAAGTCTAGATCGTACAGGAATTGTTTGGATGCAGTTAGTGCTTGACAAACATTTGCAGTTCAGTGTAACGAACGCCCAGTACAATAATTATTAAAGAGGTGAAGTACTTTCATTCCGTACTGACACTCTCGTTCCGACTCTTCTTGGCGAAAATGTAATACTCACGTCTGAGAATGCAGAACTAGAAGTACTGACGGATATTGATCGTCAGTAAAGTTGGTGGAGAACTGTGTTCACTAGTGCAGTGTCCGCTTTGTGCGCTGTGATATGCCCTGCCTGAACTGTTGGAAGACGTGTTGGTAGACTCCAATGGCCGAGGGCATTGGAAGCCCGCGTCAGAAGTCCTGGCCATTAGCGAAAAAGCTATCACCTGCTGTTATTGATGGATTGCGGCGGAATAAATCGCTCCGATTTGCAGACACGGAAGGGTTGCCATTGGTGACAATCTTTAACATTCGTCGTGCTGACAGCTGTGAGTCATTGTCTTCATTGTCATCAAATAGCAGTAGCATAAACGATGTGAGTTCTACAGTGTCCGGTCCCGCTGCATCATGGCAGCGCAAACGACTGCCAGCCAGTAAATTGTTTAGTGAGTTTCTGAGTGGCCTGCCGGCTTCGAGCAGTTCGTCATCGTCGGATTGTCCGAGCACTGTAGATCGACGGCTGCGCTTTGTCCAGCGCCAGCCATCGTCACTACCCGATTTCCACCGCTCCCTGCAGCGCAATTTGATCAGCGTGGAGAATGTGGCTATCCGTGCTATGACTGTGTTCGCTATTGTGCGCGTGCGCAACATTGCCTATGAGAAGCATGTTGCCGTCCGGTATACCATGGACAGTTGGAGTACGTCTAAGGACATTCAGGCTAGTTATGTGGATGGGTCGTGTGACGGCCCCACCGATCGCTTCTCTTTCACAGTACTTGTGGGTGATGACTTTCCGGTCGGTGGCAAAGTTGAATTTGCTGTCTACTTCCGAGCGTCTGGGGCAGAATTTTGGGATAACAATGGAGGTGAGAATTTTTCCGTAACATGTGAGCAAAGGTAACAGCATGACCTTGAATAGGCACCAATAACAAAATTAATAGACTTGAACTCTCTAGGCTCACTTCCTCTTTTAATGACTATACTTTTATATACAGTACCGGCTTAGATCACTTGACACGCGTACACCTCCCCGCAGAACGTTCAGTGTCTTGTATTTCACTTGTGGTTGTCATTGTCTGATGTTTTTTTAATGCAGCTATGTCCCTATTGTTGTTTTGAATAGTTGTTCGTTGATTACAGCTGTACTAGCATGAGGTTTGAGGTCCTCTCTTTCGTAGCAATTGGATTTTTTTATATTGCAGTACTAGAACTAGATGCTAGCTGCCAAATATTAGTGCGACCTTTACTGGTTGTCGAGCACCATTCCTGCTTTATTCTGACGTATCCACATACCTGCTGTGATCTCTACCACTGCAACTAACTTGAGAATTACTTTTGTTACTATCAGGTCAAGTATATTATTATTTTGATTTCCCCCTCTAGCACTGCGATCGCGGCAAGAACTATGTCTCGATTTGTTTACTTGGTGTTGAAATGGTGTCTCTTGCTATGTTCTGTGTACATGTACTACAGGTTTGCAGTACCATACCCCAGCCATATTTACCCTTCTTGTGATATTGTCAAACTGGGTTCACAGAACTGCTTTTGTTTTTTTGCGAGGTCAGCTGAGCGATGTCGCTTTGCTCATTTGCCTCTACAAGAAATGTACGGGGGGGACGACGACTCCCTGGCATTCGCCCACCGGTGCACCTGGGATTTGTAAAGGCCCATTTTATAATAACAATAACACCTTTGATACATTTCAGATACGTGCATATATAGTACAAATGAAACGTGTGTCGCGTCGCAAAAAGTGGTACATGTACTGTGAATGGATACCTCGGTTACCGCCATATGCCGTATCTATGGCCTTTCCCCATCAAAGCATAATTATGTGATTCGGAGATACGGGCAGTGGCCCCAGTCCCGGATAAATAAGGTACGAGTGCACAAGCAACTCTTATGTCTGAGTCTTGAACCTGGCGCACAACATTTGCTGCACAGGTCCACATCGCGAAAGTTGAGCCAAGCTTATGCAAATTGTGCAATCAGGCAGATGTGGTGGGTGCAGCTTGGGGTTTTCCCGAGTTTGCAACTGTCGCATTGTGAGAATCCTTCTGTGAATTCCGCTTCGCTGTGCATTTGGCCTTTGCCTTGGTTCTTCCATAAGTTTTTCTTCGTTTTTTTTTGCCGCAGTATTGCCAAAATGTGTCACTCCACATAAGCATTTTAGTTTGCCTGCTCACCGCATTTTGTTAGGTTGTTCATCAAAATACCGTATACGTCTGCACCCCTAGAGCCGTGGTTTCATAAATGAAATAACATTTGAAATGAATGATGTTTCGTGATTCAAACAAGTAAAATGAAGCAACAAGACAAGTACTGGGGAAGCGGAATTTTCAGCCCAACTGACCAGACAGAAAGCAGATTTAGATTGACATTTTTGTGTGGACTTTGACTTTTATGCCATGCATGTAGTCGGTGAGTCATTTCACATCTAAAAAGCAGCGGTGTCCCAAATATAAGACCATTGCTATCGTACCGGGGTGTGAGTCAAAATAAATCGTTGATTGAGTTTCTCTCCCAAATCGGCGAAGAAAAGCAGCCGTGACCGCATGGTGATAAGCAGTTCGGAATTCATCAGTCATTCGCCAACACGTGTCAGGGAGATTATTATTATCAAAATTTTGATAGGGCAATCCCCACAGGCCTAAGGCCTTCTTACAGGGTACCCTTGAACATCCTCGGCAATTTCGTATACCGTAGTGTCCCGTCTAATATTAATACCTATCCCACACACAATAATTTTCTACTTGTACTGAAACAAGTCCACACATGTAGGGCTCAGTGGCGGGTAAAGTCCTTTACACACTTGCACGACTAGAGTACATAACGGGGGTTACGTACTCTTGTTGCAACACATACACTTGATAAAAAAAGTGCCATTTGACTCCACTGCCCATTTAAGTACACCTGTCCAGAAACGTTCTCTTCCATACTAAAGTACATATACCTCAGAGAGCAGCTGATACAGTAGCCTACGAAGTTTGCTCAAGGAGCATATTAGCAGGCAGGGGACATCCGATAATGTAACCAACAGGTCACTCTGCCATACACTTCACAAAAACCCTATATACCAGAGTAGCGTGCACCTTGCTCACTTCTACAACACGGAACCTAAAAAGGCAAAGTCCCCCCCCCAGGAGTACACAACTCTGATCTTCCAGCCCTGAGCGCTGTGTGCGGCATAAAAATGGCTTCAAGTTCACTGGTAGATAATTGGACAGGAGGTGAAAATTACAGATAGAGATATCATAGTGTGGATCTATGGTACATGTACTTTTAGTAATTATATTATATTTTGTAGTTGGGTTGAAATTGTTCAAGTAGCGCGTCGTGTTTGGTGCGGCCAAGCTTCGCCGTCAATGTTCTAGGTGATATGTCATGCTGTTATGTGTTATCACTTTGTCCTTCCTTCTTTCTTTCTCTTGTTTGTTCATTTTTTTCATTTGTAAGTTTACTGTTAGCACACGCATTCGTTATTGCTCTCGCTTTTCATTGTTAAAATTCACACTTGTAAATTTCGCTGCTGTTGTTCTTAGTGTTATTTCTCTAACTAGATTTAGTTCAATTTTGTTTCAGTGTCCTTTAGTACGACAACGCTTCCTGATGAGTGTTGTACGAAAACTTGTTTGAATCCTTATTTTCTCTACACTATTTCTTCATATTTTCATCGTTTTATTGCACATTGTCTCCACTGTTTTACATTGCATGAATAAAGTGTACACACATGTTGATTCAGCTTGCCTTATTGATTGCGGTTATCAAATTATTGTCTCCTCGCCGTTTGTTTAAATACTTTTAGTAACACAATATTTTCGTAAATCCGCACAAACCCAAATTATTCGCTTGATGCACTGGCATGCAAAACTGACTAAGTCGAGGAATTTGGAACATACATGGCATTGTACTTTGAAGCGAGAAAAGCTGTAGTACATAAAGCTGTCCCCACAGAAGAACGCAGACAAAGTCCTATAATTATTTATGCAGGCCAAAACAGGCCATTATGCGGCAAATATGCACGAATTGTCTGTCATTGGTACACATTTAGCGCACAGTTTCATGCAAGTACACAACTTTGTTGTACAAACTCGTGGGCAGGTACGACGTTGTAGTACATTTTCAACATCATGTACATATTAAACATGGATAACACGGGTTTCATGCAAATTTCTCGCAAACGTGAACAATTGCGCGTCCGCGGAATCCTGTGGGGACAGATAAAGAACGACACAACTCTCAGAAATACAAGCATGCCCCCGTTGACAACTGACTAGTCACAAAAAGAAAAAGCAGAACCGAACCAGGAGAGCCGTAATAAACGTAAGCCAGCAGCACGGGCTCAGTCGGATCCAGATACATGTACCAGTAATCAGGAGCATGTGAGGAGTCGTCGGAAAAGTTTATTGTCCCTGGAAAGAACAGTGTTCACCCCCCCCCCCCAATGAACTCAGTTTGCTATGCTGGACGACGTATGTTGCATGCATGTACATGTACAGCGCCGGTCGACTTGCAATTTCGGCTCACGCCCATCCCCTCAATAGGTGTCATATGAACGATGTTCGTTTTACGTGCGACGACCCCTAAGTTGCAGAACCCAAACATCTTGATGACCCCACTCCTGCTAACAAGCCTTCGACCCAAAGCAAGCACAGGCACCTGGAAAAAACCTGAAGACAGTAATTACCAACGCAACACTCAAACTCAAGATGGATTTGCTCAATGGCACGTACACGTAAACATGCACTTGCAGCCCGTTGGGGGGCTAAGATAGATATTACTTTACACTGTCCTGCAGTTCGGCAATACAAAACAAGGGCCAACAACGGCAAAATGGAAACAACATACAGACCACTCAAAAAGGCATTAAAACTAGTTGTGAGAAAGCACAGATACCTTTGCACTGTGTTATCAATGGAGCGCATCCCCAACAGCCGAATAACATCTGCAAGAATCACACACACAACAAAAGTTGCCAAAACACAAACGGCAGCATATATACAGCACACGCGGCTTGCAATGCTGGTAAAAGTGCAAGCAGTGTCAAGGATCATCACTAGAGTCCTGCAACAGCTTATCGGTTTCAGACAACCCGTCGTCTTGCACGTCGACTGGAACAGATACTGCATCGTTGGCCGGTGTTTGTCTCCCCACCCACCTGTGCAAAACAAGGAGAGATACAAACAGTGGGTCAATGCAGAAAACGCAAGCACTAAATTTAAAGAACAAAGAGAATACCCGCCACACACAACCGTCCACACACTACATTCAACATCAAGTGGATTGAAGAGCACCAGCGTACTGCAAAGGGATTGAAGAGCACCAAAGCATTGAAAGATCAGATTCCAAATCTTTGAACTTATCACAAAAGTCAAAACAATTGCAGAACAACTCATTGCCACTGCGTAAAACAAAGTTCCGGCTCAAAATCATCACCAATGCCAATGGCTGTACAAAGGTCACTCCATACACTGACAGGCAAGACCTATGTCAAGAATTAATCTTCTGCAAACAGCCATGGCTAAGAAAACAGGACGGGTTGCAAAAAAGCTGCATGGCAAGTCGGAAACAAAATGTGCAAGGAGGTGCAGTGGCAAGCACAAGCGAAACAAATTTGATGCTCTTCATGTCATTTCGTGAGGGGATTGGACAGGCATGCAGTACTATTCAAAACGGACTGGTTTAGAGGGTCAGCACAAGGGAAGCTGCGGTGCTACAAAACTACATGCTTAGTTAGGGGACTAAAACAAGAAAGGCGAACACCTAATAAACACAACACACACACACGCATGCACACTGACCACACCTGACTAGTGATTGAAAAGTAATAAAGGACAATGAAAAACAAGTGGCTTGAAACTCACTACACCAACACCAACAACTGCTTTCAATAGCTGCCATTCCATTTACTACAGTGTGATCAATTCGGGCTACAGAATGTTGGTGAAAAGGCAAGTGCCGCAAGCTCTGACTGGAAACCTTCAACAAGAAAAAGATCTCTGAAGATGAATTGCTCCCTCATTCTCTTTCTGCAACTTCCAACTTCAACGATCTGGAACAAACTCAGCAAATCTCAAACTGGCACACATTCCTTTGCTCAGTAAGGGGCTGATCTATGAGAGCCGTATTGATTGTTGCGGACAGGGCCATATCGATCCCCACCACCACCACCTCCCATGCCGTATTGTGAACCGTACCCGTAGCCAGATTGGCCATAGGGACCCGGACCATACCCACCTCCATAGCCACTATTACCACCTTGACCATAGCCGCCTCCATATCCGCCACCGTAACCGCCGTTGTTGCCATAGCCACCGCCGTAACCGCCTCCGTAGCCGCCACCGCCATAGCCAGAGTTACCGCCGTAGCCACCGCCGCCGTAACCACCACCACCACCGTAACCGCCGCCATAGCCACCATTTCCACCATAGCTGCCACCGCCGCCACCACCACCACGTCCACGTCCGCCGCCACGTCCACCACCGTAGCTACCGCCGTAGCCACTACTGCCTCCTCGACCTCCGCGTCCACCTCCGTATCCACCACTGCCGCCGCCGGCGCCACCACCGTAGCCACCGCCATAACCTCCGCCGCGTCCGTAAGCAGGACCTCCTCGACCTCCTCTGCCGCCACCGCGGCCAAATCCACCACGGCCGCCGGCTGGTTCGGTTTTCGGTGTAGCTCGTTTCACTTCCAGAGAAACATTGTCAATGGTCTGGGAGCCTTTTGATACAACATCCTTGGCGATATCTTCAGACTCAAAAGAGAGGAATGCAAATCCACGCCTCTTGGTCGTACCTTTCTCCGTTGGAATGTCAACCTCGCATACCTTTGCAAACTGGTTGAAGTGGTTGCGAATGGCCTCTTCCGTCATATCCTCAGTGAGACCACTGATGAAAATTTTGTGTGAGCGACTCTTAACATTCATTGGCACCGCGAGTTCTGGCTCTAATGTCCTGCCGTCAATTACATGTGGACCGCCGGCTTTCATTTTCTCTATTGTACTACTGTCGACAAATGTGACAAACCCAAATCCGCGAGGTTCATGAGTGTGAGGGTCGGTCTTGATTACAACTGACTCAATATCGCCAAACTTTGAGAAGTACTCGCGGAGCCCATCTTCGGAAGTTTGCCTCGATATTCCTCCGATAAAAACTTTACGAGAGTCTTCGGGCTCTGCAGAAGTGCCTCCTGTTGCAGGCTCAGCCCCTGTCGTAGAACTCTCAGTCTTCTCATTACTCTCCTCCTCAGCGGACGGTTCCTCAGTATTCAGGGGAACATCTTCAGTTTCTTCAGTTTGAACGTTAACGACGTCCTCGTCCGCCTGCAGAGGCTCGGATTCTTCTGGCGCAGCCAAGTCCTGCTCCACTTCAGGCTCTGCAGTGGTTTCATCGGCAGTTACCGATGCTGGTACCGTCTCTTCTTGTTCAGCCATCTTGTCCTCCAGTTCAGTACAGAAAAAGGAAACACAGAACTCTCGATCTCGCTGCGAGATGAAGAAAATGAAATCTTCCTTCAAGTACGTCACCGGTGCATGCCCAGCATGTGCGCCGCGCCGCGCCCGCCGCCCGGTCGCTCGCACGCAAGCGCTATCTACAGTCAATTCAGAAAAAAATGAACTTCTAGCTTTTGGCCATAAATGGGTCAAACGTTGAGTTTTTTTAGAATTTTTTTCTGCAATCCCATATGGAATCCTCTTCCAATTATGTTTCTGAAGTTTTTTTGTCCAAAAAGCAAGCCATAGCAAGAATAGGATTTCGGCCAGGTTTTGCCCCAAAAGCACTGAATTGGGAAAAACCATCAAAATCCAGGCCGTTTGACCCCGCCTGCAACAGTGCATTCTGCGGTTCGAACCCCAGTTCAGGCACCCTTTTTGGACCCTTTTTCAAATTTCAAAGTTCGCAGCACTGCACTGTGTACGATGAAATCACGAAAAATCGCCAAATACGGGAGCTCGCCAGAGCCAGGACCCATCTTTTTATGAATGGACTGTAGGCGATGATTGTAAAAAGCAGAGATTCTAGAGAGGTTCTGCTATGTGAAACGTAGAGAAATCACGTAGAGAGCAGGTGTCTGGGTTAGGCTGTGTTTACATGAAGCGTTTCAACCCGGGTTGAGTTCGACCCGGGTCAGATTTCAACCCGCCATGTGCACAAAATGAATGGCGCGTTTACATGACGCATTGCGCTTGACCCGGGTTGAAATTTCGCCCCGGGTTGATTTCAACCCTCCCCCCAAGGGGAGGGTTGAAATCAACCCGGGTCAAGAAAATCGTACAAACGTATTTCTGTGCGTATCACGCGCCAGGTTTGAACGGCACTGCAGATGCAAATTTCGCGCGAACGGATTCACGTGACCATACAGGACTGTAGAAGTGGACTTTTGGCGGCATATCAGTATTTGACCCGGGTCAACTGTCTTCATGTAAACGCTCACCTCTTTTGTTTGTCGTACAGACTTTCAACCCGGGCTGAACTCGACCCGGGTTGAAATTTCTCATGTAAACACAGCCTTAGAGTCTACGGCTTCGCGTGTTTTGGCTCCAGATTTCTACGCGGAGATGAGGTTCTCTACGTTGTGGCACACGCAGAGAAAATGCGTACGGATTGGCTGGGTATCGATCAACTGCATGCAGAAAACTGCCAAATATGGAAGGGGAAATTCCCAGTACACAATCCACGTGACTTCTCTAGGTGAAACGTAGAGCAGAACAGCATTTCTTTACGTTACGGGAACGCGAAGAAAGTTCGCGTGATTCTTTGCGTCGCGTTCCCAAAACGTAGAGCAGAACCTCCCTACTGCCGCACTGCACTGGCGGTTGCCGAGGCTAGGATTGTGGTCTGATCCGGCTCAGGAGCGGTATTAAGGACGTTTAGCAACGCGAAAGTTCGAAAGAAAATTCGAGTCTGGGAATGAGTACAGAAACAAAGGTCGAAACTTCGAAAACTTGGACGCGAAGTTGCAGTGATTTGCGAAAGTAACTTTCTCTTTTCTCGGTACGCATTTCACTACAGGGAGTAGTAATTTTACAGCCCCCTGCTGGAGACTGAGCTGCATATACGGTACGGTACTACAGTCAACTTCGCGAATAACGACATTCGGCGGGGCATCAGAAAAGTGTCCTTATTCGCGAAGTGTCCTTATAACCGAAGTCCCATTTGAATGTATGTGAACCCATATTTTGTATAGTATGACACGCATATCAAAATCAAGCTCTTTTCTTGCTCTATGTCAATGTGTACTTTATTTTCATATTGCAGTTGAAAGGAACTAAAAATTCAATATGCAAGGGAAATAAATTGAAAAATATGCCTTTTTGAGCCATCTACAGGGCCAGGGACATGTACATGTCCATGTACATGTCTCAATATGGACAAGGAGACATGGACATGTACATGTACATGTATGATTACTGTACAATCATGTACAACTACATGTACATGTATGATAGAATCCAACACTGGTAAACCAGCAACAAGTATTAAAGGTGGAGGACACTGTGTTCGAAAACAGTGACCTAAGTTCTTACTACAACCTTCCGCGGTTGGCAGAGCCCCAGTCCCTGCGGTACCCATAATGGTTCAAATGGTCCGCAGGGACTGGGGCTCTGCCAGGTGCCAACCGCGGAACGTTGTAGTAAGGTCACTGTTTTCAAACACAGTGTTCTCCACCTTGTTTCATGCTGTCAATCTAACAATGTACATGCATGTTCATGTAGGTGTGCTGGTAAATCCTACACTTTAGAAGCAAAATATAAAAGGAAGAAAAAGCCCCCCCCCCCCCCCCTTGGCTGCATTTTCTTTTCTTTATCCATCACCATACTCCCATAGTATAGGTTCTGGTACTTCTGCATCTGGTAACTTACTTGACTGACAGGTACTTGAAATAGCTGTCAAAAGCCCAGAAAGTCGTTATTCAAGCAGTGAATATGACCTTGGGGCACTAAAAGCATGTCGCTATTCGCGAATTGTCGTTATTCAGATAGTCGTTATATCCGAAGTTGAATGTATACAGTTAGATGGGACTTTGCTCTGGGCATGGAAATTCGGTCGTTATTCGCAAATTGTCGTTATATCCGCAGTCGTTATTAGCGAAGTTGACTGTATAAGATTCAAATAGCTTCGAGAAAAAGTCGTTTCGCATTGCTAAACCTCACAAGTTTTCTTTTTTGAAATAGATTTTCGCGAAATATCGCCACCACCAAAAGTTCGAATTTTCGCATTGCTAAACGTCCCTAGTGTGTGGGAACTGAACTATTGTTATCGATTTCACTGTACTACTTTTTTTCTCTTTTACGTTTACTTCATACCAGGCGTGGGCCATCCCCTGTACATAGGTGCCATCATTTTTCTTTGTTTCAATAAAATTGTACAGTTTAAAAAGCAGGGATTCGTAAAATACCGGTATTTTACGACTCCCTGGTAAAAAGCCTACCGAAACTAGGGGCGCGTTTGGTTGGTAAGAACTAGAACAGGATTCACCAGAACAGCGCGTTTGGTTGGGACTGCAACTGTTCTGGGTCGGCCAGAACATGTTCTGCTTGCTCCGGCCTCGAGGCCGGAGCAGACCGAGCAGTTTCACTTTTTCACAGTGAAACCTGGCGGGAACATCGATTTTGGTCCCAAATGATCACGTGCATACGCTTTTGGGTTGGACTCGTTGTACCGCACAAAGTGACCATGGTGACCCATACACATTTTGAAGAATGCACCAAGTTTGGCACATTTTTCCACAAAAATATGCTCTGTTTCTGGAGTACCGTTTGGTTGGCATGAGGCTGCTCCATGTGCACCAGCTGTTCGATCCTGTTCTAGATCGTACCAACCAAACGCACCCTAGGGGTGCGCGGATTATGCTCGCACGCATCCGGTATTATGCTTTCGGGCATTTCCCGCGGAACTTCGAAAGTATTCTCCCAAAACATCGAAAAAATTCTCTAGAATTCCACCCCCCCCCCCCCAAAAAAAGAACCCTAGCACGAACCGTGCCTTGCGCATGCTCTTTAGTATGCAAAATGGACCGTCAGGCACGTGATCACTGCATGCAGGATCTACACTACATCATGTACTAGATCTACATGACATGTACATGCATGATTAGTACACAGCTACCGGTGTCGTGTTCGGGTGTTGCTGCATGTACATGTACATGTACGCGCGTCCGGAGGATGCGCGCTTGTTCTCTGGCAGGTCAAAATTGACAGAATTCCCCCAAAACTCTTCTGAAGGTCAATGGATCTGGCAAAAGATCGATAGAATTCCCCTAAAATTCCCAAATTTTTCTCAACGATAGTATTCCCAAATTATTCCGGGAATAATCGGCGCACCCCTAACCGAAACCCGGGAGCAAGCGCGCGCGCCATTCAATTATTTCAAACCAGGGAGTACAATGAAGTGATAAAAAAAAATTCAAACCAGGGAGTAGTACGATACCGTAGTGTACTACTCCCAGATTCAAACCAGGGAGTCGTAAAATACAGTCAAACCTCTTTAGTTTAGGACGAACACCAAGGGACCGATGATATTTGTTCGCAAAAACATTTGTCTTATCAGGCTGTGTTTACATGAGAAATTTCAACCCGGGTCGAGTTCAGCCCGGGTTGAAAGTCTGTACGATAGACAAAATAGGTGAGTGTTCACATGAAGACAGTTGACCCGGGTCAAATACTGATATGCCGCCAAAAGTCCACTTCTAGAGTCCTGTATGGTCACGTGAATCCGTTCGCGCGAAATTATTTGCATGTGCAGTGCTGTTCAAACCTGGCGCGAGATACGCACAGAAGTACGATCGTACGATTTTCTTGACCCGGGTTGATTTCAACCCGGGTCAAGCGCAATGCGTCATGTAAACGCACCATTCATTTTGTGCACATGGCGGGTTGAAATCTGACCCGGGTCGAACTCAACCCGGGTTGAAACGCCTCATGTTAAGACAGCCTCAGTGTTCTTCCTAACGAGGTTTCACTGTATAATTCAAACCAGGGAGTAGTAAAGATACTATTTTTTTAATTTTCACTGGCTTGAGCCGAGGGAAAGGGCATGTTCGATTGGTTGGATCCGGATCCGGATCCAGATCGATTGAGTGGATCCCTTGGCCTGGATCCACCACGGTCCAATCCAATGCTGCCCTTGATCGAATCTAGAATCTTTGTGATTTTCGATATTACCGTAAAGTACCGCGAGAGCGCCCCACCTTGATTTTACAGCCAGGGAAAGGAAAATCGTATGGCGGAGTGCATCGAAGTTTGTGCTGTGTGAGAACCTTAGTGTACTAAGGTCACACTTAGCAGGTTTTTGCGTAGAGCTCGTGTCCACTCGAAGGTACGGATTGACTGCACAACGTGCAATATGTGTACAAGGTTCCTGTCGTATGACCTACAGACAGCAGACCACCTCCACAATACGACCACAAAAGGACGAGATGGTGGGGCGCTCTGGCGGTACTTTACGGTATAATTATATATATGAGGGTTTCCTTGAGTAGGGACTTCAATCGAAAAACCAAATTCGTGAGTTTCGCATAAAACGCTAGTTTTTCTAAACCGGGAAGATGTGAGAAACAACCTGTGAAAATTTGAACCCAAAATTCCAAGGCAATCTAGAGTTATAGTCGATTGAAGATCGGAAAACGGGGGAGAAAGTAGTCACAGAAGTAAATGCAAGTATGTATGTGAGCGGTGTGGTTTCCGTCCAGCACTGCACTATCTGGTGCATACATGGCAATACAGGATGTGTGCATGCCATGCAGTGTGCACGCATGCCGTGCGGGCCTGCTTGCACAAGTCACACGTTTTCACAGTCACTGCTTCTACAGTGTGCGCGCAGTTCACTTGATTTTTTTCCACTACCACCAGGAAATCGCCGTGGGTTGGTTTCTGTGATCATCTTCCTTCTACTGCGATAAAGCGCGAGCCTCAATGTTCTAGAATCCTCTTGGTTTAGGCTAATTCGAGGCCGCTGAACACGAAAATCGGGTGTTCGTGGCGGGGCCAAGTACGGATCTGGTCGAAATTAGTACTTCGAAGTGCATCCGCGCCAAGCGCGGAGGCATTATTTTTGGAAGCATGGCATGTGTGGCACCATTGGAAAGGTAATGACCTCAGCTACCTAAAAATAGCATCGACAAGGCCGAAAAGGCCGCGGGAGAAGATACTCGGGCCTCGAACTGCATCTCGAACTGCAGTCACGAGGCGCCCATTCACTTTGTACAGGCGAGCTGTGACTGCACTTTTCGCTTTTCTGTGACCGGAACTTAACTCCCTACCTTGAGAGAAAGCAACGATTTCCGCATCATCGCTTTTATTCCCGCCAGTTGGACACGTATCATGTACAGAGTAAGATTTTTGGCAAAAAAAAAGAATCCGGTGGATCCGTTCAACCCTGCTCACCGAGGTGGGTTGACCGGATCCAAATCCAGAGGATCCGGATTCGACCAATCGAAAGGGTGCGAATCCAGTGGATCCGGTTGATCGGGGTCCGAATCCTACCAATCGAACATGCCCCAAGACGCAAACGGGAAAAATTAAAGTCTGAAGAAAAAATTGACTACCGGAGCTTTTTCAAGGTTGTACCAACGGTCACTTAAGTCTTTTTGGGGTCACGTGCCAGAAATGTTTGAATCACTGGTGAAGAGGCGAAGCCCAGTCCACGTTCACTTTGTACGGGAACGAATTCGTGGAGGTGAAAAAAAACAGTAGAATTGCGCTCCACTTGATGTCTGACACTCGTGTTGAGTCAGAGCAGTTGCCAGGAAGCCCTTCCATGGCTTGGGCGAAAAAGAACAAGCTTCAGAATCGCTCCAAGAGCTGGTGGAGACAAACCTGTCACATTTCGTATACTTTTCAATGCATTTTGACGTGCGACCTGTTCACCACAATCTCGGGGTGATCGCCGGGGCGGTGGCGGGAAAGGCGTCCTTGAAAAAGCCCTATAGCTATCATATCGGAATACAATGAAGGTCGCAGACATCACGCAACTAAGTTACTTGTTTGACATGTACATCATCGGTATGTGTATCTTTAGAACAATGATACTGTAAAACCGGAAAGTTTAACGACCAAAAAGTTGTTAACGTTTTTTTTGTAATTTTGGCATGACAACGTGCAGAAAGTTTACACGGCGGCTACCTGGCCACCTGTATGTGCATCTTTACCCAGACATCCCAAACCGCGTTTGCGAGAACGTTTCTTCAAATAACGAAAAAAAAAACCGGTCGTTAAAACGTTAGACTTTGTGACTCATTAGACTTTCCGGTTTTACAGTAGTATAACTAGTGGTGTGCAAGGGTAGTCGGGTACCCGTGAGGACCTCGGGTAGACGGGTACCGAATAGTACCCGAAAACCCGAAGTCGCAGATGACATCATGTACGGTGCACATGTACAAATAATTCACGCATGTCTACCCAGTGCGCAAGGGAAGGCGCCGGTGTGCATTGTGGTCTTACCATGGAAACATTACCCGATCGGGTACCCGTGCTACCCATGGAAAACTACCCGGACCCGATACCCGAAGAAAATGCTACCCGACTCAGCCCTAATTATAACCCAGAATCAATTTTCTGTCCCGATCATCAGTGGAATTTACGGAAGTAAAGGTAACCAATGAAAGTAACTAAAGTTAAATACTCAAGCAGGGGTACAAAAACACATCAGGGTCGCTAAAAAATGCGATAAAACAATGCAGGAAGGCTAGCAGGCGACCATCTTACATGACAAAGTGTAGAAGAACATAATCAGAAGTCACGTGCGACTTCACGAATAACCGTAATGCAACAACATGTTTAGACTCGGATGGAGAGCCAAGGTTTAAAAATAAAAAAGAGAGGACCATAATGACTCATCATCATCCTGCTTATAACCATTAGTGTTTGACAAAACGGATAGCTTGTAAACTTATGGTCCTCTCTTTTTTTTCTTCAACAATACAGAGGTCTAGCCAGGATTTTATGCCAGCCGGCCAACGTTCTAGTTAAAATGCATCGTTCTGGGGGCTGCGCCCCCAGACCCCCGCCATCAGTCACATATCCACACAGACACACACACACACACCACTACAAATCTTTCATTGCAGCTTGCATCTCCTTTCGCTTCGTCCGATTATGGGCATTCATCAGGCAGTTGTGACAATGTGATTATAGGTAAATTAACAAAAATTAATATGAAAAAGGAAGCAAACAGCTACATGAGCATGGATCATGTGTTCACCAAGGTCATGTCTGCATGCAGTGTACATTGGTCATCTGACAAGACCCAGCCTAGCCACAGCCATGTACACCACCAGAAGCGGCGAACCATGACCCAACCTGTTACATTTTACTGACGTACTCAAGTGCATACTCAAGTGCATTTGAGCTTGAGTGAAGAGCTAGCACTGAGCCTGAGTAGCCAGTGCTACTTACTGTACTGTACATACCTATGCCTAGGATATGGGTTGTACTCCACCATCTCTGACTCAAGTGCTAGTGCAGTGCACTACAGTCTACATGGGGGTGACTGCAGCCGGCCAAAATTACTCTTGGAGCTGTCTCAGCCAGCAGGTCGGCAGGTCGGGTCGCCCTCCCAGCAGGTCGGGTCGCCCTCCCAGCAGGTCGGGTCGCCCTCCCAGCAGGTCGGGTCGCCCTCCCAGCAGGTCGGGTCGCCCTCCCAGCAGGTCGGGTCGCCCTCCCAGCAGGTCGGCAGGTCGCCCTCCCAGCAGGTCGGCAGGTCGCCCTCCCAGCCGGCAGAATGCTTTGGCTAGATCACTGACAATATGCTCTTTTTGTTTGCACAAATCAGGCACATGAATACAAACAGCTTCAAGGACTTTCAACTGGTTCACATAACGGAAAGTCACACTTATGATTATGTTCCTCTACAGTTTGTCATGTAAGATTGTCACCTCGCTCATTAGCCTCTCTACATTATTTTATCACATTTTCTAGCAACCCTGATGTGTTTTTGTACCCCTGCTTGATTATTTAACTTAAGCTACTTGTACTTTCATTGGTTATCTTTAGTTCCGTAAATTCCACTGATGATCGGGACAGAAAATCGATTCTGGATTAAAATATTATTGTTATAGGATACACACACATGTCAAACAAGTAACTTAGATGCGTGATGTCTGCGGCCTTCGTTTTATTCATAGCTCTATTAAAATTATCGTCTCCTTGAAGATTGTTTGTAAAAATTTGACTACTTCGCATTTTTTTTAATACGAAAATTTTAATCGCCGAAGTCGCAACGCAACCACTATTAAAATACTGGTTGCGACTTCGGCGATGATTGTTAGGAAAGGGTTTGCTCCCCACACTGGAGCTCGCGCTATTCCACCGACTTGACTTGACACTTGACTGACTCACGACTGCCATCCAGAGCACACAAGAAGTCCATCGAACCTTCGACTCGGCAAACCTGCAAGAAAGCACCACTCCCTGCTCAATACACAGTGTTTTGGGGAATTCACTCCTCATCAGTTGAGCTTGAGTAGGCTGAGGAAGATTGTGCCTGAGGAGCATCACTTATATAGTGCTCTCCAGGCCCAAACACCACCAGGGATACAAACTTACAGAGACGCTCCGTTTCCAGCGCGACAAACACCTCGTGAGCACCAGATAGCAGCGTGAGTCAGTGTCGCTCCTGGACGGTGAGAACAGATGTCGAGGACCCTCGGTCATTCACAACGCTGTTACCTCCATTAGTCGCAAGCCGGCGCTGAGCACAACAGTACGAAATACTGGTTGCGACTTCGGCGATGATTGTTAGGAAAGGGTTTGCTCCCCACACTGGAGCTCGCGCTATTCCGCCGACTTGACTTGACACTTGACTGACTACGACTGCCATCCGGATCCAGAGCACACGAGAAGTCCAACAACGAACGGACACACCACCATGAATTTCACATCGCGTGAAAGCCGCACTGGCGTATATGCCAGTCACCTTAACTGGCTGGGTCAAAGCTTCGACATTCATTGACGTCGAACGACTTGAATACATCCTTAAAAAGTGGTGTTTGCAAAAATGTTTATTGGTTGGGAACACAGAAGTTACAAACGTGCCACGTACAAGTGCCAGTTGTGAACACAGCCTTAGATTATCAAGTTATTACATGTACAAAAAGCAACCCACCTTACCTCCTGCGTCACCTATGGATTTTAAGGTTACCAACTTACCAGAACATACAGAGCGGCGGAAGAAGGCACACTGACATCAAGATGAATACAAATCCATGTGATGAAGGCAAGATAGAGCATGTCGCTGGGTACGCATTGTTGTAGATCAGCGAGGCTATCGCTGTACAGCAGATCTCCACTATGGCTATGGACGAAAACAGTGCACCTGCATTGTCAAACGTGTGCGTGTGTATGTGCATGCATGCAAGAGTGTGTGTGTGTGTGTGTGTGTGTGTGTGTGTGTGTGTGTGTGTGTGTGTGTGTGTGTGTGTGTGTGTGAGAGAGAGAGAGAGAGAGAGAGAGAGAGAGAGAACGAGAGAGAGAAAGAGAGAGAGAGAGAGAGAGAGAGAGAGAGAGAGAGAGAGAGAGAGAGAGAGAGAGAGAGAGAGAAGAGAAAGAGAGAGATAGAGAGAGAGAGAGAGAGAGAGAGAGAGAGAGAGAGAGAGAGAGAGAGAGAGAGATAGAGAGATAGAGAGAGAGAGAGAGCGAGAGAGAGAGAGCGAGAGAGAGAGAGAGAGAGAGAGAGAGAGAGAGAGAGAGAGAGAGAGAGAGAGAGAGAGAGAGAGAGAGAGAGAGAGAGAGAGAGAGAGAGAGAGCGCAAGATAAAGACATGAACAGAAATCACATATTGTTGAAACATTGCAAACATACTAAGCATTATGAGACCATACTTCGTAAAAAATAAAATAAACTTCAACCAGTGAAGATGAGATCAGAACCCCTTGGAAACAAAATTTTAAAATGTACTACTTTACCATGTGCTCAGCTTGGAAATGCTCGTTAGACTACAATGCCTACCGGTATTCAAATAACCCGACTGTTAGCTCATGATGCAATAGTGCAACTGCATGTGAATAGATTGTACATGTACTTCACACCTCTTGACCTTTTGTCAGTGTGTGAGCCGTGACAATCAAGCCTTTTGGTGAATGGACTCTCGCAGCATCTATGCGACACATCGTACAGGGGACAACTTGAGAGTTTGTTGTTGTTGTTTCCATAAGAATACATTCAATCATCATTGGTCTAGAAATCTTTGATACGGATACGCTCCTTACCGAGCACCGTTATGCATGAAAATCGTATACAAGTGCATGAGTACGACTGTACAGTCAGATCTCGCTTAACCGCACACATCCGTGTTCCACAACAATTTACGGATAGGCGAGGGAACCAGATAATCGAACACCCATATTGTATGAATGCATGGCATACGCTGTAAATCGGTGACCAACAATTTTCTTCCGGATGGCAAGGGATCCGGATAAAAGAGGACTGGATAAGCGAGGTCTGACACTACACATGTTCCATATGAAGTTGTTTATTCTACGCTATGGAGCATGGGCAGATCTGAGTTTCTGGTGGTGTTTACTCCCATAGCTACCAGACTGGATTAAAGATGGCTGAGTGAAAATGTAACAGAAAAATGCAGGTACAAGTTATGCGATCGAGTCCACCAACTAAACCAGATTTTCAAACAGTCAGACGGGCACAATCTAGCACAAAACTGACAAGTTTCTTGACACACCATTTGAGTAAAAATGCTTCGTTACATTACTTGATATTTCTCTTACCGTGTTCATCTGCCTTGACAAATTTCGACAGGTTCGCGCGTACACAAGGTACCACCATTCCACGCAGAGTGCCAACAATGGGTACTATAGGAAGTGAACAAAACAAGCGAAATGAACACTTGAAACGTTCAGGTGCAATGCTTACACGCACGCGCGCGCGTCTACACACACACACACACACACACACACACACACACACACACACACACACACACACACACACACACACACACAAGTAGGAACTAGTTAATTCGCCCAAAGACAACTGATCAGGATCAGGAAGTTGCTATACACAACAGATGCCTATCAGGTTACCTGGAGCTAAAAGAGAACTTTCGCCGATTGCAATGAAAGGAGTACCAGATGAAACTTCATTCGGAACAGGACGAGTGAAGAGGCATTTGATCAGATGAATGAGGCTTCTGTAGAGCTCCTACCAGTCCTCATATCCAGGTAATGAATGGGTATTCGTCTTGATTTCGTCTCGTGCTCATACGAAGTGCAAAAGAAGTTTTTAAAGAACACTTATGCCCGTGGACGAATGTGAGTGACGTCAAGATGAACGATGGTACTTCGCACAGTACATGTATATGTATTTATCCTGAAGCAGCATCCTTTTGTCAGAAGCCACTATCTCAATGAATGTACCTTCAAGTGCAACAACAACAGAAATGAGAGCAAGTCGTATACCGGTAGTCAAAGAAGAACCTGCAGGACCAGCCAAACCAGTGACATACCATGAGGTGCACGAGAATAAAAGAAACCATATCTTGGAACGTTTTTCTGCCATTTACTCACCGAGGAAAACAAGCCAAGTTCTCTGCGCCAGTCCGAGCAATATTAAGGATAGCATGCTCGATATTATGCCCACCTGGATGCAAGTGATGTCTGATAAGCCCAGGTGCAAGAGACCAGGCAGTATTGCTAGAGCAGAGATTCCATGCATGAAGTTTCCCAGGGCAAGATAGTGGCCTATCACATCGAACTGCCAATGGAATGGATCATCTCGCAGGTAGGGAATCGTGACATCGATGAGAGCATTGAAGTTTATGGTTGCAAATACGAAGGCTAAGAGGATCACAAGACGGCTTTTTCTCTGAGGGCTGGGTTTCGTGAAGAGGCGAAAGCCATGCAGTATGCTGACCATGTACATTCTGGTGGATACCTTGTGGGATGGTGATTGTGGCAATGGTGCCTCGCGTACGACAAACACCACATAGGCCAGTACCAGTATCAGGGTGACTATGACACCCCAGAACGGTGGGCCATAGCCATGTTGCTCAGTCCACACACCGCCTACCTCAGAGCCGGTTGTCATGCCCAGATAGATCATGGCCTCCAGTATGCCCAGGCGGCGAGTTCGGTGCTGAGCGGAGCTGATGTCAGCTACATAGGCAAACGATGCCTGATTGAACATGGCATAGCTGCCCAATAGGCCAGCACCAAGTCCACCCAGTAACAGAATGTTTATATTCCATGTCAGCTTATACACCAGTAGACTGACAATGGCATTGAAAGCAGCACCAGCTGCTGGCAAAGCCATAAGCAGCTTTCGACCGGACGAGTCCGACCAACGACCTAACAAGAGCGTGGAAAGCGCGCCCGGCAGTATGGACGACAGAGTCAGATAGAAGATGAAGTGAGAGGTGTGCGCGGAAACGGACGACACCAGACCACAAGTGGAGGCGTTTGATGCATTCGATGCATTATCCGAGTGTGCACCATTGCTATAGTGAGAGTAGACCATGTTCTGCAGCAGAGGGTAGAACATGAACGTCCCAAACATGTAGAGAAATAAAGATGGCTCGACTGTGACCAACGAGGCATACTTGCGCAACCCCGAGAGCATGTTTACAATGCTATCTGCTGTACTACTGATACCAAAAACTAAAGATACTGGGTACCGAGAATATAGTAGAGAACAAGTTAGAACCGACTCAGGTCAGATCCATCCAATCCAACAACATCGAGATTCTTGACCATCCGTAACTGCAGTGGTGGCAAGCATGAGGCAGGTTGTAATTTGCGTTGCATTCTTCCATTCCATCTCCGTTTACGGTTTAGATGTGGCATCAGATACTCATTGTTAGTAACTGGAACAGTTGTGTGATAGAACGGCTTCCACAGGTAATACTTCCTTGCCAGCTGCAATGCTAGTATTATTCACAATCAAGTACTTGCTTTTTCCAAGCGTATCTTTGATCCAATCAATAAAAGAGTATTTGGATCTACACTGCACCCGGCCTGGCACCTAACTAATTTTGAATGAATAATGAGTTTGAAAAGTACTGTCAATGATCATGTGTCATGCCGATCGGCAATGACGCAAGCATTATCACAGCACTCAAGAGTGACTCATCGACAGTCGAGTCGAGGGATGACGTCACATTGACGTGACGTGCACTTCATGAATACAATCACGTACAAATTTTTGTAATTCATAACATCCAGAAAAAAGTAAAGACAATAATCGAAAACAAAAGAACAATGCGACAAACGCAGTTTGTGATCAGTGTTTCTCCTCTTCTCACACGACAGTTGTAGTTGGATTTATGCTTTCTTGTGAGGGTGGTTTCTGTTTCTGCCTCTCAGGTAGGCTGTAAGATACCTCTGTTGACGTGCATTCAGTTGTCGTTGTTGAGTCGCGAGAGCGAACAAATCTGTAAAGTTTACCAAACAAGCTTCAAAAACCCTGACTTCGGGCACATTTCTTCTCAGGTACGAGAATTCTGGTGTCGTGTTTGGTTTTCAACATGTCAGAGGACTTGTACAAAGTGTCAGGCGGAAAACTTCAGTTAAAGGGTGCTGGAGGTGACAAGAAGTAAGGCTTTTGGACTATTTGTGCTGTGTTTGTCCACCCAAGTGTTGTTGTAAGCTAATACCAGTAAAGTCTACTAAAGACACATTAATTTATTAGTACTGGTACATGTGTCATGCCCACATGACAGACGCAATATGCAATACTAGTACCGATTCCATGTCAACAGCATTATACATTCGTCATGCCGTGATAACCCAATCATTCTATCAAGCAATACTGTTTGTAGCGAATGAAAGGTGCATTACCCGGGTCAAATAGTAGAAGGGGGGGGGGGCAGGGGGAACAAGTGCCGGAAAAACACAAGCATTAACAAATCAGTGTGTGTGAGGGGGAGGGCAATTTTTCACAAAGGGTTGCTCAATCAGAGTAGGGAGGCACTGCACCTTCCTTTGGCTAGCCTAGAACCCGGATATACCAGGCGCCAGCAGATTCATCTGATGTACAGTTGCGCTCACTGAAATCCGACCCAATGTGCAAAACTGGCACCCTCAACTTCCACGGCCCTTGACGCCCTGGCAGTGGAATGAATGCGGCTGGACGTACACATGTACACCGACAATGATGTAATCGGAACTGGTCCAGGGCGCCAGCTTTGCACTTTGGGTCGGATTTCATTGAGCGCAACTGTACATGTAGATTATCAAGCCGTATTGCAGCTACTTATCTCGTATATTTTTTTCGGAAGTGCAGTCTGCTCTATGCCGTGCTGTATTTTTTATATTAAGAAACAAGGAAAAGGACAAAGCATAGGGGCCCGGGGATATAGCCGAGGGACGACGTGCCGATGTGCTGGGAGCAACTCAACCGACCAGAGGTCTCGGCGTCAGCGTTGCAACTACAGTCAACTTCGCGAATAACGACACTCGGCGGGGTATCAGAAAAGTGTCCTTATTCACGAAGTATCGTTATACCCATATAATTACCGTAAAGTACCGCCAGAGCGCCCCGTCTCGCGAGAGCGCCCCACCTTGATTTTGCAGCCAGAGAAAGGAAAATCGTATGGCAGAGTGCAACGAAGTGTGTACGATGTGAGAATCTTAGTGTACTAAGGTCACACTTGGCAGGTTTTTGTGTGGAGCTTGTGTCAGCTTGAGGTGCGGATTGACTGAAAAACGTGGAATATGTGTACAAGGTTCATGTCGTATGACCTACAGACAGCAGACCACCTCCACAATACGACCACGAAAGGATGAGATGGTGGGGCGCTCTGGCGGTACTTTACGGTATATGTATTACAGTTGGATGTGACTTTGCTCTGGGCATGGAAATTCTGTCGTTATTCGCGAATTGTCATTATATCCGCAGTCGTTATTAGCGAAGTCTACTGTACAGTAGACTGATCTCAAACACAACAGCCAGAGTAAAAATTTCCAGCCAGCTTGGAGAGGCCTTCCCCACGAACATTGGTCGCGCAAGGTGACCCACTATCGCCCACTATGTTCAATATGTATGCCGAAGGAGCCATGCGGAAGATCGATGCAGTTAGTACCCTTGCAAGAACTCAAGATGTACCCTCACCTTCAACACAATACGCAGATGATACAACTATGCACGCATCATCGAGGAGTGCTGTGGAGACCATTGTAGCCACATGTGAGCCGATCTTCAAAGAAGACAACCTCAACCTTAACGTACAAAAAACCGTATATTTAAAGGGGCACTCCGGGAATATTTTCGGTGGTGTGTTCTCTTCATGGGTGCCTTGTATGGCCCCCAAGGAATGGGGAATCGCGAAAACTAGACCCAAAAAGTCGATATATGAAGCCAGGGAGGGCCAAGTTTGTCTCCTCTTTTGATGGTTTTGATGACGTCACGTGTGATTAGTATTCAAATTCTCTGCATTTGAAGATCTTAGTTGTTTGAATTTTCTGGTGATGAAGAACGATGTTTGGTCGACATTCCCAAGCTTCACAACTGCGGACCTACTCTAAGGAACCTGAAGGACCCTCTGAGGTGCCCCTGGTAGAAGCGCAGCCTGATGAGGGCCAGGAGATTGGAGCGGACGACTTCACTGGTCCGCGTACGAGGATCCCGAAATTCTCTATATGTCGTGAGGCATATGGTCAGAACAGTTTTTTTAGACAAGCTGACACGAAGTCGGGGTGATGTGTAACGCACGTCAAAGGGCTGTCAATGCTAACAGCTGCAGCGCTCTCTCGACAGCGAAGGTAATCGACTGCCCTCTGCATCACCCCACATTTCTGGCAGGAACACCAATCGTTATTTCCTTGTCGACCAGTGAAGTCGTCCGCTCCAATTTCCTGGCCGTCATCAGGCTGCGCTTCTACCAGTGACACCTCAGGAGGTCCTTCAGGTTCCTTAGAGTATGGTCGCAGTTGTGAAGCTTGGGAATGTTGACCAAACATCGTTCTTCATCACCAGAAAATTCAAACAACTAAGATCTTCAAATGCAGAGAATTTGAATACTAATCACACGTGACGTCATCAAAACCATCAAAAGAGGAGACAAACTTGGCCCTCCCTAGCTTCATATATCGACTTTTTGGGCCTAGTTTTCGCGATTCCCCATTCCTTGGGGGCCATATAAGGCCCCCATGAAGAGAACACACCACCGAAAATATTCCCGGAGTGCCCCTTTAACTGCTTCCCGCACTGATGCATCGTGGAAAACGGTCAAGCTCCTTGGTTCCTTGCTGGACTCCACGGAGGATGTGGCAGCCAGGATCGGTGCAGCGAGCCGAGCATTCGGCTCGATAGCATGGAAGCGGCATTGCCTGGACTCACGGCTTTGCATGTTCTCGGTTCTCATTGTTCCAGTGCTGCTGTATAACTGCGGCCTGTGGACCCTCACGAAGCGACAGAATGAACAGCTAGATGTATGGCAGAGAAGAAAGCTCCATTATATCTTCGGAGTCCACTACCCGCACTGCATATCCAACCAAATCCTGTATGAAAAATCAAAACAGCAACCAATCAGCAGGGTCTGCAAGAGAAGACGTCTCCTATGGAGTATGGTTCGGCCATGTTGTTCGGGAAGGTCCGGGCACGGCTTCCTATGGCGCGCTAACCATGGCCATCGACACGTCAAAGATCAAGCGTCCACGAGGACGACCGAGGCTTCGGTGGATTGATGTGGTGAAATCCGACATCTCCCCTCTCGGACACACGCTCGAGGATTGCCTCAACACTGCACGGGACAAAAAGCTATGGCTGGACTTCATTGACAAAATGTACATCGGTGTAAAAAAAAAAGGCATGTACTTGTCATGTGCTAGAACCTGTGTATGGTTTTTTCGTATGCTATTCTTCCTGCTGCAATCTATTTCACGATGAGACAGTTGACAGATGCGTGGAACCCATTATTTGGGAGACATGCGACCTGTACTATTTCTTATTATTATTATTATAATTTATTACTGTACAGTCCTTTTCAAAAATATAGACGCATGCTATTTTTGAAATCTTTCAAATTTGGCTGGAGCTTCTTGAGAATTTTTTTCGTAATATTGCTCAGGTCCTTTCCCCGATTACTCTCATAATTATAGATTTCTAAGCGATCAGATAACAAACGCCCAATCTCGAAGTTTTGTGCACAAAGTGATCACAGGCGGTTAACGGTTTTTGAAATCGCGCGTCTATATTTTTGAAACGCACTGTAGGCATCGAAAAATGGGGTAAGAAGAAGAAGGAATGTGATTCACACCAAAAAACTGGTGGGTAAAAACCGTCTCGACTGTTTTTTAGGCTCTGACGGAGAAAGTAAAGGAGAAAAAGAAAAGAAAGTGACTGCCACTGTGGGCCAATGCCTGGGTTTGAGCGAAAACATGGTGCAACTTCCAATGTGAGTTCAGTGAAGTCTGAAAGCTCTGAAAGCTTGAGAAGAGGCCAGCTCTTTAATAGTGTTGTGCAATTAGGGACGAGACTATTGTAGTGAAGTTGTGGACGAGACTATTGCAGTGAAGTTGCTTTGTGGCGCCGTGCAAGGAGAAGAAAACGTTACTGTATCAGCACTGTTAAACCGGGATAGGCAACATAAAACTCAAGGAACGTGTGATTGAGCAGGTTTATATTTAATATAGTCCACTGCCCAAAGCCAACTGGTGTGTACTATTATAGTGTCGGTTTGCTTTTTCTTTGAACCACTGGAGTCTTTTGAGGGACAGCTGGTGTTTAAGGATATGGGGGGGGGGGGGGTGAGAGTTGCATGTTTAGAGAATGCAAAAGGGAAAAGATCGACGGAGATAGTCTGGAGCACGGCGAGGGAGGGACACGGCTATTCGGTGGCAGTGGCCAGCTGCAATGGACTGCTGCTGGCGCGTGCGAGCTATCCGGACAGGTGGAGCTGCAGGTGGGACCATAGCAGTTCGCTGTGGAGGACTCTGGATGCACTGCAGCTTGTACAAGTATGCGGGACTGTATGCCGAGCCCCGCGCCACCAGGCTCTGCAGGATGGTACCAGGGCCTTTTATTGCCATCGCCTTACGCTGTATTCTGTCGAGTTTAGCCATGTGGGTGTTGGCGCACCAGGACCACGAGCTGCTCTTCTCAGGAAGCCCAGGCGCTGGCTAGTCCTTACGGCTTGCTGGGGGATGGGAGCTGCTGTGGCATTTCTAAGCCTTCTAAGACTTCCCGATCATCGTCACTTATATCCTCAGCCATATCATAATCGGTGACATCCGCACTTGCAACAGGCAGCAGGCACCCAGATGCACCTGAGGATATGGCGCCAGCCACAGACGTGACGGCAGGACAACCACCCCAAATGAGGGACAACTTTTCCCAGTTCTCAACAATAAGACGGCCACTGCCAGAACGAGTGCCTTCTGTGACCGCTGTTCTGAATTTTTTTCTCATTGCCCGCACCTTTTCCTTTACCCTTATCCGACCGACAAAGTTTACAAATTCTCATCAAGGAAAAGGTCACTTATATCCTCAGCCATATCATAATCGGTGACATTCGCACTTGCAACAGGCAGCAGGCACCCAGATGCACCTGAGGATATGGCGCCAGCCACAGACGTGACGGCAGGACAACCACCCCAAACGAGGGACAACTTTTCCCAGTTCTCAACAATAAGACGGCCACTGCCAGAACGAGTGCCTTCTGTGGCCGCTGTTCTGATTTTTTCCTTATTGCCCGCACATTTTCCTTTATCCTTATCCGACCGACAAAGTGGACAAATTCTCAGTCCCAGCGAGACGACGCGACCCATTTTGATGATAACTTTAAGTTTCCCTTGGGTGAAACTGGCAATCTTGGGCTGTTTGGAAACCTTGAACCATGAGGAGTTCTCTAGCAACAGTGTCTAGCAGTCGTTGGTAAGAGGAACACAAATTCATCACCAATTCCATTTTTTGAAGAGAAGTACAGCTCATCGACATGTGGACTATTTGTAATCTTAAATTTGTACTTTCATGCTACCAAATGTTGAATGTACCATCAGAGAAGCCTCCAGGCAAATATGTAGGAGGGCAACATAAACATTGCCAAAATTACATCATGTGGAAACTTGTTTCGTACGCGGTTTGAAAACGGACCTCCTTCAGAGACATATAACCTCTTTTTGGAACATGCTAAGACGCTCTGATTTTTTGGTAATGAATGGTGGGTCTTTCCTGCTTCTTTTGATACCGAAATGGTGCAGATCCAATTAAAAATGAGTGAGCTAAAGCTTGTTAAAGTCATCGACGTATAGTCGTCGATTTTTGACTGGCCGGTCGGATAAGGGTTATTACTATTATTGTACCCATTAGATATGCCATGGTGTATACCATGGTGTATGCCATGGTGTATGCTGTGCTGTATGCCACGGTGTATACCACAGTTCTAAGCACTGGCTACTGACTGGATCATCGCCGCCCTGATGCGAACTTGAACTGTTACATGACCACAACTAGACACCCGAGTTTGCAGATTATCACTGGATGCATCAAGAGGAAGACATTCGTAATGAATTTCTCATCTTGGCAAGGGAGTAGTGACTTATCCAATGCCAGCACACATGCAGCAGGGTTCTTGCCAGTTGTTTTTCGATTTTTGTGTTTTTCAGTTCACACAACGAAAATGTGGCCACAAATTGATCGATCCGGGCGTTGTTTGTTTCCCTTGCTCTCACCCCATTACTATTACTTCGTGGCTAGAACCCTGTAGCTGTGCAGTATAACAAGAGTAAATACCCCCCCCCCCCCCAAGAGTGTATATCTCCCACTTACCCTGCTGTCACGACAGAACTTCAACTTGATGTAATTCTTAGTTGCACACTCTTATAGGCAATTCAGACTACGGCCAACTGTATTTGATCAGGGATTGTGCATAAAATTTTGAACACGACTGCATCACCATGGAAATTCAAGTTCACACGTGATTTTGGGGCTATGTGTTGCAAAAGAAGGATCCACAAGCGGGATTCGAACCCAGCACCCCTGTCTTTCCGGGACAGTGCCCTACCGATTAGGCTACCGGGGATCACACACACTCATGGGTCCTTCTTGCTACACTGCTCCCCCGCCCCAACAGGCTGTGTCCTCACGCCGTACCTAGCTCGCGGGGGGTACGATGGGTCGTGGGTTCGAGCCATTGCCAGGCGCCAATGTTGCAAAAGAAGGATCCACGAGCGGGATTCGAACCCAGCACCCCTGTCTTTCCGGGACAGTGCCCTACCGATTAGGCTACCGGGGATCACACACACTCATGGGTCCTTCTTGCTACATATGTACTTTGAAGTACTCTTGAGTATATTTATACATGTGCACATGGGTCACCGCCATTCCTTCGCCTGTTCTTGGCACTGTACTTTTTGATTTTAATCAGATCAGGCTTGTAACTCCATGTTCTTGCGTGTGACTTCTTTACCAATCTATCCTTTCAGGTCAAAAAAGAAGAAGAAGCGAGAAAAAGAGTATGAAGTAGCTTTGGAAAGGACATTGAAAGAGGAGGCGAAGAAAGACAAGAAAACACCGGCTCAACGTGCTTTTGAAAGGGCACAGGAACAGCGGGTGAGTGGACTGGCACTACAGTCGTGCACGCCAAAGAAATCCGACCCTCGAGTCAAAAGTAGCGCAGCGTTCCATGTCTATTACATCATGCACGGTCGGGGAAAAACTGTCCGAGGGCCAAATGTACTTTGAAATAGCAATAGTTATCATTACTGCAGTGCAGAGTGATAGCGCATTACACATGACCAAAGAATTTTGTTGTCACTATGAGGCCGTATCATGGGCACAGGTGTTAGCATTTATTCACAAATACATGTGACATGAGCATAGCATGACCCCCCCCCCCCCCCTTCAATCCGGTCTTCTAAAAGTGCGTTCTCGAATCCTCTTGGAAAAGCTGGAGAAGCGATCTCTTATCTTCTTGAAATGTTTGGAGCTCTCTGACGGTGGGAGCTGGTAGAAGCTTGGAATTTCCCGTGTTTATGGGACTGCACGTGCAGACTACCACAACTAGTAAATACACGCCATGTAGCCATATACCCTTGCCACCGAGCGACCATAGCTCATCGTTGGCCCCAACTGGCTCAAGCGAAGGCCCCTGGTTCGAGTCCTGGTGGGGACAGTCAAATTTTTCCTTCAGACTTTCCCATTTGCATCTTTCCCTCGAACCAATGAATAAGTTGGAGGGAGTTGAAAAAATGTGTGCACCTGAACTCGTAGCTCTACCTAGCTCCACTGCCTCTACCGAATCAAAGGCGGGTAGAATCGCTAGAATATGCAGTGGATGATCTTTTTCACTATGCCAACAAGGAGTGCTCCATCTACTGAAGCTCGAGTCGTATACAAGCCATTGGTGCTGCTTCAAGCTGTCGACCTCCTGCACAATAACAGTATGTTTACTTCTACTGGTAGACTTGGTACAGTGTTGGCGAATGCTCTCTATTCTGTGCGTGGATGCGTGACCATAATGACTATATTGACTTGAGCGCTTTGCTGCACCTCTTAGCTGGCTTGGTCATTTGCAAATGAAAGGAAATGTTAGTGCTACTTATATCTATGTAATTTGCAATTTTCTGTCCATTCTTGTCTTCTGCTTTCTGTTTATTACAGAAACAAGAGCTGGCACTAAAGCTCGCCGCTAAGAGCCACAAAGAACGTGTACAGGTATGCAATATGATCCGTTATTCATTTACAGTCAACTTTGCGTATAACGACACTTGCCGGGGCATCAGAAAAGCATCCTTATTCACGAAATGTCCTTATACCCCCGAAGTCTCATTATAATTATGTATTACAGTTTGAAGGGACTTTGCTCTGGGCATGGAAATTCTGTCGTTATTCACGAATTGTCGTTATATCCGCAGCCGTTATTAGCGAAGTTGACTATAGGTGCTGAGGCTACTTCAAAAATCAATCGAAAATTAGAAATCGAGCATTTTCAGCACCCCACCTCTCTCGGGGAAGGACTTTTTTCGATGATTTTATGCTGGGGCGTGTATACTAATCATTGTGCTTATAGTCAGAGGACTACGACTCTTTCTCTCTCTCTCCTCTCTCTCTCCTCTCTCACTCTCTCTCTCTCTCTCTCTCTCTCTCTCTCTCTTTATTGAATAGGAGGGTTCGGGAATAGAAAAGACTCACACTTTCTACCATTAAATGGGAATGGGATAAGCCTTCAAATTCAAGGTAAACAGTTGGTGAAGCGTGCTGCCAGAAAAGCGGGGAAATGCAAGATCATGCAAGGCCCTAGGTTCGAGTCCTGGATTTTTTTCGCTTTTCTGGCAGCTCGCTTCCCTTTCTAACATGGTGATTACATTTCATGGAGCCCTGACCCAAAGTTTGACTGGAGACACGCCACGAAGCAGAGGGTGTGGGCATGAGTTGCGCTAGGTCTTTCCTAGCGTCTTGCTTTTTTGTAATAATTATACTACTCTGTTTGTTTTTGATTGTGCCTGGTATAGGAATTCAATGCGCAGCTAGATTCAATGTCTGAGCACTACGATATTCCAAAGGTCAGCTGGACCAAGTGACCAGCAACAGCACCTTCACACACAAGTACCCCGAAATACATGTGCCGTTCATGGAATCTCTCTCTCTCTCTCTCTCTCTCTCTCTCTCTCTCTCTCTCTCTCTCTCTCTCTCTCTCTCTCTCTCTCTCTCTCTCCTTCTTTCCTTCAATAATCCGTACATCGTTGCTCGCGGATCTGCCCGAATACATCCTCGCTCACTTGAATATTGTTTCCTGTAAGTTTAATCTTGTTGCTACTGCTTCATGTACATAGCTGGTACTATGCTTTGAGAGCTGATCTTGCTTAAACGTTAATTATGTCGATACTTGCTTGCAGAAAACGTCTACCGCTTCCTTTGTAGTACAACGGAATTTATCTCTAGAAGCTCTGGTCGTCCGCTCGTACAACTATTGTATTACTGTTTTAGGGTGTGTATATAGTAACTTACTACCGTTCGAGGATTGTCCTTTTGTCATGCTCTGTGAAGACTGTAAATAAAGAATATTGCACGTGTTTTCATCTGAGGGCATGTGTGCTTGGTATAACCTAGAACAGAATCCACCAAAACAGCGTATTTGGTTGGGACTGCACCTGGGGCTCCCTGGACTGCACATGTTCTGGATCAACCAAAACCTGTTCTGCTTGCTCCCCCTCCTCCACACGGCCAGAACAGTTTTATTATTTTTTCACAGTAAAATCTGGCAGGAACATCCTTTTTTTGTGTCCAAAACAATCATGTGCATACGCATTTGGATTGCATTTGGCATGCATTCATGCACGTTTTGTGCTGTAAGAATTTGACCCGTGTACATTTTGGCAAATGCAACCAAGTATTTTACTTTAGTTTGGTGCATTTTTCGCAACAAAATTACTCTGTTTCTGGATCGGGTACCGTTTTGATTGGCATGGGGCTGGTCCTTGCGCACCAGCTGTTTGTTTCTGTTCTAGATCGTTCCAACCAAATGCACTCTAAAGAATTTTCACATGCGCACAATCCGTGCGTATAAACTGCCCTAGCTTCTGGGACGCATGTATAGATGGGCTTGGTGTGCGTTGTTATGCATGAGGTTGGCAGGGGTGCTGTGCAGCTAGTGTGTTTCAAACGTACAAACCCTTGTTCCGATAATAAAACTTCGAGTAATCCTCATGCACACATAAACAGTTTCCTTGGAGACAAGAATGCAATAACACTGAGAAGAAGGACACACTTCAGGCTCTTGACAACACCTCGAAAGTTTCACTAGAATACTTTCGAGCCGTATCGTCAGGTGAAATACCATGGCCATTGTGATTGGGCGCTACAGCAAAAGCCATAGCAACTTGTCCTGGGATTGCACTATTCAGCTTGGTCTAGACCACGCAGCTATTTGAAGTGGCTTTTCTGGCCAGTGAATACCTTTAGTCTTTTTTCACCCCCCCCCCCCCCCCACACACACGCAAACACACAAATTGAATCGGTCCTTTGGTGCTCGTCCTAAAAAGGTTTTACATGTACTGTGAAATGTGTGTATTGCACACATACACCGGAAAGCGTTGACTCTGTCGAGACAGTTGGAGTTGCACACTCTTGGGAAATTATGCACTTTTGCATCATCGGAATCATGGAATGTAATGTGGAAGCACTGAAAAGAACAATATTAAAATTGTATTATCCAACGCATCATCCGGGTATGACCCCGGCATACTTACAGTATGTCATGACTGAAAGCTGTCCGACACAGACCCAGACTCAAAAACAATAGGCCAGCTACGAATCAGCATACGGAGTGCTAGAAATAGCTTATAGGGCATTGTTATGGCACCAAGACCACAATGTATTAGAGAGCTGTGGAGTGTTGCTCTCATTGTGGATTTTCAGATGAAAGATGGGCAAGCTTTTGACCCTGCGGCAGCAAACATCTTTGTGCAAGATGTGCTCCTGTTCAAGGCATTGATTCAACAGAAGCACATTGTTTAGTCAACAGCATGACACTCTAGCATTGAACAGGAGCACCCTAAAGTGATTGCTCTAATGATCAACAACTTTGTATTGTAGTTAAAACTTACACGTAAGTGTATGTCGTAACCCAGCACAAACTTTAGTGATTTAACCTGAGCACTTTGTTCTAATAATAACATAACTTAGTGCAAGTATAGACTATTAAAGTGCGAGAAACTCAGCTGTATGTCAGAGTGGTGACATACATGTACCGGTACATGCATACCTTTGTCCACTGTTATGTTGGCATGAGCACAGCCAGTGCACACTTGCATACAGCAGGGAGAAAGGCACCGACGGGCAGTTCTCCCTGCTGTATGCAATTGCAGTCGACTCCTGGTACTGTATAACGAACACCATTGTGCAGGATAATTAGTTCTTTATAGCTGGAGTTCGTTTTAACAGAAATACACTCACACCATACAAGCAGCAAATCATGGCTGGCATGTGGCCCTTCAAGGTATGGTTACTGAAAAGGGTTCGCTAAAAAAGGGTCAGTTTTGTATGGGTTACACGGTATCACAAAGGTTTATGTACTCTTGATACCGTCAATATCATTTTTTTTTTCTCGGAAATTAGCGCCGGAACTTTTGAGGCGCATTTTAGGTGGGGTGCGAAGTATTTTAGGGAGGCAGTTTATCGTTAAAATATTAGATGCATGCCCAAATTTCCACAAATAAATATTCTTCATACAACTTCTACCAACTGCAAATGCGTGGAAATCAGAGTTTGTTCATGCAATCGTATCCAGTGAGTGCCATGACTGAACAGCCCATAACTTTGTAGAACACAGACAGACACGCCAGGGCCGCTAGTTGCTTTAAAAAAATTTTGGGTTAGTTTGTACTTGTACCACACAAGTCCAGTGCACAGGCAGATCAACTGAACCAGTAAAAAGAATGAAAACAAGAGAGCACAAGAAAATAAAGTGAAGAAAAAACCCAGTTAGCAACAATCAAGATCAGGGGTAACCACGTCAATAGGAGATGCACATAGTATAATCCGTTGGTTACGCGGGAAAGATCCATTTGTTCGTCAAAAAAGTCAAGTATACTCATACACACACATTGTTGGCTATGATATAAGCAGTCTAAAAGCAAGTATTGAAAAAGTACAGCAATCATCACACTGTGAAACCAGCTACAGCGTAAGACAAGCGTGTGAGATCTCACTACAAACATAAAACTGTGAGAGCAAGTAGCGTCGGAACAGAATAAGACAACACACCACAGGACACACAAGCAGAAAGACCCACAGGCGGCAGATCTGACAGCGTTTTCTCTTCTTGCTGTACACCAGTGGGCACAGCGATCGGCCTTGCACCGCAGCGTGATACATCTGCAGGAGGTGCTCTGCACTCGTTGCCACGACAAGGATCGGCTCTTGCCTGCCATGCTCTGCATTGCATCCGTCGTACTGAAACTCATCGGCATGGATGTTCCCGACGTTGGTGACATTTACACCAACGGCACGCACCAACATTCCAACGTACGCATCATCAATGCCAAACCATGGTTGCCAGGCACGGGCTGCACTGGCAGTTAAGCGAGAGACATCTTTCGTCATAATCAAACACGCACCCCAGACATACGTGGGATAGAAGAGCCCACCGAAAACACGTTTGTCGACGAACCACTTGCTGGACGAGTTTCGGTTGACAATGGCATAGTCATAAGGCACTCTCCCAGCGTAAACCTTTGAGCGTGGGGCGTCGGACAAAAAGTTGTAGAGCTCTGACATTTGCAGAAAGCAGTCATCATCAACAAAGACCAGATATGAATAGTCCATGAACTGTGCAGTCCAGTTTAGCGCCCACATGATCTTCCACGTGATGCGATCATAACGATCGGTGTATGGGCTCAGCAAGATATCGCCGTATTGCTTTGCTTCCCATGATAACGCTTCCATGGCCGATGCTTGACTGGTTAAGCCCACCAAGAAGCGATTATACCAAAGCATATTTCCATATCGGCACTGTCCTCCCTTGAGGCAAGAACTTTGAACGGTCCGCGTTGTAGATGATATCTCAGACGAGTGCATCTTTGCATGCTTCAGCCAGGTGTCGCGCATCTGCTTCCGCCGTGTCAAGTAGGCCGGCGCCGACTTGGATAAGATTAGAACCCGAAAACTGCCATCGGTGCGCTCAACAGTACGTTTAAAACTTCGAACACGGCTATTGCGCAGCGAACGCTGGCCACTGCGACCAACAGCGGATGCAACAGAAGAACCACTGGAGCAGAATGGCCCGCACAGCACTTCATTCACAGCCTGAACAGTGTGCAACACTCGACCACTAGCAGACATGTTCGCGTCCAACTGGTCCATGATATCATCCTTGGACAGGTCCTGGGCCAAGTTCAGCAGAAGCTGACCAAGGTCTTCCTCGCTGAGTGACTTTGTAAAGTTTTCATCACTGTGCATAGCCATCAGCCCCTCAGTGGGTGACTCCCCGCCATTGGTGGTGGTCGAGTCGTCTACATATAGTCGCAGGAAACCACTGCCATCCAACACTATTGGTTGAGAAACTAACAGAGTGAGTTGTATAACGAACCATACAGCAGGAAGACAGAGGATGGCTAAAAAATAGCCTTTCCATAGGGACATAAGTTCGATTCCCATCAATCCAGCAAACATTCAGTTCATGGTAGAAATTTGGAACCCAGTCGTCGACAGTCCAGTGTGGTACACAAGGTGACATCAGCGTACTGAACTCGATTGGACTAGTCCCGATCAGTTAGTAGTGGTCTTCAGTACTCCAGAGCAAGCCAGACGAGTGGAGTTGAGAAACTGGAACGCCACGAACCGGTAGATAAGAACATGACCGGCTTGAGCATCTATCACCGCCAGAACAGAGCTGAGGAACAACACAATCACCACTGGCGAACGAACATGCATTCAAAAGCGAGAGCGGATTATGCTTATTCAAAAATCAAAACGACAAAAACTGTTCAACTTCAAGTCTGTTGCACGTTGTGTTGCACCTTGTATTACCGTATGATGTATGTATGTCATGTAGATAATCTACGGTACGGTGCGTGCACATGTGCCATTTTTGGACAAGAGTCCAGAGGTTGTTGCAGGGTTCATGATTCAATGACATTATGACTGTTCTACATGCTACAGTCGACCTAATAACGATAATTGCGTCAGACCAAGAAATTGTTCTAAGGCGCTATCAGTTCAAACTCTCGCATATCTTAGTGTTTCGTGTCCTGAATCAGTTAACTACTACTCTCCTTACTGATTGCTTTTGCCTTCGTTCTACTTCTACTCGTACCAATTCCTGCACTCGCTCCCAGGTATCTTCGTCTGTGACTCTACCCAAAGCTAAAACTCGTTTCGGTCTCTTTTCAGTTTCTTTCATCGGTTCCGACCGTTGGAATGCACTCCCCGCTGCAGTCCGCTTATGCTCTTCCCTGCATCTATTCCGTAATTCAGTACAGTGGTCCCTCTATAATCCGGCACCATTTGTGCTACGAAAATCTGCTGGATTAGGGAGGGTGCTGGATTAACAAATCTGATTTACTGCTGCAATGTGCATGAAGAGGACATTTTGTCTACTGAAAATTGTGCTGGTTTATCGAGGGTGCTGGATTATAAAGTGCCGGGTTAGAGAGGGACGACTGTACTTTCATTTCTAGGGTACCCTGTAAGAAGACCTGTACAGGCTGTAGCTGTGGGGATTGCCCTATCAAAAATTTGATAATACATGTAATAATAATAATCGTTTGTAGCCACATTTCAAACAAAAAAAATTGGACCCGAGGGGTAGGAGCCACCTTAAAGGGGAAGTATACCCTAAAATCAAATTTTCACCAGTTGTAGTCTTCTGGGTGCTGAGTCGAATGGTCTTGGTCCGAGGAAGCTGCGACGCTCCCTTCCTACTTGAATCCCAATCGAACTCGCGCACTTCCACCGAAACTGGGTGACTGCGCCCTAATAGATGGGGATTTGTATGCAAAATGTCACTAAAAGCGCCATTTCGTTCTTATAAAAGCACGGATGACCGCGATTGGCCCATATGTTGTAGTCTTTTGGACGCTGAGTCGACTGGTTTTGGTCCGAAAAGGCTGCGATGCAGCGTTCCTCCTTTATTCCCAATCGAACATGGTTGAACAAGCGGTCACGTGCTCCTGGGTGCCCAAATCACCTGGTCACCGCGCCAGCAGGCGACAACTTTCACACCAAGGTTCAACTCGAGTTCAACTCGAGTGACAGGACTGCACCCAAAAAAGGTCAAACAGGCTAGTAAGTTGTACCCTGCAGGCACGGTGACCAGCTGACTGGTGTACGCAGGAGCACGTGACCGCTTCTTCAACCATGTTCGATTGGGAATAAAGGAGGAACGCTGCATCGCAGCCTTTTCGGACCAAAACCAGTCGACTCAGCGTCCAAAAGACTACAACATATGGGCCAATCGCGGTCATCCGTGCTTTTATAAGAACGAAATGGCGCTTTTAGTGACATTTTGCATACAAATCCCCATCTAGTAGGGCGCAGTCACCCAGTTTCGGTGGAAGTGCGCGAGTTCGATTGGGATTCAAGTAGGAAGGGAGCGTCTCAGCTTCCTCGGACCAAGACCATTCGACTCAGCACCCCGAAGACTACAACTGGTGAAAATTTGATTTTAGGGTATACTTCCCCTTTAATGCACGCCATCACATTCTCCCTTTGTCTGTGCGCTATCAGTTCAAACTCTATCTAAGTGTTTCGTGTCCTGAATCAGTTAAAGGGGAAGTTAAGGCAAAAATCAAAATTTCACCAGTTGTAGTGTTCGGGGTGCTGAGTCGAATGGTCTTGGTCCGAGAAAGTTGAGACGCTCCCTTCCTACTTGAATCCCAATCGAACTCGCGCACTTCCACCGAAACTGGGTGACTGCGCCCTACGAGATGGGGATTTGTATGCAAAATGTCACTAAAAGCGCCATTTCGTTCTTATAAAAGCACGGATGATCGCGATTGGCCCATATGTTGTAGTCTTTTGGACGCTGAGTCGACTGGTTTTGGTCCGAAAAGGCTGCAATGCAGCGTTCCTCCTTTATTCCCAATCGAACATGGTTGAAGAAGCGGTCACGTGCTCCTGGGTGCCCAAATCACCTGGTCACCACGCCAGCAGGCGACAACTTTCACACCAAGGTTCAACTCGAGTGACAGGACTGCACCCAAAAAAGGTCAAAACAGGCTGTAAGTTGTACCCTGCAGGCACGGTGACCATGGTGACCAGGTGACTGGTGTACGCAGGAGCACGTGACCACTTGTTCAACCATGTTCGATTGGGAATTAGGGGCGAACGCTGCATCGCAGCCTTTTCGGACCAAAACCAGTCGACTCAGCGTCCAAAAGACTACAACATATGGGCCAATCGCGGTCATCCGTTCTTTTATAAGAACGAAATGGCGCTTTTAGTGACATTTTGCATACAAATCCCCATCTCGTAGGGCGCAGTCACCCAGTTTCGGCGGAAGTGCGCGAGTTCGATTGGGATTCAAGTAGGAAGGGAGCGTCTCAGCTTTCTCGGACCAAGACCATTCGACTCAGCACCCCGAAGACTACAACTGGTGAAATTTTGATTTTTGCCTTAACTTCCCCTTTAACTACTACTCTCCTTACTGATTGCTTTTGCCTTCGTTCTACTTCTACTCGTACCAATTCCTGCTCTCGCTCTCAGGTATCTTCGTCTGTCACTCTACCAAAAGCTTAAACTCGTTTCGGTCTCTTTTCAGTTTCTTTCATCGGTTCCGACCGTTGGAATGCACTCCCCGCTGCAGTCCGCTTATCATCTCTTCACTGCACCTATTCCGTAATTCAGTACTCAGTTTCATTTCTAGGGTACCCTGTAAGAAGGCCTTAGGCCTGTGGGGATTGCCCTATCAAAAATATGATAATAATAATAATAATAATCAACGATGGCGACGAAAACGTTTAGGAACAAGCTTCTTTATTTACATGAAAACAAGTTTTGCTTATGGTGTTTGTACTGAGTGCGCAGCTTACTCTATTTATTGCGTTGATTACATTTTTATCTCCACGGAAGCTTTTTAATACTCATAAAAAGGACACACTTCAGGCTCATTACAAACATCTTTGCAAGCAGAAACAAATCAAATTCACACTTAGGCTGTTAGGTAGGTCGTCAAAACCTCGTTAGTTACATGTATGTCCAGTGGTTGTCTCTTGTTGTCGCACTACATGTCGCGCTTATTGAGTTTTCTCGCATTTGCACCTTTGTGTCATTATTGCAATTTTCGCTGTTTACTTTAGCTATCTTCTTTCTTTCTTTCTTTTTGCGCTGTTTTACCACCTTCTTACTGTATTTAATCCACTGTTCCTGTTCCTTTTCCCTTGCCTGTATTTCACCTGATGAGAAGGCTTGAAAGTATACTTGTGAAGACAAAAACTTTCAAGATGTTTGTAATGAGCCTGAAGTGTGTCCTTTTTATGAGTATTATCGCATTTTTGTCTCAGAGGAAGCTTTTTAATAATAATAATAAGGGTAATATTGTTATAAGGGTATTGACTGTGCTTGGCACATCCTCGGCTGCAGAGTAGGCAACGCCCGATTTTGCCAGCGAAGCTTCGATATTTTGCTTTCATTTTGCCGGGCCACTCGATATTTTGCCCCCTTTTTGCTCCGAAATTTGTGTCACGTGTGGGACAACTGACCGAAAGTGGGTCACGTCACTCACGTGTTGGAATAAATGAGAAAAAGTGAGTCGCGTGTTGGGAAAACTGTGCGAACATGAGTCACCGTACAGTCGTCCCTATCTAATCCGGCACCTTTTGCAACGGCATTTTCTGCCGGATAAACAAGGGTGCTGGATTATCAAATCCTGCCCTTCAACCCGGCTCACCTAGTAACGTACATGTTTGTGTCGTATGTCAAAATGTAGAGATTTCTGTGTCAATCCAAGTACTTTGTCACAAGTTTGTGGAATGCATATCTGTAACATGCCATGTCTATAACATACACTTAGGAATATCCTATGCACTGGCATAGGATAGTGGCACCGGCACGGTATGCGATGTACAACTGCTGGATTAGAAAATCAAATTCTGTACAGTTTGAGTGATTTGTTGCAGAAAATCGCTGCCGGAGGCGGAATTCAAGTGCCGGATTAAACGTAGAAAAAGAACTGAAAAAATCCGTTTTGCCAGAAAGTGTGCTGGTTTGCAAGGGTGCTGGATAAACAAGTGCCGGATTAAAGAGGGACGACTGTATAAGTGTAAAATCTCCCAATTTCCAGCGAACACACCGATATTTTGCTCCGTTTTGCCAGCAAATTCCCTTTCAAAATTCTTCGATATTTTGCTAGCAGAATTGCTAGCAAAATCGGGCTATGCCTACTGCAGAGCCAGTATTGTCAGGCGTTCCTCAAGGATCAATTCTCATGATTCTTGGTCCCCTACTACAGGTGGAATTCTGATAATTCGAATATGGCTTAATTCGAACATACCGCTTTTAAAATTAGAAGTTTTTCCAGGACCGATTTCTGTCAATACGATTCCCACATAAACAAATTCTGATAATTCGAACCTCGAACTGGACATGTCCGGTTAATTAGAAGTGCCACGGATTCCACTTACATAGAAAATGTGTGGGATTTGTGCTGATAATTCGAAGTTAGCAAAGTGTAATTCGAAGTTCACTGTGTACAGTCTGTACCCTGTACTGGTCAGTTCAGTTTGCATGAGCAGGCTGTACCGGTCAGTTCTGTATCCGTGAAATCTGTGTCTATGGCGGTGTTTACATGAGGCGTTTCAACCCGGGTTGAGTTCGCCCCGGGTCAGATTTCAACCCGCCATGTGCATAAAATGAATGGCGCGTTTAAATGACGCATTGCGCTTGACCCGGGTTGAAATTTCGCCCCGGGTTGATTTCAACCCTCCCCCCAAGGGGAGGGTTGAAATCAACCCTGGTCAAGAAAATCGTACAAACGTACTTCTGTGCGTATCTCGCGCCAGGTTTGAACGGCACTGCAGATGCAAATTTCGCGCGAACGGATTCACGTGACCATACAGGACTGTAGAAGTGGACTTTTGGCGGCATATCAGTATTTGACCCGGGTCAACTGTCTTCATGTAAACGCTCACCTCTTTTGTCTATCGTACAGACTTTCAACCCGGGATGAACTCGACCCGGGTTGAAATTTCTCATGTAAACACAGCCTAAGGTCCATAGCGCAACTCTGCTTGACCATGAGAGCATTTTGACATACATATTTTGCGCAAGGAGGAGGCTAATCTCAGTTCTCGCAGAAAAGGGGGAAAAGGGGAGAAAAAGGGGAAAAAGAGGGGGAAAAGAAGAGCGGGAAAAGGAAAAAGAGGGGTAAAGAATGGCGAGAAAAGGAAAAAGAGGGGGAAAAGGATGGCGGGAAGCATCCACCGTTTGAATGTGCATACATCTAAAGTGAGGCTATTTCCAGGCTCTGCACAAGTACATCACGGACTGACTAGGAGTCACTGAGACATTCCACGATGTGAAAGCCAGCTTGAGCACCGCTCGATAGCGCTAACCAACAGCCTTCCAACTTGGAAGGTTCCGTTAGTGCTACATGTAATTCCAAAGAGGCCCGGGAATTAAGGTAATGAGGGGAAGGAATGTTTCAGTACTCCTCAGTTGTGAGTTTTGTGCTAGATTGTGCACGTCTGGCAGATTGTTCAAAATCAGGTTTACTATTGGTACATGGTGGACTCGATCCGACATAACTTTTGCCCACAGTTTCCAGTTACAATTTTGTCCTTGGCTCACCGTCTGAAATAGAATATGCGAAGAACAACACATAAACGTTTTCCTCAATGGTCACCAGTGAATTTACATCGAATAGTGACTGAGAGAACAAACCAATTATTATGTGCTACAATGTCCTAATTGATAGTTTCAAAAACTATAATTTCAACACGAAGGTGCAAGGGTGATTGTATTATCGCATAATGTGAGAAAAGTGTAAAAGAATAGTTAGTGTGTGAAAATCTAAGTGTAGAGTGTGAGAGATGTGCCATTCTCCTTCTGAATGCATGTCAGTCACAGTTAAAGGTGCTGGAAGTTGTATACATTCACGTACGCAAGCCTGACTTACATTGTATGCATTCAGAAGGAACATGCCCTAAGTACTTATGGCATGTTCGATTGGCAGGATCGGGATCCCGATCCACCGGACCCACTGGATTCGAACCCTTTCGATTGGTCAAACCCGGATCCTTTGGATTCGGATCCGGTCAACCCACCTCGGGGAGCAGGGTTGCAACATTGACCGGATCCAAATTTGACCTTTGTGCGTATATGGCGGGTAAAAATAATTTCTGTACACATTGTGGTACGCACACACGAGATAAAGCTTGTTGACTTTTTGTACGACGCGCGCGATGAGTGCGACCGTCACCCTTCTGGGTGACTTGTGAACGCCATTTTATTACTTCGTCAACATGGCAACGGTCAAGGTCCAAAATAAAGTTTTCAGTTGACTCTGAAGGATCCGACGGATCTGAGATCTGGATCCCGATCCTTACCAATCCCGGTGGTGTGACTCATGATTTTTTCTTTCTTTTATATCTGGCTTTCAAGTGTTGAGTTTCGGAGAGAAAAGAGCAGTACGTGGCATGTGGCCTCTAATTTAATCCTGTAGCACCGATAATTATGGGTTTGTTCTCTCAATCACTATTCAACGCAAATTCACTGACGACCATCGAGGAAAAGCGTTTATGAAGTATTATTTTAGCTTGGTTGAAATTTCTTTCTCCGATACGGCTTTTGTAAAATAATTAATTGCCAGATTCTGCTCGAAAAGCAATGAAATTGGCACTTGAAACCATACAAACATTATGGCAGGAACTTCCTCGAACTCTGCTCTATTTCTTTATCCACACACCAAACATGCATGAAACATACCAGAAAACGAAAAAGTACCAAGTTATGCCAATTTTCTGCCGGCAATATGATCTGCCAGTGCCAAGGGCTACCGGGGGTCCGATGGAAAAAATTACTTCAAGTATCTCATAACGGGTCACCGGGTATTGTTGTCTGGGGGGGGGGGGGGGGGGGACATTGTCTTGTAACGAGGAACCATCATTTCTGAGGCGGATACAAGGCGCGAAGGTAGACCTGTAAAGTTAATTTTTAGTTTTTAATCATGAGACTCAGGCTGCGTTCATTTTTATCTACTTGGAGGAGTAGAGTAGAACGGATGTGGGAAAGGAAAAGGTGGTAGATGGCACTCTTCTTCAAATTTTATCTCAACCCTACTGATAAACTGAAAAATGCAGTGAAAACGCAGTCAAAATGCAGCCCCCTAAGAAGTTGTACCGCCCCAGTCACCATTGCAATATTGGTGCTGTTCCAGGTTGTACCAAGAGTACGACCCGTACACAACCAACTGCATACTCCGTAAGATCAGGGTCTGCAGCTGCACAAAGCAAACCGCCACTTCAGCGGATGTAGGAACTGGACATTGGACACTGCGCCACCCTGCTGACTGCCTATCATGAATCTAGGGCTTCACCACATCGTCCCATTGCACATGCAGTTCTACAGCAGGTGAAACTAACCCTTGCCATTGCATGCCCGCACATGCTTCAAGTTCAAGTAGTAGTCAACTGCTGCTGTCATACAAGCGAACTGGCAAGAGCTTCTTCAAACGTTTCTGTTCTTTCTTTTGTTCTCTCAAGAAAATGAGCATGTTGCTCGGGTCAGTGCTCCTCCTCATCGTCCTCATACTCCTCTCCCGCATCGGATAGCGCGTCCGATGCATGCGACAAGTCACCACGCGGAGGCACATTCACCAGTGTGCTAATACTCTGGTAAAGGACAGCCTGTCGCTGCTTGGTTGAGAGGTCTGGCGAGAGCTCTGACGCCAGCATCTGAACAAGAAAACAAGGAGATGGCGACAGCAAAGTAAACAGTAAGCGGTTGCTGGCACATACTCACACCACATGCATCATGCTTTCAAAGACCCCAGTTCTACCAGTAAGGAGCATCATACACAGCTGCATGTTCTGTGTTCTGACATATTTTTGAAGTACCTGAAATGTTAAATTCAGCTGTTGCCAAGGGACTGAACATGAAGTCCACAAATAATGAAATTTTCGAGGCAATCATACAAGCAAGAGTGCATGAGCTGGGATTATCTCTCCCCCCCCCCCCCCTCCCCAGAGTGCGACTGGCGTTCATCCAGCGGCCTGATTAGAATTGTTTCTGAGCCTTATTTGGCCTAAATCAGATTCGAAAAAAGAGATCAATAATAAATAAGTTTTGTGAACGGACTTTACACTCCAGTAATTATGGTACAGTGAAAGTGCATGAGAAAACTATACAGACTGGCAATGGATGAGAAAACCATACGGACTGGCAATGGACTCAAAGTTTTAGTCCTCTCATACTGCGATTTACCGAAAGTTTCCAAAAAGAACTAACATGGTGCAACGCACATGAAAAAATACTTGGAAGTACACACCACACACAACCCAGGCACTAGAATCCCTTACTTGCTTTGGAGAAAACCCGAAAAAGCTATTACTTACCGAAATGGATGCCCAGCCAGATTGGTAAAGGATGTTACTTTGAGCGGCGACAAAGCCATTGAAAATACGGGCACTGTGCGGCTTCAGCAGCGCCATATCATCATCATACACAGTGATGGCAATGGGACGTACTGTGAGGCCGGCACTCTCCTGTTGACACGCCACAAGTACAAACATAGGCCAGCAAGCAAGGAGATTAAAGGTGAGCGTGCACGGATCAGCAGGTAACCCCCCCTCCCCCCGCTGTCCAGTAGCTAGTACTTCAAGTAGTAGTATGCACAGCGCACACCCATCCACGCCCACACATGGTGGTGAACGGGTCTTTATGCACAGGTTACCAGTCACTGCAGGCCTGCAGTCATGTTGCTACAAGAAGAAAACAGAGATTTAATTCCTCGTTTCTTTCACTACACTTAGCCGATGAGAATTGAATTCATCCTTACCAGCTTATATTTGTCCAGTGTGATGTAGCGGCGTTGCCGACCAAGTTTCTTCATCTTCTTCCTTCGTTTCGCATCGAGAAGTGCATTGCTCTCTTCACTAGCTAACATTTCATTGTCCTGGGAAGAGTCAACTTTGGCAAGCACCTTCCGCTTACCCAGGCCATCTCCCAGCTGCCCAGAAGATCTAGACTTGACCCGACCATCTGCGTCCTTGCCGTCCAGAGACAGCAGGTCTTCGTCGAAGAAGTCATCGTCGTCCAGCTGCAGCGTGGACTCGCTGATGATCTCGCCGTCCTGGACGTGCGACAGGCGGAACTTGTTGCGCCACCATGCCGGCCGCGGTGCCAGTACGTGCTCCACGGTGCTCCACGGCACTAGATTGCCGTCGTCGTCGCAGAGCAGCGCCGCGCTCACGTACACGCCGTTCACGACGCAGTGGTAGAGGACGCTCGCCGCGTCCTTCTGCGCCAGGCGAATGTCGGCCTCCTGCTGCTCGCTGACCGTCGTCGGCATGGACTTGACGTCCGCCGGTGGCGCTGTGCACTGCAGTGGCGTTAGCAACGGCAAGAGCAGTGACTCGAACGGTGCCTGGTCGTCCGAAGCCACCACGTCGGCATCGGCCAAGAGATCGGGCGGTGCATAGTAGCTAGAGCGTAAAACCTCCTTGCATCGCTGTGCCCAACACAAACAACAGGGAAAATCATGCAAAATAGAAAATGAACAACAACAACAACAACAACAACAACAACAACAACAACAACAACAACAACAACAACAACAACAACAACAATGCCGTCTCGCCATCGTGTACTCTTTGCTCGAGTACTACGCTCCTCCGCCTCAGCTTGGTGGAGCACACTCTTTCTGGTCCGTGCCAAAGTAACTAGTTATTTGCCCTCGTGCAAAGCTTACTGTGTTTCTCGCAGTTAGAGCACTCTGACTTTGATACCTTTGAGCTGATTCAAACAATGCTGCTTCGTTGTTCACTCACAGAAGCGGAAAGAACACTGAATTATTACGAATATCCATGAACCTTCCCAAGTTGGAAGGCCAATGGTTAGCACTATTGAGCAGTGCTCAAGCTCACTTCCTTGCCATGGAATGTCTCAGTACTCCTTGTCAGTCTGGTGCTACCTTGTGCACACCTGACTGTTAAACATCTGGTTTAGTTGGTGGACTCTAACGCATAACTCGTGCCCCACCGTTTTCCTTGTTTCCATTTAATGTTTTCCTTGGCTCACCATCTGAGTAACACTGAATTACTTTATTGTTTAGTGTTCTACTACGCAAAATGCGTTATTATTATGTTCACTAGACCTCAATGTGTGAGACTTCATTCACTATAATATTTTCTCTTTCTTTTCTTCTTCTTTTAGGAAATTGGGTGTTTCTCGCATACCTTCATTTGCTGTTGCTTTATGCCTTCTTTTTGATGGTTTTTGTTGCTCATTCGGATTGAAATAAAACCGATTCGCCCACTAGACCTCATTGGGATCGGTTTGGGCAGCCACTCTGACCTCCGCTGATGAGACCTAACAAGGTCGAAACAAGCTAGCTGTCCGGAGATTGAGGATACCCAGGTAAAAAAATACTGCTGATGAAGACCCCGTTGTAGTTTATTACTGTATGCAGTTCGCCTCTATCCCAGGTGACACTGTATGCAGTTAGCCTCTATCCCAGGTGACACTGTATGCAGCTGTAACACACTGCATGTACAAGCAAGATGAAGAAGACACGATGCGTTGCTACTTAGAGCTGTGGGCTTCCGCAAGCATTCTCAGCAGCCGGCATCCACAGCTTGTACCTGCGAGTCATGTAGCACCCTCTTCAGGCAGTGCGGCACCTGTTTGTGATCTACATGCATGCAGCTTCACCAACACGACACGCAAGCTACCAAGACCAACTCTGCAAATGGGATCTCCGACGGCAGAAACGTATGGCTCTATATTAGGGATATAGTTATTCATTTGACAGTCAATGTGACATGTCTAATGTGAGTGCATTGTACAAGCCAGTGGCAAGGGACTTTCCCACCTTACTGTCAATATCAGCATACTAAAGGGGAAGTTCATCTTAAAATTAAACTTCACAACTCGTGGTAAACGGTGCTCAGATCAACGTGGGACTTTCGGTGCATTTTCACTACCAGGTGTCAAGCTTTCATTTTAGGGTGAATTGCCCATTTAAGGCAAGGCTAGAAAGAGAAACTGTATGAGTGTAACTTATGCTGTTGGTTTGCCACACTGAAAGAGGTATGATACTGAGGTATGGTTCGTTGAAATCTGGTGGAATGACCGGGTTCAGCGCCCTTATTGCCTTAGCGTGTACACACACGCTGTAGTTCACATGCACATTGCAAAAGTGGACCTGCAGTGCTCACGGCTGCAAGTGCAAGGCCAGCGCCCCGTGGTCGCTTGACGTTCTCAGCGAATTTCAATGTCCACAACAGTATGACGCTGACGTCAACTCACCAGGAGGTGCTCGCGGATGAACACGACACGCAGCTGCTTGTTGTCTTCAAAGCGTGGCCGGTCGGTGTACCACAGGAGCATCAGTACATCGTACAGCTTGGCCGCCATGTAGGGATGCGTTCGAATGAAATGGTCTGCGCAACAACACCATCGCCACAAATCACATTGGAGACCGGAAATTTACAATTGGAATAACACTACAATACAATCATGTAGTCTCTCTTAGTCTCTCTCTCTCTCTCTCTCTCTCTCTCTCTCTCTCTCTCTCTCTCTCTCTCTCTCTCTCTCTCTCTCTCTCTCTCTCTCTGTCTCTCTCTGTCTCTCTCTGTCTCTCTCTGTCTCTGTCTCTGTCTCTGTCTCTGTCTCTCTGTCTCTCTGTCTCTCTGTCTCTCTCTCGATGATCCCTTTGTCACGCCAAAGGTGAGTAGCACTCATTGAATATATCCTCCAGCACTGTAGAACAGAGTACATGGAAAGTGCAACAGGACCCTAGCCCACACTACCTGATCTGGCAAGCTACACACATGAACAATGAGTGATGCTCTGCGCTCCGCATATCGAGCAATATTTCAGTCAGCTGTGGTTACTTCTCTGATATGGAATGCTAGTGATAATGGGTGAAAACTTAAAAGCATGAAAAGACATCTTGGAGAAGTATGGGAGCAATGCAATCCATGTGTGTGCGTGTGTGTGTGTGTGCACGCGTGCGCGCGAGCACGTGCGTGCCTGTGTCAATACATTTGACGTGTTAAAGTGCACAGCCTTACCATTCACATGATGCACCTCCTGTAGCAGATTGGCTACACTTGCATTGCAGCGCTTGCCACGATCAAGCATCAGGTGGATTGCCTCAATGCGACTAGTGAGCGGGAAAAACGCCACGTCGTCCTCTATGCGAAGCGCAAATGCATTCAGGAACTTGTCGTCTGTTGGCAGGCACAAGAAGGAGATGCAGGTTGCCAGGATACCGACTTCCACTTGCGAATGGGACCAAAGAGAGCCACGCAGATGGCGCATCAGATATGGCCAGCCATCACGGGGGTACATCCTACAGGCAGAAAACGGAAAGAGCAAGAGTAAGGCATGTGTGCACGTGAGTGTGTGTGTTTTGGGTGTGTTGGTTTGTGTGCATGCGTGCGTGCATGTGCGTGTGTGTGTGTGTGTGTGTGTGTGTGTGTGTGTGTGTGAGCGTGTGCATGCATGCACATGTACGAGAGAGAGAGAGAGAGAGAGAGAGAGTGACAGAGAGGGAGAGAGAGAGAGTGGGAGAGAGGGAGTGAGCGTATCTGTAGCTTGACTCCCACTAGGACACGAGTAGACAACACAGTACGTATAGACACATATAAACATGTATCTAGACTGTACACAGTAGCAGGTTCAACACATAGCAGCAGTCAGACACGACTCTGGTCATGTATTCTACTCACAGGGACTTAGCCAGGACTTGCAAGTACGCAACTAAGTGCTCATTCTTGAAATTGGCTGCAGTGGGTTTGGAGCGGGTTTGCACGGGGTTCTCAAACACCTCCGACTGTCTTGGTTGCTGGTGGAAGCCGACCAGGCTGGCAATGTGCCGTAGTGTTGCTCGCAGAAGAGCCTTATGGCGGCTTCCCTGCTGCCAGCTTGGCACACGGCTCAGCGCGTCTGCAAACACAAGCGAGCTGGAAGCAACCAGACAAACCAGCACAGAGAACACGATGGAGTAAATCTGCAATGATGAAAATGACAACATTTTCCTGATCAGCATGCATACACACGTAGGAAAGCAACTTCAGGCCCCTCTCAAGCAACATTTTTGAGGTTTTTTCCCCCACAAGTATACTTTCAATGCTTTCCCATCAGGTGGAATACAGGGAAAAAGCAGTAGGGGCGCCGACCCCGGTCATCCCGTCGGATTTCAATGTCCACGACAGTACATGTATACACGATTGACTGTGCGTACCTGACAACCACACAGCTCCAAGAGTATATCTACTTGTAGTGTTTTCATGCCTCATCTACTCTTGAATCTGTGTGGCTGTCGGACATGCACGTCAACCGCGTGTATACAGTACATGTCATGCCCTGTCGTGGACATTGAAGTCCGGTGGGATGACCGGGGCCGACGCCCGTACTGCTACTAGCGCGTACATGCACTGTAGTTCACGTACACACTGTAAACATGGATCAGCAGTGCTCACGGCTGCAAGGCCAGCGCCCCGTGGCCGCTTGACTTCCCAACGGATTTCAATGTACTCTACAGTACAAAGAGAACGAAAAAATATATGATGGGTCAGCTCTTAAGTGCTGGGCGGTGACGATCTCCAATGGATATATTCAGCCTGATCCAAACACAAAAAAAATACATCAGTCATGTTCCTCCGGCTCTTACCTATCGAGGTTCATTTTGTTGACACGCTGGGCATGCAAGCCCATATCCTTGGGAGTCCACAGCCTCTGGCCACCTAGCAAGTGAAGAGCACCCATGCAGACCGCCGCACCGGTGTCGCTAAGCCGGTAGACGCGGTGCACGCCGATGACTTGGACGATACGTGCAAACATGGCCTGAAGGGTTTGCTGGCGCTCGGTGGGCGAGTGCTTGCGAGTTAGCTTTGGCTCCTCGAACAACATGTCCACTACGAATCGCTGTACACCAGGGATAAGCAAAGACGCAAATACATGATTTGTCAACAAAGAGCCACATCCTACATCAGCCAAGCAACTGACCACAACTCATGTTGGCAATAGGTCACACGCACGCACACACGCACACATAGATCCTCTCCCATCCACCAGTCCTATGTGGCGCAAATAGACCTGCCCTAGGCTAAGCCCAAGTGTGAACCCACTAAATCAAAAATTCACGTGGCCATGCATTCAAACTTTTATATGGCAAGCGACAGCCAATAGGCTAAGATAGCTATCAGCACACTGGATAGATCACCATTCACCAAGCAACTCATGTAGAACATGTCACTCAGTGCAACAGCTTGCCTGTTCAGAACGTATGCATAGATAGATAGATAGAGAGAGAGAGAGGGGGAGGGGGAGACAGAGACAGAGGGAGAAGAGAAGCGATTTAGCATCACTACATGTCACACTTACATGCTGTCCATATCTAGTATTGGTGAACAGTGCATTCAAGAAGCTGATATAGTTTGATTCCAAGGGTCTATCCTTCTCCAGCTTCATGAGCAAAGTCATCAAGTGGTAGATACTGGGTGCTTTCACAAACCGGTCATTGTAAGGAGACCGATGCGCGAGTACTTTGAGAGAGGTCTGCAAAGTCATCTGATTGGAAAGCGGCTGTTCAACGTTGGTACCATATTTCACCACCCACGTTGCCACTTCATCTGGATTCCATGGCAAGCGGGTCAAGTCCAGGTTGGGAAAGGACTTTCCGCCAAATTTGGGCATTGTCAGGAGCTTCTCGGGCTTCTCGCGCGATTCTATTGGTGCGCCAGGCTTCCCCAGAGCTACCTCCGCAGGCGTCAAGGGAAACTCCTTGCGCAGGTTGGATAGCGCATCTGCAGAGTGATATATGTCTCTTGTAGATCCAACGGGCCTCTGCACTGGTGCTTGACGATCTGAGATCAAGAAAGCGAGCAGAAAACAACGACAGGTCATGCAAACACACACATGTACGCACGCGTGCGCGCGCACACACACACACACACACACACACACACACGAACATGCGCACGTGCCACGGAGAAAAAAAAGGTTCAGGTGGTTGGGCAACACTTCTAAATATTCTAGTCAACCGTATCCCTCCTACTTGTTGTCATGTATTCTGTTTCTCCCCGGTGAGTTTTACCTGTAGTTTTTCTTGAGCAGTGTTTCTGCTAAGTCTTTTCCCTTGACCCCTTTTCACTTCCCTTTCATCCCATTCACCCTTCCAGGAAACTCCCCTGATAAAATATGCACTTACTTTTGGAGAAGCCTTCCAATAAAGTCTGATTAAATGAATGAATGCACAGTCCACGCACATGTATATATGTATATCATACGCAAAGGCAAGCGCTGCAACGAATGGTGTGAGGATGGAAGACTGAGAGATGATGATCGTGTTGAAACAACACTGTGCTGCCTCTCAATCAGCAGACGCTGCCAGAAAGGAAAATGTTTGGTACATTGCGGGCTCATCGGTACAGCAAAAGACAATGCATGGACATAAGGCAAAGTCGAAATGAAAGTGGCAAACCCAACCTGGATATCCAACGAGCTGACGGCTAGATCATGCCTTGAATAGTACTTTTTTATAAGGTGGAGGGGGGGGGGGGGATGATTAGAAGTCGATCAGCATACCATACCTTGGAGCAAGGCATCTTTGCTTGATATGGCCTCTTCAAACATTTCAAAGCCATCTTCTGCCTCTTCTTCCAATTCTCCCATTTCTTCAGCAGCAGCAAGCTGAGCTTCACGACCTGCTAGCCTCTCTGCCCTGGCAATGGCGTAATTGTCTCTCACCCGGTCACGCACCTCCTCGTCAACCTCCTCCACAACACGCTGCTGCTTTTCATGAAACTTTGTGTTGCGATTTCTCGGCGAACGGTAGTCATCGTACCCCAGTCCATGCTCCCTGAACTTGGAGCCATCTGTGGCGGCCGGTGCTACTCCACCTGGTGGTGGCGGTGGTGTGGGTGCTGAACCTGGCAACGGAGCCTCACCAGTGACCTGCGTCGTCACAGTCTGACCATCTTCGGTAGGAGTGCGCGAGAAGATGCGTATTCTGCAACACCACACACGTACAATGGTAACACAAGTACAATTAGACTCGGGTGGAGAGCCAAGGATTAATTTATAAGAAGAAATGAGGACCAAGGAACTACACGTTACGCGATAATGTCCACTAACACCACCAGTTACTTTACAATCAGCTCATGCGATAACATTGCACGTTACAGACCAACGGTACTGGTCTTGCCAGTATCGTCCTCGACATACATGTACATCCGCAATGTCCTTCACAGCTGAGACTTTCAGCTCGTGCTTGCCTTGGTTGCGCTCACCTTCCCCGTCCTATGTTATTTCTGACTTAGAACCTTCCAAGCTGGAAGGCTGTTGGAGTGCGCATCCAAGATGTGCTAGAGCTGATTACCAGTTAGGTGTAGGACGTCAGTACCGTCGGTCAGTGTCGTGCAATGTTATCGCATGAGCTGATTGTAAAGTAACTGGTGGTGTTAGTGGACATTATAGAGTAACTTGTAGCTCCTTGGTCCTCATTTCTACTTATAAACATACAATTGCTGTAGGATAGGGGTGGTAAGTTGAATAGAGAAGCAGTGCAGGTACCAGATCCATTCCAGAACTGACATGGTATCTATGAATCTATTCCACACATACATAGCATGTACGGATCCATCCAGAGTTGACATACTAGTAGTATGTAAGGATCTATTCAAGAACCGACATAGCGTCTACGGATCTATTCAACCGGATCTATTCCAGAACGGCATAGTATCTATGGGTCTATTCCAGAGCCGGCATAGTGTCTATGGGTCTATTCTAGAGCCGGCATAGCATCTACAGGTCTATTCCAGAACCGACATAGCATCTTTGGATCTATTCCAGAACCGGAATAGCATCTATCAATCTACTCTAGAACCGATGTATCATCTAAGAGCCATGCACATCAGTCCGGATTTCATTTGCCACAGCTGTAGCTTGCGAGGCTCACAAGCCGTACACAGTACCCACCACTAATGTGTTATGAGCCAAGAGGAGTTGGCATCAGTATGGTTGTGGCAACATCGGATGTGTGTACATGCATTGTGTGGTTCACATGGATTCCATACACATCGCTGGGCAACAGACTGTAAAATCTGAAAATGTGTCACCTGTGAGTGCCAGTTGCCGGCAGTGACAACTGCGGTGTGCATGGCGCAACAGAACTAGAATGGTGACGTCCATCAGAAAGTTCATCGCATGTAGTTCGTATATCCCATGCACTGGGGAGAGAGGCCGGGAGACACCCCAGCCGCTGTCCCAGTGTGGGTAGGTGACATGTGGACCAAGCCATACAGTATGCACTAGAACTTCTGGAAGTATTTACTGTGTGCAAGTTATGGTTTAGGTCATGGTGCACGGCCAGCCTGGATACCCATAATTATAAAGAAATGATTCAAATGAAGCAAACCTCCTAATCGATTTCCCACTAGCCATGGTACTGGAGCTAGTATAAACAAGCCATGCCCTAGATTCATACTTTCATACTCCTCTCACCTGTATGTTGGATTGCTTGAGTGAATGTACCTGCTTCCTAACTGACTTCTACAAATGCCAGATCTGTACAGTTGTCCCAGGGATTGCCGCTGGAGCAAGGGGCACCATTGTGAAGCTAGCTTGAGTGGCAGCATGTCGCTAGCACTATTCGTGAGCCAACATTATCATTCTACAAGCCAGCCTCCATCGACAGCTAGCTGCGCTGCAGGTTTGCTTTCAAGAATTAGATTATGTACTGCCACCAAAATAATAATTCTTTCAGACTGCACATGTCGTCATGTACACGTGATCACATGCAGAACTGAACAATAATGACGTCGGCCCAGCATGAAAACGGCATGGTAACGCGCACATGGCGGCAACGTCTCGATTGTTGCGATGACCTTGCAAGCTGACTTTTGAACCTTTTCCATTTTTTGGAAACAATTTTGTTTTCTTGGCCTGGCCTTCACAACACGAATTGTCTCAGTGCATTTTGTTGGCTGGTTGTATACCATGGTCTGTAGGTAGCGAAGTAGAATGTAGATCTTCATTTTATTTTTGCACTGGATTATTTGAGCCAAGTGGTTTGCGTTACTGCCGTTAGTGAAGAATTTTTTGAAGTTGGGCAGAAATGTATTCGTTGATGAGACAGCCTCATCGGCCAACTGCCATTGAACATTGCATATCATGCAAGTTTGTAACCAGTTCTGAGGAAAACTTGGTTGTAGCCGGCACCACACAGCTTCAAGTGTTTGCAATTCGCGAAGTTGAGGTTGGTGTGAAACGGTCACAAGTCATGCATGGGTCCTTGTAGTTGTTCTAAATTGAAATTCGTCCATGTTTGCTTCAACCTTTGTCCACTAAAGGCTGCAGACAAGAAGACCAAAGCAAAGACACGTGGATCTAGCTCATGTAGGTATTTGTGGAGTGCGTGGTTCACCGGCCATGTATCTCTTCTCTAGCTGGTGAATGTCACACAGTGCACACCCATCTGTGTAGACCAGGACACACTGAGGTCTACCATGAACTGCTTGCAAGAAGCAATGCATACATTTGCTTGAGACAGAGTCAATACATTTATACTGCGTTTACATGAGTGTTTTCAACCCGGGTTGAGTCAACCTGGGTCGGATTTCAACCCGCCATGAACACAGATTGACTGGAGCGTTTACATGACACACTGCGTTGACCCGAGTTGAAATCGAGAAATCGTACTACTGTACTTCTGTGCGTATTTCACACCAGGTTTGCACAGCACAGCACAGGAAAATTTAGCTCGAAAGTAGTCACGCGACCATACAGGGCTCTAGAAGTGGACTTTTGTCAGCATGTCAGTAATTGACCCGGGTCAACTCTCTTCATGTAAAGACCTAATTTTCCCATCGTACAGACTTTCAACCCGGGTTGAAAACTCTCATGTAAACGCATAGTGCGTAGTGCACTTTGCATGTACGCTCGTATCTCTCTTATCCAGGTGGCCCAGGACCAGGCACTGCCCACAACTTGGAAGTGTCCGTAACTTTGAATTGCATACGTTTTGATGGGGAAGGGCAAGATATCTGGCATATGACGTCACTATTTCCACAACAAATGGCAAAAGAGTAGTAATATTTCCACTCGAACTCACCGGTAGGGTGCCCGGTAGAACGAGGTACCCGTAACTTCGGTGTCCGGATAAGCGAGATATAAGTGTGTCGTGAGGAGAAGCGTCCCAGAGCATGTAGATCAAAACACCGAAGACAAATCAAGATGGCCCCGTCGTATACTCGTACAGACTGGAGCTTGACTGCTTCAGGAGTTCTTTCAACAAAGCACCATTGCCTCAAGGATATCAAGTAAGAAATCAAAGGAATTTGCTCTCTTCACACATTTCATCATGCAAATGTGCTTTAGTTAGTGTGATGAACAAAACAGCGGGACGGGCGCAGGTAGTTTGTGATTGGTCCGGCCATACCAGAGTCCTTAATACTTCCCCGTCTTGTATGACGGGTGCACATGACCTCCTTGGCAGTAGCAGTACACATGCTGTGATAGCCAAACAGTTGGTCCGGCCATGGCCTGACCAATCGGACCAGCTACAGATGTCATCATGCCGCAGCTGCGTACCATAGCTGCTGGTAGCAGCGGGTACTGGATGATCTGCCTGGGTCTGAAGAGACTGTCTTGGACACGTTTTAGTGTGTTCTTGATCTTGCATGTGTTTGTGTTAGCAGGGCAGCGACCACCACCCATTTGCTTTGAGCCATCTTTAGTCTGACTCCAACATGACTAATGTAACACCCCATGTGCGCGTGCGCGTGCGCGCGCCTGTGTGTGTGTGTGTGTGTGTGTGTGTGTGTGCATGCGTGTGTGCTCACGTGTGTGTTCGTGTTTGTATGTGTGTGCATGTGTGTACTTGACTATTCTTTTCCCTGGCCTTCAGCCTCTCCGTCATGCGGCGATAAGCTTGAACTGTTGTTCCGGTGCTCTCTTCATGGAGTTGTAACAGAGCTGCAGTCAGTACAGATTGGTGCTGGTGGTAAAGATGCATTGTTGATTGCGTTCGACGATGGAAAGGTAAGCGCCATGAGATTCTACGAACGCAAGATAGAGATACTGTATAGCCAAGATGCAAGATGCGTGACTTTCTTTGTTTTGTTTTTCTACCCGTTCACTCGAACCCATTCACTTGAACCCATCGGGTTTAGTGACGGATCGAATATGCAGTAAAACCTGTTTTTACCCGACCGCTCAAGGGACTTTCCCAATGTGGTCCCTGTGTACAGGTGGTCTCCGTATAGGGTCTTTTGACTGAAAATAGCATCCCTTGGACCTACATGTAGTTGTGGTAGTCCTCTTAGGCAGGTGATTACCTTATCAGAGTGTAACATCTTGGCAGGTTTTGCTGTAGTGACCTTTTTTTTCTTTTCTTTTTTTCAAATCTCCAGAAGGATATTTCCACTGTACACGTTTCTTCTATCCAGTCGTTGTGTAAGGTGGTGTCGGGAGTGGTCATGTTATTCAGGCTGTCTGATGTGTGTTGTCACTGCAGGTGTCTCTAGTGGAATACGACCCAGCAACACATGATCTCATAACGCTTGCCATTCTCAATGCTGAGCAGGAGATGTTCCGAGTAAGATTATGACTGTGTCTCATGAACTCAACAAAATATTTTAGCCGTCTGTTTTTTATTGGGAGCTCTTTCCGTTCGGGTTGCGTGGTTGGCTAAATGGTTAGTCTACTACAGTCCACTTCAAAACTATAGACGCGTAGGGTTTTTGAAATATTTCAAATTTGGCTGGGACTTTTTGAGAATAGTTTTCGGAATATTGCTCAGGACCGCTCCACAATTACTCTCATATAGTTTCTAAACGATTGGATAACAGACGCCCAATTTGGAAAAAATTATGCACAAAGTGATCACAGATTTTATGTGGTATAGATGCTGGCATAACGGTTTTTGCCTAGGTACGCGTCTATAGTTTTGAAATGGACTGTAGAGCATTGGCCTTTCAAACATGAGACTGTGAAGATTGTTTCCACCCTCAGGAGGCCCATATGGAATTTGGTTCCTGACTTCAGTTGGTGAGGCAATAGCGACGAGGGAGTAGAGACGAGCACCGCCCTCACTACGTCAATCTCATTGAAGTAAGAGGTGTCTAACACCTCCTGGCCACACAGTCAGAATTGATAATGGACTACCTTTACCTTCACCTTACCTTCCAGTTCTGCCTATTGCATTGCCAAGATGGAACTTTCTTGCGGCACGTAGACTTCAATGCTGCTGCTGCCATGGGTTGATTCATGGATATATACTTGTACAATGTAGATGGTGGGTGTGAGTAGTGCACAGTGCCACTGTGCCACTGTGCCACTGTGCGTAATGCCAGGACTATAGAGATTGTGTTTGCGAGGGAGCCAGTTGTTTACACCTTGTCTATCTGCACAGTGCATGATGTGCAGTGTGCTATCTGTTTATTCCGCTGTTGTGTGATAGGGTGGCATGTTCCATCCCACACTAAGGCCCATGCTGCGTGTCGATCCTGAGAATCGCTGTGCCGTTCTTGTTGTGTACGACCGTTACTTGATTGTGTGTCCGTTTCGCCAAGATGAGCAGCTAGCTGGGTAAGTCGAAAATACATCCCGGCGTCTATTTTGTCGCCTTGCTTTAGTTCATTTCAGTGTTTTGTGCCTGGTTCGCAGCTTTCTTCACCTCGCTGCAGATCACTTCCGTGCATTCTGCCTGGGTTGCAGCTTTCTACTACCCCACAATTCTAGACATGGCACATATGCATCATGCGCATATGTGTGTGTGAAGATATCACAGTAGTAGATCTTTTAGTACATTGTACTGTATGGGCACTGAGCTGAGTGTCCCTGTTGCAAGTGTCGACCTGATTCTTCCAGCTGGGTGTGTGTGATTGTTTTTTTTCTTTTCATAAATGGCTGAAAATACAGTCTAATGTTTATATTGTAGTCCAGTACACAACAGAACAACAAGGACAATCAAGGCTTGTTTGCTGCTACTTTAAGTTTCATGCTCACGCAATCATCAGGCAACATGAAGATCGGGTGCCGACCATGCCGGTATATATTATAGTCCAGTATAATGAAAAAAGAAAAGAAAAAGAAAAAGGCCCAACCCTGCCCTGCCAGTTATGTGGACTTACGGGGGTCGCCATGGCAAATAATAACAATTGTAATTCCAAATGTACAACTATGATGTACTTAGTACAGTCATGTCAAAAACCGGCCTTCAACACCGAAGTGAGTGTGTGTGATTGTCCATGTCACTGTGGCAGTGCACCTCTCTTAATATTATAGAAGCCATGCCTGCATTACCGGTGTATTATGACACCTTTGCATTTCGCATGTGAGTTGACACCCGCCCAAATCGTCCCCCTCCCCCCCCCCCCCCCCCCCCAACGGTTCAGCGCTATGCCTCACGCATAATCAATGTAAATGATCAGTCCCTGGGTTTTTATTATCAGTTGTGTGATCATGGCGATGGCATGAAGCACTTATGTGTTGTAACTTAAGAGTTAGAACACAATTGGACCTTTTCTCTTCGTATGTGTAATCATGTCATGATCTACTTATTACTAATGGTACAATACTCAATTCTCTATGTTTCGTTTTGTTGGTTTCATCAGGCGCTCTCCCACACTGCCTCATTATGAAGTGGAGTTACAGACTCTGGACTCCAAGTTACACAACGTCCTGGATATCCAATTCCTCCACGGTTACTTTGAGCCAACTCTTTTTGTCCTCTTCGAGCCAACCCGCACATGCCCTGGGTAAGTGTGTGTGTGTGTGTGTGTGTGTGCGTGTGTGTGCATTTCGCTTGCAAGTGTTGGTTTGTCCAAGCTGCATGTAGAGTTGCAATTGTATGACCACAGGTAGTATTGTATGTGGCCCAGTGGAGTCTTTCGTGGGAACTTGTTTACTGTGTATGTGGGTCAGTTGCCTAAGACATACATGTATAACACAAATATATACAGTAAAACCTGTAACTAAAGACCACCGTGACTAGCGACCAGCCTGGTACTACAGTAAAACCTGTAACTAAAGACCACCGTGACTAGCGACCAGCCTGGTACTACAGTAAAACCTGTAACTAAAGACCTCCGTGACTAGCGACCAGCCTGGTACTACAGTAAAACCTGTAACTAAAGACCACCGTGACTAGCGACCAGCCTGGTACTACAGTAAAACCTGTAACTAAAGACCACCGTGACTAGCGACCAGCCTGGTACTACAGTAAAACCTGTAACTAAAGACCACCGTGACTAGCGACCAGCCTGGTACTACAGTAAAACCTGTAACTAAAGACCACCGTGACTAGCGACCAGCCTGGTACTACCGACCACTTCGCCAGGCACGGAAGGTCTCACATTCAAAATGCACTGTGACTAGCGACTACCTGCTGAACGCGACCAGCGACCGCCTTTTCTTGTCCCAAAGACGATTTTTGACCCGTAACTAGCGACCGCGATGTGGGAAATCAAATGTTGCTCGAAGCTCCTTCTTGGAATTTTGCTGATTTTCCATGGTCCTGAAAGGAATCTTTCGATACTACAGCTGAACAAATGAACGCAGGTGACCGTGGAGTCGGTGTGGACTGCACTACACCTGTCAAAATTTCAAGCGCTGTCAAGAATAAACATGATAGGAAACGTCTTGGAGAGCGCATCGAAAGCGCTCTGTGATCGATATTACTTCTCGGAGGAGAAACGAAGACTGGGCGGCTCTGTCACCCCAGTCATACAGACGGATCGACGATGGCATCAAGGAAACCCGAAACAAAGCAGCACCACAAGGTCCTGATGCTGAAGGATCGCGTTCAAGCAATTGAGGAGTCACAACAAGGACAGTCGGTACGCTTGATCGCATGAAGAAATTTGAAGCCCAACGCAAAACGAAACTTCCCCAGGGAACGTGTAACTGCTACTTCTGAAGCCAGGAGTCAAACGTTCCCTGGGGAAGTTTCGTTCAAATTATTTGAAGTCTGCAAACAATTAATCTTCTCTCTCTGTGTCTCTATCCATTTCTCCGTCTGTCTCTCCAAGTGTTGTTTGACCCGAAATAAGAATGACATTGCGCAAGTCCTGGAGAATTGTATTAGCTGCATTTTGACATACATATCATATAATGGGATCCATATATGGTCACGCGGTGCAAACCTCTAACTAAAGACCACCTGCTACTAAAGACCGCTTTTGCCGGCACCAAGGGGTGGTCGGTAGTCACAGGTTTTACTGTATTTGTGAGATTACTGTGTGCGTTTGTAGCCGTCCGCTTTGTGTAAGTGGATTGCGTATTCTCCGCGGCCTTTCTTTCATCACACTTACTTCCAAGAGTGCCAAACATTGTTTGCTGTCGGCCTGGATTGTTCTTGCAGGCGTGTCGCTGCTCGTCGAGACACCGTGTCTCTAATCGCGGTTTCGCTGAGTCTTATGGAGCGAGTGCATCCTGTAATATGGTCGTTTGACAGTCTTCCTTTTGACTGCTTCAAAGCTCTACCCGTACCTAAGCCTGTTGGTAAGCTGCCAAAAAACTATTGCCTCTGTTGTCACTTTCTCGCTTTCTCTCCACTAGTCTGCCATCATATTATACAGTGTATACTCGTGTTTTCCACTACTGATGTTTTGTTTATTCTTGTTTGTGTCTGCTGTTGCAGGTGGTATTGTTGTGTTTGGAGTCAACACGCTGTTGTATCTAAACCAGAGTGTCCCAGCGTATGGCGTTTCTCTGAATTCCCTTGCCGAGACGAGCTCCAACTTCCCTCTCCGTAAGTATGCTCTTTCCTTTCAGGACAGCCATACTGTTTTTTTCTCCGTGAGCAAGCCAGTTGCGTACCCGAAGAAAGGCCGTGCACAGTGTGTCATGCTTGTTCTGTATACGCTGAACGTGCAGGGAGTCGTGCAACATCAACTTACACTTTCTGCTCTTGTGGGTGATTTTGTGATGTGATGACTAATGCGTTGTGCTTCATGCCACTGTTGTTGTTGCTTCCAGGCCAGCAGGAGGGTGTTAACATGTCTCTGGACTCAGTGCAGGCTTGCTTCGTCTCCTCCGATCGCTTTGTCATGTCTCTTCGAGGGGGAGAAATGTGAGAACCCCCCCCCCCCCCCCCGACATTATACTCTGGCTGTATTCATGACTACTCGAAGCTGTTGAGTTGAGAGGCATTCTTTTTTTTTTAGATAAACAAGACAAGTGATTTTGACTACTTTGAAATACCTTTACGAGGGTTATAATTGCCCTGCCAGGTGTTCTGCTGTTTACATTCCATGCAGAAAAGATAAATATCTTTTGGCCGTTCGTATGGTGTAAGTCATCTGACCGCATTGTAGTTTATTTTTATATTTTACCTATTATGCCATTTCATGATTTCTTTGTGAACCCTGTAGCTATGTGGTGTGTATCAAGGCGGACAACATGCGTATGGTCCGGGGATTCCAGTTTGATCACGCGGCGGCAAGCGTGCTGACCTGTTGCGTAAGTACAGCTGGCCAACCTGCTTGTCCTCTTCTCTACCCCTGTCTGCTCGTTATGGTTTGGGTGCTGTGAATGCATACAGGCACACTCGGTCATGAATCATCTACGTTTGTAATGGTAGCATTCTATGAAAGGCATTGTTGTAGTCAATACTTACATTCTGTTAAGGTGATGAACTTTCTTCTTTGCACTTCTGTTCATCGCTATTCACTAAGTAGGAACACCTGTATTTACTATGCACAGTGTAGTAGTTCGAGACGGCGCACGGCGAGTTGTCGAGGGGCTTTTTTGTGTGCGTGTGTGTGTGTTTGTGTGTGTGTGTGTGTGTGTGTGTGTGTTTGTTTGTGTTTGTATGTGTGTGTGTGTGTGTGTGTGTGTGTGTGTGTGTGTGTGTGTGTGTGTGTGCCTGTGTGTGCGCGCGCCTGTGTGTGTGTGTGTGCACGTGTGCGCGTGTGTGCGTGTGTGTTTCTTTGGTTACTTGTTGTGTAGATGTGCACTGTGACGGAGAAGTACTTGTTCCTGGGATCTCGTCTTGGCAACTCTCTGCTGCTACGGTGCACTCAAAAGTCGAAAGGTACCTGACGGAGGCTCCCTTGATTTAAAGGGGCATTCCGGGAATTTTTTCGGTGGTGTGTTCTCTTCATGGGGGCCTTATATAGCCCCCAAGAAATGGGGAATCACGAAAACTATACATGGTAGAAACGCAGCCTGATGAGGGCCAGGAAATTGGAGCGGACGACTTCACTGGTCGACAAGGAAATAACGATTGGTGTTCCTGCCAGAAATGTGGGGTGATGCAGAGGGCAGTCGATTACCTTCGCTGTCGAGAGAGCGCTGCAGCTGTTAGCATTGACAGCCCTTTGACATGCGTTACACATCACCCCGACTTCGCGTCAGCTTGTCTAAACAAAACTGTGCTGACCATATGCCTCACGGCGTATAGAGAATTTCGGGATCCTCGTACTCGGATCAGTGAAGTCGTCCGCTCCAATCTCCTGGCCCTCATCAGGCTGCGCTTCTACCTGGGGCACCTCAGGAGGTCCTTCAGGTTCCTTAGAGTATGTCCGCAGTTGTGAAGCTTGGGAATGTCGACCAAACATCGTTCTTCATCACCAGAAAATTCAAACAACTAAGATCTTCAAATGCAGAGAATTTGAATACTAATCACACGTGACGTCATCAAAACCATCTAAAGAGGAGACAAACCTGGCCCTCCCTGGCTTCATATATCGACTTTTTGGGTCTAGTTTTCGCGATTCCCCATTCCTTGGGGGCTATATAAGGCCTCCATGAAGAGAACACACCACCGAAAAAATTCCCGGAGTGCCCCTTTAAGCTAAGGCCTGTGGAGAATCCATAAATACAAATACAAAATACGAAATACCTGGAATAAGGGAGATGGTTCTTTTGTGCATTCTTTGCGCCTATTGGGAATCTGACCACTTCTGGAGTTCCGTAAAATTATCAGGGATAGCCAGTATCGTCAAAAGATGAGCAAGTAGATCATATTGGTGCCTTTTAGCCGTGTAATACCTGTTGGCGACAAACTGTTAGCCGTACAAGCCCATTCAGATACAAGTAGGTCCACGAAGATGTATTGATATGGTGGCAAGATATGGCTGCTCAGTGGATCACAGGACCAACCATGTCACATAGTACGTGCATGCTTGTGCACAGATGGTGCCTTGTGATCTACTTTGGAGTTGTTGTTTTGAGCTGATGGCCCGCTGTATATTTGTGTTGTAACGGGCCTTTTCTGTTCTTTTGTGTGTTTTTTCTATGATGTCCCACCCCCCAACTAATCTTCATCTTACCCAGCGGAAACATCATCCCAGCTTGTAAGTGCTATATGCCAAAGAAGACTTGATTTTTAGTAGCACCATCCACAGTTGCCCTTGTATCATGCACAGGATTTGCCTTGTATCGGTGTAGGATTTGCCTTGTATCTCCGTGTTTGCATTGGTCCTTGTGTTTGTCATGGTGACTGATATTTGTATGACTGTACGAGTATCTGTTATCTTGTAGAGTGGACTGGCCTTACTAGAGCACGACAGTGTCCATTGTAGCTTCAGGTGTGTAGCTGTGCTTAGACGTGTGTGTGTGTGTGTGTGTGTGTGTCCGTGTGCGTGCGTGCGTGCGCGTGTGTGTGTGTGTGTGCGTGCGTGTGTGTGTGTGTGTGTGTGTGTGCACTTTGGTCTGTTTTAGGAGCCTTCGGCTAAACGTCGAAACACAACATCTGACTGGCTTTCTTCAGGTAACACACCATCTGCAATTTGTCTTATTGTTCACTACCTCTCAGTCTAGTGCTGGTTTGTAAGCACATTTTCATCTTTATAGCACCTGTAGTTTAGTGCTTGTGTATGTCTGAGAGATATGAAACTTTTTTTCTCTTGCCATATCCAATTGACCAAGTACGGAGAACACGCACAGAAACTGCATCACTAATTAGCCCCTTGCATCACTTTAGCCATTGGCACGCGTCCACGGCCATCCGGAGACAGGTAGGTCCCTGAGGAACATCGATCACTAGTGCATTGTCTTACTGGCATCTTTCTCGCCAAGATGAGGACATATTGTCGAAACAAGAATCAATATCTGTGTGGCTATGATACTGATCTGCTGTGAATGCCAATCTGTGTTTTCACTTTTGTGTGTAAAGGTCTTGATGATGATGATGAGCTTGAGGTGTATGGGTCGTCTCTGGACGCAGACTCTTCCTCTACATCCTATGTGTTTGAGGTAAGAGTAGTGGATTGGCGTAGTGGAGATATCCCTATGTAACCATCAAGCGTGCTCTTTGGACTGAATGACTGAATCGTACCTGGTCAGGGACTGCAACCTTAGCCTCCCGCCATTGCAGTGGGTCGTCGGTAACTCTTCACTTGTTTAGCCTGGTTGCTTGGACATGACCAGTGTCCGGGATTGGAGATACAGTGCAGGTGCTGCTAACGCCTTGTCACCAACAAGCAGCTGACCTTACACTGACAGTGCTCTCTCGGGGCTTAGCTCGACGCATTAAATAACTTCCCCAGTGGCCAGTGCTGTACCAGTATACTGTCTGTCATAGACTGGCCAGGTCCCTACTTCTCCTCGGCTGAAGCTGCTGATGTACGAGTACAGTACACCGGGCCCTGTCATACAAGACCACCTGTTTGTTTGCAGACTGGTCATCTACTCATGCACCAAGCCATGTTTCAGCATACATGATTTTGCCATGCTTGGCTCATACCCACCCTCCTGACATTGGCCGGTGTTCCCACTGCGCCTTGATGTGTCGCAATCGATGAATATACCGGTTATAAAAAAGTGAATCTATTTACAGGGATCATTCGTCTAACATCCTGACTTCTGTAATTATTAGAGAGCTCTACTCACGGGTAGAGAGCACTATTTTGAAATTTTGAACAGTGGACTTCGAATACTGTGGACTGTTTTCATATACGCGTACATGAAAGCAGCAGGTTTGACACTGTGCAGTGCCGTACAGTGCAGTTGTGTGTCATGTGTTGGTGGTACACATTGGTATTCAGTGCTGCAGCAGGGGGTGGGGGGTCATTTTGTTTTGTTTTGTATATTGTAGTACTGTGGATGTTGTGAGTAACGTGCTGTTCCCATTGCTGGCTGTAGGTGTGCGATAGCTTGATCAATGTGGGCCCTCTCAGCAGTACATCACTCGGCGAGCCCAGCTTTCTCTCGGTACGTTGTGAGTGGCTGATTGTCCACAGCATCGGTTCATTGGTGGTGTATTTTAGCTGCTTTACTTCTTGCTGTGCCGTTTCTCCAGCCGCCTGTGCCGTTTGTCTTGTTCATGGTACTTCACTGGCTCAATTTGCCTCATGTAGCGTCCAACTGATCTCATCTGTGTTTCTTTCTTTGGACTTCTATTGTTTTCTGTTGTTTGAAATGGTGGCTCTGGTGGACTCTGGTGCTTTTTGGGACTTCTGAACTCAGGATGAGGTTAGTGCAGTAACTTTTAAGTTAGAGCTACTATGGCTGTCTTCAAGCTGAGAACAACTTGTCTGTTCAACTACATGTATGTGCCTGTTGGATATACGTTAATATAACCACCGAGACCTATTGTGTCAGCATAAATGTATTGATTTATTTTACTGGGAGGTGTTCACGTGAGATTCTGTATCTGTATGATGCCTGTTCGTCTTTGTGTGTGTGTGTCCTTCGCCAGTACCACAATGTTGACAAGTATGATCTGGAGCTTGTCAGCTGTTCAGGCCGTGGGAAGAATGGATCATTGTCAATTCTTCAGGTAAGACTGCCATTAGACTTGGGCTGAATGCATCCATTCTCACAGCATTGCTAACTTCAATCCCATTTATTTTAGTACAGTCTTTTGGCTATCCATAAATTTGAGACTTTTTTCTAGGGCTGAAACAATTATACCGATAGCTCGCATATCGATCGTTAAGAGTGCAATCGATAATCGTTATTTTCACAACGAGTGCTAACGATTTGTTACGCATGCATATCAGTGACAGTATTCTAGCCCTTGCACTCCATCCGATAGTGAATACAGTAAAATCATGTACTTTCAAGCGCAGTAATATTGATTTGTGGCTTTGAAAGAGATCGGGAGAGGAGACTTTGTCTTTTCGGTTCATTTGTGGAAGAGGTCGGAGATAGAGCAGTTGCCAGAGGGTGATGACAAGATTCTTCGCTCTCGAAAAAACATGAAATTTTCTAGTTCATGTTGATGAGCCAGCCAGATGTCAACAGTGCGGAGCCACACATTTCTAACGTAGCAAAGTTATCGTCGAATTTCTTCATAAACTGGTGTTCGAAGTACACGGGTAGAGCCGACAAGAATCGATAAAACCAATATATCGATCGTTAATGATATTGGTTGATCATTAGGAGTTAATGAATGATCGTTTCAGCCCTACTTTTTTCTGACTATAACGTTATTCAGCAACACTTCAATCAGCAACTCAACACTTTCTGTGTGCATTGTGGGTGTGTATGCCTGTTTTGTATACGACCCACAGCAAACGATTCGGCCGCAACTCGTAACCACGTTTGAGCTGGAGGGTTGTAAGGACATGTGGACAGTGCTCTCAGGCAAGGTACGTATTTTACCATGTCTGAAGAAGGTTCACACATGCCATGGCTGTGTGGGGAAAACTTGTACGTTTTCGATGCGGTCAACGTTTAAGTGTTTGATCTGTGATAACATGGACTATGCTTGCACCATCTTACTGACATCACAAGCCATACTCAAGAGCTTGTAGAGATCTTCTGCATGTCTTGCATGTGCATATGCTCATCATCGTGTACTATACACTATACACACTATGCTGTTGTTCAGGCCGATAGCAACCAGGCTGCTACATCACGATCGTCCACCCATGACGCGGACACTGATCGCCGACATTCGTTCCTGATCCTTGCTCGCGAAGACCATACCATGGTTAGTTGGCTACTTGCCCGTGTCCTGAGGCTGTCTGATGGGAATTATTGACACGCTGTAGATGCAGTGTTACTGGTAACACGCACACACACTGGGGTTCTCTAATCTTTGCTTGCAGCCTGGCATGTTCTTAAATATTGGTGACTTTCTAGCCGGGATATTCTCCGGCTTCCGTTCTTCAGCACCTGCATGTTGCTGTAAAGAAGTTTACTACTAAGTCTGCTATTGGTGTGTTTTGACGTAGTCCAGCTGGTAGCCAGCATCAAGTGCAGTGCTACTGAGTCTGGGATTGAGCAATACTGCCTTCTTTAGCAAAAAAAAGAAGAGAAGAAGAAAGAGTTCAGAACGTTCCCAGTATTGCTTTGCTTGTGGGAGCGCCTGTTTTACGTGTAGTGTTGGCCAAGCCATGATTGGTTCACTGTGTGTACGAGTGGTATGTGGAGAGCTAGCTTACCGTCAGCCACTAAACTGGTAGCACAGTTTGCTTCGTGTTACTCTCTTCAACCTTCCTGCATGCCATAATGAACCTAGCATGTTCACAATTTTTTGGCTTTTTCATGCTTTTCCATGCTTTTCCATGCTTTATAGATTTTACGAACGGGAAGTGAGATCCTGGAGTTGGACCAGTCTGGATTCGACACAAATTCGCCAACCGTGCATGCTGGCAACATTGGAGAAAGAAACTACATACTCCAGGTAAGCTTCAAGTGTCAACTAGCATAGTATATGTTATGCTTGCTGTAGGCTTGTGTCGTAGGAATCATTTAGATTGAGTTGCTTGGATAGTGCCTTTATGAACACTATATTCTGTTTCCTTTTTGCATACAAGAGTTAGTTGTGGGAAGTTGATGACCTTGAGTTATTGGGTGCAGTGTCCGTTCGTTGTTTCTCCCTGTAGTATGGTTGTGACAAGGTGACAATTTTGAGCTGGTTAAGGCAGTGGTAGTTGGTCCCCCTGTAGTGTGGGTCCTGTTAGTCCTTATGTTTTGCTCTGAAAGACCTTTTTATCGTTAAAACGCTTCCTAGAATGGCCCTGGCTTGTGTGTTCCGTTGTACTGTTAGGTTTGCCCGCAAGGTGTTCGGCTACTAGATGGAGGTAAGCTGCATGGCTGTTGTTGTTAGTGGCCATTTTGCTGCAGCTATGCTGCATGCTTTGATTCTAGAAACTGTTCTGAAGGATTTTGCGACTGTGCTGCTGCAACCCATGGTGCGGACACCTGTGGAGTAGGACTTGGTATGGCTGCCAGCTCATCCTGTGCATACTACAGTAGGTATCGGTTATAGCGTGGGTGTTTTGAAAAACGACTTTCTATTCTTATTTCCAATATTTCTTATTTCCAATATTTCTTACACACGATAAATCAAGTGTAACATATTACAGTGTATGTGCATGTGCGCAGAGCTAGAGGCAGGAAGATCATCGTACATGCAATAATAGTGCTACTGTGCATGCTGCTGGTCATAGTCACATACGTGACATAGGGTTACCATGTGGCTATGCAACATGAGTTACATACCACAACAGTTGAACCTGCAGCACTACGACCCAACACGAGTCAGATCAGAACTGCATTGGACGGATGTTATTACTTCAGGCGATATACTTTGCACTAATCTGGCATGTTTCGCTACACAAAGTCCATTCTTAGGACCGATATATTCTATTGTACGATAAAATTGCTTGTAAGAATAAATGTGCACTTGAAACCCATGTTATGATTATGAAATCAAGAGAGTTCATTCTTGTACTCGAAGTAGCCAGTATATTCTTTTACACGACCACTCTATAACCGATACGCACTGTATGTTCACGGCATATTCTCCATACCCAACAGGCTCTCCACTGTCTGCACCTTTTTGTGGATTTGGGGCAAGGAGTGTAGTATGCGAACTGGTGTTTCCGGTACATGTACAGTAGTGTTCAAAGAAATCCCATCAAACGAGTCAATGCCACACCGGACGCTGTGCAGCCCTATGCCTGCGAACACCGGGGTGTTCACTGGTGCATGGCGCAAACTTGACTCACTCGATCTAATTTCATTGAGCAGCACTGACGTACCAGTATCTGTTTCACTTGGTTAGCATAACTGGGGAAGTGTGTAGTGCCTTGACATGTTTAGCACCAGTCATTCAGATTCTTGGTCCCTCATAGTCGTCTTCTTTGTCTTCTTTGGGTGCTTTCCATCATTGTCTTTGGTTCCTGGCAGAGAATGAGATTCAACATGTTCCCCTAGTGGCATCGGCGCCAATCACTCGTTGTTCGTTGGCAAGCCCATACGCTCTGCTACAATGCGAAGACGGAACAATACACGTGCTGTCTTTGGATGAGAGTAGTGCGGCACCGCAGATAAGCATCAAAACGCCGTCTCTTGCTGATGTAAGTTAAGTCGACTCTTTGCTCGTCTTCCTTTGCTAGATTAACATGTGTGGAGCAAAGTATTGATGTCATGCGTGGTGTAATGAACAGGGCAGAATCTGTTGAGCAAGTAACTTCTGAGTATCCAAAAGACCCTGCCAGAATCATGTGTGGTTGAGCAGCCATAATGGTGATGTGGCCTATCAGGTAACTCCAGTGTAATATACTTCCAGGGACCATGAAATGACTGCTCACTTTTAGGCTTAGCTGGTATCGTGCCCCTCTTGCTCACAAATCTCGGCATCTCAGACTAGATTATAGCTTTTTCACACAACTCAAACTAAACATAAAGCTGCACGATTAAGAAGAAAAAACCAAGAAGCAAAGAAACGCCTCCTCTGCATTATGTCACATCATGAACTGAGTAGAGTATGGTGATAACATCACACCGGTGGAAATCATAAACAGCATGCCATTTTGTATCGGGCGGACCAGCCTCACCAGGCGGGCGCCACAGGAAACACTGAGCTGGCTGTCCTGCCGGATACCGGTATGTCTGCACGTGATGAAACATTTCTTTTGCGTCAGCTGCAAATGCAGTGACAAACTGGTGAAAGTGCATCTGGATAACGAAAACGATTTAAAACTGTTCGAACAGAAAATAATTGATTATTGTGGACAGCAGAGTTTGTTCAAATTCACACTTGCAGAAGTATCAAAACTCTTGTTTCTCACACTTGATGTGCAGTGAATTTACTGATGCAGCTGTAACATGACAAGAATGTTACTACTACTAAGTGCTTAAATCCTATGCAACGAGAATAGTTATGTTGTGTACCAGTGTGTCGTTGTTCTGAGGTTTGACAGTTGTTGTGCTGTACTGTGCATTACGTGTGTTGGTGTTGGTTGTTGTTGGTTGTTATTGCCAAGCATGTTGCTGCTGCCTTTCTCCGTTGTTTGGCTATAACAGTCGTCGCCCATCACGTCCAGCTGTCTGTACAAGGACACTGGAAAGCTGTTCAACACTGACTTCCTGTCCATGGCTGCTGGGATTGCACGTGAACGACTGCGGCGGCGTGCCTCTTCGGCTGCAACGGAAGTCAAGAAAGAAATCGTGCCCGGTGTGACCCCGATGTAAGTACTTGCTAGTAGTATGATTTCCTGGATTGTTTTCTTTGTCGCTGTGGATTCGGCAGGACACAACTCCCCTCCTCAATGTTGCTACATACAACACATTATTCTATCTGAAAATCATTTACTTCTTTTTTGAATTACTTTCTTCGGACACGCGAAGGAGGATTTTCTGTAGCATGTGCCGTATTAGAACCTTTAGTAGCTGCGTGTAGAGCGTGTACACTTACACTTGTAGCATTTTTTTTAACTGTACCCACTATGCTATAGGTCTGAGCTAGGCATGGCTATGATTCTTTAGCTTCAGCCAGGTGCAGCTTCACTAGCTGAGCTTCAGGCAAGAAGACCAACTTTGGGCAAGAAGAACATCCCCAGTGTGTAGAAACGAGCAGTGTTGCCTCTGGTGTGTGTGAAGACGACTGCACTGGCCACCGAAGGTTTGTGTTCGAACACTATATGGAGTATGGCCGATGTACATGTACGTACCAGCTGGAATTGCAGCCTGCCAAGTTTATACTGGTGGCTAATCATGTTCGCTGTGTGTATGATTCCTGTCCTGTGTTCTGCATGCTGGGTTTTAGAACTAGCATGACAGCAGAGGAAGAAGATGAACTGCTCTACGGCGGAGCTGATGATGCAGGCAAGCCAGCACTCACTGTACCAGCAACCATGATCAAGGAAGAAGAAGACCCTGATGAAGCCATGCTGTAGTAAGTAACATACTTTGGACTGTTGCCTTTCTCTCTTCTTTCCTTTTGTCTTGAATTTGTCTGTCACTCTTCGCTTGCCACTTACAGTCAACTTTGCGTATAACGACACTCGGCGGGGCATCAGAAAAGTGTCTTTATACCCGAAGTCTCATTATATCAAGAGTACATAACCCCCCAGAGTGTGCAACGCCTGATCCAGCTCTGCATAGGCATGTAGGGTCTTGGTCGAGCGGAATCGGATCTTTGCGTCATAATACCGTACACATCTGAGGGGAACCCGGGGAGTCGCGGGTACTCTTGGATCAAAAACAATGGTGCCCTGCCTCGAGACCGGCCTTGCGCTGGTGTGAAGTGTACGCATGACATCAGAAGATCCGATTCCGCTCGACCAAGACCCTACACAGAGCTGGATCGGCGTTGCACACTCTGGGGGGTTATGTACTCTTGATTATATGCATTACAGTTAGATGGGACTTTGCTCTGGGCATGGAAATTCTGTCGTTATTCGCGAATTGTCGTTATATCCGCGGTCGTTATTAGCAAAGTTGACTGTACCGTATTTTCCGGAGTACAAGCCACACTTTGTTGAACACCAGTGATTCACTGCCAAAAGTCAGTGCGGCTACTACTACGATGGTGAAATTAACGGTGGTAAATGGGACAGATGTCTGTATTTTGTGACAAAAAATCTGGGTGCGGATTAGGGCATGTTCGGTTGGCTGGATCTGGATCCAGATCAATCGGATCCACTCGATATGTGCACGTTCGTTTCAACGAGTCCGGGTACAGAGTACGTTTCGGCAAAAAAAGAATCCAGTGGATCCGGTCAACTGTTACTCGGCTCCCGCAGTAGGGTTGGTCGGATCCAAATTGGTTGGATCTGGACCCGGATTCGTTGAAACAAGCGTGCACATCGTGGAGTGGATCCGATTGATCTGGATCCAGATCCAAGCAGTCGAACATGCCCTTATACTCCAGTGTGGTGTATACGTTTCACGATGTCCGCGGTACACGTGCTCAATCATGCCACTCGGCCTTTTTTTAAATGCATGGTATGCGTTGACTGTTTTCACCCGAACATTTGTTGACTGCAATTTTTTAAATAGTGACATATGCAGCAAAGAGACCGTTTTGAACATTTGAGTTGAGGTTCTATGCCCCAAGGTATGTGTGTTTAGCCTATGTAGCAAGAGTGAATGTACATGTATAGCCGTGTGTGCACTACTGTCAAGTAGTAACTGGTCTGTTTGCTGGCGTACTTGCAATGTGTTCAGCAATGATGGCGACAGCAATGCAAGAGAGAAGGACTCGACACAACCCAACATCACCTACTGGTGTGTGATCTGCCGTCAGTCCGGCTCTTTAGAAGTAAGTGTCCTGGTATCAGCATGGATATTATATGTGTGCATGTGTGTGTGTGTGTGTGTGTGTGTGTGTGTGTGTGTGTGTGTGTGTGTGTGTGTGTGTTTGTGTGTGCACACATTTGTGTGTGTATGTGCACAAACACATTGATACTCTGTATGTAATTTTAAAATCGTAAAACCACTTGAAAAGAGACCTGTGACTAACAAAATGTAGGTCCAACGAATTCCATACTTTCAAACCACTGGCCCAACTAACTTGGAGTCAGCCATTTGGGGATAGAATTTCTATTCAGATACTGACAGTGCTTGGTAGACAAGAGGGAAGACTGGCAGCTTGAAGACCTTGTTTACTGGTGCTTTCTTTCTGATGTTGATGTACCGCAACTGAGGCCATTGTATTGCATGCTAGTCGGACGGGCCGCTTGGCTGTCCACGGCTTTTGTTTGTCACTGCAAGATTGTCATGAACGCCTGCTTGCCTGAACCCCTGAATGCTAATACGATGTAGATGCTGGACTGGGCCAGTTTGTCATAGTATGTCCTACGTGATGGCCGGGGTGTGGCGAAAACAAAACAAGTTACCTTTAAGCCAAGTCCAACAAAATGGAGGGGTGGCATAGACGCCAAGTAGCGAATCGAGTTCCAAGTAGGAAACCAGTTGACTGCGCCGGGTGATCTACACAGAAGGCGTATTCCAAACGACCACGAGATAGCTGTAGCGGTATTTGTGAAGTACTCCAACATACGCCGTGGGCAAGGTGAGTTGTTAGAGTGAGTCTTGCCGCGAAATGATAGGAATTCATTAGTAAATCTGCAGTGTAATTAAATAGAAGAAATCACACTATCCACGACTGTAACAAGATGATAAGCAGTCAGAAAGTGTGATAACAGGGCACAAAACTGACATGTTACTCGTTTCCATGTGATTTCTTCTATTCTAATAATATATTTATTGGCTCCGTATCCGAGTTAAATCTGCAGTGTATTGTTCTTTACTCGCGCTGTACACGCTACGCGTTACTGTTGTTGTGTGTAGATCCTCTCCTTTCCCAACATGAATTCCGTGTTCTCTATGCGCACCTTCTCAAACGCTCCGCGCTGCTTGGTAGACGGAGGAGCAACCGATGGATCAGCCAGCACGTAAGGAGAGGGCTTAATCAAGGCATGTGTACTTGCTTTTGGTGTTAGGCGCCCGTATTGTAGCTTGCGTTCATACTCCTAGGTTGTACTGGTTTTACGGGGGCCAAGGAATGGAAACATTGACAAATGCAGTGCAAAGGTACCGACCCGCTTTTTTCACCCAGTGCATGTCTGTGTACAGAATCTGAAGTACATGTAGATGCACTACAAGATCATGAACACAGTGTCTTATTGTGAACACCTAATCACCATGATGATGTACTGTCCTATTGTGATGACCTAATCAACTTATTCGATGAGGCGGAGCTGGGCTTCACGGCCCACATTCTATGTACTGTCCTATTGTGAACACCTAGTCACCGTGGCTGTACTGCAGAATTTGTGCAGCACAGGCACTTGCTAAAAAGGAGCATATCGTATTCACGCCCATTTTCTTGATTGTGTTTTATTTGTGTGTGTGCGTGTGTGTGTGTATGCGTGCGTGTGTGTGTGTGTGTGTGTGTGTGTGTGCGTGTTGTCAACCCCGGTCCTCGATAAACTGACGACTGGGGCATTGACTGCACACAGATGCGATCCCACAAGCAGAATGTAACACAATAGGTGTGTATATGTGGGAACATACACGAGTGCTTGTGTAGAGAAGCGTACGCAAGTGTGTACACACATGTGTGCATCTAACTTTCTAAGCTACTTCGAGTACTCTCACCACTGTCTCTGAGACCTCTTCACATTTCCTTCTATCTTACCCCAATGATCCTCCACTTGTATGTGACCAACGTAACCTCTAAGTGTCTTGCACATGCTGCATGTCTGTTTGGTTTGCAGAGCCGGTGATTCTTCTGATGCAGTCTCACCCATTCTGGAAGTGATGATAGCCGGTCTTGGTCCCAATGGAACTAAACCGTATCTCCTGGTAGGTCTCTCGGCATGTATTACTATTACACGTTGCCCAACTAACCCACACTGTCAGTGTTGCACTGATTCCTGTCAGTAACCTCCGGTGGCTTTTACAGTAGTATCAGTACTTTCACTCTTGCTATCATAGCGATGAACAATTGTAGTTAAACTTCAATATTCTCTATTTCAAACTTCAATATTTTGTATTAGGGAGGTTTCGCTCTATGTAATTACATATGAAAATAGCGCAGGAACTCCACGTAATTTTCATACGTAAAACTCAGCGCTGTTGGGTTTTGCTCTACGTGATTGCTCCACGACTGCTAAGCCTGCCTTGTTGCTTTGGAGACACGCTGGCTGCATGCGCCCACCGCATGCACCAAGAACCGAAACCACGTTTTCCATTTTGTTTTCCGCGTGGTGTGTACCTTGTGTTTCGCGTGGCTTGAACGTTGCCATGGATAAATTCGGAAAATGCGAAAAAATATTTCATATAGTTCTACGGAGGACCCAACATACTTTGAAGTAGGAAAGAGCTTTCCTACGGAAATCTGTAGAGAGATTTACGTATGAAAGTTGCCCTCGCTCCCCGGCGCGTACGACATGTGGATTTTCATACGTAATTACGTAAGTCAAGGAGTGGCAAGAAATGCACCTGGTCTTATTTGTTCACTTCTGCTTTGAGTAGTCAGATGTTTCGATGAGAGAGGACGGAGCCCTCTGTAGTAGGTACTTGCAATAGTTCATTGTGATTGGTTACAGAGTCGTGGCTAGCAGTAGTATGGTGAGGAGTTGCAGTGCGGTTGGTTGTGCGAATCGTTTTGTCAAGGGAGGTGACATTCATGACATTCCACATGTTATCCGTGGCACTCCGGAAATTGTATCTTTGTGTAGGTGGTGGGCTACGATAGGTGCTGGCTGCTGTCGGGGAAGACTTTGAGGAGAAGAACTCAGCATGGTCTGATGCACCAAGAGGAGGCAGATGTTGAATGTGGTTGAGTTGGTTAGGGATGTTGCTCGCGATAAGGTCTAGACAGCTGCCAAGTCCAGACGAGCGGAGGTGGGTGGGAAAGGTCACCGATTGGGTCAAATTATAGCATGAGAAGAGGTTGTCAAGACTCAGACTCTGTGCATCCGTCTGGTCGGGAGGTGGAAAGAATTTCTTTACAGATTCCCAACAAGTGAGTTTTTGTACTTGTAAAAGAAAAGCGAAATGGATTGCTGCGTTGAATGAAAATAACTGGAAACCCAATTCCTCCAGCCTTGTATGCTCCAACCATTTCATCTGTTTCCAGAAGAGTGACCATCCTCTGGTGCCTGATTTCATCCCGTCTGTGTTTAGTGAGGAGGGTCGGAAGAATGCAGAAAAGATTTTGGAAAATCTGATCACCGCTGGGCTCAATTGCTTGCAGCAAATCCTCTTCAGTCTGATCAGAGAGAAGCACAGGTAGAAGCGATAGATACCGGTATACCAGCTAAACCAGCGGCTTTACAACGCTGGTCGTGTGTGTGTGCGCGCGCGTGCGTGCATGTGTGTGTGTTATACCTCATCTTGGTGTGCTTCTCTGCAGGCTCGTTCTGCACAAGATCTCCAGATTTACCAGGCATTCCCGTACCCATCAAGCTTGCCCGGTGAACGTCTCAATGTCCGATTTACTAAAGTAAGGTTGCTAGCGTACTTTGCACCAGCATGTGTGTAGTACTGTTGTGGATATGGGAATGCAGTTGAATGACCGGGGCCAGCACCCTTACTTGCTTAGCACGTACACACACTGTAACACTGTAAAAATGGACCAGCAGTGCTCACGACTGCATACTGGCCAACCCTCCCGGTTTTCCCGGGAAAATCCCGGGAAATCAACACTACTCCCGGGGTCCCGGGGATTTCAATCAAACTCCCAGAAAAGTCACAGTTTTGTCTGATACAGGATTTTCCTGAAAACTCCATGGATTCGCCTCGAATGTCCCGGTTTTTTTCAAAAAATGTACTGTGCCCGGCCCATTCGCACTTCAAACTGTGCATGGCACTTTCAAGACCTGACCAGCCTAGCCTGCAAGATCTGCACTGACGAAGTGACAGGCGGGCGCCGACTGATCTAACTGCACAGCAGGGTCGAACTGTTCAGTACACAGATCTGCAGAGTCGAACGTTTTTTTGGCGGGAAAAGCTATTTTTCACTAGTTGTTGTGCCATCCAGGGAATTTGAGAGAAATCCAGGGCTTCTGCATGTCTTGTCAAGGGATTTAGATTTTGGTGGTTGGTCAGTATGCGACTGCACAGCCAGCACCCCGCGTCCACTTGACGTCTCACGGATTTCAATGTCCGCAACAGTTCATGTAAAACTGATGTTGAGGTGAGGAAAGTCCATTGCCTTGTGTGGACGCCTCAATGTCGACAAAGTCTTACGGTTAGCCCATGAGTAGCCAAAGTATCCTTCTGACTTCTGTATTTTTCAACTGCTTCCATTGTTTGCATGCCTTGTTTGTTTGTGCATGTGCGCGCGCGTGTGTGCGTACGTGCGTGCGTGTGTGAAGGTCCGTCATGATATTGTGCTACATGACGCTAAGTCAACATCTGCTGCGGGTGCAGCATCGGCTGCCAGCAACAGCACAGGTAAGATGGTAGTGCCTCAGTGATGGCTATTGGTTATTGCAGGCATGGCAGTAGTACCTGCCTATGTATATACTATATACCAGGTGGTGAATCCCGTCCCCGTACACGGGGATTCTACAAGAAGTGACAGAACGAAACGTGATTCTTTTCAGTACGAAGCAAGTGTGCACGGCAGTAATGCTAATGTTGTCTCATCATCATACTGAAAGCATACTTGTTCAGGGTCTGTTTGGGGGGGGGGGGGGGCTGTTGGGTGCAGCAGGATGCTGACTCCTGATGAGTCCTGACGAGAACTGTAGTAAAACTTTTTGAAGGGATAACCACCATGATGTGTTGGAATTGTATTCATGCTCTCTGTGTCAGGATCTAAGGACTGTGTGTATTCGCTTTGCTCTATGCTTGGTATCAGGGTCTGAGTCTAGTGATGGCACGGAACCGTTCACACCACTTCTGAGATGCTTCAGCAACATTGGATCTCATAGCGGAGTAAGTGACTGTCTGCAAAGATGTTTTCTTCTGGTCAAATAGTCTCCGTCCGCTGTGCAAAGGCCTGTACAGTAAAACCTGTCAAGACGACCACTCTGATGAGGTGACCACCTGTGCACAGCGAATCCTTTTGAAGGTCTCTCGAGCGATCTCTTGAGTATTTACATTTACTCATACAGTTATGTTAGGTGAGCTCCGACCCAAAGTGCGTATGCGGCACCCTGGACTTGCACAGCCCTTGACACCCTGGAAGTGGTGCGAACGCGGTTGGACGTGCACATGTACAAATGCAGTGATGTAATCGGAACTGGTCCAGGGCACCAGCTTTGCGTTTCGGGTCGGGTTTCACCTACACTCATACCTCGGTTATCCGGACCCCGAAGTTACGGGCACTTCGGTCTACCGGGCACCCTGGGGGCAAGTTTCAGTGGAAATATTACTACTCCTTTGTCACTTTGTGTGGAAAAAGTGACGTCACATGCCATGTTCTGTGCACACTTGTGCACTTTCCCCATCAAGATGTATATGATTCGGAGTTACGGACATTTCAAAGTTACGGGCAGTGCAAGGTCCCGGACTGCCCGGATAAACGAGGTATGAGTGTATTAGTAACACATCTGTGCAAGTAATGTACTGTCAGCATCATAACTGTTAGTATTATGTGTTGTGCGTGTATAGAGCAGATCAGTTGTCTGATGATTGCCTAGCGGCCTGAAACTCACAGTTACAAGCAACCTGAACATCATCCGCTCAGTCTGCTATGTTCTAACCTCTGTCTATGGTATCGAGCACTCTCTGCAGCTCGGGGGTCAACGGATTTGTATTGTGTGTATGTACATGTGTACGTGTGTCTAGATTTTCTTCTGTGGTCCATCACCACACTGGATATTCATGACGCAACGAGGTGCGCTCCGCTGCCACTCCATGATGGTGGATGGACATGTCACGTGCTTTGCCGCCTTCGACAATGTCAACTGCCCTCAAGGCTTCCTCTACTTCAATGCAAAGGTGAGACGGAGCAGCAGAGACGCTGTTCCGAAGACTTTACTTTGCTGGAGTATTGGCTTAAAACGGCAATCTCCCTTCTGGCAAGGGATGTGTGTAGGTTGAGTTATACCACCAAATAGTTGTGTCTACGTGTTCTGCAGTGCATACTACAATCAGTCTGATGATCACCCAGTGCATGAAACTTCCAGGCACAGTAAAACAGCATCTTGCCTCCTGTATTCATGTGTTCTGTATACCAGTACCAGTGCCCTCTGCTGACTCTGTCTGACTGCTGCTGCTGCTGCTGCTGCTGCTGCTGTTTACTGTGTGGATGTTATCATGGTGTCTGTTTGCAGAGTGAACTCCGGATTGCAGTACTGCCACGTAATCTAGTGTTAGACTCTGACTGGCCGGTTCGCAAGATACCACTGCGCTGTACTCCTCACTTTGTTGGCTACCTGCCTGAGCCAAAGGTATCATATCATCATGATCATGTGTACTTTGTGCATGTGCACACGCACGCACACACATGCATGCATGCATGCATGCACGCACACACAACATGCATGAGTGAGTGAGTGAGTGGGCGGGCGAGTGAGCGAGTGTGTGTGTGTGTGTATGTTTGTCTGTCTGTCTGTCTGTCTGTTGGGGGAGGGGTTATCTGCAAGATATAGGCATCCTAACTCAACCAAACAGCCTTGTGTGGACAGTCGGTGTCCTGTATTGGTTATCATCTGTGTGGTGTGTTGATGGCTTTGGATGGGGTAGGCCATCGTGTTTCCACACATCAAGTGCTTTCAGAGCATCTGTGCAACTTGTGCCTCTTCTGTTCTGTAGATCTATGGTGTGATCACGAGCAAGACTATGCAACGCAAGACCGCACCACATCTTACTAATGATGATGCTGCTGTACTGGCTCCTTTGGAAGAAGGTACAGCTGCCATCATCCACGGTCACGTGAATTTAGTGAGAATATCTCTTTGAAAGTAGTGACCGCTGCCCACTGTTTGATGACTTCTTTCATACATCTGTACAGAAGAATATTTTAAAATTTGCATTTTGCCAGTCGAAGCTGACCTTAGGAAGATTTTGTCTTGCCCAATCTGAATGTTTTCCGAGGTGGAGGCGAAAGGGTACAAGTAGATATGCATGTATGGCAAAGCCATCTTTATTGAGATCCATAAGTTGTTTTTACGAAGAGCCAGTGCGAGTATGTCCTAAGCTGTACTTGGGACGTTGTGTGTTGCCAGCTTACGGTATGGTTCATCGTAGACGTACATCGTCTGTGTTGGCACTGTATCAAGTGCGGTCATACCTGCCCATGTCTTACTGTGCTGTGCCTGTCCACGCTTTACTGTGTTGTGTGAATGCTGTTCTTGTGCCTGCAGGCGAGCGTTTTGTTTTTCCTGAGATGCTGACATATAGTCTACAGCTGTACTCACCGGCAACATGGGAGACAGTGCCGAACGCCACGTATGTACAGTCTATCACTCATAGCTGCTGCTGCTGCTGCTGCTGCTGCTATCTGCTTCTCTCTCTCTCTCTCTCTCTCTCTCTCTCTCTCTCTCTCTCTCTCTCTCTCTCTCTCTCTCTCTCTCTCTCTCTCTCTCTCTCTCTCTCTCTCTCTCTCTCTCTCTCTCTCGCTGGCTGGCTGGCTGGCTGGCTGGCTGCTTAGTGGAATGCAGAGTGCTTGATTGCATGTGTATCTGTGGAAACTGCTATAAAGTTCTATTTATGCGGGTTTGTTCGGTATTGCTATCCCACTCTGTTGATGGCTTGAAACCTTTATGAAACTATTGGTTGCTGTGCCTGCACGTGTGTTTGTATGTGTGTGTGTGTGTATGCGTGCGTTTGTGCGTGTGTGTGTGTATGCGTGCGTTTGTGCGTGTGTGTGTGTGCGCGTGTGTGTGTGTGTGTGTGTGTGTGTGTGTGTGTGCGTGTTTGTGCGTGTGTGTGTTTGTGTTTGTGTGTTTGATGATAGGGTGGTGTTTGATGAATTTGAGTCGGTGGTCAGCATGCAGGTAGTGCGCCTACAGAGTGAGCAGAGTGTCACTGGTCTCAAGTCCTACCTAGCGCTCTGTACCTGTTCAGAGAAGGGAGAGGAAGTCACAGCCAAGGGCATGGTAAGAATACTGGGAAAAACGTAAAATTCCGTGTACGTGTAACTGTTGAAACACACATGTAGTAGAGAAGTAGCAGTTGTATTTGTAACTCCGAACTTCACGATAGAACGATCATCAGACACTGGACATGCAGGGAGGTGCTTTTTTTCTTTTCTTTTTTTATAAACGAAAGTCCACTATATTGCCGAATATGTGCGAGAAGTGGTGGCGGGGCCAGGCTGCTCCTTAAAGGTCTCGGCGTCTGGCCACCTAATGTTACGTTACACCTGAAAACCCTCCGCACCCCTGACAGCTCATTTATACTAGTACAGTGCTGCTCAATGCAATACAGTCGCGTCACTCAAGTTTGCGTCTTGCACCATTTCGCAGCCCAGTGTTCGCAGGTCTATGGCTGCGGAACGCCCGGCGCGTACTTGAGTGACGCTGTGACTGGATTTCATTGAGCAACACTGTACATGTACGTGCGATTTGGTGGCTATATGGCTGCTTATGTAACTTGGGTTTTGTTTTTGGACCCTGGATACCAGTCGTACAATACCCCCCCCCCCCCCCTGCATATGGCACATTTCACTCGTAGCTCTCTTCCTGTGCACTCCTTCCCCTTTGGTTTGACCTGGCTATTTCCTAGTCCGAGATTTTCCACACCTCGTAGTCGCAGAGGAGCAGCCTGTATGCTTTCGATAGGAATTACTACGTTTTCGTGTCAATGCGTTGCTATTCTCCTAGTTCGGGATTTTCCACACGTTGTGTCAATGAGTTGTTGCTGTTCTCTGTGGGATTCTCCACACGTTGTGTCAATGAGTTGTTGCTGTTCTCTGTGGGATTCTCCACACGTTGTGTCAATGAGTTGTTGCTGTTCTCTGTGGGATTCTCCACACGTTGTGTCAATGAGTTGTTGCTGTTCTCTGTGGGATTCTCCACACGTTGTGTCAATGAGTTGTTGCTGTTCTCTGTGGGATTCTCCACACGTTGTGTCAATGAGTTGTTGCTGTTCTCTGTGGGATTCTCCACACGTTGTGTCAATGAGTTGTTGCTGTTCTCTGTGGGATTCTCCACACGTTGTGTCAATGAGTTGTTGCTGTTCTCTGTGGGATTCTCCACACGTTGTGTCAATGAGTTGTTGCTGTTCTCTGTGGGATTCTCCACACGTTGTGTCAATGAGTTGTTGCTGTTCTCTGTGGGATTCTCCACACGTTGTGTCAATGAGTTGTTGCTGTTCTCTGTGGGATTCTCCACACGTTGTGTCAATGAGTTGTTGCTGCTTTCTGTTCTGTTTTCTGTGCTGTTTACTGTGTGCCGCTGCCGTCGCCGCCGTGTGTTCAGATCAAGATCTATGACATTGCGGAGGTGGTGCCCGAGCCAGGAAAGCCACTCACCAAGTACAAACTGAAGGTGAGTTGTGACACGTGACTGCTCGTGACTGCTCGCAATTCCCGTCCTTCTCTTTCCCTCTTCAACTCTGTCTGACAGTGAACTATTGTGAGTTGTAGCATTGTTCAATAGCAATGGCTGGTTTTGAAAGAATTTTCACTACCGATGGCTAGTCAAAGAATGTATTTTCCTAGCTGGGCTCTACTTACCAACCTAGCTTACGAGTTATCTGAGTCTGTACTAGATGTTTTTATCATAGTTTTGTTGTTGTTGTTGTTGTTGTTGATTACAGCAGTGCTCTCATCAGAGTCCTCACTATGACTGTTGCCTTCTCCCTTGCTTCTCTCTTACCTGTCCGGTGTGTTTTTCCATGTGCAACAGACCTGCTACGATAAAGAGATGAAGGGTCCGGTCAGTGCTATTGGCTCTGTGCAAGGCTATATGGTGGGAGTTGTTGGGCAAAAGGTGAGTGCCATGCTAGGAAAACAAAAGTCTGATCTATTATCTAGCAACAAGAAGGAGGAATTGTGCCGCAAGCGTTGTTGACATGAATGGTTGTATTGTGGAACCACGTGTGGGACATAAAACGAGAATTGTGGAAAGGATTGTAGTTCAGGGCAGTTTTTTGGTATATCTGTTCCATTTTGTTTAGCTGGCGGATCTGTCTCACTTCTTATCGTATCGCCAACGAAGCAGCCAGCGTGTCTGAGTGCGTATTACGCTATGTTGTTTGTTCCTGTTTGCACAGGTGTATGTTTGGTCGTTCATGGGAGGCAAGGATCTGCTCGGTGTGGCGTTTGTTGACACGCATTTGTTTGTGCACTCCATCGTCAGTATCAAGGACTTTCTTCTCGTGTCAGACATCCAGAAGAGCGTCTCACTGCTGCGGTTTGATGTGAGTGTGGATGGCTTGTGCCTTGATATCATTGCCGCTGTAGACGTTTGTTTTTGTAGGCAGTGGTTTGGCCACAGCCTTGAGCAGTATGACACAACTGGAGTGCTGAAGAACAACGATATATTTCTGGACAAAAATATTTCGGAGGAATTGATTGATGCATGGCCGTGTGGGGTGTGTTGTACTGAAGTAGGTGTTGGGTAGTCTTGGGTTGCCCCTCCTCTGTACAGTCTTACATCATGCCAGCAGAATGTGTGTGTGTGATGTTTGATTATAGACAGGTTTCTGCATGCATGTTAGGAATTCTTTGCCCATGTCTGTTCTCTGCAAAATCTTGGACAATGAGTTCAATAGGAGAAGCTTGTCTGTCGGAGCCATGGAAACATGGGCTGAATGGAAGAGGTATAGGGTGCCCTGTGGGTGTGGGAGAGATCTACTGTAGAGAAGTGGCTGTGGTTTCAATAGCAAGTAATGTTACGATCAAGACTGTACACCTAGTGTGTGAAGACTGTGAAGAGCACCGGTATGTATTGTTGGTAGTGGTTCACTGGTCATCTACCTTATTGCCTTATTGGACTAGTGTGAGAATGTGCTTGTTGCTCCAGTGACCTTGCCATCTTACCAGTGACCACCAGACACTCTGGACACTCTGACAGCATTGCTATACTCTCTATGCTTACACTGCAGAAAGAAAACCGGTCATTGTACATTGTCAGTCGGGTGAGTTTCCTTCAGCTGTGATGATTAATGTTGTCCTTGCTTACTTCGCTGTCATAATAGTATGTTGAGTAGTGTGTCAACTACTAGTATACTGGATATGATGATAGAGTATGCATGTGGGTGTATGGCTGGGAGAGAGAAGAACTCGACTATCACAACGTCGCCGCCGCAGCAGCAGCAGCCGCAGCAGCCGCAGCAGCAGCAGCCGCAGCAGCAGCAGCAGCAGCACATTGCAAACTGACCAGACTCTGTTGTCCGTGAAACTCTGCCATTGCTTTGTCCTATAGGATTGCCAGCATTTGGAGGCAGTCACATCCAACTACATTGTGGACAACAAGAAGCTGGGCTTCGTAGGTGAGCATCTCGTTGTGTTCTCTGGATTGGTGCAGTGATGGTGGTCTAGTCTGCTGCACCATTTGTGCACGCATGTGTGCTATTGTGTACGAGTGTGCGTGCGCGCGAGCGTGCGTGTGTGTGTGTGTGTGTGTGTGTGTGTGTGAGAGAGAGAGAGAGAGAGAGAGAGAGAGAGAGAGAGAGAGAGAGAGAGAGAGAGAGAGAGAGAGAGAGAGAGAGAGAGAGAGAGAGAGAGAGAGAGAGAGAGAGAGAGAGAGAGAGAGAGAGAGAGAGAGAGAGAGAGAGAGAGAGAGAGAGAGAGAGAGAGAGAGAGAGAGAGAGAGAGAGAGAGAGAGAGAGAGAGAGAGAGAGAGAGAGAGAGAGAGAGAGAGAGAGAGAGAGAGAGAGAGAGAGAGAGAGAGAGAGAGAGAGAGAGAGAGAGAGAGAGAGAGAGAGAGAGAGAGAGAGAGAGAGAGAGAGAGAGAGAGAGAGAGAGAGAGAGAGAGAGAGAGAGAGAGAGAGAGAGAGAGAGAGAGAGAGAGAGAGAGAGAGGAGAGAGAGAGAGAGAGAGAGAGAGAGAGAGAGAGAGAGAGAGAGAGAGAGAGAGAGAGTGAGTGAGAGAGAGTGATTGAGCAAACAAGCAAGTGAGTGAGTGGAAAAGTTAGTGAGAGGGAGACTGTTGTCACCCGTTATTCTGCGCTGATTGTGTGTTTCTGCATGTGATTGTGTTGTTTGTCCGCATACAGTCAGTGACATGATGAATAACCTGATAGTGTTTGGTTACCAGCCGGAGGCTCTGGAGAGTCAGGGTGGTCGTCTGCTTCTGCGACGTGCCGATATACACGTTGGTACGCGTGTCAGCTCTCTGTGGCGCACTGCAGTCAGACCAGCAGCCGTGCATGGTCGAAAAGGCTTGCAGCTGGTTGTCAGGCGTGATAAGCGACACGTTACTTGGTTCAGTAAGTTGTAAATGCACTTTCAGAACTTTCCAGAGTTGCACGCCCTGGAAAGTTCTGTGCTCTTGCATGTATGTGTGGATGTGTGGATGTGTGAATGTATAATATGATTGTGGGTCAGGCCCAACATTTGGTAGATTGTACTGCTGCCCTGGTGCCCTGCTGCCCTGCTGCTGTTTCATAGAATAATAATAATTATCAAAGTGGTCTGTTTCACACCGACCAGTTTCGTTGAAAACTGTCCTCTCACTCTCATTGACATCCTCTTGTCAGCTTGCTGATTTGTTTTGGCTGTTTGGTGTTGGAGTACTCTTGGTTCAGGTGGCATGGATGCAGTGTAGGTTATATGATCCCTTTTTGGTGTTGGTGTACTGTTGGTTTAGGTGGCATGGATGGCAGTGTGGGATATGTTATCCCAGTTGCTGAGAAGACATACCGGCGACTACTTCGTTTGCAGGACAAACTGATCACTTTCCTGCCTCACTATGCTGGCCTGCATCCTAAAGGCTTCCGGTACGTAAAGCTGACCGTCAGTTTATCAGTTGTCATTGTTCTTGCTGCTGCTGCTGCCACCGCCATTGCTTCGCATTCGTAACTGACATTAATTTTGTTTATATCTGGCATATCTCGTTCCTCTCACCCATCACTGAGCTGTATGAGAAGAACGTGTTGTGGGGTGTATGTCAGTGTGTATCAGACTATAAGTATGAGTGCTTGCTTTTTTCCAAGGCGATGACCTGTTTGGCACATCTTGATGGCACAATGAAGACTCTTGCAAAATGTTGGCCCGGGCCGATCAACGTAACGGCAGGATTCCGCACTTTGACTTGTGTTTATTCTATTGATAACTGGTCCATATGCTGCTGATGTGAATCCGATGTGCAGGTTGTTGCGTTCCGCGCGCCCTGCTCTGGTCAATCCGCATCGCAATATCCTGGACGGTGATCTTCTGATGAACTTTGTGTATGCGTGCAAGACCGACCAACGCGAACTTGCCCGGTCACTTGGTACCACACCTAACATGGTGAGTGGCAAGCAGACTCCATGTATGCGTGCATGCCTGCATGTCTGTATGTCGGTATGTCTGTATGTCTGTATGGCTGCATGCCTGTATGTCGGCATGTCGGTATGCCGGTATGCCTGCATGTCGGAGTGTCTGTATGTCGGTATGCCGGTATGCCTGCATGTCGGTATGTCTGTATGTCGGTATGCCTGTATGTCGGTATGTCTGTATGTCTGTATGTCGGTATGCCTGTATGTCGGTATGTTTGTATGTTGGTATGCCTGTATGTCTGTATGTCGGTATGGCTGAATGTCTGTATGTCGGTATGTCGGTATGTCTGCATGTCGGTATGTCTGTATGTCAGTATGTTGGTATGCCTGTATGCCGGTATGTCGGTATGCCTGTATGTCGGTATGTCTGTATGTCGGTATGCCTGTATGCCGGTATGTCGGTATGTCTGTATGTCGGTATGTCTGTATGTCGGTATGCCTGTATGCCGGTAGGTCGGTATGTCTGTATGTCGGTATGGCTGCATGTCTGTATGTCGGTATGGCTGCATGTCGGTATGTCGGTATGCCTGCATGTTCGCTTGCAGGGAAGAGAAACTACGCAGTAACTTAGTAGTAGTCCGCATGCACTGACCCCAAAAACGCTGGAATCTCCAAGTTTCAACCACCTTGGAAGCTCGGAGAGCTTTGATAGCTTTGGAGAATCTTCTACTTGTAAAATTCAGAGAGGACCCTTATACGAACGGTTCTCCAACTTTTCGGAGAGTCTCGAACTTTTCCGAGAGGATTTAGAACGCACCGCGCTCGAATTGTCACTCTTTGACTTTTCGAGGAGTTTTGTTTTTCTGAAGAGGTGGCCTTTTGGCCTCTTCAGAAAAACGAAACTCCTCGAAACTCCACAACCTCCTCATCCGATCGGAGAGGTGGATTAGCTACGTCACGTAGTACGTGGAGATGGTCGATCTGTTCGGACGTGATCATCGCCATGACAATTCCACTGAAAACTCTAAAATGATAGAAACCGTTCTAATGGGACACTTCAACTAATCTCTTTTATAAAATTGTTCGAACAGTTGATGAAGACAATTCAAACGCCCCCTTAGTTTCTCTATTGCCGATATGTGGGGCATGGATGCACATCATAAGATCGCCTGTGTAGCGGTCTGCAAAAACAGTTTGCTTTGTGTGTTGTGTTTCACTGTTGCTTGTAGCGGCGGAGTTGCAGACTGGTTGTAGTGTGCTCTTCTGTTCACACTGTGTTGTTGTTGTTGTTTGTTTGTTTGTTGTTGTTGTCGTTGTCGTCGTCGTTGTTGTGTTTGAATTTGAATTCTTTATTCTCACGATGTTGTTGTTGTTGTTGTTGTTGTTGTTGTTGTTGTTGTTGTTGTTGTTGTTGTTGTTGTTGTTGTTGTTGTTGTTGTTGTTGTTGTTGTTGTTGTTGTTGTTGTTGTTGTTGTTGTTGTTGTTGTTGTTGTTGTTGTTGTTGTTGCTGCTGCTGTTGCTGCTGTTTCTCAGATCCTGAGCGACTTGGTTGACGTCAGCTATTCATCGTGTGTCTATTAGCCACTTACCCTAGCTTGGGTTTGTGATGTCATAGTTCACCAGTAGGCATTGTGACTGTGTGGACATACATTGCAATACCAGTACGCTGTACATTGCAATACCAGTACGCTGTACATTGCAATACCAGTACGCTGTACATTGCAATACCAGTACACTGTACATTGCAATACCAGTACATGTACATTGCAATACCAGTACACTGTGTGGACATACATTGCAATACCAGTACACTGTGTGGACATACATTGCAATACCAGTACACTGTGTGGACATACATTGCAATACCAGTACACTGTACATTGCAATACCAGTACACTGTGTGGACATACATTGCAATACCAGTACATGTACACGGTACAGACACCAACTGCCGCCGCCACCGCAACCAGCAACATTGGAGATTTGACGGCACTGTTCTAGTTCCGTACTGCGTGGATGGCTGAATCCGGCGAGCCTAGGTCACAGCCTAGGTCACAGCCTAGGTCACAGCCTAGGTCACAGCCTAGGTCACAGCCTAGGTCACAGCTTGTATTGCACTATTGGTGTTTGCTGGCACTGCTGGTCTTTGCCCGCGTCAAATGTATGTGTTGTGTGTTGCATGCAGCAGCAGTACTGGTCTGAGAAAGTTCTTGGCTCAGCCAGCCTATTACCTTGAATTTGTTGCGCTTTTTCTTATGCCGTGCTCCATTGTGTACATACATACTGACCTTCCTCGTGTTGTGGACTATTTCTAACTGCTTGCACTTGAAGTGAAGGGTTTTGGAGGATTGGCATCTCGTTGTACAGTTAGTTTCTATTCACCTTGTATACATCCCCTGCCCCGTTTTACCTCCATACCTCTTCCGGTGTGATTCCCTGCACGGTTCTGCCACCGTCTGCACTGACCCCCCTGTGATCAGTTTATTATCATTGCTACTCAAGACCTCAGCACTTTCTTAGAATTATATTCATCATCGGGCCATCGGTCAGCCAAACCATGGCCACTACCACCCAGTGGTGGCCAGGAGAGCATGCAATACTCAGCCAAACCATGGCCACTACCACCCAGTGGTGGCCAGGAGAGCATGCAATACTTGTCATGATTTTGACTATCAACATCACACAACAATAGTGGTTTCGCGTACCAATACATGCACACGTGTTGTGAGTAGTTTTACGTGAAGTTTTTTTCAACTTTCAGAGAACTAATTTCTTCATGAAACATGCCAGGACATTGCATACTGTGTAGTACGATAGTATGAAGATTCATGTAATTTTTGGCTTTCTCATAATAATAATAATATTATATTTCCTTGCATACTGTTGTGAGCATGACATCTGCAGACACAGACCAACACTTGTACTTCGATGGCTGTCACCAGCTACTGTATAATTATGCGACTATCAGCTAAAATGACAGTGGAGGGCAGCAGTTGTTAGTATAAAGGAGTAAAGAAAGTAATAGCAACGAACAAATCAGACGAGCAGCAGTTTGGTTGATAATAATAATGATTGTGTTTGATGTGAGGTCCCTTTGGTTTGGTCAAGACAGGTAAAAAACAACATGTCAGATTTATGAGAAATCGTCCTTATCAGCAGTAGCACAATATCATAGCGTCACTGCCACATCCTACTCACTGGTATAGACTGCAAGTTGTATGCTTGCTGCTGGCATTATGACCAAGTCTACAAGTGCTGCTGGCTTAGTGTGCAAAGAAATCAAGGCCCAACATGGCAGGTTGGTAACAACACTTTTCAACAAGAACAAGTAGAGAGATACAAGACAAAATAGAGGGGGGGGGGGGTATACACAGGACTATGGTGTGAGTAGCAACAGCGGTGGGTATGATAAAGCAAAACTGCACAAAAAGCTCGAGAAGAGAGATATAGACAAGTAAATGTACATGGATGGCATCACCAGCTAGTCAAGCAGAGTCTGAGAGCCATGTCCCGGCCTTCAACAGGCTAGGCTAGGCGAAACATCGATGATCCAACGCCTCGAGGATCTGTTGCGAGTACGAGTACTGCCGCGAGCTTGAGCTGAGCAATGAGCACACTTCCCTGAACATCACTCTCAGAGCAGTTAGGCCTGCGCGTGTCTCATCCGTCACTTGTCGACCCTTCGGTAATGTCAACTGTCAGCAGCAGCAGCAGCACCAATCAGACACACCCACGTGAATGAGACCAACATAACACAGGTTTGTGTCTGTACACAGACTACCGTGATGTACTAGTACTACTGTACAACCACACCGTTGCAAGCACACATCCACCTGTGGTGCCCGGATGCGGATTCTGACCTGGGCAAGTTGAATGAGTCTGACTAATAGTCATTAAGATTGTGGTGAAGATCTAACCGTCCTATCTAGGGCTCAAACGGTTAGTCCGATTAACCGGTTGCAGACCGGTTACGAAGAATTAACGGTTAACCGATAAAGATAACGGTTACGCAGTCCGGTTACGAAGAATTAACGGTTACGCAGTAACTTTTCAGTCAATTTTTCAAGTATCAGGTCGTTGCAAAGTATGCACTTTCGCAGGCTGTCGCACGCGTACCCAATTTCTGGGCTGTCAACTCGGTCATATCTGGTCGACACCGGTCTCTTGGTGTGAGAGTATGTATGAATGAGCATGCAAGAGAATGTACATGTGTGCGTTGTACTGAATAGGGTACATTTTTTGAATGAGTATAGTCAAATATACGGTTAAAAAAGAGTCCGCAGGATTGCCGTGGCTTATAGGCTATAACCGTTACCGTAAGACATGTATATATAACGAGGAAGCAAATCTAACGTTTTAACGGATGACATTTCTTCGTTATAATAGATCCATTGAGGCCGTACTGCTTCATATATGCTGTGTGTGTATATGGCAGAATACTGCAAGATTGTTAACATATCTTCTCGTTAACCTATGAATTTTGGACAATCGTTAAATGTGCGACTCGTTATAATAACATGTCTTACAGTAAACCGACCGTGAGCTTAGCAGTTATCCGTTAGGGGTAAAACCGGGACCGCTTGAGCCCTAGTTCTATCTATACCCAGTACTACACAGGACAGTAAGTACTATTATCACATGCACCTGCCTGCCTGCCAAACTCTGTTCTCCAACTGGTGACACATACTTTGTATGTCGTTCAAAGCAGGGAGTGTACAATACCGGTATTGTACTACTCCCTGGTTCAAAGTGAGCAAGTACCGTACTCGCGTGATTAGAGCCCCTGGCCTGGGGCACTATTTTTTCAATATCCCTGATGGGGGCACTATTCAAGAGAGGGCACTGCTTTTTTCAATGCAGGTACATGTACATGTACCTTTATGTATCCAGCATAAAGAAGGCAAAGGAAACACAGAGCCTAAGGTTTACTGTAACTATCAGGACTCAACAGAAACGGCAACAAAGACTGCGATATTGATCCTGAAGTCACCAGTGCAACATCAAACTTGCACATGTGCTTGGTAACAAGCGGGGGGTGGCACTATTCAAGAGAGGGCTACATTCTTCACTGGCTCTTAGAGACTGGGGCAATATTCAAGAGAGGGCTCTAATTGCAAGAGTACGGTACTACTAGTACACAGCAGCACAAAAGACTGGCTCATGGCAGGACATCACGGCTACACACATCTAGCAGTCTTAGACACGAGTACGTAGCTACACACTACAAGTCAGCAGCAGCAGCAGCAGCGGCATACACACACACACACACACACACACACACACAACTCACCTTCACTTGTAGCATGGCTGACAAAGTGGGTGTCACGCGAGCCATAAACTCAATCTGCTGCTGCTCCGTGAACAGCTCGGTAAAGTGGCTACGCAGACGTTCGCTGGCCAAATCGAATAGTTCTACGCCGAGCTCACGCGTATCCTTCATTGGTCGAGCCAGCTGAGCAGGACAGACACATTGCAAATGAGGGAACGCAAGGACTGAGCACATGAATATTCAGCAGTAGCAATGATCAGAAATAGTTGAATAGTCAGCAGTAGCAATGATCAGAAATAGTTGGCACAGTATAGGCAGTGGCAGTGCTAGTTTGCAGTGCATTGGTAGGATGATACACAAAGACTGTGCATCAACTCACAACAAACACATGTCGTTTTTCACCCAACCCATGAACTTACCTGCACGGCTTGCCTGGTACTTCGTTGATCGCCCAGCCTGTAGAGTTCAAGGACAAGTCGTTGCCGTACCAGATCACCTTTCATGTGTAGTAGAGTCAGCAGTGCTTCAATTTGATCAATACCGCCCTGGCTGTGCACTGCAAATGGGCATAACTGGCACAGTGCCTATATACACATACACACCGGTAACATACACACACACACACCAGCAACACGCCACTGAAACCCGATCCTTGGCAAAGAGAATATGGGCAGGCAGGCACTGTGAAGCTAAAACAGAAAAAACATGGCAACACACCAGCTTGTGCATTGAAATGGAGTTTGTTGTTCCTTGTGGATTACAGTCCAGACTTCAGCTTACTATGCTATCTTACTATGCTATCTCCTCTCAAAGACCCCCCCCCCCTTCGCTTTTCGGCATGGGGAGGATAGCTTTCAATTGGATTCTTCATCCGTTTCCCATGACAACACGGCCTAGAACATCCTCCATCGTGTTCAGCGATCTCGCAGGACGGTGATTTCATCTCAAGCTGCGGGATCGCTCTTCATTGCACTTTCAACATGTTGGCCTCCTCGTGGCCCACATGAAAGAATTTCCCGGACCTAGTTTCAAGAGCTAGGCGTGTTTCAGATGATTCGCTGGCCACACTGAGAGATTGCGCCTGACGGAGACATTCGTTCAATGTGAGCTGTGGTCTGGTACTCGACTCGACGCCATGAAACCAGAAAGAAACTACTAAGGAGTGCTGTTCTGACATGGACCACGTCAGTGAGCGGATTGTACGCGTACTGCACTAATGCATACGAACAGTTAGCTATGGGACTGTGAAAGCTAGTCACTAAAGACCAAGCGGCTGTAACATCATGGTATTGTGTTGAGAGCAAATTGGAGTTTTGGGAGTTCTGCCTTTTGCACCAACAGATCCGGTAGAAATAAGTAGCAACGTTAGAGACGTGTGCCCGTCAAGGGCATACCTACAACACCTGGGAATTGCTCAGCAAAGGCCAACACCCCTGGGAGTAGTGCGGAACCCACGGGGGGATCGACTCCAACCACCAGAACGAGCAGCAGCCACCACATTGATGCTACATGCATAGTCATCCCCTCAACGTTAAAATGCTGGTCACCACCAGTAGCAGAGATAAAGAGCACCACTCAGACAATTATAATCCCCCTGCACACCCCCCCCCCCCCCCTCCCCCAGCACACAGAGCAGAGGTACAGCAGCAGCAGCCTACCTTCTCCCTGGTTAGCTCCAGCTCATCACTGATAGGCAGAGCGTATAGATCACCAGAGGGGTCACATAGTGGTAGCGTCAGCGCCTCTCGAGCCTGCAATACAACATTGCAACGCGTGCAGGGTAAAGCAGAACCGGCAAAAACATGGAGAGAAAGAAGACGAAGAGAGGAAAGAGCACTCCATGATACAGAGCATACAAACATCCTAGAGGCTGTCACCAACAGTATGTGTAACTGCGACTATGGGTCAGTGGTGCCCAGTCTACATTACACAACTTGGTCTGCATCACATCCTGTACTGATACACTCAAAAGCCACAATCTCTGGTGCCAGTACATCCAGTTCGGCTTGATCCATAATCCGAACATGATCCACAGATTCTCTGGGTGCACAAACTTCAGTTCAGTGACCTAACTCCGAAAGCTAATTTCCAACAATAGAAAAAGAAAGAGTGGCATTTGATTTTTCTGCAGTGTGTGGATGTACGATGTAATGCGGGCGGTACACTGCACAGCTGGCCCATAGAAAGGAGATCACAGTTGCATACCATTGGCTCTTGGTTAGCGACTCTTGATATACCCCAGGCACACAATCAGACTGGCCCTCACAGTCAGCAAGATCACCTACAGTATCTGCAGGACTATCAGTAAATGTGAAGGATGCTCCACATTCATATTTGGTGAATTTTGGGAGACAGGCATGTGAGAGTGAGTGACGTCCTGTGCAGCAGCGGTATGCATGCAGTACGGCTAGACTCTACCAACCAGCAGTACATGTATATAACTACAGTACTGCTCAATGAAATCCGATCGAGCGAGTCAATGCCACGCCGGGCACACACACACGTGCACGTGCACGCACGTCCATGCACGCACATCCATGCACGCACACAAAACCACTCACCTTGACCGGGAATAGATTTGACGGCTTGTACCTTCCCTCAAGTAACATGCGTGCATGCATGATGGCCAGTAAATCTCGCTGTAGTTTCACAAGGACGTGGCTAGGTGGCTTCTGGTAGCGCAGTCTAGAAATGACGTACGCTCCTGGCCATGAGTGCCACCCACTGTCATGGCAAAGACAACAGCAGCAGCAGCAGTGAGGAGAATGAGAAGAAGAAGAAGGAGAGAGAGAGAGAGAGAGAGAGAGAGAGAGAGAGAGAGAGAGAGAGAGAGAGAGAGAGACAGAAACAGAGACAGATACAGGAAGGCAGAGACAAAAAGGCTCTGTTGTGTGGCATGTTAGGAACTGTAACACAGTGCATATTGCATTTGGGCAGGCCTCATTCATGGTATCTTGTATGGTATCTTGTATGGAGGTATGCCAGTGGTTTGAGAACAGTAGATCATGTAGTTCAAGTTCGAGCCACGTTGTTGTAGAGCTTTATTTATTTTTTTCTCGTTTTTCATACGTTTTAGCAGGCAACCTGACAATCATCATGAATGCCTTACTGCATTTCCTTGTTTGGTGCAATTGCATCAAACCTGTAGTCACATGCATAGCTTCTGATTGGCTAGAGAGCGCTTTTTGCCAGGTAAAAGTAGGGCGTTCACACACCAGTTCATCCTCTTCTGATTCAGTGTGATTCTGAGTCTGCTTCTGATCCTCAGCTGGAACCTATTGGTGAGTGGTGATCTGAGGATTCTCCTTGTCTGCTGCCTGGCCCACTGAGGCCAGACTACATCTGGTGGCAGCGGTGTTAGGTTCTGTTGCTTGTTGTTTGTTTGGTGGAAGATATCATACCTGCGTGCAGAGATGGCTCAACAACAGCAGGCAGGCAGCCCACCTCGTCTCAGGCCGTGTGCTACCCTGGACAAATTCGATGGCAGTGTGTCTGCGGATTGGACAACCTGGATAGCGCACTTCCGGCAAGTGTCTAGAGTCAATGCCTGGACACAGCAAGAACAGCTGGACTATCTCCCTCTGTACCTGGTTGGCAACGCTCAGTCATACTACGGCTCACTGACTGACGCAGTGCAAGGAGACATTGCACAGCTGGTGGCAACCCTGGAGGGCAGATTCTCGCCAGCCGTCCGAGTTGATGTCCATCGAGCTGAGCTCAAGGCCAGTCTACAGTACTAGATGGTACTACAGCAGATGACAAAGTGGAGAATCACTCCGTTCTTGACATCCTACAGGACAAGCATCCTGCAGCCAAGCCACTCAAAGAGGACACTCTGATTCCTGGATTATCCCCTGAACCACCGCACACTGTGATCTTCTCTGCAATCATCAGGGAAGTGATCCACCAAGCTGCATTGCACACCAGCGGTGCTGCTGGACCGTCCGGCATGGATGCTTCAAACTGGCGCCGTATGTGCACAGTGTTCCACGCAGCATCTGACAACCTGTGCGATGCACTCGCCTTGTGTGCACGCCGCATTGCATCTTCGTATGTGGATCCTGAGAGCCTGGACACGTATGTTGCTAGCCGCTTGATCCCTCCGGACAAACAACCGGGAGTACGCTCACTAGGGATTGGCAAGGTAGTCAGACGCATCATCGGCAAAGCCATCCCGAAAGTCGTCGGACCGGCCATTGAGCAAGCTGTTGGCTGCTTGCAGCTTTGTGGAGGCCAGGAACCTGGATTGGAAGCAGCCATCCACACCATGCGGGAGGCATTCACCACTCTCTCTCTCTCTCTCTCTCTCCGCCATTCCTCTCCCCCCCCCTCTCCCATGGTGCTTGCTGTGTACGCCGATCCCGAGACCCTTGGTCGGGGGAGTCCACTGCATCTCACCAGCGCAGCTCATGTAGCGCCTACACACCCATTGTTGTCCTTTTTGTTTCGTCTTCGTTTTGTCTCCCCTTCTTCCGTAGGTATGTGCAATGTGATAAAAAATAAAAAAATAAAAAAATTCACTCAGTCCTAATCAGTCTGGTTTCTGTAGAGGTGACTCCACCGTCCTTCAACTCTGCCGCAAAATGCAAGATATTTATTCATCTCGGGACAAGGGGAGTATGTTGGATTGTGTTTCTTCGATTTGGCCAAGGCCTTTGACACAGTGTGGCACCGAGGTCTGCTTTCCAAGCTTTTTCATTCTTTTCGTGTAGCCGGCTTAGCTTTGAGTTGGTTGGCTGACTATCTTACAGATAGGTTCCAAATCGTAGCTGTAGATAATATGTACTCCAACCCTCTACCTGTTCTTTCGGGAGTGCCACAGGGCTCGATATTAGGTCCTCTGTTATTCATTTTATTTACCAATGATTTGCCTAGTGATGTACCCGATACTTCCTTGTACGCTGATGACACTGCACTCATGAAATTCGAAGCCTCACTTCAGCAACTTCACCTATCTCTACAGCTGTACATAGAAAAGGTCGTGTCCTGGTTGCGTCGCTGGCACCTATCCCCCAATCTCAACAAAACCAAGGCCCTTATCATCGGTTGTGCGTCGGCAGATAACATTGCGTTGTATTTCCCAGGATCCCCCCCCCCCCAGCCTATTGAGATGGTGAGCAGTCACAAACACCTAGGAGTAGTGATTGATTCTGCTCTTTCTTGGTCGGAACATATGAATTCTGTGCGTTGTCGTACCAGCTCTGCTCTTGGAGCCTTGCTCTCTCATTTTTCCCATCTCCCAAATAGTTGCAAGATTCTATTCTACCGATGCTATATTCTGCCTTTATTTGATTACACTGACATAGCATGGTGTGGTCTTAGTGCAGCTGCTGTTTCCAAGCTTGAAATTCACCATAGAAAAATAATTAAACGGCTATTTGGAAAATCCCTCATGCATAACAGTAAGCATATAATACTCTCTCGTAGCCTCCTCTCCACTTGCTGATAGACGCCAAGCACACCTGTGTGCACTCGTTCAGAAAATTTATCTTAAGCAAATTCCCAGGCACTTCATGAAATATGATTGGTTTCAGCGAAAGAGAAATACAAGACACCAGGAATCATTACCTTCCCCTCGATTGTCCCTAATGATCAAATCACCTGTCTTTATGGCTTACACATTTCGGCTCAAACTCTTTTATAATATTCGCTGTTCACAGTCTCTCTCAGCTTTTAAGGATGCATTTCAGCTAAAATAGTATTGTGCTACCTGCTGTTGACACATGGTGACACCTTCTCTTTCTTCTTTCTTCTTCTTTTACTAGGGAATTCCCAACAGGCGTCAGCGCCTTACACCTCCCTTCCTTTTCTTCTTTTGATGATGCTATTTTCCGTGGTTGGATTCACCCTCCCTTTCTTGGATTGGCTATGTATTATTATGTGCCATGAAGTGGAGACGATAAATAAACAAAAAATAAATAAAAATGCTGAAGCCAAAGTCAGCGCATGGTGCGCTGAAGTCTAGACACTAGCCAGGTATGCCAACACCCAAGCACATGCAGCCTGTGTGGCATTCGCCCATGGCCTTCACCACAAGTGGTCGTTCCTGGCCTGGACAGTTCCTGATACAGCCGAGTTGTTCACGGCACTAGAGCCGGTGATCCAAGCCTCCCATATCCCAGCGTTAACTGCCCTTCCCCCCCCCCCCCCCTCAATGTCATAGACAGAAGTTAGAACATAGCAGACTAAGCGGAGGATGTTCAGGTTGCTTGTAACTCTGAGCTTCATGCCGCTAGGCAATCATCAGACAACTGATACTGGGGATCTACCCAGCAGTACGCTTACGAACACATACGGCCACACTGTGACAGGCCTAAACAAATGTAGCGCTAGGTGCAGGTGGGGCTAAGTCTCGCGTATTGCTGGGTAGATCCACAGTATCAGTTGTCTGATCACTGCCTAGCGGCATGAAACTCTAGAGTAACAACCAGCCTGAACGTCCTCCGCTGAGTCTGCTATGTAACCCCCAGGGCTATGTACTCTTGCTCGTACTCATGGGATAATCCATACGTATTATGTGCGTGTTTTTTGGTTTTCTCTCTCTTACTGTGGCTCTCCCACCAACTAACTTGTTCCCTCTTTGTTCATTTCTAATTTCATTATAATTTATATCACACTGTGCTCTTAGCCCACATTCACAACACACCGGATTTCCCCGCCATGGTGAATGTGGGCCAAGAGTGCAGTGTGGAGCGGTGGAGTGTTTCAAAAATCTTTTAAAATAGTCTTTTCTTTTATACTATTTGTAAAGTTGCATGAAAACGACGTCTGAAATACATAGAAATACAGCTGTGCTCGGTGAAATCCGACCCAGAGTGCATGTTTGGCGCCCTGAACTTGCATGGCCCTTGACACCCTGGAAGTGGTACGAATGCTGCTGGACGTACACATCTACCAGTACAGCGAATCAATGTCAGCGATGTTATCGGAACTGGTCCAGGGCGTCAGTTTTGCACTTCGGGTCGGACTTCAGTGAGCGCAACTGTAGTACTATAACCCTTATGCACATCGACGTCACGTACGAAATCTCCTAGAATCCCGTAGAATCCTGTAGACCCGGTTGGGTGCTGAATGTACAGGACCCTATTGTGTTGTCTGTACTTTCGATTACGAAACGTTCCCTTCAGGCATTTCATGCAACAACCTTTCCGGGTGAAGATCTAGCTAGTAATTAGTTCAATCCAAACTGATGAAGCTGGAAAAGCGACTGTCTGCAACTAAGTATTGGGCTAAATTGGTCAAATGTGCATGCACAGCACACAATGAACACCCAACCGTGCACGTACACACCTACGGGAACTCGTACATCTGTACGAGATGAGGTAATGTGCATAAGGACTATAGAGTGATACGCCTAGCCATGGTGTGTGAGGTGGTCTTCTTCCTCCCTACAAGCACTTACTGCACATCCCAGTTGACATCGCACTCAAACTCTGGCAGTGGCGGCCTTTGACGATATGGACGGGAGTACTGTGGAGTGACATGAAAGAGAAATATATGTAACACACGCATGCACACACACACACACGCGCACGTGCACACACACACATGCATCAACACACAGGCAAATACACATACACAAACATACACATACAATCATATAGACACACACAAGACAAAATAAAGAGAACTCTACTTATACACAAGAGAGAGTTTGGAAGCTTCGTTACAACTCTGAGCTCTACTTATACCAAAACTATCACTGTCATATCACTGATGATATCAGTCAATGCGAAATAAAATGAACAAAAATGGCTCACAGACACATGCACGCAGCAGCAGCTCAGTTCACTAACCTCTTCCAGACAGTACATGTAGCGATAGCATTGAGCAAGAAACCGCTGGCACCCTAGCCAGGTCATACCAAGGTGCTGCAGTGATACACAACAACATCCAAAACCAGAGTAAGCACCGTGAATACCAACAACGCTAAGAACTGCCCAAAGGCTTTTGGCTGACGTCCTTGATGCCGGCTGTCAATGCCACTAGAATACACCACTACTTGGACAAGTACCATTGCATGCTAACGTTATTGTGTACCAGTGAAAATAGTGTAGTAAGGGCACACACACACACACACACACACACACACACACACACACACACACACACACACACACACACACACACACACACACGCACGCACACAGCTATGCGTGTACAGTGTATGGTCAACATACCCGCCGGCACACCGAATCCTTCACTGTAAGTCCAACCTAATCAACATAAGAGAGAAAACAGACACACAGACACACACACACACACACACACATACACATACACACACATACACACACATACATACACATACATACACACATACACATATACACACACATATACACACACACAGGCACACACACACACACACACACAGGCACACACACACACACACACACACACACACACACACACAGGCAAGCATGCGTGCATGCACACATACAAGCACACACAGACGCGACAAGGTGTTAACTTACACAACGGTACATGGGGAAATCACAGGTAGATGGCAAAGTGGGAAGTACCAAAAGAGAAAGTTCATAACAACCGAAACTAACAGCCAACATCACCACCGTTCCATGAACGAAACAAAGGCCATCACAAGATACAAACAATCACAGTGTACCCAAGCAACCTTTGTTAACGAACAGCAAGATTTCAGAAGAATGTATTTTTTCCTTTTTCTTCATACAGCATCTAGCAGAAACCTTCCCTCTCCAATGCAAACTGTTAGAATGGGCATCTGCGATGCGTTACTATGTTAGTAGTGGCAGTAGTGGGCGGTTTTGCAGCAAAGTACCTTGTTGAGAACTTCCAGCATGGTGTGGACATACTTCACTAGGAATGTGTCCCAGACTAGGACAGAGACAGCTGAAAACAGTACCAACGCACACAGCACAAAGCAAACAGTCAATAACATGTCAACGGGGCATGTCTGTACCTGTAGCTTCACAAATCTCACTTACTGTAAAAGCAGAAATTATGGGTGTTGTAATATGTTTGGTATTCTCCAAAATCGGCAGTTCGGTGGAGGGAAATATCCGGTAAACCCGCGTTCCAGGTAAGTGTACTAGTACTATACCGAAATTTCGGTGCGTTTCATTTTCGGTAAAAATTGTCGGCACCGAAGTTATCGAAAATAAAACACCACCGAAAATGTCTGCTTTTACAGTACCCTGTTTGCTAAAGAAATACTAGATCTGAATGGACCACAAGCATAGTCGTGTGATGTACGCATGAAAAGAAAAGAAGGAAGTGAAAACTGAGGCCATACGAGTGGATACGAGGGAGCTAAATGTCTGAGCAGTAGTCTGATACCAACCTTGTTTGAGACTGTTTGAGGTAATGTCAGTGGAATACTGCAGTGAAAGATCCAGCCATTCCGCGCTCTACAGAGGGCACATGGTTGCATTACACCATCGGATGATGACACAGAGCAGCAGCGGCAGCAGCAGCAGCAAAAGCAGGCAATGTACTAAATAGACTGGCTACAGTGAGTGCAAGGCATGGAGTGACATGTGTGAGGTACTGCGTACATACACGTAAAATACTTCGTAGACATACAGAGCTACCACAGAACTACACTTGTGGCCAAAGACATCCGACGCACAAGCCAGAAGCAGTGTCAAGGCTCATACAGCCCCTGTGGCCCTTGGGTGGGTATTCGGACCGTGACAGATTGAGTGGACCGTGAGTGATGTAATTGAAATGGAAAGGCGTCGCTAAATTCACAGGTCGGATTTCTTTGGCCACGACTGGACATACACCTGTACATACATGTACACATGGCTACATACAGCAAAAGGAAGATTTCCTCCATGTACACAGAGAGTTACGCGTATTTACCTCCTTGTCTTCATACCACATCAGAGCGGCAGCATGACAGCACTCTGTCATCAGTACATCATGATGCAGACTGGCTGGAAACACTGCCTGCAGGGACAGCACAGTCAAAGGCAACAACCGTGCCTTCTCTTCTGCTTCACCATCATCTAACAAACACAAACCGTGCGCACACACACACGCAAAAAAGAAAAAGGGAAAAGAACACGATGTCTCTCGCATGTACATGTTTCACATTACAAACTGCGTGCACCAAAGCTTGGCTATAGTAGGCTGGTGATTCTCCAGCAAAACAATATTGTTTCTGTACATAAGAATGGCAAGGAAGAAGAACATGCCAGGTTACATGTGCTTGGCCTACTTCAGAAGTACTACAGCACATTCGTTAACACGGGAGATCAGTGTAGCAGAAGTGCAGAGTGAATGTAAAGTGCTCCTACGTGTTCTTCTGGCATTATACGTGAGTGCATACATGTAGGCATGCAGTATCGATGAACGCGTTCAACGAGCTCCATTTCGTCCAGAACGGGTTACTACTGCCTCGTCCTCTGCTACGCAACAACGCTGAATCAATAGTACTCAAGCGCAAGCGAGGCAGGCTTAACTATAGATGCTGTGTGTATAGATCAATTTCCAAGTAAAAACATTCAACTGAGTAGACTGACTTGTGAGTTGGGACGACGGCGGCTGTGACTCCCAAACAGATTCAGCTATACTGCATGCCTTGCCTTCGTTTACCTGTTCTATGCTGATAACGGTACATGTAGTCACTAAGTGAATGTGAGAAGGAATCCTTCGAAAAGCTGATGCTAGATAGAAAATACATAGGAGCTGGCAACATCCGCTATGCCTTCAGAAGGTAACCCAGGGTACATGGCTAATGCACTCATGATGGCTGAAACCCACCATAAAGTAAACACAATGTGTTGACAAATACGGACTCGGATGGAGAGCCAAGGATAAATTTATAGAAAAGAAAAAGGACCAAGGAACTACAAGTTACACCTTCCCCTCCTATGTTAGCATATAACTTAGAACCGTCCAAGTTGGAAGGCTGTTGGAGTGCGCATCCAAGGTGTGCTGGAGCTGTTAGCCAGTTAGTTGTAGAACGTCAGTACCGTCGGTCAGTGTCGTGCAATGTTATCGCATGAGCTGATTGTTTAGTAACTGGTGGTGTTAGTGGATATTATAGCGTAACTTGTAGTTCCTTGGTCCTTTCTCTTGTCTGTTGACAAATAGTACTCCATATAAACATGTCTGACATTTACCTGCTACTGGGTCAGGGTTGGGCGGCGGTGTGCCTTCCTCGTCATCATCCATGGCTGAAGGCCGTGCCTGCAATGGGCAGACATCCCTGGGCATGTGCTTGTTGCAAACAATCCACTTGGCCGTTTGCAGTGTGATCAGTGTGCAGTCCGTGGCAAGAACACTGTCAACTGACACGGCTGTATAGGACACGCACACACATGTGCACACACGTGCACAAACACACACGTGCACACACACACAGACACACACAGACACACACTCAGACTCAGACATGCCCATCGCGGAAGCGATGATAGCGAACAGCTATGTTAGACATAGCAACTTGTGCTGGGATTACACCATTCAACAGCTTGCAAGGCTGATGAATTGACAGCCGCTAATTTTGGCCTGGTCTACATCACACAGCTGATTGAAGTGGCTTTTTCACACACACGCGCGCACACACACACACACAAATCAAAAACAGCACGCTGCAGCAAAGAGTACTAGCATCATGGCGTGGCCATTGAGCAATCGTAACAATCCTGGAGAAAGCAAAGCCTGACTACGCATTGCTTGGCAAAAGCGGAGAGTACAAGTGTAGGCAGCAACCTGTCACTTGTTCAGAAGACATCGCCGGGGCAGCTGTGCATGTATGCTGACAGTGACATTTGATGGTAAACCCTTATCTGACTGGCCAGTCAAACATCGAAACTGTTGCAAGAAAACTCCTCATTCTTCAAGCTTTCCAAAAATCCAAGATTGCCAATTTCACCCAAGGGAAACTAAAGTTATCATCAAAATGGGTCGCTACTACGAGTCATTGGGACTGAGGATTTGTCCACTTTGTTGGTCAGATACGGGTTCAACAGAGTTGTGAAGCAAAAATCCCTAATGTCCCCAAGCTTGTCAAGCATGTACCGGTGGCCAGCATCTCAGCTTCATCAGCAAAGCTTGAACAAAGCTTTTCAGGAACTGGTCCGCTACAATAGAGAAAATCTTATCTGGACCAACGCCTTGACCAGTCACCTGAGTCCATTGACCAAGTGCCTCCCTTGTTGAGAGAACGAAGAGTCTAGTTTATAACTTTTTTCTCTGCCGTAGTCACACAACATGGTAAGATATCCTTCTGGAAATGAGCGTAACAACAGGCAGTAATATACCTAGTTTGGTCACACTGGAGAAGAAGGTTAGGTCACGGAGACGGATCTGCATTTGACGCCACTCCTCAAATGATGCATTGATCGTCTGCCACTCATCACTGTCATCGCTCACCTACCATAACAACATGCAGGGAGTGGAGATAGAACATAGAACAAAGTGGATTGAACCATAGCAGAGCTACTGATGTTGTCAAAGCGATGATGGGCAAGATAGTTGTACTGCGAGTTGCATTGTACAGTCGTGGCCAAAGAAATCCGACCCACGATAGCAGCGTCAAGGCTCAGGCGGCCCCTGCGGCCCTCGGATCGGGTTTGGAAATGTGCATGATGTAATTGCAATGGAAACGCAGTGCTACTTTTCGACCCGCAGGTCAGATTTCTTTGGCAGCGACTGCAGCCACACTGTAGCAGAGGGGTTTAGTTATAGTCACTCGTATTTGAAGACAAACTCAACGAGTTCATCAAACTATTCCTTTTGTTCAAATTTTCATTTATGGGGCTTGAGGGTTTAGTCACTTGTCACGATTCTTCACGACATATTTCGGATGGGCAGATGCAGTGTGGGTTCATGACTTGGTACCCACGCGTACGCACGCGCAGGCCACTCCGCAGACAAACAGCACAGACCCCGATCTACCGTAACGTTTCGTGCAAACGAGTCCTGCAATGCTTGATCTGTGGCAATGAACGCATTTCACGCGATGCAGACAACCAGCCCAGTGGTAACAACTCACGACTCTCACTCGGCAACAACTGCCTAAACCTCCCCTGCATAGCTCTCCTGTATGCTAGCCCTGTAACAAGGTCGATATTGCCTGTTCAGACACCAACGTATGCTTAAGCACATACATGCACACTTGTGCACAAGCATACAAAAGCACGCACGTGTGCGCACGCACACGCACACACACACACACACACGTACACACACAGCCATACCTGCTCATCACCAGCGCTGCCACTCTCTTTGACAGCAGCTCTCTTAGACTTAACCAGGTGCTCAAGCGCAACAGCTGCAAGCCACGCTGCACCTGTCCGCTCAGCTTGGAGCAAGACAGAGTGAGCTGCTGGCCAGAGATCATCCGATGACTCTGTTGACACGCAAACACGCACACACGTACACACACACACACACACACAAACACAAACACACACATGTACACATACACACACGTACACATACACACACATACATTCACATGTGCATGCACACACAGACACCACATACTAGTAGCGATGCTTCAAACACAATCGTCTCACAAAGTAAAGGAAAAGATGATGGCCAGGGGTTCAAAGGACCCTCAGAGTGACATTGCTGAGTTCTGAATTTGAATGCAGTGAGATCCATTATCAAGGACCAATGTCACATGCAAACATGTAAGCAATCCGATACCAAGAGCAGCTTGCGGTGATTTTAATTCGCGGATGCATACTGTACTGGTCACAAAGCTAGTGCCATTTCCCAGCTTGACAGTATATGATGGCTGGCACATGTACTTACCAGCATCTAGTAGCTCTAGTATGGCATGGAGATTGAGAAGTAGAGCACCAGCCATGGAGAATACAGGAGTGGCTATGAATGCTCGCAGCACTAGGTCCTGCAGGCAGCACACGAGAACGCACATCATACAGTCAATAGTTGCACACAGTACCCTACCGAGACCCATTCATATTGCACAGCACCAGCCAGTACAACAGCAACCAGTATCACACAGTGACGTTTTGAAACCCATCGAAACAGGGTGTTACACTTTGGGCCATTCTACCACCTACATAGTAGATGTACAAGTTCTGCACAGGACAATTGCAGTCATAGCAGAAGCAGCAGCAGCTCAGTGGAAACATGACTTACCGAGATAGTGGCAACAGGTAAGCCTGCCTCCAGGCAGATGGCGAAGAAGTCACCACAGTCCAGGTCACCAGACAGCGTAGCCTGGCACAATGCTAGTCCTATGCACGCCGGACAAAAACAACAACAACGACAACGACGACGACAACGACGACGACGACAACAACAACAACAACAACAACAACAACAACAACAACAACAACAACAACAACAACAACAACAACAACAACAACAACAACAACAACAACAAACATGAATAGCGCCATTGGGCAAGAGAAAAGAAAAAAGTCAAAGAAACAGGAAGATAATAGTACTTGAAGCACATCACACAAAGATTTTCACAACTCATGTTCGCACGCGTCATGCTCAGACACATGCATCCATGTATGTACACACCACTTGGTTTGCACTGCTGGGGGCCTGCGGCATCAGGGTTTTGCTGGAGGTTTCAATATCAGACAAGGAAAAAAACTTTAAAAAGTACATGCTTGATTAGGTATGGGAGTAATTCTGACCTGTGGAGTCCAGATCGTCCTCTGACAGTTTCGGATTTAGCTGCAGCATGGCACCATCGCTGCCGAAACCAGCTTTGAACGCCAGAACAAACTGTCCGACGTCAAGAGGCTCAACATGCTTCAGTGGAGTACCGTCCTGTAGCGAGAGGATGAGGTCATTGGTCGACTCGGCAATCGCCACCAGTGACTCTAGGTCGTATTGCGGCAGTTCGTGGACAACACTGAACTTCGCCAAGACCTGCAAGAAGAAAGCAGAGAGACAGAGACAAATAACACACATACATGATTAGTTCCAACTTCCGACTTATCCACTGCTCTTTCAACTAAGAAAGCTAACACAGAAAGAGTTTCCGAGAGCATTTCAGAAAATCACTGCAGAAGACTTTTGGACATAATCCGATCCCTCATTGCGAACTACAGCATATCAAGTTGAGACACACACAGCTTGAGGACGTCTAGTGTGTTTCACATATGCGTCATTTCAACCAGGCCCAGAAGACACACTAGAAGAAACTCATGTTTATGCAAGCTCAGGGCTGGTTTCACTTCTAGCCGTGAGAAACACGTTTTTCATCGCTACCTTACTGGGTTCTGGCTAATTTCTCTGTGCTAACTTACGCTAATGACTCCAGAAAGGATAACACAGCAGGAGCAGTGTGCACAGATTGAGTACTCAGCAAGTAATGGTACCATCTAGAACCTGTTTTATGCTGTGGCCAGCACAAAAGAATGTCATAAAGTATGTGCTGGTACCTGATGCAGTGGAGTCTCCTGCACAATGCCCGGGCCATTGTTGGGATTGCACTTGTTGTATAGAGACAGGAGGCAGATATTGTGCAGGCACGATTGGCAAAGTGTGTTCTCCTCAGGCCCTGCACGCACGCACAGCAGCAGCATAGCACAAACAAAACAAGGGGCAGGTGTACTGGTCAGCAAATCTTTAAAGCAACACTTCTGTGCTGCTCTCCAACCCGCAGGCTAAATGCCAGACTATTATTTAAATGTGAGTAATGTCAAAGGTCAAATTCACAAATGGGTTTTTTCTGTGCAGTATCTTTGCAAAGATTGTTTAGCTTGATCTACGGCAACAGTCATGTGGGATACGATAACAGTTACTACACCAGCAAAATAAGATACAAGACAATCGACTTTATGCCTGAGAACAGTTCGACACAAGGGACAAACGAAGAAGAAAAGCTTGTGAGCGGTCACAGACAAATACTACCGAACTTGAACCATGCATTTAGATCTACACACCTTGCCACTTATCCAGCAGAACCTGACAAGATTTCAGGAGAGCGTTAGCTGGATAGCTACGCTGAATGGCCAATGCCAACGCCTGACAATCAACAAAGCAAACAAGAAACGGGCACACAAGTTCAAAAACAATTCCAAATAACCAGCCATGCAAATAGTTCCACAGCGCAGGTAACTGTAAAGTTCAAGCAAACACACGATTCAAGCCCTAGCAACTTGCAAGGGAAGTGATTTCGACTCATTCTAGATGGCAGACACGATCTCAAAGGAAAAATCTCCATGACCATACCATGGCACACAGCTACTTGTAGACAGAGACCTTTTCAGAGGTTGAAAGTAATCCCACTCTGGTGAGATACTTCAGGGTCAGCTTTGGACAAAACAATATTCCTGGCAGTCACCATGCTCCTAACAGTTACCTACCCGTTGTGCCTGCATAGGATTGCCCACGGAGAGTAGCATCGTCGGTAGCTCTGTGTTAGCACCAAGACAGAAATCATACAGAAATCAAATAGGCGGCGAGGAGACAATAGAGAAGAATCAGCGAAGCGGACATCGAATGTAATAATCAACATACAGAAATCATACAGGAAATACCTTCCAAATAGACTGTGATACTGCGACTGATCTTGAAGCATACTGCATCAGGGCAGGGGCACATTATTCACCTGATCTCACCTATCTACATCCAAACCATGCTCCAGGGACCCTGCCATGTCTACCCAGGGCCAGGTGCCTGCTAAGGCGCTTCAGCAGTCTATCGGATTCAAACACATCACATCTCTCACGAGTCACGGCATCAGAAAAGAAATAGAACTCCGACTAACCATCAGCACTGGGCGACTCGCTATCCGCACCGGCAAGTCGATTGACAACGTCCTGATCTGCCAGTGCTTGTTGCTCATCACGGCTGAGAAGATACGCACCCACCAACACACACACACATTGACCTTGCCCATTGCGTAGCAATGAAAGCGCATTGTTATTTCTCCAGTCCACGACAGAATGACTGATGGCGTTTCAGGTCGCAAACATAATTTTTATAGAAGCGGGGAAAGTATCTTTATAATAAGTTAATTCCAACACACATCCGTCCAACTCTGAACTCGGTGATGAGTGGACATACGGCAAATATTTCCAGTCCTGTACGCAAGCACAGGACTAATGAAACCAGGGCAAGTTCTGGAAGAATTTCCAGATCATAATGCACACGATCTGTTTGTATGGAGCACAGGGTCTTCCATTAAAAAAGCATATTTTATAGGGGAAAAAGAAGAATAAGACAAACCTGAGAGCGTTGGTGAAGGGTACACGCAATGACCAGATGTTGCCACTGGGATGCAGCAGAGCACATTGGTACAGGACAGGGTATATGGAGCCGCGGCAGCTCTGACCCAGCACCGACAATGGGTTGTACAGCAGGCTGCAGGAACAGCACACAGAGTGCGTACAGTCAGACCACCAAAACATGTACACATACACACATGTGCAGCTAGTAGGCAAAGTCTAGACTGCCGGCTATGATGCAATGTGCAGCAATCTCGCATTCCAAATTCAACACGACATGCACGTGCACCACCACAAGTACTTCAAGTACATTGTACAATACATGCGTGTGTGTCTGTGCGTAGCCCAACATCCCCCTATTTAGCCAAGCACATAAGTGACTATGACTGCAGCAATTATTGTAAAGCTGACACACAGAGAAAACTCACCAGCACTGCTTGCCAACGTTGTAAGCACCAATGCGCGCCCCACCGTCCGACGGCCACAGTTCAACAATGCCCCTGCGCGGTGCATAGATCAACAAAAAGATGGCAATGCGACCAGGCGGTGCCTCGTCCGGATCGACGTCGTCCGGGAGGTCTTCGGTCTCTGCTATCCAACCGCATTGGGCATCGCGATACCCTACAAACACGTCCAGAATGAATGAAACGTGCGCAACACACACACACACACACACACACACACAATACATGAACACAACTCTGACCTCATCACATGGCTAACAATTACAGAATACAGATGCGGCCACAGTGGGAAGGGTCAACCTCTGACTGCAGGCTTGTGGCAGCAATGATCATGGTTGATAATCGGGGCTCTTGCTTTTGTATGTAGAAAATCATGGCCAGGGCATGAGTATGAGCAGAGTATGAGTAAAGAATGTGTAGAAAGACTGCATTGGAATTGAAATGACCCTAACCTTTCCACATGCGCAGTACCAGCATGCTGGTGGTGTCGATCTGGAGAACACGCCCGAGGCTGTCGGTAGTAGCTACCCAACGACCACACGGAGATATCACCACACTACGACCCTTACGACCGCTGTCATGTATGCGACGCCTGAACAAAGTAGATGAGTCGGGCACAGAATGGAATAAAAAAAGAGAAAAAAGGGAATTCAATTCCATCAATTCAGAATACATGTACATCATGTATAGTTTATTACCGAGGATAACAAACAAACACTTTACAAGCAAAAATGAGCGTGCTCCCAGCAGGGCTCGAACCTGCGACATTCGCGTTATTAGCACGACGCTCTAACCGACTGAGCTATGGGAGCTCATGTGAAAGACAGCAATTGCATACATCATGAGCTAGAGGAGCACGGTGCTACATTGAGGATAACAAACAAAAACCTTAGAAGCAAAAATGAGCGTGCTCCCAGCAGGGCTCGAACCTGCGACATTCGCGTTATTAGCACGACGCTCTAACCGACTGAGCTATGGGAGCTCATGTGAAAGACAGCAATTGCATAACATCATGAGCTAGAGGAGCACGGTGCTACATCGAGGATAACAAACAAAAACTTTAGAAGCAAAAATGAGCGTGCTCCCAGCAGGGCTCGAACCTGCGACATTCGCGTTATTAGCACGACGCTCTAACCGACTGAGCTATGGGAGCTCATGTGAAAGACAGCAATTGCATAACATCATGAGCTAGAGGAGCACGGTGCTACATCAGCAATGCTGGTGCTCGCAATCATGGGAGTACCTTTTGTAACTTACCATGGCGGCACTGGTGTACTGGGATCACGGCCCTCCTTCTCCGCTGCTCCTTCTCCAACACCAAGTAAGGAACTATGCAACATGTCAAACAAGCACAAAGCCAGCATGATGCCAGTCACAATCTGACGAATGCAAGCATTGCCCTTACACATGTAAAATGTATGCAACACATGTTTGACCATTTCACGCACAATGTATGCAACACATCGCGAGAATGAAGGATTTCAAACATGTCTGACAAGATGCTCACCCTGCCCAAGACAGCTGAGAGACAACAGCACTGCGCAATCTCTGGGCAACGACAGACGCCACCAGGCTGAGCGATGGCGTGATCATTTTCTACAGATCATAACAAACACAGCACATTGTTCGTTACTAAACAATAAGCATCACAAACCAACACGATAAACATCACAGAGCAACACAACAAACATCACAGAGCAACATAACAAACATCACAGAGCTACATTTTACATCATTCTGAGCGTTTACACTTGGCAGTGCGTGGCGTTCTGCACCAAGTCCAGTTGCAGCACATCTCAGTCAGTGAGCTCTTTTCTGATGCCTTTACTTGCGAAGCATAGGTAGGGGGGGGGGGGGGTACTCTTGGTCTCAGGAGTCAGGAGGACCAAAGTAACTACAGTCCTTTCCAAAAACGACACAAAACGATGGTCAATACTACAAATACATGTGCTACACACATAATCCGTTGGTGTGAAGTCATCGGAGCAATGTTCAGTAGCAAGGTATTGTCAGCGAGCAAGCGTGCCTTACCTCGTATGCATCATACGTAATGAATGGCGGACAGGTGCTGGACGCCATGTAGCTGGTCATCATATCACCTTGCACCAAGGACATACCCTCATTGCGAAAGCTAGCCTCGCGCATCAGCGAAAGAGACGTCCGTGTATACGAACCTGATCAGAAACACAGCAATACCGCAGGAAGAAAACGAACGAAGATGGCAAATTTGTTCAGTTCCACGTGATGGAAAGAAGCTGCGTTTTTACTCAGAGCGCCACGGCGTCTTATCTCTAAACTGGGTGTAAAGCTATGCCTTATACGGGCAGTGAGCACCCTACTTACTTCAATACACGAATGTTCTATACTACCGTAAAGTACCGCCAGAGCGCCCCACCATCTCGTCCTTTCGTGGTCACCTTGTGGAGGTCGATTCCTGTCTGTAGGTCATACGACACGGACCTTGTACAAACATTGCACATTGTGCAGTCAATCCGTACCCAGTTTACCTTCGAGCTCCACATAAAAGCATACCAAGTGTGACCTTAGTACACGAAGGTTCTCACATCGTTCAAACTTAGTAGCATTCTGCCATACGATTTTCTTCCCCTGGCTGTAAAATCAAGGTGGGGCGCTCTCGCGAGACGGGGCGCTCTGGCGGTACTTTACGGTAATTGCATGACCCGAGAACCCTTTGAATGAAGTGAATATTCAAACTAATGTGATTTCATTGTACTGCAACAAAAAAAGAAGAACAATCGTATACTGTAGAACTGTAGACTAACCGACAGATGCAAAGCCTTGAATCTTCCCCGCGTCGTTGAAGGCATACTTCTTGTAGGACAGCTGCTGCTCCTGCTCCGCACCTTACATGCACAGAACACACAATCAGTGCCAGCACAAGAGAGCCTTGCAAGTTAGTCTTTACACCAGAACAAGAGAGCCTCACACAACACTAGAAGAGCCTCACAGGACAAGTGAGCCCCGCAGGCTAGTCGACGCCATAACTTATGACACACAGCACCAAAGAAGCACATCTACATCACCACGGCAACGGCACAAGCACACCAATACTGATGTGGACCGGGACTAGAGCATGCTGCACGTTACATCTGGTGTCGGCAACTTACCTCTGCCCCTGGTGACACAAGTGCGAAGACACTTCAGCAAGGAGTCACCGTCCAGTGCAACAACGGTGTTCTCATATACAAGTAGCACTTCTTCACCCTAAGCATACGAGCATACCACAACAAACAAGCGTACATGGCGTCATGATGTCACAGTTACGTACAACTATAAAATAAACGACACAAAGCTAACAACTCACGCTAACATGCCCACGAAACACCGATTGGACATGCTCCCAATACGCAAAAAGAGAAGACGTCCTCAGCCTAGAAATATACAGTGAAAGTCATCTAGTACTGTGATGCTTGTCACAGCCAGCATTGCAGTTATCATACTCAAAAGAGCTGTTTGACACTTCCCATGGGATGTGTGCAGGAGCCAGGTTAGAGGCTCGCGATGCCCCAACGCTTTCGCACAAAGTACTAGTACCCTGGATACTAACTACCACACTCTTTCCCATTCCCAGCCAATGTATGTCATATCAGGGCTTCACTGAACATGCAATGTAAGAAGAAGACCAGCAATTTACCCTTTATCTGTGAAAAGAAAAGAGAGAGAAAAAATGTCCATCACACGGAACAAACAGACATTCAATTACCAGCATTCTATTTATTTATTTTCTTACATATGATCGGAGGTTCCTGGTGCGCACGCCACCTGCTTGACAATGAATCATGTTGATAGCACCACGATGCAGACGGTGACTCATCACAAACTCTCCTCTCTAGCCACAGCAGTAAAAGGGAAAGACAGTGAAGCAATGCAACCATTCACCAAGGCACATGCATATTCAGAACCTCATTTGTAGCAAACACAAGGCAGGGAAGGAGCCTGGGGCAGCCAGTCCAAGTTAGAACATTGCTTGGTGGCAGCTCTTATGCCGCACAGTCTCTTGTTGTGATCTGAACGCAAAGGCTGCTGCATTTTACACATCTGATTGTACATTGTATGTCTAACCAAGTTACCGTGCAGTCGCCTTGGGGATTTTAAATTGATTTTTTCAAGTTACAGTCTGGCTTGCTACAAGACTTCGTACGAAGGTATACTAGAGGGATTACTAGTACTTCGAGCGCCTGTACTTGCTCAATCCGCCAGCAATAAACAGTATGCACTGAGCTACATATAGAGACAACTATTAGCCGCAACAACATGGCTGTGGATACAAGGGTGGCTTGGATTGCCAGAACAATATGGATTACCATAGCATGCCATCAACACAGCTCGCCCAAACGGGTTCGCGATAACCGGGGTAGGACTGTACTCGAGACCTTGACTTAGTACTCATTCAAACCTGCTTTTCAATCAGATAGATCTAAAACTCAACATACAGCAAACAACAGTGCAGTTCAATGAAATCCGATTCAAAAGGTCAACAGCTGTAGCGTCAGGCACTGCGCAGCCCCAGACCTGCAAATACTGAGCCGTGTAATAGTATCGGTATAGGGCCTTGTCCCAACAAGGACTACAAGTCACACGACAACAGATATGTTGTTGCAAACTACGGCGTCTGCTCACCGGAAGATATGCTCGTAAGTGTCCGTCAGAGAACCCCACCAGCACAACATGCCACGCCGTTCGGCTGTAGGAAAAGGCACGATACACACAGCATGAGCACACCAGTGCCTTGTCTACAGTACTAACTGTCTTGTGCTTGTATTCAAAATTTCAAATGGTCAGACATTAGCAAGTTATTGAAAGCAGATACGCTACCTAGCTCATAACAAGGTAAATAACTATCGCAAACGAACTAACAAAATGGTACTCCAATGAATGAATTTATCACACCGGAACACACGCCAACAAGTCCTTACAGGTCACAACAAACAAACAAAAGGCCAGGCCTACCCTCCATCAACCAGTACAGGCAGAACAACATTCTGTACTAAAGTAAAAGAATCCGGCGCACCAGATCAAACCAAGACAATACTGATCATATTTCTTCGAAGTACATGCAATGCACGGTGACAGTGAGTTGGGCATTACCTGTTCGGTGGACTGACTGTCAAGGCCAAAATGGCCGTGATAGTATCACTGGATCACGAGCAAAAATGCACATACACACACACACACATACACACATGCACGCACAATATTTGGCAGTACAGGTGATGGAAAAATAATAATAATAATATTTAAAAGATCCGTGCACCAGGAACCTGATGAACAAAAGAGGTTGTCGCAACAATATTTGTCGTTGCTGAAACGAACATCGTTTACAGTATTTCATACTCGAACCCCTCCCGAAATGAACTCAGTTTGCTATGCTGGACGACCAAAACAGCAAAACAGCATGCATGTACCAGTACAGACCAGCACAGCATGCATGTACCAGTACTTCAAAAAGAAGTACATGTACAGTGATTTCTCGCCCTCCCTCCAAAAAAACAATGTTTGTTTCAGGGATGACAAACAGCTTTTGCGACGACCCCTGGCACCATATTCACGTAATGAACATGGAGATGCACATGCACTTGATCACACTTCTGCCAAAAAATGACGCCATTAGAAATTCCACCGTAGGTAAGTCCCATCGCAGCTAAAGAGAGGAATTTGCAAACCCCTGGTTATGTACTCTGGGTGCTACTGGTCTCAAGCACATTGACCAACATGGACAAAATCACTTGCCCTGGCTAACAATATGACAAGGAAAAAGGATAGGAGCGGCAGCAAACAAGAAATAAATGAAACCCATTGCAAATCAGCAAACGATCTTTGCTGTACAGTCAACTTCGCTTATAACGACACTCGGCGGGGCATCAAAAAGGTGTCCTTATTCGCAAAGTGTCGTTATACCCGAAGTCTCATTATATGTATTACAGTGGGATGGGACTTTGCTCTGGGCATGGAAATTCTGTCGTTATTCGCGAATTGTCGTTATATCCGCAGTCGTTATTCACGAAGTTGACTGTACTTTGAAGTACAAGGAACTACCTGTAATATTCATACATACCCATTGGCCCCCTCAAGGCTTCCCTGCCAGGCCAGTTGATACTTCCTTAGCCCGTCATCATCTATAGAGAACAGAACAAGCCGAATCAAAAGGTGTGTACGTGTGTGTGTGTGTGTGTGTGTGTGTGTGTATGCGTGCGCGCACGCACGCATGTGAATGCATGTGACAGACAGACAGACAGACAGACAGACAGACAGACAGACAGACAGACAGACAGACAGACAGACAGACAGAGACAGACAGACAGACACAGTGAGCTGCAAACTGTGGCATTGCACACCCGTGCAGGCTGCTTACATGGTGCAGTCAGTGAGTGAGTACAAAAGAAGGCTTCTGACAGCGTGCCGGACTAGCCGCCAGTGCTGTTCATATAGCAAAGTGCTAATGCAACCTACCTGTGTTCACGGACGCTGTCATGAATACTGTCTGACAAGCATTCGCAATAGCCAACAAGAAGCCATCAGTAGAGACAGATAAGTGCACATTCTTCAGCCAGTCCTGCAGCAGCAATGACAAAGGTACATGTACAAGTGCATGAATTTCATGACCCGATACCTGAAAACTGCGCTATCTTATCCAGCACGATTCATAATCACTCTCGATTGTGAAAAATCGTCAACGTGCACACATGCGGTAAAAGTCAAACTCCCACCTACGACGAGCACCGTACTCCTTCACCATCGTGAATAGTACCCCAGAACCCTTCTGGTAGCTGCAGTGGATGATGGTGACTTCAGTACTTGAGGGATGACATGGCATGCAGGGATGTATATTCAGACGTGATTCCAGCGTGTGCGCATGTGTGTGCATGTGTGTGTGTGTGTGTGTGTGTGTGTGTGTGTGTGTGTGTGTGTGTGTGTGTGTGTGTGTGTGTGTGTGTGTGTGTGTGTGTGTGTGTGTGTCACTGTGTGTGTGTGTGTGTGTGTGTGTGTGTGTGTGTGTATGTGTGTGTGTGTGTGTGTGTGTGTGTGTCACTGTGTTTGTGTGTGTGTACTGGGGGGGGGGGGGGGGCTTGTTTTTCTACCACTGTACTCTATAGCCTGCATTGGCAATGTGATGTTGCAACAATGTACCTGAAAAGACCCATCCTCTGACTTGTCCGCAGCATTTATGTTGTCATCTGCAGTCAAACACAAGTAGAAGCATGCATGCACAAATGACAGGGAGACGTGTCACCCACAAATACAACGACTCACTTGCACACGCACAAACATGAAATTGCCCACACAAGCTCTTGTAAACCCAGCATAACCACTTCCCTGGATTTGCATGCTCTCTTGTATACACTACTCCCCTCTCCATGACTCTTGAGTTGTATTGCTCTACCGGGTGATCCTGCCCGGTATACCAAACTATTTACTAAAGCTGCTCCACAAAATAACATCTTTCAAAAGCTCTCCAATGTCACAATTCCTACAACAAATTGGCCATCTATACTATTTTCACTAGCGTTACTTGTCTATAGTTGACGTTATCCCTTTCTCGTTCATCTTTCTATCATTGAGTACGCAGATTGAGTATCATTGAGTACACAACTTCTCACACCATACCTGGTTTGTCAAGGTGGAAAAGTGCGGACAAGCTGGGCACCATCTCTATGGCACAGCAATGTTGCCATTGTGCACTTTCTCCTCTTTGATTGGCCATACTGGAGTACAACACGATTTGCACTTTGGACACAGCCAGCAAGAACAAATCTCACAATGCAGCGTTTCCTACATGACCTGAATTGATGCACAACCATGTAACTCTCTTCATGTACTGTACTTCGATTTGCTGGTATTAGAAGAAGAAGCAACTAACACCAACAGAGAGGGAGTGAAGTCTGTACACAATGATCATGATCGTAGTCTCTTGTCCACCTATCAAATGAAATGAAGAAAATAATGAAGAAGAGACGATTACGACGTGTCGATGGTCATTCAGTCGACAGTGCAAGTGGTCATATTATATCATCATCATTGTCAGATGCGATTTGAAAATCAGACAAATCATTCAAATTATTTGATTCAGATTTTAGCAACAAAACTTGACTTTACTGTCTTTTGTCTAGAAAAAGAAAAGTCGATCCAGAAACACGTGGTGGGTGGGTAGCAGACTAGACTAGCAGCAAGAGTACATAACCCAGTTATGTTATGGACTCTTGCTAGCAGTAGTATAGCGGAGTAGCGCACTCGTCGGATGGTGCACACACGCTGCTTTCCCGCGGTTTGCTCAGGTGTGCACGGGATCGATCGCAAAAGGGCAACAAGAAGTGCATGCACATTTCGAAGTTTCGTACAGGGCAGGGGTGTTATGTTTGGAAGATCGATCAACGCAAGTGTGGTTGCGTTGGTTTGAACTGGCCTTTTCGAAATTCACGCTTCACTTTCTGACTGTTGCGTGCGGCAATTCATTCCTTGCGTGTGCTGTGGCAATGGCAGAAAAATCAGCTTCGGCTGATGGCAAAGATGGTGGTGAAACAGAGGTAGCAGCTGCTTCACTCGTGTCCAGTATTCGAAGTGAGCTGCGCGGCTTGAGAGATAACCGGAAAGTGGAGAGTGAGCAGCAGCTGAAGGTTAGAGCTTCTGAGGAGCAAGTACACACACAGTACCCAACAAAATTATGCAATTTAGGGCAGATAACACCACTAAACAATATCAGTTTATATAATAAAGTGCTGTGCAATCCATTTCCAATGAGTTTGTGTAGTCCAATACGTAATACGTGCATTACTTCATTCAAACTTTCAAATTCGGCTGGATGCGTTTCGACGGGATGATACAGTCTCTAAAAATGTGGACACCCATAGTCTTGAAGCTGCTTTGTGTCATGGGTCACGACAGTAGTCCACGGCCCACAAATAGTTGGGGACTGTGATGCAACCGTGTTGCCAAACTCATTTCAATGCGCCAAAAGTGAAAACTGACACAAGTTGAGCAGTGAAAGCACAGAAACAGCAGTCTTGCTTCTACAACGCAAGACGAGGCCTGTCCTGAACACAATGCTGCCGACTAACGAATAATGGTGTGCATGGCATTCTACTAGCATGGCCGTTCAGTGTGACGTCATTATCAGAGAATGCATGCACATGGGTCAACCGTGGAAGACAGTAGTGTGTGTATTGTAGATGTCCTATGCTCACTTGCAAGCCCTAAGCTATAAGTCACCTTTCAGGAGCCGTCAATAAATGACGATAATTATTATTTTCGAATTACTTTGTAATTTGGGATGGAGGGAATTCTTTGCTATTTGCTTCCAAGGTGTGGAACAAGATGGGTTTTAATACTTTGGAAATATGACCAAAGCAATGAAGTGATGACCATTGTACGTGTGTTATTTGTTGAGGGAAGAGACATTACCGGTACAAAAGTTTGTTTCTTGAAAATTGAAAAATGCTCTGGCATCTATAGACGTTAAGTAAAGAGCGCAACTTACATGTGATTATGTCGACTTGATGTGTGCTTCCTTCCTTTATCTTTTGCACTGCCATTAACTAGGAGCTGTTTGAGAAGAACCGTGAGTTCATATCCAGCTCACTCGACACTCTGGATTCAGACAGCGAAACAGAGAAACATCCTACTTTACCTGCACTGAGCCACCATGTGAACTCGACGCAGATGGTAATTGTGCACGTTCTATTGGACATTTCTTTTGGAACCTCTCTTACACACACGTGCACACACGCGCGCGCGCGCACACACACACACATCGTATCACCTATCTTATCTTCTGCCCGTTCTCTATTCTCTCTCTTCTCTCTGTCTGGTTCTCTCCCTATTTCTCTATCTCTCTCTCTCTCTCTCTCTCTCTCTCTCTCTCTCTCTCTCTCTCTCTCTCTCTCTCTCTCTCTCTCTCTCTCTCTCTCTCTCTCTCTCTCTGCTGTACCAATATGATTTCATGTTTCATAAAATGGCCTTTGCTCTCAGTGGGTAGGACTTTTCATTGCCATACCCCGAAAAAAGGTCATAAGTTGTGTTCTTGTTGTTACCTTCACTGTTCTCTTTACTGACAGGCCAGTGTTGTGAATGGTATGGACAACAAACAAGTCTCTTTGCCACTGTGCAAGCTGAACTTTACCCCATCACTGCCGCACTTCAGTTCCTGGGCATCAAACCAGCAGAACTTCATCGTAAGCTACACTGCAGGAGTTCTATGAGTTGCCTACATCTGTATGTTTGGTTTCTTTTGCATTGGGAACGTGTGGGCTGCTTTACGAACTGTGTGGCCTAAATGTGAAATGAATTATTCCAATAAACAGGATAAACTTTTCTAATTGTCCGCAAACTCCAACGCAGCCACTTACACATTTAAGAAACTTCACCTCTCTACTCCAAATGCCACGAAGGGTCTCTTCACTGCGAACTTGAGCTGTACTACAGCGCCTTCATTGCCTTTGCTTAGTCTCTGGCTTGAATAAACTCATACGGCATCACTGTGGTCTTCGTTGCGTGCAGGTTGACGATGAAACTGTCCTCCACAACATTCCTTACATGGGAGATGAACTACTGGACAAGGAGCGAGGATTCATTGACGACCTGATTCAGAACTACGAGGGCCGCGTTCATGATGCTGCTGAGGCCTGTGAGTCCCATTCCTTTACTCGTTGCTTTCCTCAGGAATCCGGCTAACTTTTTTCTTTCTTTTTTTCTCAGTGACCAGAGCTGTCCCAGACTGATGCCTTGTTCTGCTAGGATGCTGACAAAGTTATTAACATGTTCACATGCGATGCGGTATCTTGCTTGCTTGTCTACGTGCAGCGGCCGAGGATGACATTGAGGACGATATCCTTCACCAGCTTGTGCTCCGTCTGTCAAAGAAGTTGTCTTCATCAGAGCCGGACGGTACGTGTGCATTGTGTCCTGTGAGGGCTGCGGCCACAGCTCTTTGCTGTGCTATGATATCATTTCATAAGTTTACTAGGCATAATATTATACTACTGCTATAGCTGACCGGTATAAGTACAGCAGCTGTGTACATGTAGGTAGTAGGCAGTAGGCAGAATTATTGACCTACTTTTGAAGTAGATGTGAGTTGTCTGAAAAGTGAAAAACTCTTTGACCAGGGCCCCAGAGCAGCTGTAGGAGTCTGAGTGACACCACCTGTCCTCTCCATCACAATCTCGTCTCTGTTCCTGTTGACCAGCATCCCAGCAGTACTCTCTGTGTGAAACAGAGTGTGTTTTTACATGTACACGTATCAGAATGAGGTACTAGTAGACCCTTTTAATTTTCTCAGAAACACCTCTGGGCCGCCAGCTCAAGTAAGAACTTGCCTGCTGGACCATGGGGAGACTGACTGACTGACTGACTGACTGACTGACTGACTGACTGACTGACTGACTGACTGACTGACTGACTGACTGACTGACTGACTGACTGACTGACTGACTGACTGACTGGCCATGGAAGGGAATAGCTGTGATGGGAGGATGGCTGTCACCTGTGGTGTACCGTGGAAGTAGCCGGGAGTTTTTCTGAACCCCTAGTCAACCAGGTGCGGAGGATGCTGGTCTATTTAGGCAGAATCTGGCCTACATGCTTGGATTCTATGCCAACCAACCAGGCTTGTTTTCAGTTGGGCGTGTGCTTGCTTCTTCCCTGATGCCTTATTGAGCTAGTCTTTTGTGTGTGTTCTGATGGTGTGATGTTCTGTCCTTGATGTGTCATGTGGTTTATGTGGCACTGATAGATTCAACTGAGCTATCTATGGAGAAGGCCGAGACCGTGCTGACTGCGCTGGTCAAGGCCTACCCCGACAAGAACTGGAACGTGTCGAAGCTGTGTGACCGGTAAGCTCTTTGCCATGTTTCGTGCCGTGCCCCACGTATTATGTCTTACTGTAAGTCGACTAATTTTCGGTCCATTCCAATTTCGGCCTCCCAGGGCTAATACCCATTTCGGCCGCATCAAATTTTCGGCCTGTGCTGCTGCCACCTGTATATACTGTCACATGATCATGCTGAACCTTGCAAAACAAAATTTCGGCTGCAACAAATTTTCGGCCTAACATGTCCAGGCCGAAAATAGCCGAAAATAAACATGCGCCGAATATTTGTTTGACTTACAGTAACCTCTGAGCTTGTGTTCTGTCCTGTGGTGAAATGCCACCAGTGAGTGGTAGTGTTACGTCTTGTTACACCGACTGAGTGCATCTCTGGCCCATCTTGTGCTGCAGTTGAGGATTTCAGACACTGAATGCTCCAGCTCATTGGCTTTTTATTTTATTTCACCGTCCAATGGCAGAAGCCAATGCAAAGGAGGGGGCGTTAGCCAGCCATGGCAAGAGAAGAAAAAGAAAGAAAGAAGGAGAGAAGATAATAATCGGAAGAAAAGGACGCATCAGCGGGGTGAAATTTATCACTATGTTGACCATTTTTGGATCCACTATGTCCATCATATCGAATGGTAGTGCGGTCACTGTTATAGACTTTTAGTACAGGTCATGGTTGCTTAGGTGCATGCTTTGTGTATATGCTTGTTTGTATTGATGGATCCCTATGTTGCATGGGCCACGCGTACTCATCCGGCGGATAACGTTATGTTTGAATAATGTGTGTGCTGTACCGATACTGTAGGTACCGCGCTATTCTGCAAAAGAAAGGCCTGGATGTACAGTGCCTGCCGAATATCGATGGGTGAGTGACAACAACTGTTCTGTTTGCCGGTGTGTTCTATGGCTTGCAACCACATGTGCACATCATGCCATCACCATGTATGTTCTGCTGAATAGCGACCGCATGGTATGCTTGCATTAAACTTCCGGGTCTGGCCAGAGCGAATGCCGGGCACAGTTGATGCTGCCGCAGCTGTACTGTTAGTGTGTGTAGCATGCTTTTTCCGTATGCCAGGAAGATGCCGTATCTCATATTTCCTCTTTTTTTCGTCGGTGTGGCATTGCAGGGCCAACGCTCAGTCTGTGCCGAGGCAGCAGAGTCTTCACTCATATCACTCCTTGTTCTGCCGGCGTTGCTTCAAGTACGACTGCTTCCTACATGGTGAGATCAGTGGCACTGTTGTTTGGTGAAAGTCCCTCTCTTCTGCATGTGACTATGTCTGAAAGTCATCTGTGCGTATAGTGAAATACCTGTACTTGGGCTGTGTTGGTTTTGTTGTGTGCTCTTTCGATCCTGACCAAGGTCAAGGTGACCGCTGGTGGTCCGGGATGTTTCATGCGATGTGGTGTTGATGTTGTTATGTGCTTATGTTCCATGTTCTGTGTTTTTGATCAGCATTCCGTCCAACTCCTAGATTCAATCGCAAAAAGGTAATTTCTTTGCCTACTTGTAGTACCGCTTACTGTACCAGCTGCTTTTGCATGAAAATTGTTTTGTATGTGTTCAGATTCAAGTCTTATTTTGACACATTACCTTTGTTCTGTTGTAAATTCTTGTCGATGTTGGACAGTTGAATGCATGCGCTGTTCACGGTATCTTCTTCTGGTCCGATGGTGTTGTTTCCATTTGTTTCCACTGCTCTTTCACTCTGCAGTCAGAGTGCAAGCCTCGCACCGAACCGTGTGGTCCCAATTGTTACATGCATAAGGTGAGTGCGTGGGTGTGTTGGGGTGGGAGTGTTGCCATTGCAGTACATTGTACCTGGCTGCAGCTACATGATGTACTCGGCACTGGTATTGAGTAGTGTGAGAGGTGTGATTTGATTGTGATCCTTTTTTTTCACTGGTTTGAGGGAAAGACGCAAACGGCGAAAGTCTGAAGAAAAATTGACTGTCGCCACCAGGACTCAAACCAAGGACCCTCGCTGACCCTTGTTACTCTTCTTTTTTTTTTTAAGAATTTGGTGCTTCTTGCCATTCTTGCTTGTAGGCTGGTATTCCGACGTTACCTGAATCAAGTGGGACGCCGTCGGCCCTTGGCAGTAGTAGCCCTGCTTCATCTGCATCTAGTGCACCGTCATCAGGTCAGCCATCCTGTGATACATCGCGATCAGCTTCACCAAGCAGATCGGCGGGGTCCAGGCTAGCTCCCTCAGCCAGCGCCAAGCCTCAAGCCAGTGCCGGTGCATCGTCCCAGGCGCTTGAACCACCGCCCGGCAATCGGCAGCAACACCTGGGCGTGCGATCGCCTCAGCGTTCCCTGGACGCTGCCGCCGTAGCGTCAGCAGCGCAGTCTGGATCCTTGTCTTCTTGTATGTATTGCTTCTGCGTCCTTGTGTGTGCTTGCGTGTGCGTACAGTGCTGCTCAATGAAATCCAATCAAGTGAGTCAGTTTTGTGCCCTGTCAAGTGATAATCCCAGTGGGCGCAGGTCGAGGGCTGCACCGCGCCCAGCTCCTATCTGACTCACTCGATCGTATTTCATTGATCAGCAATGTACATGTGTGAATGACGTGTGGACAGTGTGTACAGTGTATTTGGACTCTATGTGTGCACGCCGCGGGCAGGGTAGTTGCTTTTGCTTTGGCTGCATTTGCTGATGTGTCGCCGGTGTAGTGTCTACATGTAGAAGTGTTTGAAAAAGACTTGAAGTAACACACTACCGTAAAAGTCCGTAAATAAGTACGTGTTTACTTTCGAATTTAGTGACCACACCCGTACTAACTTTCGGGCGGGTACTGACTTTCGGGCACGAACTAACTTTCGGACCTGACTTGTGTGTAGTGGAGAAGTCATTTTCATGTAGATGTACATGCTACGTGCTGCATGTGCGCATCGTACCGGTACTTATTTCGGGCAGTATGTTTATCGGGCTTGACTTGACTTCAACAGACAGAGCCAAAAGAATGAAGGGGGTATTTCTTTTCGGGCAGGTACTTATTTACGGACTTTTACGGTACATGTAATTCATATGACATATTGTGTTGGTATGGGTGTGGGTGGGTGTCTGCCGTGTTTGCTGTCACAGATAGTAGTGGCTGGATACCCGCCGAGGAGTCAGCGTTTCGTGTGCTGCGTCCTCTTTTCCCGTCTAATTACTGTACGCTTGCAGAGGTGCTTCGCACGCGGACATGTGAAGAGGTGAGGCATTCTGCAGCCCTTTATTGCGTGAAGCGCTTTGATTCCCCTGATTCCGGGTGCTATTTGAGTCCGACATGGATGGGAATCTTTTCTTTTCTGTCTCGACTGTTTTTCACAAATTTATTTTGATCCATATCACGAATGAGTGGGGTGCGTCCCATGTTTCCGTTTTTTGCCGAATGTGTCCTACATGTATGTGCAGTGGCATGATCATAGCTACATTACATGTTATTGTCGATCATCGTCTACGTTGCCATGGTGATATGAAGACCTAGCACCATTGTGAGAGCATGCTAGGAGTCCAAGCATAGTGAGCCCACCTTAGCCGTCGTGAATGCACTCTCGCTACTGTGCTGGTGTTCAGGTTTGGCAGTTTGCTCTCCACGACCCGTGCGATGTCGTCGAAGAGGACGTGCAGGAAGAGGAGCAGCAGGCGCCTGCCCGAAAGCGCCGCAAGAAAAATCAGAAGCAGAAGTGAGTGCTAGTTGGTGTGAGCACTAGGCGGTAGACTAGCTGTGTGCTTGCTTTACGTTTGCATTCAACTCTGAAGGCCTGTGCAACTATCGTTTCTAGCAGGCATATCCATGCTCCGTATTGAGGCTATTTTGTACTGTATAACTATCATTTCTAGCAGGCATATTCATGCTCCGTATCGAGGCTATTTTGTGTTGTTAGTGTACCAGGGCATGTCTTCCTCTGTTGTTTACGTTTGTTACACTATGTATGCTTTTTCTTTCAGGGCCTTCACCAATCACTTCCGCCAGGTTCTATTGAAGCAAGGTGAGGGTGGTGCAGGTTTGAAGCAGGAAGCAATGTCGTTGGGAAAGGAAGCACTTGAAGTACGAAGTACAGTGTATTTCAAAGACAGAATGGGTCTGGAGTGGCTGAACAGCATTGCCGAGTTTTTCACGAAATAGAATGTGTGTGTGTGGGGGGGGGGGGGGGATTCACATAATTATGTCTGGGGTTTTTTCACCTCAATGATCTTGTTTATTCTGTACTCTTCCCATCATTAACTACAGGCTCTGATAACCCATCGAACTTGATGTTCAACTACCGGCCTTGCGATCACAAAGGCCCATGTGATAGTTCTTGCCCGTGCATCATCGGACATAACTTCTGCGAGAAGTACTGCCAGTGTTCATCGGAATGTGAGTCCACTCTCGGTCTCAGTGCAATGTGTCGTGCCCTAGGTCAATGTTACGGGATGCACATTGTACATGTTTATTATACAATAGTTTGGGATAATTTCGGAAGAGCTTGAACGTTGGAAGAATGCTCTCAGCGTGTGTGTGCCAGTTGAGAAGCCGATGAGACCAACTGGCTTTTGTTTGGTTCACCCCTCGAATGTGTGGAGCAGAACTCTTTTGGCATACTGCATCGGTGTTAGTTCACATCAGATCCATCTGCACTGTGTGTCTTTGCTCTCAGGTCAGAATCGCTTTCCTGGATGCCGGTGCAAGGCGGCGTGCAACACCAAGCAGTGCCCTTGCTTTGGCGCGCTGCGAGAGTGTGATCCTGACCTGTGCTTGACTTGCGGTGCCTGTAAGTACTGGATGATCACGGTGTTCTAAACATCCAGTGCCACTTGTTCAACACGCATTCTTGACATGCTCTCATTCGTCTATGTTTGCCTTGATTTCTCACAGGTATGAGGTGTGGTGGAATCTTTGTCAAATGTGTCATCATTCTGTTTGGCATGTGTTACAGTGCTGGGTGGTAGCCTGACCAAGACTGCCTTTCATATTGGCTTCCCTGCGTTTGTGTTGTTGCTGCCTGTGGCTTTCTTGTAGCGACAAATCTCAAGAGTAAAACGGTGCCGTGTAAGAACGTGTGCATTCAGCGTGGACATCGCAAGGTGAGGGAGTCAGTGGCAGGACATCCCGTGCATTTTCTAGCCAGGCACTCATGCTGATCCGAAGGCATTAGACTGGCACTGCTAATCTGGTAACCAAGAATCACAAAGTGGATGGGTATTGTGTGTTGCATGGGTCCTAGATCAGAAGTATTGAGCGGCATTTTCTTTGTCTCCAGATTGAGTCGCATTTGATCTGAGTGTTTGTAGTAAGCGGTTTGGTGCACGGCTAGATGCTTTTTTATTAAATAAGTTTCCCTCTTCTTCGCTGTCCTTTCTAGCACTTGTTGTTAGCACCTTCCGATGTCGCCGGTTGGGGCATCTTCATTAAAGAGGCCGCCCAGAAGAACGAATTCATCAGCGAATATTGCGGAGAGGTGAGCAACCTAAAATGTGCTACACACACTGCGTCGGTGTTCCTTAGTCTGCTTTTCTTATTGTGTGGTGCCGTTCGCTTCATCTTGCAATCCCGGCGTCTTTAGCATGCATGGTGCTATGGGAGGATTTACTACACCGCGCTCCTATCAGCTGCTATCAAAACTAATGAGTGTTGCACGCATTGTGGTGAAATGTTGACCTTGTGCGTGTGCTCATTGATTTGACTGATGTTCTGTTGTTCTGTTATTGCTGGCCAATGAGAATCAACCTCAGGTAAAGCCCCCGGTGTACTATAGCCATTGTTTTCTGTTTGCTGTAGTTGCACGAACAACCGTGGTGCCACCTCCGAGGCCGATTCCGCATTTTGTTCGCATTGTAGATGTTGTGTGTACAGTATGTGTGTACAGTATGTGCGTACAGTATGTGTGTACAGCATGTGTGTACAGCATGTGTGTACAGCATGTGTGTACAGTATGTGTGTACAGTATGTGTGTACAGCATGTGTGTACAGCATGTGTGTACAGTATGTGTGTACAGTATGTGTGTACAGCATGTGTGTACAGCATGTGTGTACAGCATGTGTGTACAGTATGTGTGTACCTGCAACCAGCCAATGGCATGATGTACTTGCGTATGTTAATGTTCTCCTTCTGGCAACTAGATGATATCTCAGGATGAAGCAGAGCGCCGTGGAAAGGTCTACGACAAGTGGAAGTGCAGTTTCCTCTTCAATCTCAATGCCGGTTAGTATCGTGCTGTTTCAATGCAACTCAGTTCGGTTTGTTGCTCCTCGACGTTCCTTGGACATGATCAGATGTGCATTTGGTCAATTTCCCGACACTTACTTCGGCGTCTCCTCTCTTTTTGTCGCTGCAGAGTTTGTCGTGGATGCCACACGGAAAGGAAACAAAATCCGCTTTGCCAACCACTCCATCAATCCGAACTGTGCTGCTCGAGGTACAAAGTTTTCTGTTCTCCATCTTGAGTCCAATGCCTTGCTGTATTTTCCGTAGTGGCCACGTTGCATGTGGGTTATGATCTCCAGCTAGTGAAGGCTTGGTAGTAACCGATTCCATGCCCATTTTGCAAGTGCAATGTGTTCTGCACTGTTGCATTCAGTTTTTGTTTTTTGTGTCATGTGTTTTCTCGCATCAGTTATGATGGTGCATGGTGACCATCACATCGGGATATTTGCCAAGCGCAACATCGAAGCTGGAGAAGAGCTCTTCTTCGATTACCGGTTAGTTCCTCTACACTTGTGTTCTCCTTTCCTTTTTCTTTTTTTTTTGTTCTTGTTAGATGTTGCACGCAAGTCAGTGCACTCCTGCAGGTATCTATTGAAAGCCAGCCACTTCATTTCAATGTACAAAATCAGTTTGTATGCTTCCCTGTAGTCCATGGGAAGACAACGTGTATTGGCATGTGCAGTGTGTTTGAAACATACAGTCATGTAGGTGACCGTTATCAATACTCAGCAAGGTAGATTTAGGTACCTGACCGGTAATGGTACCTCGACTCAAATGTTCAAAATACACTCAAAGGTAAACTGCGTACAGATTGACATTGTATGGTGCCGTATGACCCGCAGACAGAACCACACCTCCAAAGCATGGCGACGAAGAGTGGGGGCGGGGGCTCTGACTGTTCTTAACGGTACCAATAACTGAAGAACTTTGTCCTTATAGTAGCGTTTGAGGATGGTCTGCTCTGCCTTGGTGTGCCTCGCTCTGCCTTGTTTTGTATCACTTATTACATTTTTGGCCGTATATCTTTCTCTTCGTGCTCCCTAGTTACGGACCAACTGACTCTTTGCGCTATGTGGGCATTGAGCGGGAGAACTACCGAGTGACATCTACCGAGTAGAGAGAACGGCAAGTTGCCCGGGTGCCATCTACCGAGTAGAGAAAATGGCAAGTTGCTGTTGGTGTCCAGGTGTCGCTACGGACACCACACTTGTGATTACCAACAGGCAATTAGCAGCATTTGCCACTTGCTCAAATACTCCCTTGCCATGAACATTGCTGCTCACTAGCAGGCGTACTACCCAAGACCTGTAACCCGCCAAGAACATCAGTCTCACCTCCATGATAAGTAGTGTATTGTCATAAACCCCTCTGCTTCTTTTAGGTTGCTTTCCGTTATTCTATTTATTGTTTTGCTTTTATCTGTGGCAGTCTTTGCTCTGTCTACTAACGGGGATCCTTGTTGTCGGAAGTATACATTTACGATACACTACTTGGAGGGGCTTTTTCAGAATAGCTCTTGGCTCTGTTGCGAGTGTGCAGAGGAGCGTTATTAGCATATTTTCTCTCTTTGTGTTGAGAGCGTGCAGCCTAGTGCTGTACACGTATGTCAGTCTCAATATGCTCAACACTGGTCAGTGCTGGTGGCCACCCAGTGCTTCTGTGCTCTTTCGGCAATATCATCAATGATAGCTTGCGCTGGTCCAGTCCTCAAGCTCTTGTTGACGCGTTTTAATCCATGCCATAGCCAGCTCATAGAAAGCTCTGTTTTCTTTCTTTTTCAATATGTAGACTCTTTCTAGCTGTTTTATCCAACACGCCGCCGGGGAGCTCTTTTTACTTTTCCTCCCACGTCTCTCGTTGTTTTTTTTGTTTTTGTTTTGTTTTTTTTGGTGACCGTTTTACAACCATACTCACACTTTTAAATTATCAAAAAATGGCTCAGGTTGGTGAAATCTGGCAATGATCCACATGTATTGTTCAGAATTTACAGTCGTGTACTTGCCAGCAGAGAGTACTAGGGGGTCGTCCACCAATATCAATATTCTTTAGAGAAGATATTGGGGTATCCTGTTCTAAGCACTTGCAGACTCCATTGCAGCCACTTACACATTGGAAATACAATTCAAACAATTTAATAGCTATAAAGACAACTAATTGCACAGTAAGCACATTATGTCGACATGTATGTGTAAAATGTTGTTCGATTATCGCAAGGCACACAAGGAAGGGAAAGCGAGGATTCGTTCAGAACTTGTGTGCCTTGCGATAATCATACTTCGAAGTACAACATTTTACACATACATGTCGACATAATTATATGAAATGGTTACTGTGCAATTAGTTGTCTTTGTAGCTATATTAAAACTGCTGTCTCCGAAACGCTTGTTCAAAAAATTTGAAGTGATGTATGCAGCAAAGTGACCGTATTTTGAACATTTGAGTTGAGGCACCCTAAATTATATTGGTTGGTGGTGGGGGGGGGGGGGGGGGGAGGGGGTTGGGCTCTGTTCATCTTGTCTGCAGTGAAAATATCGGTCTGTAGATACGGGAGGGCACTGTTGTTGTTGCTGTTGTTGTTGTTTTTTGTTAGTTAGGGTTACGAACCATTCAATTATAGTGGTCTAACAGGAAGGCCGGTTGCTCAAGAACCTGCTCCCATTCTGACCGACCTGATAGAATAATAATCAGGTACTGTAAAACCGGATAGTTTAACGACCAAAAAGTTTAACCGAACGCCTCAGTAAAGCAGCACTGTACTTCGACTATGACACTTTAGATGGACAATAAGCAGCGGAAACAAGCATTCCTTGGTCCTTTTTACTTTTTTGTAAATAATCCTTGGTTCTCCGTCCGAGTTCATTCTTGCACACCTGATGAGCCGTCCTTATCTATACGGCGAAACTATCTTCGTGTGAAACTGCTGCTTGTTACCACTGCTGATTGTCCCGTCATGATCTAAAGTGTCATAGTCGAAGTACATTGCTGTTTTACTGAGGCGTTCGGTTTTGCATGATCCTTGTTCGCATAGCTTCCCCTTTTCTTAAAAATGTAAACGTTTTTTGTAATTTTGGCATGATAACGTGCAGAAAGTTTAACGATGGCTACCTGGCCACAAACTGTATGCGCATCTTTACACAGACATCTCGCGATAACGTTTCTTCAAATAACGAAAACAAATTGGACGTTAGACTTTGTGACTCGTTAGACTTTCCGGTTTTACAGCACTTGGCACCACCTGAAACTGGAAAAAATTGCGCATTTCAACATTTTTATAGGGAAAGTGCAAGCAGTTCAGGCAGACAAGAAACGTGATCAGTGAGCCCTATAGTATGTATAATTATATGTACGTCAGGGTGTTGTAACACACAGGGAGACGGCATGAGGTCCGGCATAGTAGTATCCGAAACGATGCAGGACTTATTGGCTTACCCTCTATGGGTAGATGGTAGATACTAGATACATGTAGATAGATAGATACCTGTACTTGAAGTAAAATAAATAAATGAAAAGTAAATTATCGTGTCCGTTCCCGAAGGGCACTCACGACGGCCGCTAACACCCGGTAAACCCTAGCTACTTGAAGTAGGTCTCCCCTGACTCACTTGTGAGGTCTGCATTCGCCACTAAGGTTAACAGGCATAGTGGTGGCCTGCGGATGCGAAGGCTAGTTTGTGTGTTTCTGAACGAACTTTCAAGCGATGCCGACGCGGATCCCGCGAATATTGTTATATATTACTTGAAGTAGGTACTTTGTAAATAGAAGATTGTGCAGTGGCGCTCCTACAGTTGCGGAAAACTCATGAAAATTTAATGTTTTTAAAACTTTTTTTTGTTAGCTTACGATTTTTGGATATTCGTTACTCGCTATGTTTAATATGTAACGGGAATCGTGTGTCGCGGTCGCAGCTCGTTGCAAGCCGCGTGTGTATTGTTGCGTCACAGGAAGTGGTATTGTGAATGAGCATTTACAGTATACCCTCGCAGGTGGCCTCTATAGCCTATCTATTCTAATAGATTAGCTGAAGACAAAACCATCCGATCTTCATCGGTCACCATGGTCTTGGATTGGTGTGCATGTGTCACTTGACAGCTAAAACAGCTGTTGAGTGTTGTGCTGATTGTCATGAGCAGCACCTTAACCAGCTCCAGGTCATGTTCCAGACATGTCCAACATCTGCCACTCAGCTAAAAATGACTTAGTCTTTACTTGTATTGCTATGCTATATGCTGTGCACTTGCTCAGTAGACTACATGCACATGACGATCGCACAGCTAGCTCCATAACTGGCATATGCGCCTCATTGGCACTTCAAGAGACAAAAATCGTCATGTTGTATGCTACTCGATAGACAAAATAAAAGTTTTCTGTGCATTATCACTGATTGTGAATATGACAGCATGTGTAGCCATAATGCACAGCCACAGGCACAGACAGTCACAGACTCAGTCAGTATCAGAGTAGCGTAGGATGTATGTACTTGTACCGGGAGTAGTAAAATACATGTGACTTGTACTATGTTAGTATGTAGCAGCTACCGACTCACTGGCACTGCACTCAGCCAGCGCTCAGCACGCCAGCACTCAGCAGTGCCATTTTTACGGAGCTGAGTCTGTAGTCTAGAACTAGTACTTAGTAGAACTACTAGAAGTGTGCAGCCTGCAGGACTCTGTACTGTGCAGGTGCAGGTGGTGTCCCGCGCACACGACAAGGCATCGTCGAGAATAAAGAACTCGGCACGTGACAAGCGCCGGTGCCCGGCGGCCCGCACCAAGAGGTCCTGCCTGTCTTGGTCCGTTTGCCGGGAGAAGTGGATCAATGGCCAATGCAATGGGACTTTCTTTGGTGATATGACAGGAAGTGCTGAGCAGAGCAGAATCATCTCCATCACTAGCCACTGGCATCAGCACTGGGCACAGGGAAAACGACGCACTGGTACATGTACAAACTAACCTGCCAACTAAAACTCTTACCTCGGGGTGCAGGGGTGATGACGGCTTAGTTTTCTGCTGCATGAGCTTGATACTACCGTGGTTGACATCCACAGCCGGCCATCCTCATCGAGTGCAGTAGTTACTGTCTTGCGGCGATCGTTGCAAGGGAGCAAGTAACACTGTTCGTTAGTTGGTAGCGTGATCGGGACTGGATCAAATCCACCTCATTACTTCTTGTTTTACCGGACATCGACTCGGTGCGCAGTTGCAGCTGGCTATGCATATTTCGCCCCTTTCAGTCTCGACGTTATCACAGGACTGAGGAGTTGCAGCAACATTGCTTTCGGTGCGTGCTTCAATCTCTCCAGTCAAAATAATCAGTGCAGTGCAGATCTTCTATGATTTCTAGCTAAGTAATTAGTTGAACGGAAAAAGCAAAAGCGGTGACTGCTACCAGCGGCACATTTGCATTTGGGAAGAAAATACAACGCGCAGAGCACGTGCACGCGTGCAGGGAAGAATCGCACCAAACAGTACAGTGCAGCGGTCACTTCTATTCAAACAAACCTCATACGACTACTCTTCCTTCAACTAGTCGATCCACCCTTCTCCGGAGCTGTGGTTCCTCCACTTCGCCCCCCGCCGGACTGGACGACGTGTGTGCTCCGGACGTGAACCATGAGGTTGTTAGCGATCGCTGCAACGGCGCTAATCGGTAAGAAATGATTGGCAAATCTGTTGCAATGAACTAAGTTTAATTTTATCTATTTTTTATTGTTGAGCAGCATACCTTCCAAAGGCTTTATTGCGAATTGATCGCCTTGGTTACAAAGTCATTCTGTTCACTGATGTGTTTGAAAATTGCTAAAGCCAAGTAAAGACAATGCCCCAACTGAAAGCATAATTTTGGGCTCCTCCTACTACTAGTAATAGTATTAGTACGGTGTACAACGACCATGCAGTACAGGACGGTACGTATGGACAGGACACCTGGCCAAGGGATTCCTGAATCGGTTTTGCATGGATGTCACACCCAACTGAATACCTTCTACACAGTAGCCTTGCATTTGTGCGCCGGAAGGAAGAATTCCACTTTCCAGCGTTCCCGAATAAGGATGATTCGGTATTTCCGAATTGGCCAATCTTAATACTGTAGACATGGCCCTCCCATCATTTGTGCAGTGCACTTCACCAACACATTTGCCAGTCCATGCAATGACTACGTGTCAAAACGTTGACTGGCGGTAGCAATGGCTTTACTTGGAGGGTGATCGGATGAGATCTAACAAGGCCAAAACAGCTACTAACCTCTCCGTAAGCGGAGACTCGAGTATGTAGGTGTGTGTGTGTGTGTGTGTGTGGGGGGGGGGGGGTAGCTGGTGCAGCCCTCAGTACACCACAAAGCCATAGGCGGTGAACGATGGTACACAGTCATGAGTAGTCGGTGATCCATTCTCTACAGCTGCATGCCGGTCAGGACTACATTCACGGTATGAGCACTGTAACAGTACACCAGCATCGCCCGCAGCTTCTATGTACAGAGACAGGTGTTATTGTGGAGGCCTGGATCTTACTTCCAGCTGAATGGAAGCTAAACAGAACCTTGGCATGACGTGTTCCGTTGCCTGGACATGTACACATCATGTACAGTGCTGCTCAATGAAATCCAATCGTAGCGTGAGTCCAGTGCTGGTATGGGTCTGGCGCTGTGCAGCCCCCCCCCCCCCCTCCCCCCCCCTCCCCCCCCCCCCCCCGGTGCAGTACCTTTTAATCACTTGAATGATGTACATTATGTACATGCGGATATAGTAACTTGTGTCTAGTGCAATGGACATGGTTTGATTCAGTGGTATGTCGGTGGGCAGCAGAAGGACAGGCATGTGCTGCGTGTCACTAACCTCCAAGTGCTAAACCGCGGCGGTGTTCACTACCTGTTGGTAACACTGTTTCAGTTCGTGGAATGTTTTGCTGGTATCAGCCATGGTTAAACCGAAATACTGCGAAGTACACATACAAGTTTACCACCTAACTAACCTAACCACACCTTGACTCCCATGAATTATGTGGGTTTTGGCAACAATTGCAGGTGGTGTTACGAACCCTCTGGTTCTCTTAAGTATCAGGAACGAACGACCACACGGCACGAGGACAACTACTAACTCTTGACAGTATATTTCACTTCGATCGACTAAAAATAATGAATTAATAACACTAAAACCACCAGGTAGTTATAGCGTGACAATGACAGCGTATATGAGAAAAAGCATACACATACAACATACAACTACAGCGCACACAGCAAACCGCACATAGCGCATGTAGCGTATACTACGTCGTAATCATCAGTGGTACGGCGGAGTCGAGATACAACTGCATTGAAACGAGCACAGTGTCACAAGCGAGAAGGCCTTTCACTCTTGAGAACTTGTGGTTTCGCAACATTCTCCCCACCAAAGGGCTTCTCACCGCCGTACAACAACTCACAAGTCAAAAGCGACCGGGGCTCTGACTTCACGCCCAGAACGAGTCATCCGCTGCTGTGGGGTGGCCAAGGTGGAATATCACTACTGCTCACCACTTTGGCCAACTCGATTTCGCGAAGCTTGCCGCTGTGGGCTGTCACACCCGACACGGTCACATGCTTACTGCTTCGACCAGGGGCAGACGCTGGACCAGACAACACACAACCGATAATTTCACCTAGCTCGCCGATGTGGGCTGTCACACACGACACGGTCACCAGTTCACTTCGACGTGGGGCGGACGCTGGACCAGATAACATACATCCGATCTCCGTGTTCCACACAGTCTCGCCGCTCACTTCTTCCGTGCTAACTAGTATCGCCCTTCTCATTTCCTTAGCTTCTACGCCTTGCGCTCCTACGTCTTGCGCTTCTACGTCTTGCGCTTCTACGTCTTGCGCTTCTACGTTTTGCGCCTCTACGCCTTGCGCCTCTACGCCTTGCACCTCTACGTCTTGCGCTTCTACGTCTTGCGCTTCTACGTCTTGCGCCTCTACGTCTTGCGCTTCTACGTCCTTCGGCCGAGACTCCAGCTGCTTCTGAGCGTCTCTGACCGATGTCGCCATGCACTGCATCAACGCAGTGGGCCTTGGATCTGATCCTCCCACTGGCTTCTAATACTCCTCTGACCGCTGCTTGTCTGTAAGCAAAGTCTTCCACGCCTTGTCCGGCGTCCTTCCGAGCGAGGCAAGCAAATCTCGCTTTGCTTCCTCATATGTACTGCTGGCCATGCGCTCGTTCATCTTCTTGAGCTTTTCTTCAGATGGCGCCAGACTGGCACTTGAAGCATGCAATGTACATAGTTGTTCTCAGCTAGTTATGGTCGGCGGAGTTGCACGAGTACACTGAATTTTTCTCTGTGTGTGTGTGTGTGTGTGTGTGTGTGTGTGTGTGTGTGTGTGTGTGTGTGTGTGTGTGTGTGTGTGTGTGGGTGTGTGTTATGTCATAGGCCTGTGCAGTCTGCACGTTGCGGTGGGTCAGGATATCCCAGGCCCGTGTGCAATCGGTGTAAAGTGTGACAACGGAGGCACCTGCAATCCTAGTCCTAATCCACTGGCCCCTTCTTACTTCAACTGCACGTAAGTAATAGCTGGCGCATTATTCCCGTAGCTATGCAGAAGACGTTACTTCAGTAACGTCTGGCGCTAGCCAGGGTCCACACAGCTTCAATTTGTTTGTTTGTGTCACGCCTGGCGCTATCCCGTATCTGTCTAGTACCGTACCGTACCATCAAACGTACCTGGCCACAAACAGCTGGCCACAGTATTTGCTGGCTCCCGTATCTGTCCCGTACCGTGCCGTACCATCAAACACAGCTAGCTGGCCACACACAGCTAACCACAATATTCGTCGTATTATGTATACGACTCCCTGATGTATAGGGAGATTTTCTGGAAAGAAATAGGGAGACGAGGAGGAAATGCAGGTAGAATGGACGCTAGTTGCCGAATAGGTGATAGGATGCGTCAGCAAAAACATACTTTGGAAGAGAGATCCTGTCGTCTCCAAAAGAAGCGTGAACGGGCGAGTCAGCGCCGGTCACAGGAAACGTCGGAAGAGAGATCCCGTCGACTCCAGAACACCCGTGATCGGCAGAGTCAGCGCCGGTCCCAGGAAACGTCAGGACAGACATCCCGTCGACTCCAGAACGCCCGTGATCGGCAGAGTCAGCGCCGGTCCCAGGAAATATTTCCATCAGTTCTAACAACATGCACGATGAGCTAAGCAACAACGCATAGCGTAGGGCGCTGAGCTTCCAAGCTCTCTCGTTTTGCTTTGATCACGCTGCCACCGGAAAGTACTGGGAGAGCGATCCGTCACCTACACCATAATTATTCATAAGGCGGAATGGTGAAGATGTGGATTACAAACCAAGTAGGTCTTCACACGATATAATTATGGACTGTCTAAAGAATCAAGGTCCTCGTGGTCTTTTGCTCTCGGTGAGAAGCGTATCTACCTTCTTGTAACCTAGGCTCACATTTAATAGAAACGCCAGTTGGAGGAAGATTAACCCACATCCGTAACCCTGGTAACAGGGCATTGTACCGATTTGAAAAATAATGGCACGAGCGGCCTTATTGGCCAGTGGGTTATGTTGTCACGTGTGGGGAACTGTGGATTGGCCTGTATGTCCTGATACGTTGGCCATAACCGGCAGCACTGTGGCCACCTTGTAGGTGTGTCTTGTAATGGTCGAATGCCAACATCGAATAGTAAAGACGTGGAACAATATTCATCAGTTCAATTATTTAGCTGAGGGAGTCGCTCATCCATGTCACAGAAATGCACGCGGGTGAATGTGTTATCCTAGGTTGAAGGTGACCTATACGGAGAACAAGGACATCAGTGTTGCTTGCATGCTGCCGGCATCCAAATAGTGTTCACATATCCGGCGTACCGGTTGAAACGTCATCTTGTTGTTGTTGCTGCTGTGTTGCTCAGGTGTCCAAGTTTATACAACGGTACCCATTGTGAAAGTAAGTGTGACGCCACTGTGTGTATTGCAGACATGTTGTCCAGTTTCTGATCTATTCATCTGACAGTCCGAAAGAATACATGGATTGCTGGAATATGCCATGAAAGGACCAACAGAAAAAATGCCATGAGCATAGTTTTGTAGATGCAAAACGCGACAAGTGCCAAATTTGGGGAAATGAGACTTTTAAGTTAGGCTCAGTGGCATGAATAGACTCACAGTGAAGGAGCACCTATCCATTTAAGCCAATATTTTCACCTTCAAAATCCGACAAGAACCACTTCAAACCCATCACCAAAGTAATAACCGTCTGTTGTAATTATGGCTACACCACAGCTTAGCGGTTGAGCATCGCTGGCCTATAGCCTAGGGAAAGTTCCTGGATCGAGTCATGGTGGTGACAGTCCTTTCTTCCTTCAGACCAGGCTTTCCCTTTTCAACTCCTCCCTTAAAACTTTTTAAATAATATATATAGGAATATTTGGTAAATAATTGGGGCTCTTCACACATTAGTGTGCGTGCGTGATGTGTGTAGGCACAGTGAGGGCTGCATCCCACCAGCCTGTGTAGTGCCACAGGAAGCCGGTATGTCTCGGAGTCCTGGTAGTGACAGTCAATTTTTCTTCAGGCTTTGCCCTTTTCAACTCCCTCCCTATTTGTTTGTTTGAATACAACAGTTGTATTGTGCACGGGATTTACTCAATGAAGGTTCTCTGTGTCTCTATCCGAGGATGCATGATCATGATACTGCTCCGGTTGTACGGTGCACGGGATTTGCTGAAGGTTCTCTGTGTCTCTCTGCTGAAGATCCATGATCATGATAATGCTCCGCTATTGTGTCCGACCGCTGTGCTGTGTTGTGTTCTGGCAGATCCTCTATGTGCAGACCCCGGCACTCCAGTCAATGGCACACGCACACCGGCCATGACGGGAAGCCTGACGCGGTTCACCAACGGCTCGCTGCTGCACTACGCATGCCTCGCTGGATTCCGTCTGGACAACGCCGCTGACCTTATCTGCAGCAACACTGCTTGGTACCACGCTGTCAATGGCATGGCCAGCACACTGGCCACCGGTGGATATCCGAAATGCATGCGTAAGGTCTGATGGTGCATGCGCAAGGTCTGATGGTGCATGCGTAAGGTCTGATGGTGCAGGCTGCTCACTGTCCACGCACTACTGTGCTAGCTGTATATTGGTGGCTAGCGGAATGGCTAGTTGAAACAACTAGATATGACTGTGTGTAGCATGCATCCTCCCATGACACTGACATTAGGCATGGGGGACATGATCGGCTCTGTAGCCGACCCGGGGCCTAGCCACCTCTCATGAGCAGGCTCCGGGTCTGGTGCCGGGTATATTGCAAATTTTGTGGACGAACAAATCTACTAGTAGTCACTAGTGGCTAGTGAGCAACACTAACCGGTCAGATTTTTCCACTTGACAAACTTTATCCGAGGGGTGTGCTTGATAGTACTGTACTAGTGCTTGAAGTAAAAATGAATAGAACATGTTCACTAGTTCACTAATAGAACATGTTGAACATTAATCTGATCAAGTATCAGTACACGGGCACACAAATTTCAACTTCAACGTACATGAAATCACAATGATCACAAAGTTTATGGAATCAGGACGACTTCTCTCACACCTACCTTCGTCTTAGGATCGAAAACTCGAACTCTAAAATGAGACTGGAGTGTAATGGTTATGGGGTTGCCCTGCAAACATATTACTATAATTATCATGATCAACGTTACGGTACTTATACTGCAACGTCTTGTAATGGCATGAACCCATGTTTGTGGTGAGTGTGATCCACTCCCCTACCAACGCTTTAGGAGCTGCTCATGTGCCATGATCTCAGTACCAGATCGGTGGTGTTCCCTGCAGATGCAGAAAAGTCAGTGTGAACGATTCTGACGCAGATCGTGACAATTGCGTTCTCGTTTTTATGAAAGTGCGAAGAGTGCCTCAGTAATGGGCGTGTATGCACACCTCTGTGCACTGCGTATACGTAGAACTTGATGATGATAACTTGATGATGGGACTTGAATAGGAGCATAATCCAGGTATGGGCTTGTGTGGGCTTACACTGGTAAGCATGGTTCAGGTGTATGGGCTTGTGTGGCATTGTGTGGCAATGGTCTTGCGTCTATGTGTTTTCTTCTGCCTGTTCACACCGGTGCTGCTGTCTATCAGCTGTGTTCTGCGACTACCCGCCGGCCGTGAGCACGGGAGGATCGCTGAGTCCGTCCGGCCCTGCTCGGCTGCCGTACAACGCCGTGGTAACGGTGCAGTGCAACACTGGCTATGCGCAGGCGGGCAGCACTACACGACGCTGCGCGGCTGACGGCAACCTGACGGGCACGGTACAGGCATGCCAGTGTAAGTACTGGACTTGGTACTGCTCACGGTTGTGCCTTTTCATTGTGTTTATTTTGCCCGTAACTGAGGCCTGTTCCACACACACTGTACTATGTATGTAAGTACTGGACTTGCTACTACTCTACTATATAATATTATGTGTTTGTATGTATGTAAGGTGCGGGCATGCCAGTGCAAGTACAGTACTGGACTCGGTACCACTGTACTATGTACAATTGTACATGTATGTGCATGTGTACAGTGTGGTGTTGCCGCAGTGGATCAAGCTGTAGCAAGAAGGAGCCACGGGTGTGTGTGTGTGTGTGTGTGTGTGTGTTTTTGCGCGCGTGCGTGCGTGTGTGTGTGTGTGTGTGTGTGTGTGTGTGTGTGTGATCCCCGGTAGCCTATTCGGTATGGCACTGTACCGAAAAGACGGGTCCTGGGTTCGAATCCCGCTCATGTATCCTTCTTTTGCAACATTGGCACCTGACAATGGCTCGAACCCACGACCCATCGTACCCCCCCCCCCCCCCGCGAGTAGATACAGCGTGAAGACCCAGCCTGTTGGGTGGGGGGGGGGGGGCAGTGTAGCAAGAAGGAGCTGTGTGTGCAGGGCCGTAGCAGGCGGTCCGGCAGGTCCGGCAGCTGCCGGACCAATATTTGACCCAAAAAAAAGCAAAAAAAAAAAAAAAAAGCAGGACCTCACAGATGTGAGCAGCTCAGGATGTTCACCCGGTACCATTGATGAGGATGTGTGCAATAAGAAGCATAGAGGTACATGTAGCACATAGTAGTGGCGGTAGTAGACCTACATATACATGTCATCACTTTCAGGAGTATGACCCTGCTGAAGGTCATGTGGACAGCCATGCCCGTGAAATGTTCCTACACTGTACTTCCTGAAATGTATTGATTCTTTTCTTCCTCCAATTCTTTCTAGATAGGGTTTGTACCAAAGATATTCCATTGCAATATCCTTTCTCCTCCTCCAAAGGTACATTTTGGTTCTTTTATCACATGCATTTAGATACGGTTGCTACTATATGTATATAATACAACCCAACAGTACGCTTGTACGTGAAATATAAACCGACATACAAACCGAGGCGAAGCCGAGGTTTGTATGCCCTTTTTCCTGACTCATGCCGAACGTCCTTCTTCCTTTTCTCGCCCTATGTCACTCTGCATGGTCACGTTTACATGTACATGTACATGTACAATGTATGTACACTGAATCATGTACATTTTGTACATGTACCGGCATATGTATGAGTGTGGGCTCGGGGGGGGGGGGGGGGGGGGGCATCGAAGTCGGATCTTGCCGGACCAACCAAAAGTGCTACGGGCCTGGTGTGTCTGTGTGTGTGATCCCTGGTAGCCTAATCTGTAGGGCACTGTCCCGGAAAGACAGGGGTGCTGGGTTCGAATCCCGCTCGTGGATCCTTCTTTTGCAATAAAGCATGCCATGTAACAAAGATGTTCGGTCTTCTCATGACCTTCTATAGCTCTTTGTAAACATACCGGGACATGAAGTTGTGGGAAAGTTCACATTTCCTCATGTCAACTCGAAGTAAAACCCTTCAGCCAGTAGGATGAACTCCTTTTTACTCGTATTCTATCCGTGTGCTGTCTCCAGTGGTCAGGCTCCGAGTTCTCCCTATACTACATGTGGCTAGGGGTTTGCCTATGGTCTTGGAGACCTGGCAATACCATGCATGCATGGTGCCTACTGGGTCACAAGGCTCATGTGCATGCATGAAGGCACTGTGACCGAAGCTTTGCAGTGCCTGCAGACACTGTGTGAGCTGTTCCATGGCACACACTCCCTCCACCTAGCCCCTAATTATATCTCTTCTGTGTCACACAAACGACACAAAGGAGATTTAATTAAGAGATTGTCAGTTTCTTGCTAAGTGCAATCATCAGACGATTTGGCGAGGTTCCAGACAAGGTTTCTTCTTCGGGCGAGGGTTTATTGTGTGTGTGTGTGTGTGTGTGTGTGTGTGTGTGTGTGTGTGTGTGTGTGTGTGTGTGTGTGTGTGCGTGTGTGTGTACACCTATTTGTCATGATCACAGTGATCCAGTGCTCTGTTCCCGCCACGCCAAGTCATGGTTCACTCACACCGCAGGCCTCCAAAATACCGTACAACTCCACCGTCACAGCAGTGTGTGATAGTGGCTATCAGTTGAGCAGTGGGAATGCGGTGCGGCGATGTATGGCTAATGGTCAGCTGAGTGGAAGTGCTGCTAGTTGTACAGGTGAGTTCTATCCCGTGTATGTATGGACGTGTTGCCTTAGGTCTATCACCATATATGTGTGTGTGTGTGTGTGTGTGTGTGTCTGTATGTATGTCTGTATGTCTGTCTGTATGTCTGTCTGTCTGTCTGTCTGTCTGTCCAGGCTGTCTGTCTGTCTGTCTGTCTGTCTGTCTGCCTGCCTGCCTGTCTGTCTGTATGTCTGTATGTCTGTATGTCTGTCTGTATGTCTGTATGTCTGTCTGTCTGTCTGTCTGTCTGTCCAGGCTGTCTGTCTGTCTGTCTGTCTGTCTGTCCAGGCTGTCTGTCTGTCTGTCTGTCTGTCAGTCTGTCCAGGCTGTCTGTCTGTGTGCATGTTCCTTTGACATTCTTCCGGCTCAAAACCTCTGCTGGCCCATGCGAAACACCTGATGTTAGCCTTGCAGCATTGCTTTTGTTACTGTGCATACTGCCATACATGTGGTTGCTTCCTGCATGGACCCGCATGCCATGCAGTGTTCCCGTGCTTGCAAGATAGCTACTGCTCTACTGTGCTAACTCCGTGGGGAGTAACCTAGGCAGCAACCTGCGAAGTTTCAGTGCGCAGCTGGCTTTGCATGGCTACCGACTGTGTTTCAGGCTGTACTGATGGCCACTAACAGCATATTGTTCTGGTACATTATGTGCGCTGCTTCTTCTTTTGAAAGATTACTGCAAGAGCAATACTTGCCCTGCATCGGCGTCTTCCGGTAACCAATCCTGGACTGACTGCTGCAAGTTTGCTGATGACTCTATCCAGTGCTGTCAGCCAGGGTAAGTACCGGTACATGTATTCCCTTTAAAATGGCTGAGTTGTTACATTATTGATAGCTTGCATAGACCTCGGTCCTACCGGTAGGACCATCATACACAGACATGCTGCACGGCCTCGGTTCTAACATGGACCTAAAACTTGACCCTAAACTGTTGGTAAGGGGCTAATGAAGGAGTCCACAAATTTTAGACGTGATAGTACAAGGCATATTACGAACGTCCATGGCAACAGCCCTTGGTAACCATGGAAACGGAGTATGGAATTTTGCATCCCACTGCTATGGTAGGCTAAGAAAACATTAGCCTGATTAGGTCGTCACCACGATCGATGTGCCATGGTCATAATTCACTTTGGGCAGAGTTTCTAGCGCTCCGACAGCAGCATGTGCGGCCATTTTGACAATTGATGAAATTGCACAGGAGCAGTACATTATATAGACAATGATACACAGCAGGCACAAAGGAGATTTACAGAGTTCATTGCAACTCAGAGTTTCTTGTACAATGCAACCATCAGGCGACTTGTGATATGTACAGTACATATTTAGCAAATTAGAACATTATCGTGTGCAGTCCGAATGGATTCGTGTATGTACTACATGAGTTCCACTGTAGTACACAGAACCGGTGGGGCTACAGTCAGAGTACACAGAACCGGTGGGGCTACAGTCAGAGTACACAGAACCGGTGGGGCTACAGTCAGAGAGCTATTGCTGTGAGAGACGCTCATACCTGCGTGGCTGGTGTTTGTGCTGTTCGTGTTTTTACCTCTCTTCTTAGTGTACAGAATGTGTTAGATGACCGCTATCGGAACATCACCAACCCAACGTGCAGGGCCGACCTGGCCAAGCCGCAGCTCTTCCGTCCATGCGTTGGCGATCTGATCACGTGCCTGAGCCGGCAGGCCAATTATGTTCAGCCCCGCTGCCCAGATATCCATGGCTGCTCGAAGTGGCGCAATGCTCAAACTCAGTGCCAGGCTCTTTTCGGTATCAGTGCCCTCTTTTGCACATCTACAGCGTTTGAGAAAGACCATGCCTTCAACACAACGTTCTGCCTGCCACCATCTTGCAGTAACAACCTGAAGGACTTGGCGGTGTCGGACTACTTGATGAACTGTGATGTCGCCACCAAGATCGGTGGACAAAGCAAATGCCCCATTTTTCGCGTCGAGATTGTATGTCCCGGTAAGTGAACTGAATAAGGGCAGTGCGAACAGGGAAGTTGTATTCTACTGGGTGCATTGGCCAAGCACCTACTGTGGGTGCATTGGCCAAGCGTGTACTGTCATGCAGTGCAACCACATCCAGTGATGTTTGTTTTTTAACCTATAAAGCCACCCTTGCGTATTCCGAGCACATCTTGGTACTTCCCGCAGACAACCGTCTCTCAAAACCCAGGATAATGATGTTCTAGAGGTGGCCAGCTCCCCACGGTGTGTGGCGGCATTGCGGTACATTCTGGATTTCTGATTCTTTTTGATGGCCAGACTTGGTGTTGTAAAACTATCACACTCTCTTGAATCGATTGTGTTGGCACTGTATGCACATCATACCATGTGTGTGTGTGTGTGTGTGTGTGTGTGTGCACATGTGTGTGTGTGTGTGTCCATATGTCACTGCTAACATAGATGGCAATGGAACGTATGATACGGGCGGTGAGTACAGTGCAGAGACATTTGATATTCACTTTCCGTGTGTGTGCTTTTGGTTGTCTAACTAATGTTAACTTATACACAAGAGAGGGAGATTGGAAGCTTCCAATCTCTCTCTTGTGTACACGGCTCTGCCCTACATGGGCATTGAGCACTCTTCGGACAGTGAAGCCACACCACTTGACTAATGTCAACTTATAAGCGTGTGTCACTGTTTGCCACTGGCTATACCTGGGTGCTGCCGCTGTGTCTGGTGCATACACACATTGACGTACTTATGTATGCGGCCCATGAGCAGGGATGTGTTTGCATGCGATCATTGCAGAGGATTTTGTGATAATCTGCAGTCTCGTTACTCATTAGTCACTGCATTTGACTGCACTTTAAAATATTAGTTTTGTATCTTCACTATCCTGCCCAGCACCATCTCCCTGAGCTGACTAGGTGTCTCCACGTGCATGCGCGCGTGCGTGCACACACACACACATACACACACATACACACACACACACACATGTAGCTGTTGGCAACACAGATGTATTAAATCAAATCTTTCCGGAGATGTGCTAACCAGACTGTCCGTTGTCTCCTGGCCAGTACTAGGCAAGTACACTGCGGCCTGAGAATGGACTTCAATCATTGTTTTATGTGCATGGTAGCACCTGCACATCCGCATGCAACTGTGTAAGTGACGAAAGCGGCTAGCCATAGGTGACCATTTGTGGCTGTGTACATGACACGTTGTATGCGCATATCTGTACGTGTGTGTGTGTGTGTGTGTGTGTGTGTGTGTTTTGCAGGCAACAACCCACCTACCCCGAATGATAGCGGTGGCGTGAAGCCGGGCATCATTGCCCTTGTCATTATCCTCGTGATGCTGGGAATACTGGCTCTGGTTGCCGTCATCGTTATCTTCTATCGCAAGGGCAAGCGCAACATGGACAGTACCGACTTTGCTAGGCTCAGCAATGCCGATGATGATGATGACGACGATGACACAGGCAATCCCACAATAAATGCGGACGTGTGATATGACGTCCACTGACTTGATCAACGTCTCAATACTACATACTGTATCTCCTTTCACTGTGACCCTGCTCTACTTCTCCAGCCTTATAAACTGGTCACAATTCGCATTGGGCTCGGACTGATTTCATTATCCGTGCGAGGGCCATCTCTTTCAACGAGACTAAGAGCTGGCAAACAGTCCAGTTACAGACATCGCCTGTAGAGATGTTGGCACAGATGTTTGTATCTATCAAGTCCGGTCAATGATATCTCTCTTTCTTCTTCTTTTTTTTTGTGCTTTGTCACTTCACACTTAATTAACCAGTACAGCAACCATGCAGGCAAAGTTGTTTTGCTTGTGCTTTACAAAAATTATCATTGTGGCACGAGAAAGAGCGGAAACAATTATTATAGTACATGTGCCGAAACTTTATCAGAGCTAACTACTTTTGTGTATTCAGCTTCTCAGTCCATTTTCTCCCTGTTCAGTAGGCTATTCAATGTCTTTCTTGTTGGTTTTAGAGCTACGGTAGCTGATCTAAAATGTTGCTTCATGATACCTCTTAGCATTTGTTAGGAGTTGGGACCGTAAAATTTGCTGCAAATAAGCAACAGTATTTAGAATATTAAAATGGACAACATTAGTTGAATAAGATGGCAGAGAATGGATGGTAGTGTGTTCAAATATGATGAACAGCATTCCCGGTAGAATTGTTTGTAAACAGTCATGTACATGTATGTACTGTACCTCATGCAGCTGCTGTGTCTAGGGAAGGTGTCCCGACTTTGGTTGAAAATTATCTAGCAGCACTGCATGTCCCACACACGCAGCGCTAACCAACAGTGCACACACACACCTGACCTGACCTTTGACGCCCATCGCCGGAGGCGATGATAGCAATGCTACGGCAGAAGCCATAGCAACTTGTGCTGGGATTACACCATTCAACAGCTTGCAAGGCTGAAGAATCACACACACACACACACACACACACACACACACACACACACACACACACACACACACACACACACACACACACACACACACACACACACACACACACACACACACACACACACACACACACACACACACACACACACACACACACACACACACACACACACACACACACACACACACACACACACACACACACACACACACACACACACACACACACACACACACACACACACACACACACACACACACACACACACACACACACACACACACACACACACACACACACACACACACACACACACACACACACACACACACACACACACACACACACACACACACACACACACACACACACACACACACACACACACACACACACACACACACACACACACACACACACACACACACACACACACACACACACACACACACACACACACACACACACACACACACACACAGATCACTCGAGAACAAGATACCACAAGTGGGAAAACGAAGAAACGAATACAGTAGTAAGCTTTCAAGATGAAAACCCATCTCAGGTGTCACAACAGCAAACAAACAAGACGATGACAGTAAGAGGACGACAATGTAGGCTACTACCCAAGTGCCAGGGACGGCCAAGCACGGTTTCTACACGCCAGCGAAGAAAGGCGTATCACACGGAGCGGCCCAGGCTCCACAAAACAAAACAAGTGTAAGACACCAACCCGTTGCAATAATAATAGCATAGCGGCGCAAAACCTACGTGAGCGAACGTCAAGAATTGAAAAAATACTAATTTGTGCGCGTGTGCAAGCCTGCTGCACTCAGCAGAAGAAGCGAGCAAGAAGATTGTAAAAATATATATAAAGCCAAGCGGCATTTGTGGAGAGAGGGACAGAGAGATGGAGAACTGCAGCATAAAAATATAATAGAAAGGCACACACGCCACCAAAAGCAAAGTCCTCATGATCATGTGAATAAGATTATAAAAATTGTTTGAGAAAGAGGGAAGGCATTGGGAACTGACACGCTTCACAAGGATCGACGACGAAAACACAACCTAAGTCTAGAGAGACCAGTCTCGACATGCTAAAAACCTACACACAGGACAAAAAAAGAGTAGGAAACCCATCATAATCTTCTACTTGTCACATAAACCTAACGACCCGACCAGCAGGACGCAGGGATTTCTTCTAGAAATGGAGTCGTCCACCATAGTTGTTGACACCGCCACCAGCACCACCTTGCATTCCCATTTGTTGTTGATTCATTCCGCCCATCATCATCCCAGAACCGCCACCAGCCTGCATTCCTCCCTGCGGACGCATCATACCACCCTGCATTCCCGGTGAGGCCATCATTCCGGCTTGCATGCCTGGTGACGCCATCATTCCAGCCTGCATACCTGGCGACGACATCATTCCACGTTGCATGCCAGGAGATGATGACATCATTCCACCTTGCATACCCGGTGACATCATGCGAACGTTGGCGCCTCCGCCCTGCATCATCATACCTCCAGCACCGACTCCGACGCCAGCTTGCATACCCATACCGGCGACTCCAGCATTCATTCCTATACCACCAGCTTGCATGCCCATACCACCAGCTTGCATGCCCATTGCAGCAGCGGACGGGTTGGCAGACATGGTGGCACCTACACCAGGTCCAGCTGCCGGTACTGCCATCAGCTCATTCATCGACACTTTCTTTGTAGGCATCTTCTTGTCAGCGCCACCCTTGTTACCAAAATCCAAGCTAATGTTAACACCGGTGGAGTCTGTCCACTTGTGCAGGTCACTGCTGGGTTTCTGGGAAAACGAAAGAGGCAAAAAACAAAGATGCATGGCACCTCAGAAGTTCTGGAAAAACCACCTTTACTCCGACGCGTGCCCTGTGGATCATCCAGTGCACTATTTCCCCAGCCCGTATCGTCACACAGGCCAGCAGTCAAGACCATGCCTGTGTTTTCTTCTTCATAACTACTAGGCCTAATGACTACACAGTCACAGAGCATAACAGATGAAGAGAGTTACATGTATATCCCAATATACGAACATCATTGGAAAGGCCCACGCCGTGGGGGGGGGGGGGGGGGGGTACATGTACTGGCCACCCAAAATAGCCAATCTCATACACAACTCTACAGTCGGACGTGCTCCAGTACACGCCAACGGCATGTAAAGGCATGTTCAGGAGGGGACTGTACTACATGTACTTCCAATTATTACAATTAAACTTTGGTTATATGACGCAAAAACATAACTTTCAACAGAGGGTATTGCACAATAGTGGTAGCGACTGTGGATGGCAGTAAGTCAAGTGGCAAGTCAGGTCGGCAGGAAAAGCGCGAGCTCCAGTGTGGGGAGCAACTAACTTCCTTGAGGGCATTACGCACATGCATCTGCAAATCCATGCACATGCCTCCTTCAAAGTTCATCACAAAAACTCAAACGTTATTTTGACTGAAAGGACGAGAGCAATAGAAAAGAATCCCTACTTTAGTACTTACTGCAGGCTCTGCAGCACTGACAGGCGTGGACATGGCGGCAGTTGAAGTCTACAAACAAAAGAGCAAAAGAGCAAGACATTACAGCAGGACACGGTCCAGACACAACCATGAATGCTTACAAGAGCGGCGTGCACCAGAGAAAACTAGAGTATAGATGGGTGATGCAGCAGGCTTTAACGTGGGTTCAGCACTCCAAACAAGCATGCACGTTCAACTGCTATAAAATCCATGTCCATCTGCAAGAACTTACTGCTGGCTGTGATGTGGAGCCCATCGGCATCAAAACTTGCTGTGGAGAATACCCAGGCATGAGAGGTGTCGCTGACGGCTGTGCAGGTGCAGCAGGCTGTGCACTCACGAAAGAACTATTAGCGGACGTTGACGTTGAAGATTGGAAGTCTGTGAAGTCCGTAAATCCATTACCGCCGGGAGCGGCAGGCTGAGCAACACCTGTTGAACGCGCTGATGCTAAGTCGGTAAAGTCATCAGGCGCTTGGCCTGTAATACCAATAAAAACAAGCAAGAACAAAAATGAAAAAAAAGATTCCCATCACATGTCACTACTGCATGCATTCATTGCCACTTTGACAAATACCTCACGAAAAAAAAGAAAAAATGAAGAAAAAAGAAGAAAAAAAGAAAATTGAAATGTCGGTCCTTTGAGGAAGACTACTTCCTGAGAAGTTACCAGAAAGAGCCGAAGACGGGACATTTATCATCACTGTAGCATCTCCAACCATCTAACTCTCTCATGGGAACCCAAAGAGCAGATACGATGGATGCTTTATATGAAATGATGGGAATCGAACCCACAACCTTATGTTTACAAACTGAAACATTTTACCGAGCTAGCTAAACAGGTGCACACTGTCACTGGTGCTACCTGGCTGGTGCTAACTATAAGACAAGCACACTATTTCTTGTACATGTACCTCTTGATTTTATCTTGCAAACACTTCTCTGGGGGAGCTCATTGGTACGATAGCAAGAGAAATACCCCGAAGAGTGTGCAATTCCCACATACCCTGCTGTCCCAACAGAATTTCAAGTTGACGTCATTCTTATGATGCAATGCTTCTCGAACGAGTAATTTACGATGTTTGTACGGGGTATCAACGCAGCACACGTGTTTCCTTGAACTAATTTAAAATGATTTGTAGATTTGTCAACTACAGGTCCAGGATACGTCTGATAATATGTGTACAATGCGCACTGCAGAATAAAAAATGACGTCAGCTTGAAATTCTGTCGGGACAGCACACATAGTGGAGTTGCACACTCTTGGAGGATATGTACTCTTGAAGTGTAGCAGCTTTGCATACAGCTCGCCATGGGAACGACTTGTCTTAAAGGTATTTTACTTCACAAGCGAAGATAGTGGTAACATTTCGTTAATCCTTCTACTTCTTTGTGTGGATTCAATACAACTGTAGCTGCCCAGCCACACCCGCAAAGAATTTGAACACCACGTGGTGCTGAAGAAATAGTTGTCCTGACCCTATGGTAAGGCAGTGGTAGCCACTACTAGTACTTACCGCGCAAACCGAATGGATCCGAGGTTTCCGTGCCGCCAGCAATGTCAAGTAAACTGCTGGCCTGCTGCTGCGCAGGGGGCTGTGCGGCAGCCGGTGCTGCTTTGTTGGATGCAGCCAGGTTGGCTGCTTTGCCCATGTCGAGTGTCTTGGCGGATGACGGTTTCTTGGAGCGAGTTGCTAATGGACTTGCACGAGGCGGGCTGCAATGCAAAGTAAACGAGGAAAAAAAGAACGAGGCAGGCACATTTCAGCATAGCGCACAGTCTCAACAATGTCAGAACGCTGCCATCGTGAGGAAACATCAGTGTGAAATAAAGGTGAGTTACGGCTCCTGCGAGGTTCACGATTGGCTAAGCGATATGTCAACTCCGGATTCTCAAGTGCTCAGTAACGACTACAGTAAGGTTGAGTGCAGAAGAAGGAGGGTATGTACTCTAGGCTACATAATCACGTTCATACTTTGGAGATTCCAACATCTTTCTTCCGATTATGTCACGATATGTGTGTACATTCCAATGGCACATGTACACCACCGTGAATGCCCTTTACGTGAGAAAGATACTGCAGCAGTGTTGCTAAATGTGTCTCATGTTCTTCTGCAGGCCCGTCCCTCAGCACCTAGCGTCACTGTAAAAAAAAGTAAAGCTAGCCGGATTCGCGGACGCATCACCTGACGTGTTGAGGAACACCTCAAGTAAAGACATTCGCATCGGCGGGCCACCAATTCGCCCATATATCCTTGTCGAATGCAGAACTCACAAATGTAATGCTGTACTAGCAGATATTCAGGTCACAGGAGTCAAAAATTGAAGTTCCTCGTATCGCGTAAACGGCATCAGTTTAGGAATGGATACATCCTAAAGGGTCTATGTTGAAAATTTGAGGTGATTCGGTCCAATGGTTCGTGAGATACAGACTTTCAAAGTTGCCCATTCCAAGATAATAATTATTATTTCAATTGATAAATTATCAGCACACGAAGAGACGAAGCTAGTTGAAAATCTAATGAGGCCTTTCGTACCATTACTCTTCAAAATCAGTATATGGTGATAATGCAGTGCTGCCAAACCGTCCGATTTTTCGGACAGTGTCCGATTTTTGAAGGCTCTTCCGAAAACCGGTCCGAAAAGGGAAACGTCCGAAAAGCAGCCAAAATGTCGGAGATCATTACTTTCCTATGCAGAAGTCCTGTACTTTCACTTTTCAGCGCAACTGAAGGCACAAATCACTGTACATTTGCTTCTAAAAAGGCTAGCGCTTGGCTGTGGAAGTGCAAAGAAACATGCCTGGATCAGGCTGGATGGCATGTACATGTACGCTGACAGTCTGTACAGAGTCAGTGTGCGACCACACTCATCATTACAAAATTCATGACAACTCCGGGGTTACCATGGCAACGAAGCGAATTTTCATGGTGTTTTAGGTAGGGATGAAACGATTACACCGAGTACTCGGAACTTACTCGTTATCTCTGTGATCGCTACTCGTTATGCTGTTATCGAGTATGCACTACTTGTGCATGTGCAGGCATGTGCAGTGTACCTATTATGCATAGTACTAGCTTAGTCACACTGTCTGCATAGTCAACTCCAGCACGCGTCATCCAAGGTGACACAATTCACACCTTTTTCTAGGCACCTTCGCACTTTTGGGATCCAGTGTGTCATGCACATATTCCCCCCCCCCCCCCCCCCCCCCGGAGACCAGTAAAATTTATTTGTCATACAAATCCAGCATACTCGTTATATGATAACTCGATCGTTAATAATAAACGGTACTCGATAAGAAGAAATGGATGATCGTTTCATCCCTAGTTTTAGGTGATATTTTGAATTCTCTGTAAAAAAAATTGCCGAGGCGAAAATTATTTGGCAGCACTGATAATGTGACGAAGCACAACGATGTCAATTTATACAGCATATTGGTGGAAAATTGTGATGAAACATACACAGGCTGAATGATAGTGTGAGTTGCGCCAAAGAGTACACGCACTATAACAGGGAGGTGGGAAGTCAAAATAGGTACATCGGCAAGACAACACAATGCCTAGGTGATCGCATGTCGCAGCATATTCCGCCAAGACTAGTCATGGCCGCAACACCAGGTGTCGACTACGTCAAACCCAGGAGAGGAAGACCGCCCAAACAGAAGGCACTGGCAACAGCCCTGACAAAGCCAACTATCACCGCTTCAACCATCATACAGCGTGTCGGCTCCAAGAAGGTGCAGACAACAGCCAGCGCTCGCCGCAGTACTCGGCTACTACAACAACGCCAAGTTGCACGGACACCGACCAGGAGCCCATCGGATCAGGTAGCGCAGGCTAACCCTATCCCGAGTACTAGTAAGTGTGAACCCAACCAGCGTGATTCACACAAGCCATCAGCTGTGAAAAATGATTCTGCAATAACTACACATCTGATCATGTCCCCTTCTTGCCTGAATGCAGTATGTAAGAATGTTCCAGAGCACTTCAAGATTCATGCGCGGGCGCGCAGCAAATGTCACCTGGATGTGCTAGAGGCTGTTTACATTGCCAAGCTACAGCCTGAGCTGTGTAGACAGAAAGGAGTTTGTTAGGAAGCTAGTGCTATTTTGACTTCCCACCTCCCTCCCTGTTATAGTGTGTGTACTCTTTGGCATGTCGCATGTTCGTTCGTTATGATAAAGAAGGTTCGTTAAGACGAAATCCATGTTCGTTTCAGCCCTAAATGAGAATGATTGGCAGAGCTAGAGAGGGATTGCGCAAATTCTGTGCAGTTATGGATTTGCCAGAACCTGTGCGAAAAGAACCGTTCCAGAATCACAGTATTGCTTTACATGACGCAGCTGTTGAGATTTGTGACAAGTCTATGCGGAAATGGGCAACGGAGTTGTTGACGACTAAAACAGCGGAAAATGTCGAGTATCCAGATCGTGTCGCTGTCAGTATGGACGGTACTCGGATGCGACGAGGTTATTCATCCCTTTACAATGTCCAGTCTGTGATTTCCTTTGACAACCAAAAAGTTATTGATGTCCTGGTTTTGTCCAAGCATTGCGATTTGTGCAAAGTCTGGCAACAGAAACTGGATCTGAAATCTATCACACAGGTGCAGTTCAATACTTGGAAGGCGAAACACAAAGATGACTGCCAGATCAACACCACTGTATCTTCACCGGCCATGGAGACTGAAGCAGTGAAGCAGCTCTGGGCAAGGTCGGAGGACACGAACAAGATCAAATACACTACATACATTGGCGATGGTGATAGTAAAGGTCACATGGCTGTCTCGGCAACGAAACCATACGGTGACGTGGAGATCGCCAAGGAGGAATGTGTTGGGCACGTCAGAAAACGTCTTGGAAAGAACTTGCGAGACCTTCGGCAGCGACTTGGAGAGCAGAAGCTATCAGACGGCAAACCAATTGGTGGAAGGGGTCGACTTACTGACAAACGCATTGACTCCTTGCAGCACTACTATGGGGACACAATCAAGACACATGCTGGTGATCTTGCTGAGATGAAGAGGGCTGGCTATATGGGCATCATTTTGCCATAGTGGCTCAACTGCAGACAAACCACGCCACGAGTACTGCCCACTTGGACTAACTTCTTGGTGTGGTTGGCAAAGCAAGAAAGCCGGTGGGGCTGAGTATACACACCATGATGCATTACCCAAAGCTGTTTTTGACGAGATGAAGCCTGTGTACGTGCGTCTAACAGATAACGCACTTCTGCTTCGCTGTGCCAGGTCTGCAACACAGAATGCCAATGAAGCGTTGAATGGTCTCGTTTGGGGCATGTGTCCCAAAAAGTCCTTCTGCAGCAGGCAAACTGCGGAGACAGCTGCTCATCTTACGACGGCAATCTTCAACGATGGATACAAGACAGTGGCCAACATCCTGTTCGCATCTGGTTGTGCAGTTAGCCTATCCATTACAGCCTTCTCGAGTAGATTTGACTCCGACAAGGCTTATCACAAGAGGCGCAAGTCCAGTGAAGAAGAAAAGTCAGCTAGAAAGCGAAGACGGGCAATCAGGAAGGGGTTTGCAGACCGAGCTCAGCAGGAAGAAGGAGAAACATATTGTGCTGGAGGATTCTAGATAGGCAAAAGTTTGCACTTTTTGGGCTTACCCGGCAAACTTTGGTACACGATATCTCAGCCGTCATGCATCCTAGACCAACAAACCTAATATCTAAACAGATCTATGGGAAATTGTCTAGGTGCTAACACTCTTTGTTTTTACAGAACTTGCACTCAGAAATATAATTTGGCGTCCAAAGAAAATAAATGCTTGCGTACCGTTCCGATTCTGTTCCAATGTGCTTCTGATCATTTCTGTCTCAGTGGGCTTTCTCAAAATATCTCTTCGTTGGCACCTCAGATATGTTGCTGGCCAAACTTTACTAATTGTTTGATTGAGATGGTCTTTGTTATATCATGAACCGAAATTTTCCAAGTCCGCAGCAAACTTCGATTCCTGATATTTAAAAGCTCAGTGAGCAGCTAACAGTTGGTTGATGGCTCTATCTTTGGATTTATTGCAGGCAGACACTCTAAAGGAATGTCTCCTCAAAATTTGAAGCAAAAATGATGAATATTGGCTGCTTTGCAGTGTTTTGAATATCGATGTGTCCTGCAGTGTGGCCGAAGGTGGTCTGCCACCTTAACCCACCACTTCCTCTAATGGCTTCACCAGTCAGCTGCAGCTTGACTCAGCTCCGACTTACCTATCAACATCGCGGAAGGGGCTGAAGCGTTCCGGCGGTGCTGCTCCGTCCTCTTCACTATCATGATACTCCGCCGTGACTGGCTTGCGAGTGCGGCGCGGAGATGCGTCAGGCGTGGCATCGTGGAATGCTCCTGCTCGGCCCCCGCCCCCGCCTGTAGAGTGTGAGGTGTACAATGTGTACACACAAAAGACATGCCGCACACACACGCACACACATACATACATACACACACACACGTAACACATAGATGCACCCAGTCATGGTTCGGCTTTCTGTATCACCTTGAGTTGGTGCACATGTGCCCCCATCAATCCAGCTGAGCTCTGCTGATAAGACCTGACAAGGTTGAAATAGCTAGCTGTCCGGAAAAAGAGTGATGGTATGCTTCAAATTATTTCAGCAGACGCATGAAATTCACAAACTCACATTTTCATCTGACTGTAAATTCGATATCCTTTGGAGTATTCCAACAACCTCGGGCTCTATGGAAAGCTCTCTCCAAGACGAACACAGCCATACCCAGTTCGCAATTGATAGAGTCGTAGGAGTAACGCCGCAGCGCGATCTGAGCGCTCCAATGCCAGACCTGCGAGCGCGGTACTAAATTCTCAGCCATTTCAACAATATCGATCGCAGAACGGTCAATTTTTTATGCAGGAGAGAGCTTCAAAATGCAGCTTCAAAATGACGTATGCCAGACGTGCACGCGTCGGCAGCGAGTCAGTGAAAATCCCTTGCTGGCGTTTCAAATTTACGCCAGCGCGAGCTGACTCGGCCACGCAAATTTCGTTCGAGTGTCATAACTCTGCGCCATGACCTTGGACTGTCTTCGGGTTTTTTTGAGCCGACAGCTGAGGCTTTTCTGATACGATTAGACCTTTCGTTTGTTGAATTCGAACAAGGATGGACCAAATGGCGAAAGTTTGAAGTCACCTCAGCATGCACTGTACAGTCAGGCGTTATAGGGTTAAAAGCGAACCAGTATGCAGATGAGCCATGCAGTAATTCGTCCTGACACTGCTGAGCAAAACATACAGACAACAGGCAAGAACTCACAAAACGTCACAGCTTACCATACTGATCATAGGGCTCGCTTCCTCCACTGTAGCTACTCTGCTGGCCAGAGGACACACCGACATACTTGTCCCTGGTCTTCTTGGCCGCACGCCGCTCATCTCGAAGACGAGCAGAGTCTTGGACCAGCGCTACCAAGTCTTTGACTTTGTTACGAACTGCACAAGACAATAATGTAACACGCGAGGAGATGGAATACAGTATGGCATATGTACCTCTATGCCACTACATATACATGCATGCCAAGAAAACAGGCAGAACACCGTGAATTTCTTTCGCAATATGAGGAGAACTTAAACCTACAGCTCAATCAAGGATACTTGACTACAAGTAGGGAATCGTATCTGGAGAAGCAATGTTCGACACAAGAAAAGATGGGGGGGGGGGGGGGGTGCTTGCAAGTAACAACGTTAGTTGCAACTACAGCACAGCTACAGCACAGCTCAACACACTTACTGTTGACACCCTGATCCTTGCCCACTTCATCAACAAACTTGTAATTCTCCAACGCCCGCAGGTCATAAAGGTGCTCTCTAGCACTTGTCACTACTTTCTCCGAGCCGTTTCTCACCAAGTACGTCAGCAACAGCAAACTCTGCAGGTAAGACACAATGCCAAAGGAGAATCGCCACATGTGATCCATCTCCAAATTAAAATTTAAGCACATTACCTGTTCTATATGATTATGTCAAAGTAGCCGGAGATACCACGCATGGCAGCTCAGGTGGTGAAGTAGAAGACACACTATCCTTTGCTATGCATCCTTTACCTAGCCACCTGAGTTGAGTGACATGCAGCATCTATTAAATCTGCGTTCCTGGAAGTGGAGAAGGGTGACTGCCTGTTCAGAGAAGACACCCGGATGCGCTGAACTAAGACAAGTCACGTTTACATTGCCTTTTTCATGACACACACTGTACAGCTCGCATGTATCCATTCTGGAGAACATGTATTTGCAAATTAGGGGCCGTCCGTAAATATCGAACTTTTTTCACCAAACGAATTATTTTAGTTTAGACCCAACCCCTCCCTCCCTCCCCCTCAGAACGTAAAAAATGTTGACATACATGCATATACAACGGACATGTACATGAATCAATGTTTTCTGAAACGAAATTGGTCAACCCCCTCCCACCCCATAACGAAATTATTTCGTTTTGTGAAAAAAGTTCGATAATTATGGACGACCCCTTACATAATGCTATACTTCCTGATTTTTGGCTACACTTCAATACACTCCAGCATCTCCTATTTGGACGCCTCAGATATGGGCACATCTCTCTATAGGGCAACCTAAGCTCGGGTTACCATGGCAATTACTAGTACGGACTCGGATGGAGAGCCAAGGATAAATTTATAGTAAAGAAAAAAAAGGACCAAGAAACTACAAGTTACTCTATAATGTCCACTAACACCATCAGTTACTAAACAATCAGCTCATGCGATAACATTGCACGACACTGACCGACGGTACCGGTACCGACGTTCTACAACTACCTGGCTAACAGTGTAGCACATCTTGGATGCGCACTCCAACAGCCTTCCAGCTTGGAAGGTTCTAATTGTTTAGTAACCGGTGGTGATAGTGGACATTATAGAGTAACTTGTAATTTCTTGGTCCTTTTTTCTTTCTTCTTTTTTAAATACTATAAAATTACTAGTATGGCATTGTTTTCGGGTTTCCAAAGTTTCTTCCCACTCCCAGGTTGTAATGCTGTACATAGCGGTGCACTGTACCTACAAGGGAGTGCATGCAGTGTGTACTCGCCCTGCAGTGAGATGCTGTGAAGATTTACCATCTTGGATATGTACAATAATTATTATGGATTTACATTACAATATTGAATCTACCCTACACATGCTTGCGAGAAGTTCTCTCTCTCTCTCTCTCTCTCTCTCTCTCTCTCTCTCTCTCTCTCTCTCTCTCTCTCTCTCTCTCATGCGTGCGATACATCACTCAGTTCTCCCTCACATGCTTGCGACAAGCCGCACACTTTTTGCACACTTTTGCAATCCGGACACCATGTGCATATGCAAGCCACGCACTCGTGATGTCGCGTATTTTGTCCCCAGGATCGAGGGCGCATCTTACGGAGAGTAGGTCGTGCAATCATAAAATGGGGACTCACTACTGCACTACAATGTCATTTCAGCAAGAGTCCGGATTTCCGAGGCAGTACCGTAGTACTCTTTGCTGGGACCCACTCCATACATTGTATGGAGTGGGTCCCAGCAAATGCACGCAGATAAGGAGACGTTGAATTATGAATATTTCTCTTCTTTATGACACACAGTTTTTATGCAAAAATGCATGTTGTGAGTTACGGGCAGTGCTCGGTCGCCACCTGCTCGGATTTGGGGAGTTCTACTCTGCTGTGTAAAGGGGCGTCGGAACCGGTGCGGCAGGTGCGGCCAAAACTTTCGCACCTCGCGCCAGCTACTAGTAGTAGTACTAGTTACATGACATGGCATGTATACATATGTACATGTACAGTCATCTCCTGTAGACAGTGCGGCACGGCTTCAAAAGTAGACGTGTGTACGTGCTTGCATGCATGAAAATCGCTGCTACGAGTGCAGAGTTCACAGTTTTGTGAGTTACGATATTCGTTTGGGCAGTCAACTTGACATTCGAATGTCGACTCGAGAACGAACGTTCGAAGCTTCTCAGCATTCGTTTGACCACTACAATAATTTTCGATTTTTTACATTTCAACCTTGTTGGTGGCTTGTCGACTCTTGAGTCCTGTACAGGTACTGTACCATGTTTTACATCGACAATGCAGTGTATCATCAGCATGATTATTCTTTTTATTATTCTATATGGCTTTTTAGGCTCAATTTTCAAAAATTTTCCCGGGGGATGACCCCCCGACCCCCCTCTCACACTTTGGCCGCACCAATGTTAAACTCCTTCTGACGCCCCTGGTGTATATACATATTTTTAATTTTTTTTACTGTGTATGTACTTGACTTCTGTAATTACAGCGTGTGGCATTCGCGCAGGTATCCACCAGTACCGGCATGCGCCTCGTTCAGCGTTCCACACAGTACAGCCGGTCGCCGAAGAACTGGAAGGTCAGCCGCGTGCTGTAGCCTAGCCCGTTCTTATTTTCATGACAGGTCTACGCACAGTTGAGTCACCGTGTATACATCGGTGCGCTGTGCCTGGAAAGATTCTAGCCTGTTCGTTCTTCGGTGCTCTGCCTCTTCGGCGCCCTACAGTACTGTACAGTCATGTACATCCCGAAAGCTATGTAAACGTATCCCTATCAGTGCTACTATCATCAACAGAAATATTATTCTCACAAAAAAAAGTGTACCATTACGCCAGCCGGTCGCCATGTGCCATGATGTGGTGCTGTGGCTATACACGCTCAGCTTATGCCATGATTCGGCTTGACACGAGGTGGTGATATATTTATTATACTTGTACAGTACATCATGGACGTGAGGTGATACAGTACTAGTACATAATTGTACATGATAATTGAAGTAACATTTCAAAAATTTAAATCTGCACCGTGCACGTGGGTGGTGTCACAGTGGAGAGCTACTGTACTGTACACATACCTTATACGTGCGTCGCCAATTCGGGCTCTTGTCCAGCATTCGTTTCCAAAGCATTGACATGGCTTCGGGGAACTGCTCGTACGTGTATGTGTACGCAGCAATTTCACTCATGATTGTTCCATGTGGTCCCCAAGGATCTTCGTTCGTCGCCTCTCTGACTTTGGCCTCTACCTCCGTATAGCTCATGACCACGTTGGTGCTGCACAAGAGGCAAAGAGAAAGGCAGGGTAGATCTACATTGAGGCCGGGACACGGCCGTGATAGTTATTGAGCACTTGCCTGCCACTGGCCTCAAGTTACAAGCGGACGGACACTCAAAACGGAACATGCTGAACGAGACCGGCCCACCTTGTTATGAGATGTAAATGCAAAATAATTCTCAACAAAATAATAATTATCTCAGCACTCTTACACTTTGTCCTGTATTTCGCGTAGTTTCCACATTGTTGCGATTCTCAAATTGCACCCAGAGGTTGATTATGAAACTCAAACGCTACTCTCTCTCGTTCTCTTCCTGCGTCTGATGGCCACAACTGGAGTAATCGGTCTTTGACTTCACATATTATTATCGCAGCGGCCTTGGCTCTTGACGCCGTTCTTCTCCTGAACTGTGGTTGGGTCTCTCTGACTCTGGCCTAGTAGTAGTACAGCCTACACCCAGGCTACAGGCTACAAGTACGACTGTACTGTCTGTGGTTCGGTCACTGACGGAGGCGAGCCAGTACTGGCAGTAGCCTGAGATGAGGTACAGTGAGTAGGCAGTAGCCTGAGTGAGTAGGTCTACGAGTACAGCATACATCTACTCCATACCTGCGTGGGCTTCAGTAGATATCTACAATCATACAGTTTACATTGTAGTTCCCTCAGCTGAGTTTAGCAGTAACCATGTACAATGATGTAGCTAATCACTGGCCTAAATCAGCCCACTGCTAGCACTACATTCTGTAGTACACTCCCCGTCTCCAGATCTAGTATTAGTAATCACCATGATCACTGGCATGGTAAGAGTTGTCACTCTCCTCACCACTCACAAAACTGTCAGTCAACACAACAGTACAGTGTCAAAAGGTTCTTCATAATCATCTTGACTTTACTTTTTCGTGATCTCTGTTTGAACGTCGTTGAACGACGTGTGGGAGTTGTTGATCTTGCATATCCACTCACGCTGCACGATCACTTCTCACCGGCGGCGTGCATCATCTGCATGCCATGCACAGACAGTGACAGATCTACATGGTGCATCTTTGAAAAAATCGCCGTTTCGATTCGCGTCATTGGCAACGCCGTAGATCTACGCACACGTACGTACACAACGGCTGAAACGTCACCATGGTTGCACAACAAGTAAAGTCCCACATGTGAAATGTATGCAGCTTGAACACCAATGAATGATTGGCCCGCCACATTTCAAACTTGTCAAAGGAACGGTCAATGCATGGACTTGCTTCGGGCAAGCAAGCACACATGGAAAGTCGTTTCCTTCGTCCTGGTTGTAAAGGCTTGTACCAGCTCAAAACTTTGTCCACATCTTGTTTTCTTCTCATGTGAGCGCCTATCTAACTAATGTTTCAACGCCGTAATGGATCCTTTTGGAAATTTGGTGGTCATTAACAGGAGTGGAGCAGACGCAAGCGTTTTCCCTCTGAGTGGCACTGAATGTCTGTTTGGCAGGTGAGTGAGTGCCTGAAATGCCGGAGTCTTGCTAGGGCTAGGGTAGAGTTGAGATCGAATACTATTCTTGTGGTGTGCCATCTGTGTGCTAGGCACGCGGAGTGTGATATACGCGTCCAGCTGCCTACCGTTTCCGATGTTCATGCCAAGCTGGTGATCGACGAAAACAAACGAGTGAGTCCAACTAAACATGCTTTGATGGAAATTTCCAGCCACGTTCATTCGTGAGTACCACTATTGTTCTATGGATTCCCTGTCTCCTATAGGTATGGCTGAAGAATATGGACGAGAGCAATCCAGCCACCATCGATGGCATTGCCGTTACCTCCCAGGTTGGCTTGAAGGGTGGAGAGATACTTGGAATCGGGTTGCGAAGATTCCGTTACGAGGTAAATTATTTGAATGTTGGCGTTACGTCACATGTACACTACATAATTGGGATGACACGTTTAGAACAAGCCCGTTTGATGTCACTTGTCGTCTTGTGTCTGGGATCGTGATCCTGCGATCCTAATGAATGACGGTGTCGAGAGTGTGTATGTACTTACAATACTAGTAGGTTGCCTGGGATCGTGATCCTCTGACTATCCGTGTCAGTACTGAGTGTGCATTTGTTTAATTAATACGCATAGGTATTCATACTGACTGTCATGGATTACCGTCCGAAAGCCCATGCCCTGTTCTGGCACTGGGTATGCTTGGACTTGACTCTGTATACTGTCCTGAAGGCCCGTAAATACAGTATGGATGTACTAGCTTTCAATTCGAATACCTCTCCCCGTATTTCTTCTCGGACACTGTAAACCGTCTTTCGGGCACTTTTTCGCACTTTTCAGGAAGTGAATTTACTTCCGTGCTTCCCGCACATCATGATTCAAGCATCTAGCATATCAAATGCAATGCAGCACATAACTGTGTTCATTTTCTGGGTTACTTGTACCTATTCGGGCGGTGTCAAAACCTGGAAGTGTAAGGTTCAGACAGGGAAAAGGGCTTATATGTACACGGCCGGCTAAGCGAATTCAATAAATTCTTCTGGCTGGATTCATACGTACTACTATATTTGTGCTGCTTGGCATTGGACTATGCCTCATGTGATAGAGAGCTTTGGGCGAGCCTTAAGTTACACCCTGCTTATTGTCGTGTTTCGTAATTTTATGTGGAATCTCGTGCAATACTGTGCCACTGACCCAGACATATGGTGGGGTGGATGCAGTGTAGAATCATGATGATATGAATGCAGTAGTCGTCAGTTTGTTTTGATGTCGCATTCCTGACACATTGACCCGCGTTTTTTCTTCTGTTTTTTTGCAGATTCCTGGGGCGAAGTCACCAATCGGGGCGACAAGTTCTCCTAGAATTGCTCGCAATATGACTCCATCCAGGAGCGCCCTGCGGCGGTCGGCTGTCTCCAATAAGCGACGAAGTGTTGTATTTGCCGCGCCGCTCAGTCCTGAGTTGATTGACAAGGCCTTACCTCCGAATACGCCTGTCAGGCTAGGCAAGACACCCGAGGGCCGGCGGCGTAGCACACCCGCGGTGCTTGATTCGGCCACGCACGCTAGCACAAGCCGCAGATCAATGTCGGCAATGCCGATGATGAGTCTGCAAGACGTAGCTGAGCAGACTGAGTCCAGTGATAGCGATTCTGGAACCAGCCGCCGATCGCCTGCTCGAGCAACACCAGTTTGCGGTGACCTGATCGCCGATGCTCCTGTGATATCCGGGCCCAGGAAAGGCCTGGCAACGCCTGTTCGGTCTGAAATCAGTGCCGGCAAGCCCCTGAAGAGCACTAAGCCACCAAAGGCCCTGAACACGCCTGTCCGCGATGATATCAAAGCAGGCAGGTCTCTGAAATCAACGAAGCCAGTGGCTGCTCTTAAGACTCCTGTCCGTGCTGAGATCAAAGCTGGGACTAAGCTCAAGTCCACCAGGCCCCGCAAGGCATTGACTACACCCGTCCGCGATGATATCAAAGCAGGCAGGTCTCTAAAATCAACGAAACCAGTGGCTGCTCTGAAGACTCCTGTCCGTGCTGAGATCAAAGCTGGGACTAAGCTCAAGTCCACCAGGCCCCGCAAGGCATTGACTACACCCGTCCGCGATGATATCAAAGCAGGCAGGTCTCTAAAATCAACGAAACCAGTGGCTGCTCTGAAGACTCCTGTCCGTGCTGAGATCAAAGCTGGGAGAACGCTCAAGTCCACCAAGCCTCGCAAAGCATTGACTACACCAGTCCGGGATGATATCAAGATTGGCAGGTCCCTAAAATCAACCAAGCCGAGGGCAGCTCTCAAGACGCCCATCCGTGCTGAAATCAAGGCCGGCAGGTCTCTGAAGAGTACAAAACCACGCAAGGCTTTGACCACGCCTGTCCGGGAGGCTATCAAAGCAGGACGATCGCTGAAGTCCACCAAACCATCACCAGCTCTCAAAACGCCTGTTCGCGCTGAAATTAGAGCCGGCCGGAGGCTTAAAAGCACTAAGCCACCAAAGGCACTGTCGACTCCCGTCCGCAATGACATCAAGACTGGAAGAGCTCTGAAGAGTATTGCACCTCCAAAGGCTCTCAATTCACCTATCCGTGCTGCTATCCAATCTGGCCAGTCGCTGAAGAGCACCATGCCTCCAAGGGCCCTCAACACGCCTACCCGCTCTGCTATCCGAGCAGGGAAGACGCTGAAGAGCACCAAGCCCCCAAAGGCACTAAACACGCCAATCCGTGAAGCCATCCGGGCCAGGCCGCCACTGCGAAATACCGCACCGCCCAAGGCCTTGCCAACCCCGGCTCGAATGGCCATCAGGCGTGGCAGGACCCTGAAGAGCACCAAGCCATCGGCATCACTCTCTACGCCTGTGCGTTCTCAAATCAGAGCTGGCAGGACCCTGAAAAGCACCAAGCCATCGGCATCACTCTCTACTCCTGTGCGTTCTCAAATCAGAGCAGGCGTTCTCCTGAAGAGGGCACGCCCACTCAAGTCGCTGTCCACCCCGATCAAGTCACAGATCAAGGCTGGTGTTTCGCTACAGTCTACGAAGCCACCAAAGGTCCTTTCCACACCTTTGAAGTCACAGATCAAGGCTGGAGCCTCGCTGAAGACTACCAAGCCACCCAGGGTGCTCTCTTCCCCACTGCGCAACGGGATTCTTGAGGGTGGTAGCCTCCGCAGCACGGCACCTCCAAAGGCACTCAATACTCCTGTCCGGGATTCCATCCGATCTGGAAGGTCTCTCAAGAGTACTAAGCCACCCAAGGTTCTCCCAACACCTGCAAAGGCAGCTATTCGAGCTGGCTCCAGATTACGTACTACCAAACCTGCTGCCGCCTTGAAGACCCCAGTACGTGCAGAAATCCGGGCTGGCAAGAAATTGCGCAACACCAAGCCACAGCTGCCACTCAAAACGCCGGTCCGCACTGCCATCAGAGCTGGGAAAAAGTTGAAGTCCACCAAGCCTCCTGTTGGTTTGCCATCACCCGTGCGCAATTCTATCCGGGCTGGCACGGAACTCAAGAGTACAAAGCCACGTGCTGCGCTCACTACTCCAGTCCGTGCTGCCATTCGCAAGGGTACCAGTCTCCGACGTACCGCACCAGAGCCTGCGCTTCCAACACCAGTCCGTGACTCCATCAGGTCGCGTCCAGCTCTGAAGTCGACGAAGCCCCCTGCTGCCATTGCTACTCCGGTGCGCAGAGCCATCCAGGCTGGCGTTTCTCTCAAACCTGTAACAGTGACTGTAGGCACAAGTCTCAGTAGTGTTGCACAATCACCTGTGCCTGCTACCAAACCGGCCAAGGCACGCAGCACTAAGTCTTCACGCCGTGGCAAGAAAGTAGTTGCCTCTCCATCTGCTCGCAAAATGCCCGCTACCTCTCAGAAGGATGCCACTCCTGTCGCATCACCAGTCAAGGCTGCACGTGGTCGTAGAGCTGCTGCGGCACCAACCGAGTCACCTGCTAAGCCGACCCGTGGTCGTAAAGTCGCAGTAGTGGTACCTGCCGAGTCACCTGCTAAGCCGACCCACGCTCGTACAACTGCTGCAGCACCTGCCAAGTCACCTGCTAAGCCAACCCGCGGTCGTAGAGCAGCAGTTGCCAAGTCACCTGCTAAGCCGACCCGTGGTCGTAAAGTCGCAGCAGTGGTACCTGCAGAGTCTCCTGCTAAGCCGACCCGCGGTCGTAGAACTGCTGCGGCATCTGCCAAGTCACCTGCTAAGCCGACCCGCGGTCGTAGAGCAACAGCTGCCAAGTCACCTGCTAAGCCGACCCGTGGCCGTAAAGTCGCAGTAGTGGCACCTGCAGAGTCACCTGCTAAGCCAGCCCGTGGTCGTAGAACTGCTGCGGCACCTGCCGAGTCACCTGCTAAGCCGACCCGCGGTCGTAGAGTTGCGGTTGTAGTTGCACCTGCCAAGTCCCCTGCTAAGCCAACCCGTGGTCGTAGAGCGGCAGCGGCACCTGCCGAGTCACCTGCTAAACCAACCCGTGGCCGTAGAGCGGCAGTGACTCCTGCCAAGTCACCTGCTAAGCCGACCCGTGGCCGTAGAGCGGCAGCGGCATCTGCCGAGTCACCTGCTAAGCCGACCCGTGGCCGTAGAAATGCTGCAGCACCTGCCGAATCACCTGCTAAGCCAGCCCGTGGCCGTAGAGTTGCTGCGGCACCTGCCAAGTCGCCTGCTAAGCCCACCCGCGGCCGTCGAGCGGCAGCGACACCTGCCGAGTCTCCTGCTAAGCCAACCCGCGGTCGTAGAGCTGCAGCTGCTGCCAAGGTCGCCTCGCCAGCCAAGGCGTCTCGTATGACTGCCAAGCCAGCAACTGCAGCGAGAACTCGAGCTCGTCGAACGTAAACATCTGAATTGGCCAACTTGCTGTGACCTTAACGAAAACGATAATGTTCCCAATTCCTATATAAACATATTCTTGGACTGAAACGTTTACTTTCATTCAGGTTAGTTGCTTGTCAATATTTCACTCATGATTTGGTGTAGGCATCTGTCATGAAAATCGCATAATACACATGTTATCTCCGGTATGATTATAATCTATCTAGATAGTCTTCTTAGGCTTTAGGGTAAATGTATACGTTCTATTGGGCGTGCGTATTTCCACTGTTCGACTTTGCACTCTTCTCCCTCCATTTTTCTGTGGTGTGATCGTATTGCATCACCTGTGTAGATTCATTATCCCTATCCCAGTTGTCTACTCGTCTTTGTATTTCAGCAGGCCCTCTTCCTGCGGCAATTGTTCTAGGTCATCGGTTCTTATATGGTTAGAATACCGCTTTGTCTTTGTGCGCCTAACAAATTATTTTGTATGCAGTTGATTTATATGCAGTGATCAAGAGCTCTCCCTCTTCTCTCTTTTTTTTTTTTGCTTTTCGTTGCATCCATAACTCCTAACGTTATTTGTGATGGCTGAGTCTGTGAGGTGAATCTACTGGCCTTGATCAAAATTAATCATACTTTGCTCTGTACATTGTAACATCAAATTCAACGGCATAACGCCGGCTTGCAAAACGAATACTGTCAAAGTAGTTCTTTCACTGTTCGTGTGATACCGAGAGCACTCTTCTTGTGTCCTGTTGGTGACACATGTGATATGTCTGCTGCGTTTTCGGTCACGATGGCACTGGTACTGGCATGGTGACCATCCTGCAGTCATCTTGATATTAGATACTGTAGAACATGTAAATTTAGGTGTCAGGGACCTGAAGCAGTGATCATGGTGATGGGCTTCAGGTGTCACTTACTGACTTAGAATTAGGTGATCAGCATTCCCTTTTAATAGTCATACAGCACCTACTATCGTGCCATTTTGGTGTAATCTGAACTATTACTTAGGTGCCTAGACTAGTATTTCTACCGAAATCACCGAAAATAACCTGATTTAAAAGTTGTGACAACTTACTTATGGCAGTGACAATAATTGTGAGTGAAACGGAACCAGATATGCTTCCGGTGGGGGTACTCCCGGTCCCAATCCCGTCCAAGCGTGGACTCGTGTTTGATACTGCATGGCACATGTCATGTGATTGATTATGTAGGGAGAGGAGTAGGGCTGACCCGAATTTGCCAGCTGAATCTCGATATTTTGCGGCATAATTTTGCTCGTGTATCGTCGAAATTTTGCTTTCATTTTGCTAGGCCACTCGATATTTTGCTCCCTTTTTGCTCCAAATTTGTGTCACGTGTGAGAAAACTGACCAAAAGTGGGTTACGTGTTGGCAAAAATGAGAAAAAGTGAGTCACGTGTTGGTAAAACTGTGCCGAAATGAGTCATGTGCACCGTATATGTGTAAAATCTCCCAATTCCCAGCCAACACACCGATATTTTGCTCCATTTTGCCAGCAAATTCCCTTTCAAAATTCTTCGATATTTTGCTAGAAGAATTGCTAGCAAATTCGGGTCTGCCCTAGAGAGGAGAGAGCTTCACGACTCTGGGAAATAATTATGACTATACTACATGTATGTAGGCACTATGGAGTATGGAACCCTGTTATTGGTCATCATGGCCATACTGCTCTACATGTAAGTGGGTAGGATAAGATCCATGCAGAAAGACATTTTTATTTGATTGATTTTTCAAAGCAAATGCCCATGCTCATTGCAGGAATCCCAAGGGTGAAAATACATAGTCATTGAATGTGAAGATGGAAATGTTTGAAGGAGAGATCAGCCGGGAGAGAATTGACAGCAACATAATAGTGCTTAGTTACTGACTTTAGTACTAGTATCAAGAGTCCATAAGGCACATGATAACCCCTTTGGGGTTATGGACTCTTGCTACTTGACAAGTAGTATCCATTGTGGGATCCATCTGCATTGCTCCTAATGTAGTAATGATCCGAAAGCATGCAGTCATAAATAATATTATTATTCAAATAAATTCATAACTCTGTACCAAGAATACATGACTGCATTAGCTGATGGGGCCTAACAATAACTACTCATTATCCATTATGACTCGTGACTTGATGTTTCTGGTGTGCATGGGGTGCTACAATTGTAGATCAGAATGGATCTTGATCTGAAAGGCTTCACTATATCATATGAACATACTGTTACATACATCAAGAGTAGATAAACAAGAGTGTGCAACTCCGGATCTCTCCTGCACAATCTGCAGATACCCCGCGCCCACGGCGGAATTTTTTGTTTACGTCACCTTTTTTCAGAGAAACGCGGCTTTGCCGCAGAGCAGTGTGAGAGCACGTGCTGGGCACCGACCTTGTAGTGTAAAGCCCAGCCAAGTGCACGAGGGAAAACTCTCCAAAAGGCTCGCAGCGCGTGCGTCGTCGAAAAGATTACGTCAACAAAAAATTCCGCCGTGGGCCAACCCGTCCGCGAGTTGCACACTCTTGTTTATCTACTCTTGATACATACACTACTTTTGTAGTACCGGTACATCACTACATGTACTACAGACCAGTTCACAATGACGGGAAGCTTTGCGGTGTTGTAACTCCACAATTCATGGGGCCAATCATACCATAAAATAATGTGTATTGGTGAGGTGTACTACTAGAAACTGCAAAGGCGATACCATATGCACAGCAGGAACGATGTGGCCGATCATAGGTGGCATTATACAATAGAAAGGATGGAAGCTGTGTTGCTACAAAGCAGTGAAGCATGATGGCAACGCACCTGACCACCAGCAGAAGTGCACCCATCAACAAAACTACAGTAGTTGCCCCCCCCCCCCACACACCAACACATACATACACACCAGTGCGGCATTGCTTGCACTGTATTGAGGTTGCATCTCACATTTAGACACAGCAAAAATCCAGCATTTAAAGCTTACAGCAGTAAACGAGTCCCATCTTGACCAATGAACGCTGAAGCAAAAGCAAAAAAATCCTAGAGGAAATATCGAAAAAAGAAGAAGTCGTGAGCACACATTTATTGCTGTGATAAAAGTACTTTGTACAGCATGGACAAAGTAGTTGTTCCAGATGATCAAAAATGATCGTCAGTGATGCTGCTGATCTTGAGGCAGGTGAAGCTGAAATGGAGCTCAAATATGTGCACCCCGTGTACAACCATGTCCGAAAAGACAGTCCGAGGAGTACGAGTGAACACAGTGCTCAGCATACGCCACACTGCCACCACTACAATTATTATATCGTAGCATTACTCACCAAAGAGCAATAAGCAGAGTACACCGTCACCAGCAAGTGGAACAGCTGCAGCAGCAGCAGCAGCACACTCACACAATCACCAGGATCAGAGTCACTGGGTGTTGTTTGTATAAAATTCTCCTGGCCTATGCCTATGCTGTCGTCTTGCCGCTATTCTCAAAGAACTTTCTTAGGACAAACACTTGAACAGAGCCGATGAAAATGAGAGCGGCACATTCACACACAGACCATACAAGCACACGATTGAAATTGTCGTCGGCTGTATGGCGATGCCGTGCCTCGCGAACTCGCAGGTACTCCTGAATGGTACGCACTTGGTCGAGCTGTTGGCCCACCTTCCGCAGACTTTCCTGTATGCAACAAAGCACAGAGTTAAGACACACATTACATTGGTCAAGTGCAAACAGATTGCTTGCATTTCCTGACATTTGACAGGATGCATTCAACATGTACAAAGAATCGCCAGCAAATGCTAAAAATGAAACCTTGACAGCAATGGAATGTACGAAGGCAAGTCTGGCGAAATGATCCAATATGTCTGAAGTTCTCTTCAAAGTCCAGGAGTAGCCACGGATGGGTTGACCTTTAGCTCAACATACATGTACATCAATCAAAGCTGTTGGCACTCCTGCACGTAGACGATCAAGTGAAAATAGTCCACTCGCACACTTACGCCCATTCCCTGTGCAGATTCCTCAGCTTCATGTCCAGGTTCATGGTCCTCGGTAGGGACATCATCAGGCAAGTGAGGCGAGCGGTCAAACGCCAAGTCCAGAAAGACTAGCTTCTCACCCCAGGAGCCAAACTGGTTGTTGATGCAAAACTCATAGTCACCCGTCTGCTCTGCCGTGTGATCATAGGCACCACTGCTCTGCTGCCTCTCCGTATACACCATCCGCCCGTTCGGCGCCGAGATCTCAAAGTCTACACTAGTCTGGCTACCAGACAGAAGCTAGAAAAAAAGACAACACATACGTACACACACACACACACACACACACACACACACATACATACACACTTGTACTTGTACTTGTTGCTCACTGCCAAAACTGGTCACGTGGGTCTCCCCGGGAGAGGGGAGAGAGACTCAAAAGGAATCTTGGAAAGATGACTCAACTGGCTATTGAACCGCCCAACGGCCGACACCCCCTGAAATCCCCAAAACTCTGGGTGGACTTGAAAATGATCCCACTTATGGGCTCACCACACCTCAGTAAGTGGGTGAGGACAAGGTGCAGAAAAAGGATTGACGGCATCAGGGTATCCGTCCTGGGATCCAACTGCAGTTACCCCTGCCCCCAGTGAAGGTAATACTTGCTACTAGTGTGGGTGGCTAAATCAGAGTGGATCTGATCTAAGCGTCACTAGCATCATTGATTACACAAGAGTTAATCTAGCCAGAAGCAGTCCATGGCTAACAGGTATGTATACTTCAAATAGAAAGTATCCTGAAACCAACAAAGGTGGCAGATACAACAATACACCTGTTGGCAACAGACCCAACACAATCAGGCATAAGTGTACCCACCAACTGGACTAGCTGGCACACATACACACACACACATTCATGTGCACAGATATGCACGTGAACATACTAGGAGTGGCAAGAAATGAGCAAGCAACCGTTGGTTGGAATACGCAGCCATCAAGTGCGGCTCGGCTGATAGCTGTGAGTGCCGGTGCAGCATATTATCCACACACCGTACACTGTCACACTGCAACAGGCGTGTTCAAACACAATGATCATACACTGTGCATGCAGCTGGACAATCGGTGTATCCTACCACACACTGTATTCTTGCATGCAACGGCGCCATCACACAATCATGGAACACAGCAAACCATGAAGTGTCATTTCATGTGGAATAAAACAAGTTTCAGAAAGCGCCGGGCTGCTGCTGCAGCATCATGTTTCAGAATACATTGCAAATACACTCTAGCTAAGCTGGCGGGCAGCACAACCAACTAGAAGTTCAAGTACATGTACAGTTGCTTGTGCTGACAGTCACCGGCAGCACGTATCAGTCTACAAGCCTGGCACTACAGCTCTGGCGAGTGATCACTCCTATCGGAGCTGCACAGTGAGTTGCACAGCTATGTACTTTGACTCGGGGTGCAGAACGCGTGCCGGCACAGGTGGTCACATTTTCACTAGCCATCACTGTTCCACCACCGCACTTTCCGTTCTGAACTTTGCCAACCATGCATGTGTGATTAGTGAATACTTTGGCACCATAACCAACATCTCAATCAAGGAGACGTACAGGTCTTGGCACAGCCGTTTATCACTTGGACTGGTATCTCTTCAAAATTTCTTCCCCGAATTGGTTATGTACAGCGAGAAGATTGCACAATGCACAGGGATAACCGGTGTTCAAGCGGGTCGCTGTCCTAGTACCTCTAATTCCACGTCACTGGGCTGTATGTGGCACATTCCATGCTTTACCTAGGATCCACAATTTCTGTGAATCGCAGGCCAAATTCGCACAGCGTAGAAGACGGCACAGCCAATTCAGTAGGGATAGTACACAGCAGGGAGTACTTTTTACTTTTTAGTACTCCCTGGTGCACAGAATAAAGCAGTGTTTTTGCACCGCGTATCTCAACGCAAGTGTATAGCCGGTTGTAACACGGATGTGCAAACTTTACTTTTAATACCGGTAGTACATATGTACAATCATGTAGGGTGTATTTCAGGTTATGATCGTCCAGTAGACCACCTTCCACTTCGTCTGCACCAAGGGCGCACACTTGAATCAGGGGCGTCGCACACGATACGGTCACTACGGTATTGACCGTACCACTTTTTGCCCCAGATACCTCGTGAATCAACAAAATACACTGATCTGGGATCTAAAATTCCCAAATTTTCGGCTCCGCCACCACTCCCCCACGAGTAAATCGTACTTCAGATGGCTGACCGTACCACACTAAAATACCTTCCGACGCCCCTGTGAATGCATCTATAGATTACTCAGACAGTGCCAACCTAACTACATTGTACTCTACTCATTCGGATGTGTGATGTGTGCACAGTATAGTACTCAGCATACCTGAAACTCAGCTTCAATTTCCGTGCCCGTCTCTACCGTCTCATAAAAGCATTCCCGCAAACCGGGCATCACTTTCACGGTCCAATAATATTCCTTCCCATGGCAGGAGCACAGCAGCGCGAAAAAATAGACGATCGTCAGGCTGAAGTGCATCATTGTGGGATGAAAATGGTAGGCGTGTACACAAAAGAAATTACTACTACTAGTGGCAATAACGAAAAAATAGAATGGTCTCCGGACTCCCAGTGCGCCGGTGCTGAACCTTGGAGATGCTGGAAACTACGAAATCAGCAAAGAAGCACTGCTAGCTGCTTTATACAACGAAACGTATTGCTTGCTGAACAAATTAATTTCAATCGAAGGTTTTGCTAATTTATAATAATTGAAGGCTGAACATCGATGCAAGATGTACGATCGTCTTGTCGTTACCAGTTTATGTCGCACACATCCTGTGCCATGCAGCCGATCGAGCTGACGTGCATGCATGGTGATGTGTACAGACTACAGGTACATGTACTCGGGTAGACCATGTAGACCTACGCCGTACATGTACAAGACTACCGTAGGTCTACACGTACACTGCAGTTCAACGCTGTGGTTTTGGTGACAGAAGCAGAAGCAGAGATAGATCATGATAGATGCCTATGATCATAGACATAGATGGGGCTGAACGAAACTTACTTAGCCTGTTTTGGAGGGCGAGAACGAAAAATATTCTTTATGGATGGTCCTAGTTCATTTCTAGGATCTATAGCAGTCTAGTCCTATAGATGCGAGGAATTCCGATATAGCAATACAGTAGTATTTTGGGTGATGAAGTCTCACGATTAGTTTCCTGCTGGCTCAAATGTGGAATTAAGCCATGGCGTTGCTACTGGATAAAAAAGTTCTCAAGCAATTGGATGCTAATAAGAAACCAGTTTACATATTCAATTGGCTGAAAGGTGTTGAGGAAAACCTTCCCACCACACCTAAGGTATAGTACTGTTGAACAGTGTATGATCAAACAAAAACAACATGGAGTCTGCGAGGCTGTTCAAATTTCAATCTGTATAATTATTGTTGAACTGCATTGGCACTGCAGGATCAGTTGAAATCATGTCAGAAAGATCTTCAGGAGCAGCTGAACAAACAGTTAGCAGAGGCTCATGGCCCTGCTACCCGTAGTGTGCTGGGTCGCTGTTTTGGACTGCTGTTCTCCTGTGGTGACAGCATGGGCCTAAGAAGCACAATTACTCTTTGCCACGATATGCTCAAGAACCCCAAGGATGATTCTGCGGCGGCTGTCAGTGCAAGACTGTAAGCTGTACATGTGTGTTGGAGATAGGCTATTGCTATTATTATTATTTTATTGTTATTGACATATCCACGACGAGCCCCTTATGTACAACGGCAAAGGAGAGGGTAATGATTACAAATTGTTCGGGAAAGCTACTCAAGTATTGAATGCTCAATAAATGACTGGTGTGCGGGTATACCAGATTCCCATAATCTGCAAGTACAATTATTATTGTTTAAAGCACTATGTGGTGTACAATGTGACCTGTGCGATTATATCGTTAAATGACTACCTGCTATTACTAGCTGAATCGACATGTGTCTACATGTACAGTACTTTGTTTCCACCGTTTGATACTGCATAAAAAAATTGTACAATAATATATTATAATATCACATGTTGATTCAGCTTGTCTTATTGATTGCGGTCATGAAATTGTTGTCTCCTCGCCGTCCGTTTGAATATTTTTTTGGTTGCTGTATTTTGAGCAGCTGACTTTCCGCATGGCATGTAGTACCCCCACCCCGTGAGGCTCCTGATTTTGTCGATACAGGAATGTTCCTTGTGAAGAACGTGTTGGGCAACACGGGTGTGTGTGGTGGTGGTGGTAGTGGGGGGGGGGGGGCAGTGTGAGGATTGCCCGTGTACATGTGATAGGTCTGTGTCTGCCCAGGGAACATTTAGTTCTGACTTTTTTCCAGTTAGCGCATAGTCATTGAAGTATAGGTTGAGCAGTGTACTACTGGCTCTCACTGTATTTGGTCAGTTTGGGATTTCTATCTCGGTATTTCGGTTACTGTCCATCACAGACTCGTGTTTCTCCTATTGTGTACCTTATACGTAGTGGCACGTCAACCATCATTTTTTTTACTGTGGCATTTTCTTGCAGAACTTCTATGGAATGCCTCGGTCATATCTATCTGAAGCTGGGCCGAATGGTGAGGTTTGAATCCATATTCTGTGTGTGTTTTTTAGAGTTGGGAGACCTTCAGCATGGCCACATGAGAAAAAGTTGACCACACTAGAGTATTCACAAAGTTGCTAGATTCCCCACACTTGCTTGGTGTGATGAATCAAGCCTGTGAACACGATAACAGACAGGGCAGCTTCGTAACGAGCAAGGTGCATGTACCACAAAGACGGACCGATGACGTCCCGCACAAAATTCACTACACATCTACCTATCCATCCTAACCAGCATTTTTCGTTCATGAAAGTACTAGTGGAGAAGTTTTGAAAAGTGTTGATTGTGAGCAGCCTGTAGCTTGTTCTTTTCTTGAGTGTAAGTACTGAGAAAAAGTGCAATTTCATTTGTGAAATGTGTGCGTGGTCTGTCGCCGTGCGAACAGAACTTGCAGCACTTGTGCTGATGTATTGCAGGGATGAATGTATTGTCATATTTTCGCATAGCAGTTTCTGCTATACAAAATCACAATTGTGTAGCACTCTTTGATTTTGATTAGCATTTTTCTTTGAAGGTTGGGTGTTTACCACATTGTCCTTCTTGAGAGTGATGCCTGAAAGCCCATTTGCAAAAAAACCAACTGAATCATGCATGTGCACGCAGATTGAGTGCCTGCACCACATACACTTTGCAGCAAGGACCCCAGACACTTTGTCTACACTGTACTGGATGCATGTTACTTGACAGCGAAGGCTAGGCATGGACAGTCTGTATGTATCGCAGTTTTCTGTGAGTCATGGCGACTTTTGAGTAGCAGTAGATTGATTTTGCATCGCAAACTGCGATGCGATACAGGATAAATTCATCCCTGTATTGCCAAGTAGAAACCATACGGCACTCCTTTTTGCTTTGAGTGTGTGTGTATGTGTGTACATAAGTGTGTGTTTGTGTATGTATGCGTATGTGTGTGTCACATGTGTCACATATGTGTGTGTCTGTCTGTCTGTCTATCTGTCTGTCTGTGGTTGTATGTTTGTCTGTGTGTCACATGTGTGTGTGTGTGTGTGTGTGTGTGTGTGTGTGTGTGTGTGTGTGTGTGTGTGTGTGTGTGTGTGTGTAAAAATATTGTGTGTGAATATGGCGGTGTAGGCTGGTCCATCCTTCCAAGACTCCGCACAGTTGCTCTTCAAAGCTGTCAAGTACTCGGAGGTATGTTTGATTCATGGCAATGATTGTACGGTGCTATAGTATTTGTGGCCATATTGTGGTCTACACGGCTTAAAGCAAACCGCTATGTATGGGTATGGGTGGTAGTGTTGCTGTTGGTGTTGGCAGAGATACTGGTACCCCGTTGCTTGGCCAGGCCAGTCAGACTGTGTGTGTGTAGTCATTGCAAGTATAGTATACAACTTGTGTACTCTGTGCTAGTGTTCTTGTTGGGAATCATTCTTTGCATCTGTATTAGTCGCAAATCTTCTTCTAACACGTTTCACTCCGATTGCTTGGACCATCTGACAGCAACAAGGCAAGGCGGAGATATTGCAAGCTTTCCAGCGTTTACTGATCGGTTTGGCCGACGGCGCTAGTGCCATTCACAAGGACATCTACCGGTTGGCCAAGTCCAGTCTGACAGACAAGTCCATGTCCGTGCGCTGTGCAGCTGCTCGGGTATGTGCCGTTATGTGATGTGTCCACTGTCCAGTGTGTCCAGTGTGTCTCGTGTGTTACTTGAGCGTGGCCGGTTTGCTGACTGCAGTCAGCAGGTTGTAGGGAAAGCTGCCTTGTTCCTTTCCCTCGGGGAAGGGTAGGCTTTTGTGTTTGCGCGCGCGCGAGTGTGTGTGTGTGTGTGTGTGTGTGTGTGTGTGTGTGTGTCCCATATGGTGCAGTGGTATGTGCAGTCGATTTCCAATCGAGAGGTTGCGGGTTCAATTCCTGACGATTATGGTCGCACACATCTTTCTTCTTTTTCTCATTCTCCTAGCTCTTCTTTCATTCTCCTGGGTGGTTACCAACAGCCAGTGTATACCGGAGTATGTGGTGTGGTGTGTGTGTCAAAAAGAAAAAAGAAGAAGAAAAAAATGGAAACAAAGAAAAAAATAATATTAGGAATTCACTGGCCAGAAAAAAGCCACTTCAATCAGCTGTGTGGTGGATACCAGGCTAAAAAATAGTGGCGGTCAATTCATCAGCCTTGCAAGCTGTTGAATGGTGTAATCCCAGCACAAGTTGCTATGTCTAACATAGCTGTTCGCTATCTTCGCTTCCGCGATGGGCAGATCTGAGGTCTGAGGTGTGTGTGTGTGTTTGTAGTGTGGTCCTGGCTTCTTGCTTTTGTAAGGTGTCTCCTACTTGTGCTATTCTCTAATTCTCCTCTTGCCTGTTTTCACTTCACTGCAGTGCATGCTGGAGCTTCAGCAGTCTGCCTTCTTTGTGTACACTACGGAACTGGATGCAGTTGTGTCTGCCTGCGTCCGAGGACTGGATGGTGCTAGTACATACGAGGTAGGGGAAGAAGCTTTTGTTCTGCACTGCCACATATTAACGTTGACATTCGATGTGGATGCTTTAGTATCAATGTACATGGTACTAGTGCCCCCCCCCCCCCCCCCACACACACACACAAACAAAATTATTGTATTGGTCACACAGTCTCTTGTAGGCGTACTACAGTATGCACATTGGAAGTGCACATTGTACAGTAACTAGTGCATGTTTGAAGTAGGGTACTATTAAGTGCCGGAGAATAGGGGATCAGCGTTGTGGTGCACGTCCGTCTTATTTTTCATGTACCACAGTCTACAATGTACAATGTACGTGCAGTTGAGTCACCGCGTGTGCATATATCAATATGCTGTGCCTGGCGAAATCCCAGCCTGTCCATTGACACCCGGCAGAACTCTACTCCAACTCACAATACCAGTGGATTGTCTGCTGCTCTGTCTGCTGCTCTCTTGTGTTGACTGCTGCAGGCTCGCTGCACTATCGCTGCCTTGATGGGTGGTGTGCTTGCTACTACTCAGCAACCGCTACCATACCTGCCACCAGGCACCAAGGTTCCCAAGAGAGCAACCATCGGTGAAGTCCTCAGTATGCTGGTCAACGCGTTTGTACGCGGCAGCGGCGACCTGCTGAAGAGCTCTGTGAGCCGAGAGCTGCGAGTTGGTGTGACCCAGGTATGTGTGTTTGCCTTTGGTGTGTGTTTTGAGGCTGCATGTAGCTGGCCTTGTGTTTACCGTCTTGGGGCAAAGCAGTCTACTCTTCTGGCAGGCACGCTTGTGTGTGTATGTGTGTTTGAGGGGGGGGGGGGGGGGGGGGGCGCACGTGTGTGTGTGTGTGTGTGTGTGTGTGCGCATGTATGTGTGTGTGTGTGTGTGTGCGTGTGTGTGTGCATGTGTGTGTGGGTGTGGGTGCGCATGTATGTGTGTGTGTGTGTGCGTGTGTGTGCGTGTGTGTGTGCGTGTGTGTGTGCATGTGTGTGTGTGTGTGCATGTGTGTGTGTGTGTGTGTGTGCGCGCGTGCGTAGGCATGCGTGTGTGTGTGTGTGTGTGTGTGTGTGTGTGTGTGTGTGTGTGTGTGTGTGTGTGTGTGTGTGTGTACCTTTGCGCTGGTGTTAGAACAATGTCCTGTAGTTTCAGTTCTACAGTAGTAGTAGACTGTAGTAGATAAACAGACTCCTTCCTGTACTCACATTTTGTTGAGCTTGAGTAAAGCTATTTTGTCAAGTAGATAGACAGAGCATACAGAGTGTCACCGTGGCTGTGCGTGCTACAGGCGCTAGAATATTAATGTCCATACAAGTACACGTACAATTGTCTGATTGTGCTTATTGCTTAGCTGCTGGACACTTCTTGTTCTTTGGCTGCAGTTTTGTTAGGATCTAGGATGGTAACTCTATGCTCCCAGACTAATGACATGTATAACAAGTAGAAGAGGATGAGTAATTTGTTGTAACTCTGAGTTTCATGCACAAGACAATCGTGGGGCAACACATGTGTGAAACTCGGAGTTGCAGCGAATAATTCATCCTCCTCTACTTGTTGTAGGTAGCTCTGCCCTTGGGCATCGAGCACTCTACTGAACAGCTTGGAACCTTTCTGCTTTAATGACATGTACATGTACATTGTGTGTTGTACTGTACAGGCTTTCGTTGCCTTCTTGACTGGCCTGGGCATGAACGGTGTGGAGCGGCACATCAGCACTATACTTTCTCACCTGATGGACATGCTGTGCCAGCCGAAGGCGATGGGGAACACGCACGTGGAGGCCGTCTACACGCGTCGCTGTGTGGCCTTCATCCTGCGCCGTATCTTCGGCCGGCGGCTGGGCGAGCCGGCCCAGCTGCAAGCTGCCCGAATCATATGTCAGGTATGGTGTGCTAGCGTGTGCTGTATACAGTTCTGGCTAGAAGAATTTGATCTCGTGAATTAAATATAGCACCGTGTTCAAGTGCACGGACGGGTGTGTGTGTGTGGTGTCACGCCGTATAGGGCCTGGCATAATCCTGGGGTCAGAGCCGTACCGGGGTGTAAGATGCATCACCCTCCTGGAGGTAAAATGCCACACTCCAGTTAGTTTTTGGATGTACATGAATGTTCGAGCTCCGATTTGTGGCAAAAAACGTGCGGAATTGAAATGCGGTAGAAGTCTGCAATAGTTGTATGTTGCAATGTGTAAGTACACATTCTAGTAGCAGGCCAAACATGTAGTTCATGGTAGTTGGATCTCTTGCTTCCAATTTTCTTGTCATGACAGGAAGTCACGAAGCGACTCGGTGGCAAGGATGGCAATGGAGGTGGTGGTGACGATAGCGACACCAGTCAGTCACAGCATGCCGTTGCAGTGGCCATGCAAGAGCTCGGTGGACTTCTACTGGGTCTGAGTTCCCTGGCATCCACACTGTTCACAGAAGGTGAGCTGTGCACGACTGTGTAGCATTGGCCTTTCTCTGTACACTTACTACTGTAGTCTGCACATCCTTGACTTTAGAAGAGTCGACGAGGAGACAAAAGTTTTAAAATTGCAATGAATAAGATAAAGTGCACAGTTATTCTATGTTATCATGCATCTACTAGTACAAACATCATCAAGGAACGATTGTTGGTTGTCTCTAAGAACGTTTTCTTGTGATGGTCATCAGTTAGAGTACAGTTGATGATGTTTGTACTAGTAGATGCATGATAACATAGAATGACTGTGCACTTCATTTTATTCATTGCAATTTCTTTTAGAAATTAATGTTTGCTTGGCGATGAGTTGGACCTGTGCTTCTTTGCGTATGTGTGTGCGCGTGTGTGTGTTTGTGCGCGCGTGTGTGTGTGTGTGTGTTTTGGTGTTATTCGTTTCCTCACCCTGCCCCCAGGAACTGGCCAGTTTGGCATGCTTGGGACGGCTATCCACCTCGCTCTGCTGCACCCGAGCCGCGCCGCCAGCCTGGCCGGTGCATGGTGCATGCGCTGTGCAGCCATTGCCATGCCATCGCAGCTCACCTTGCTCGTGGAGCAGTGCCTGAAGCAGCTGTCCTCGCCCAAAGCCACTGCGGAGACCATGCAAGGCTACGGTCACGGCCTGGCCGCGCTGCTGGGCTGTGTGCGCCAGCACTGCCCGCTCGGCTTGCCGCAGAGCAAGAGCAAGGCTGTGTTCAGCCTGGCCGAGGAGATCCTGCGCTCTGCCTCGCAGAACACGCGCATGGCACTGGAGCGGACACGTGCTGCCTGGACCATTCTCAGCGCTCTCATGACATTGGGTTAGTAATGGGGGGGAGCTGGTGGCTCTTACATCTTACCTTTGTACCGTGATCATCATTCATGATTGCCTACTTTCGCAAAAGTAGGCCAGGATACATGCATGTGGGAGAGGGGGAGGGGGAGTGATCGTGAAGTGCTGGCATGATTATGTTTGACATCCCTAGCTATGGAGCATGTGGGTTGTCAAAACTCTATCATTCCTAAGGAATTGTTTGTTTTGTGCCTCCGGTATATCTGTGAACAAAGCCAACAGCTGCCAGCCAGCCGTGATACATCTGTCCGTTGTTGTTTTATCTCCAGGACCAGGAGTGGTGCGCCCCAACGTGCCACGGATGTTGCTGCTGTGGCGTAATGCCTTCCCACGATCTGCAAAGGAGGGCGATGCCGAAAAGGCCAAGTTTGACCAGTTCCAGTGGCAAGTGGCGCTAGTTAGTCGCTCCGGAGCACTTTGCGGTAAGTCAACCTGTACAGACATCTACTCTACATAATTGTATCATGTCGTTGGCTGTTTCTCGTACTATCTTTTAAAATAAGTTTGAATTAAGTTCGCATCACACTTCACGTTTGATAGGTTTGAATGCTGAGCATTTGCAAAGTGTTAGTATTTGTTCTGCATGTTCATTATTATCCTGTTTTTTTTGTGCCTGATTCCGTGTGCCCTGTAGCCATCAAGTACTTTGTGCAGTGCTGTCCAGACCTACTGACCGACGATGTGTCTCGACGTGTTGTGGCCGTGCTTGAGTGTGCGCTCAGCACATTGTCTGGGTATGTGCTTGTGTGTGTGTGTGTGTGTGTGTGTGTGCATGTGTGTGTGCATGTGTGTGTGCGTGTGTGCATGCGTGCGTGCGTGTGTGTCTGCTAAGTTGATGCTGGAATGTGTTTGTGTATTTGTGTGTGCATGCATACGTGCACATGTGTTAACAACTACATTGTATTGTTGCCTTTGTCAGAGTTACTGCTATTACATTGTGCTTTCTTTAAAATTCCGCTTAAGCGATCACTGCAATAAAACAACCCATGCTTTTATGCCTTGATGCATACGTCTGAGATAACTCCTGTCTTTCAATATCTCAGAGACCAAAGCATATATCAACATATATGCAGACTTGTGTTGAAACTGCTCGTATGTGTCGATATTTCGACTCGATAAGCATCCATTTTCTGAGATCTGTGGGGTGTTCATAAAAAATACAGGCTTCTCTCTACTCAATGTGTATGCTGGATTGCAGGTGACAGTAGATACAATAATCATGCTGCTGTTGTTTTGTTCGTGTGTGCTGTCTCGTGGCTTATAGCATGAGTGGGGTTTGCAAGCAGCATGGCGTACCGTTGAAAGCAGCGGCAACCATGGTGCGTTTACGCCTCTACCAGTCCTTGCTGCAGCTCAGCACGGCAACTTATGAGAGTAAGATTTCCGTATGACACGCCATTTCCGCTGCATATATCTCACCTTTATTACTTTAATTTTAATACGAATGTTTTTTTCCTGATGTGTTGGGGTATACTTTCGCCTCCCTTGAAACATTTTTTGTTTTTTACTTTGAGGTAATGATATCCACCACTGTTCATGGCTGCTTTTCTCTTCAGGTTTATTCGGTAGTCTCCTTCGGGAAATGGTGGCCGACTTTACTCTGACAGAGAATCCAGCCAGCATCAGTAGCTCTTTGCTGAGATCTTTCTGTCACATGGAGGACAGTGTCTTGCTGGGTTCCTGGAGCGAGGAGACTGACGACAAGCTGCTGGAGGACCAGGTGAGCCATGGCTTTCGTGTTTGTAGTGCAACACCTCTCTCTCTCTCTCTCTCTCTCTCTCTCTCTCTCTCTCTCTCTCTCTCTCTCTCTCTCTCTCTCTCTCTCTCTCTCTCTCTCTCTCTCTCTCTCTCTCTCTCTCTCTCTCTCTCTCTCTCTCTCTCTCTCTCTCTCTCTCTCTTTGCCTGAGTCTTCATGATTCCCTGCTGTCACTTTTCTCGTGAATGAAAGGGAGACAGTTTTAGCTTGCATGGTTGTTGCTGTTTTTGGTGGTAGCAGTGGTGGTGATGGTGTCATTGTCGTCACCACCGCCGTGTCCATTGCCACTAGTATTGTGCTTGTTTGCTGAGTGAGTCGTTATTTTCTTGTACTCTCGGTGTTGTTGGAGTGCAGCTGCAAGGCAACAGTGCCTCAGGATCAGGTGCTCTGGAGCATGACATGTCATGTCTCTACGCCCAGGACCAACCACTGGTATGTTGCTGCCTTTGTTCTGCTTATGAGCTGCTGCTGTTGCTGGTACTGGTGCTGTTGCTGGTACTGGTGCTGGTACTGGTACTGAAGCTATTTGATGCATTCTAATCAACATCGTCCATGGTGCTGTTCTGAGCATCTATAACTTTATGTAGGCATTGCTAGTACATGTATTTGCTACACACCATATCTTTGCTGTTTGGTTCAGTTTCAGCTTGATAATAGTCCCTGGAAATACTGGTACACTGTACTTACTCTGTATTCATGATGGCCACCGTTGTGTATGTGTGTGTTATAATGTACCTGAAATTTTATTTATTGCCGAACTTGTACAATTTGCTTTTGTTTGGTTTTGAATCAGGATGGCTCTATTCCGGGTCCTCTGCCACTGGGTGTTGCTGTCATTGACTCATCCGTGGCTTTGTTTGGACAAGTGTTCCCCCGCGTGGCCTCCAAACATCGCCTGCAGCTGCTCAGTCATTTTGGCGACTGCATTCGAACTGCCAAGGCTGCTCGTCAGCAGCAAATTCAGATCAACATCTTCACGGCTTTCCTGGCGGCTCTGAGGGTAAGCTGACACTTTTCAACTCCATAACTGCTTGAAGTCCTGCCTGGGAGCGGTTTTTTCCAGCCGTGCTGCTACCCACAGTCAACTGGGAGCTTGTGGCCAGGCACAAGGGATACATTAATGTGGCTAATGGGGCTTTCGGCACTTGTGTCAGTGGTTGTGGGACTTATCCCCTCACCCCCATCGCTATGCGCTGCATCTGTCACAATGTTGGGACTTTAACACTGGGTAAATGTTCGCTTTCTTGAACGTTGACGGGGATATACCTTCGCTGGTGAGATCCATATGATCGAAACACAACGGCTGTATGGGGAAAGCATGATTCACTATAATTTGGAGTCGTGTTGCTGGTGTGAAGAATGAGGTAGGCTGGAGAGCGCATGTGACGGGGGAGTTCTGTTGAAGTGCATTGTAATACTGTACGTCCAAGTAGCATGAGTGTTCCTGTTTGTCTCCTGTTTTCTGTTTGTCCTCTGTTTACAGGGCCTGGTGGACCATAAGAGTGGTCTCAAGGAAGCCGAGCTGATCTCTACTGCCAATCAACTCATCACCGTAAGGACGGCTGCCGCAATAGCAGGAGTACATGTATTATGATAGTGGTTATGTACTCTTGACACAATGAGCATGGCACGGCAGCAAGTTCTGGGCTTGTTGTGTTTGTCTGCTGTAAGTGTGTATATTATATTCATTTGAAGTTTGAAAAGTGTTCCCCGTGTGTGTGTGTGTGCGTGTGTGTGTGTGTGCGCGCGCGCGCTTTGCACAGGGTGCCCTGGCCAGCTCTGATGCCACACTACGCTGTGCGGCTGGTGAGGCGCTGGGTCGGATGGCGCAGGTTGTGGACGACGGCAAGTTCCTGGCCAACACAGTGCAGGCATGCTTCGAGACTCTGAAGACGGCACGTGACGCCGTATCGCGCACGGGTCACTCGCTGGTCCTGGGCTGCTTGCACCGGTACACTGGTGGCATGAGCTCTGGTCATCATCTCAGTGCCAGCGTTGGTATTCTGCAGGCGTTGGCACAGGATAACAGCTCGCCGGCTGTGCAAGTCTGGTCTCTGCATGCTCTCGCACTCATCGCCGATACCGGCGGCCCGCTGTTCCGTAGCTACGTGCAGCAGACCCTCTCGCTTGTTGTTAACCTATTGCTGACGGTATCATCCTCACAGGTATAGTTGGCCATCGACCCTGGCTAGATTACGAACCACTTGTATGTGTTCTATTGTGCCAATGCTATGTGATTGTGACGTGTTGTTGATTTGTGTTTCTGGGCTGTATTAAACTGTGCATGAAATGCTATAACAGTTGTGTTGCCAGCTACCTTCAGCCTTGCCATGTATTTCTGTTAAAACTTGACTTGGTTCATGCTTGCCCAATCTGCTGTGTACACCTGTTTCAGGTCGATGTTCACCAATGTCTTGGCCGTTGCCTGCAAGCCCTGGTCACTACGCTCGGTCCGGAGCTCGTCGGTGGTTCATCATCGGTGGCTGACATGCGCAGCTCATGCCTTGCCGGGTGTGCAGTGATGTTGGTAAGCAATGGGCCTGTGCAATCATATAGTTATCATCTCTTCCTTTTTGGCACGAGTGCCTATGATGTTTTACGTACAGCAAGATGATTTTCTCATGTGGCCAGAGTTGACAATGGGAGCTGATTTTACCACAAGGATTTAAGTTGTGGCTATTGCGTCGTGTATCTTAGGCAATTTTTGTTCTGTATCTTCTTTGAGCAGAACCTGAATGTATGTGGATTGCTTGTACAGTATCACTGTCTTGTTTGTGTCCTTTGCATTTGCAGAGCCATCCGGATGCTATCGTGCGCGTATCCGCCATCCAGTGCTTGCAGCAGATCCAGCTGTTTGCACCGTCGGCGGTCGCTCTCGTCCAGCTCGTCCCGTGCTTGTGCGAGTCCCTGTCCAACAAGCACCTGCTCCTTCGCCGTGCTGCTGCCGCTTGCCTCCGTCAGCTGGTGCAGCGACAGGCGCAGGAGGTGAGGCAATGCACGCGCGCGGGGCTCGGGCTGCGGGTCCCTCACAGACCAGCTTCTCCAGTTTCTGTGATTTCCTGATGCTGAGACGTTGTGGCCAAACTAGCTCTGCTGTTACACTTGTACGATAATATACTTATGGTGTTCACTACCTTTGCGTCATAGTACCAGTATGTGTGCGAATGTTTTATCTCTGATCCAGATGTGTACTGTAATTTCTGTTACTCTATCAATTGTGCGCAGGTTGTGGCTACTGCGAAGAAGTTTGGCGGTGGAGTAGTAGCATCTGCTCCGCCGTACGCACCCTCCAAGTGCTTGGAGTCTGCTCTCTTGGGTATGCTCGACGTGGAGATTGACACCCAGCTGCGGTCGGATATCTGCGACACGTTTACCAATCTGTTGTCGACGTGTGCTCCGGCGCAGCCCCGCCACTGGCTCATGCTGTGCTATGCTGTCCTGTCGGCTGCTGCGCAAGTCGATTCAGGTCAGTGGAACTTCAAATTTACACCTTGCACCAGTGGACGGCCTAGTGCTCACTGATCTAGGACTGCACAGCGCTTGGCGCGACATTGACTCGCATGAACTGTTCATAGTCTCTTTCGAAATGAATTGATGGGTCAGATCTGCATGGGAGTTACAGACCCGCAGTTACTAATTTAGCATACTGTAAAAGCAGCAATTTTCGGTGGTGTTTTTTTCGGTCACTTCGGTGCCGACAATTTTTACCGAAAATAAAACACACCGGAAATTTGGGTACATGTGCTTGTATGTACTACATGTACTAGAACACTTACCTGGAAAGCGGGTTTACCGAAAATTTCCCTCCGCCGGTTTTGGAGAATACCGAGAATTTCTGCTTTTACAGTACTCCTTACCCCTGAATCAAGCGTATACACTCTCCAACGCTTTCCAGGCATGGTTTACACTATGTGTATTGTGTACATGTACATCCAAGCCTATGTGCTCGAGCCCATGAACTGAAGCTTGGGAATGCAGCTCAAGTCCTAACAGGGGTTTTTTCAGCGAACAGGTAGAGTGTTTTCCATTCATCAAAACATCCACTGTTTTAGAAATCGAGCGACTGTAGTGAAGCTCAATGTATCATGCCTGTATGTGTTCTGTGTTCTGTGCCTCTCTTCTCTGTGTGTGTATGCATACAGGCGGTGGTGCCCCACAGGGTGGTGATGGCGATGAAAAGGTCGACGATGACGAGGACAATGAAGCCATGGTGACAACGGCGCCCGTCGAGGACAAGCAGAAAACAGAGACGATTGCGCCCTGCTGGCCGTCCAAGGTGTTCGCTGTGCAGTGCGTTGAGAAGATCATGAATGTCTGCCACAACCACACCAGCACCCATGTCAACTTCATGGAGGCCAGACAAAAGAAGGCAGCTGGCCAGGGTGAGGGTTGCTGCTCTGCCACGCTGTGCTGTACCAAGAGGCAGCTCTGTAGCTCTGTAGCTCTTCTCTTCTTTGAGAAGCAGGCGGGAATGTCCTTGGAAGAATTAGATTTGAGAGAGGCTTAGTACGACGTACGTGAAAAGTGCAGGGAAATGGAGATGACCGCGATAGTGTTATGATATGTGACTTTGCATGCATAGTATCAAGGTCAGATAATGCTCCATTATACAGTCATCGTGTAGTGCGAATTCTCTGTAGATGGTTTCTTGTTGGGGCAGTTGCTTTTCATGTACCAATATCCTGGACTACTGTTGTGCTCGGTGAAATCCGACCCAAAGTGCATGTTTGGCGGCCTCAACTTGCATGGCCCTTGACACCCTGGAAGTGGCACGAATGTGGCTGGACGTACACATGTACAAGTATAGTGATGCAATCGGAACTGGTCCAGGGCGTCAGTTTTGCTTAAACTGTCGTTTGATGCTTTCCATTTGCAGGTGATTATCTCGTTCTGCAGTTGCTGGAACTGGTTAGGACTGCCTTCATGGCGTCAACTGGAAATGTCAACTCGGTCAGAATTGCGGGTCTCAAGGCGCTCAAGGTGAGCGAGCACTGATTTAGTTTACTGCTGCAGCATGTGGGGTTCATGCGGTGTGTTTTGTTTTTGGACTGTGATGGTCAAGTAGTTGTGTCCGTATTGTGCAATGAGCCAGCGATGCTGCATTGGGTAGTAGCAAGAGGACATGAAACCTAGAGCGTGCGGCTTGTGACTTTTTGCATAGGTGTCTGTCAAGACGAAATTCCTGAATTATAATCATAGTTAATCCAGATAGGCGGCGGGAAGTGGCGTAGTGTGTACAACTGAGCTGCAGTTGTGAGATAGGCGGCGGGAAGTGGCGTAGTGTGTACAACTGAGCTGCAGTTGTGCAGCAGAAGATCTGGTTGAATCCTGCTTGCATACACTGCATGACTAAAATGATGTAATCCAGGAAATGCGCCGTGGCGGCAACCCATTCGAGCAGCGCCTGTTTACATGTACTCTCGATAGTAGTGATTTTGGTACCTGTTTTGTATGTGTGTGCCTTCCTTCTTCTCCTTTTTTTGCCCTGCGTTATCTCATTCCCTGTGTGCGTGCGTGTCCTTGACGTGACTATGCTTGCTGGTGACGTGTTCCTGTGTCCTTGCAGCACGTTATTGAAATGTTTGCACATGTACCGGATGCAGACTATGCTGGCCATGCTCTGCTGGAACAGTACCAGGCTCAGGTATGTGCATGGGGCTACGCCATGTATATGAACTACGAATGTAGGTTCTTCTACTGCTTCTGAGTGTCTGATGTCATCACTTGCATGGTGTGCACAGAATTACCACTGACGGTATCCTGGACATTAACTGCTGCTGCTGCTGCTGTCAGTAGTGCAGTCCACTTATACAAGTAGTTTTCTTGCATTAGTGGTTACATGTATGGGCATGTAGACATTGAAGTGAATATGACTCTGCTGTCTGTATGTTGCCTGTAGATTGCAGCTGCTCTGCGGCCAGCGTTTGCTGCTGATACACCACCGGATGTCACTGCAGCCGCCTGCCAGGTACATGCTTTGATTGATTTTGTAATTGTGTGTGGCCTTGAAAATGTAGCGTAACTCAGTATTCCAGCTCTTGCTCAAACTTCTGAGCTGGGTTTTTATTCGCATACTTGTCAGCTTTACCTAAGAGAATAAGTATGGCAAGGGCACATGTGTCCTTCCAATTAAACCCGTTCTATCGTTACTATAATTATGCCCTTTTCCGCTGGATTTACCGGATGTTAGCGGCCGTCGTGAGTTCCCTCGGGGAACGTACACGATAATTAAATTTTAGTATTTTACTTTTATTATATGCCTTTTTGGTGAAGGTCTGCAGTACCTGGATCAGCAGTGGTGTGTCCCGTGAGTTATCGGATTTGAGGGCAGTGCAGACGTTGATGGTGTCCTCACTCAGCAAAGTACGCACTAGAAAGGAAGAGCTGGAGTCCGGCACTAGCTCGGGCGAAGCCAAAGGTCAGTTGATATGATCTTCTGTTTTGTGCATCGTACACATCTCATTCCAAGTATTCCAGCTCAGTGATTTCCCTTTCTCGTTTGCAACATATTAGTTTTTTATTTTAATGCATTCTGTTGTAAAATGTTACTTGACAGGCTCAGTTGTGCCGGTCAATCTTGCAAATCTCCTGGGTTTGGCGCCTTGTTAACGATAGTAGTTTGCACCTCTCTGTCTGCTTGCAGATGGTGACAACAGCATGGAGACAACAAGTGGCCGCTACAACGAAAGCACAGCCACCATGGAGAAACTGGCTGTGCTGACCGCGTGGGCTGAGGTAGGTATCAGCAGTGCAATGTTGCAGGTCTTTGCCGAAGAAGCAATGTTGCAATGGCGGCTGGGATGGAGTTTCTTCTATGCACAGGTCGTGTTCTTTCTCCCTTTATGGCCGCCAGTACTGTGAGATCACTGGCATGTGACCACTCTAGTGTGCAGAGGATGCTATGCTATCTATACACAGATTACACACAACTCATACCTGTAGACTAGCAAACCGAAGAAGCTGTGTTCTACAGTGCAGATATCCTATGAAGTTTTAGCGGGGTTAGCTGCTTGCCGGATATTCTGTGACATTTCGGCGTGGCTGGCCGCTTGCCAGCTTTGGGTGCTTTGGGTGCTTTGTCACTTACCTGCCTTGTTTTAGCATCTGATCTTTGCAATTTATTTGTGTGTTATCCCTGTATACATGTACATTCTTACAGGTGTTCATCAAGGCTCGGCAGTCAGCAAACAGCAAGTCGGACACGCCGGCCGCCATCGATGAGTTTGGCGACCCGGTTGCGTCCACGGCACCCGACCTGCTGCAGCTGGTGTTGCCGGAGCTGCAGCGGCTGCGTCGCTTCTGGCTGCTGTGCCTGCGCGACCACGCCATGCTGGAGCTGCCGGCCCAGTTTGCACCGCAGCTGCCGCCCGACGGCGGTGCGTTCTACAGCAGCGCCACGGCCGAGACGGCCGCCGGCTACTACACGCACAGCTGGCCACCGCTGCTGCTGGCTGCCGCCTACTGGATGAACAGCGATGATATGCAGTCTTCGACCACTCAGAGGTATGCTGCTGCTGGTCGTGTCACAGCCAGCCATGTGTATCTAGAGCGTGTGTACTTCTCTGGCAGTTGTTCATGTTCAGATTGGACAAACTGTGTGGATGCTATTGTGTTTGTGCACACGTGCATGTGTTCCTGGCATAATACTTCCCCTGGGGTAATACTGTCCCTTGGATAATACTGCCCCTGGGTAATACTATCCCTGGCATAATACTGCCTCTAGAGTGATACTGTCCATTTTCCCTTTGGTTGTTACAGCTCATCAAATGGCCGTTCATCTAGTCCTGCGCAGGCATTGTCGTCCGGTAGCAGTGATCAGGATCGGTTGGACCGCTATCGTCTGGTCATGGGACTGGCTGTCAAGTCACTGTGTGGCTCACAGTCCGACCAGCCCAAGAACAGCCAATGCCTCTGTGTGCGGGTAAGGGGAGAACAATTGTTTCGGATACGTGTGTACATGTGTACTGCAGCCAACAAAAGGAAACTGGCTGATTGCACAGGATCGAAATGAACGGTGGCTGGTGAAAGTGCACAGACCCACAGTTTAACTTGTACACGGTATGTATAGTGTATATACATTGCCAAACCGCTCACATACCGTAGTAGCTACATGTACATGTAGTAGAAAGCGCTAGACAAACATTGTGTATTGGTTCTGAGCGCTCGGAGTCTTTTGACAACTTCAACTGCTGCTTCTCGATTTTTCCTGGACGTTTTTTGGGGGCTGTGTGTTTCTGTCTGTTTGTACAGAGTCTCCTGCAACTGTTCAGTTGTGCTTGGCCATGTGAACAGCTGGCTCAAGACAAGACAATGCTGGTGGAGCTGCTAAGTGTGCTGCACCGTGTGCTGCTTACTGCTGACCTAGAAACACAGCAGGACGCCATACAGGTAAGCTGCAGCCGCAGCATGGAGCGGTACAGTTTTTTCTCTCCACGTGTGCATGTGTTTGTAGAAGCGGAGAATTGAACATCTCTCTGCCCTGTAATATACGGTATGATGATTTACCCTTACTATTTATTTAAATAAGCGACGAGGCCACAATAGTTTTAGAATTGCAATAAACAGAACGAGCTGAACAGTCATTTCACAAAGGCTTTATTAGTATTTATTGAAAGAATTTAAAATCGTCATACTGATTGTCCGATGCAAGCACTTAAAAATATACTGCTCTTTGACTGATTCTCGTTGTTTCTTTGGTCTTGTTACTCATGCCCACTATCCACACTACCCAGGTTGTCAGTCTTGTTCTGACTGCGTACAAGAGTCAGCTAGCCAAGGAGCGTAGCAGTGCTGACTGTGATGCCAGCCGCGGCAAGGTGGGCGAAGGTGGCCAGGACGGTGATCTACAGCCCGGTCATAGTGTGGTGTTCGTCACGCTGGAGGTGTGCCTGAGCGCCATCGTGCGCACTTTCCCCATGCTGTCGCCGCAGCATGTCAACACGTCGCTGGCCGGCGTCGACCAGGCGCACACGCGCCAGCTGCAGCGCTCCACCAACGTGTCGGCGCTGGAGGCCAGCCTGGCGGCATCGGCTGCCAACATCTTGACCAGCCTGCCGGACCTGTGCACGGCCAGTGGTGCTCTGGCCGTGCTTCCCACACTACTCTTCCTGCTCACCGGCATGCTCTGCGAAGCTAGTGTTCTGGACGCTAAGGGCGAGCAGCGCTTGCCCACCATCTCGGCCAGCTGCCTCGTGGCACTGAAGACGTTGGCATCGTCGAGTGTGGCCTCTCAGAGCGAAGGGCCTAGCGGTGCTCGCTGGCAGTCGTTGCTGGCCTCGGCTATGCTTAGCATTGTGGAAGCAGCCGAGCAGCGGGATGCACAGCGGGATACGTCCGTCATGTTACTGGCCATCGCTGTCTTCACACAGTCGGCGCCAGCTGTGGTAGCTGCGCATCCACAGGTCCAGGCACGCTCTGTTGACATCTTTCAGAGCGCGTTCAAGACCGGAAAAGTTGCGGTACGTCAAGTCACATGCACGCACAAGCGTTGTTATCATGTAGTGTCGATGTGCTTGTGTGTGTGTGTGTACTCGTCCATGCCTTTGTATTTGTGTGTATGGGTGTGTGTGTGTGTGTGTGTGTGTGTGTGTGTGTGTGTGTGTGTGTGTGTGTGTGCGCGCACGAGCGCGTGCGTGCGTGTCTGAGTCTGCGTTCTTTTGTTGCATGTTCCTGATCAGGGACAGGTCAATTTTTCTTTTAGTCAAGTATTCACCACGAATCACCAGTGATATATCATCACTCCTCCTTCTCACAGCATGTACTGTACTTGGAGTGAAAGTGATTTACTACTGAACATTAGCACTTCTTTTTTTTAATGCAAGACTGTTGAACAACTGATATTGATATCCTTGGCAAGCAGGCCGCCATGTTTGGGATGTGTTGCATGTTAGTACCGATACCCATGTAGATCTACAATGTGACATTGCAGGAGACCACACTGCATCCTTGGCGCCCAGTGACGATTCCAGATGGAAGCAGGCCAGCTAGTAACATGCATGCGCGTGCAACGTGTGCCCAATGTGTACTTTAGGCAAGATGTGAAGTTCTTCTGTTTTCATCCTGATGATGGGCGAAAATTTGTTGAACAGTTAAAATGACGTGTGCAGCAAAGAGACGGTATTTTGAGTGTTTGAGTTGGGGGACCCTGATGTGTACATGGCTGCAGTGGAGTCTGCGAGTGCTTGGAAAAGATGTGAAGTAATAAGTTCAAGTAAAAGAAGAAATTGAAATCTAGCTGTGTATTGTCTCCTGTGTCTTATTGTTGTCGTGCTTGTGTGCAACCCCAGGTGCAGCGCAAGTGTGTCCACGCCCTGATCTCTATCTTCCAGTGCCCGGATGCGTCAGTCTCACGCCCGTTCATCCATGCACTGGGCACCAGCATCGTGGAGCGCCTGCAATCTTCAGTGTCCGCTCGGCCAGCCACCGACGAAGAGAGCAACCTGCTGGTTGACTGTGTCCGTGCTGTGGAAGTTCTGCTGGCGACGGCAGAAGAAGCACACCGTGAGTGAACAACTCTTTCTTTTTCTTCTGAGAACTATTCAACTTGCCAATCAGGTTATGTATGCTAGTACTACAATACTATGGCATGGCAGTCATCATGGAATAGAGTAGACATGTGTGTGTGTGTGCATTCCGTGTTGTTGTGACCCTTTCTACATCAACCTTGAATCCCTCTTCAACTGGTCCTGAGACTCTTGGTGCGTGGGCCCCTGATCCATGTGCCAGTCGTATGTGTGTACACACTTTGTAAATCAACTTTGTGCTCCGGTGATATTTTCCAGGTACGTCGATGATGGGATTGCTGGTACCTCTGCTCATTGACCTACTCGCCGATAGTCCCTCCAGCAGTACGCTCAAAATCTTGCATAATTTTGCCCTGGAGCGCGTCAAGGCCATTGGGCCGAAGTTCCCGGCGGCGTTCAAGGCCGTCATCGCCGCCAATCCAGCGCTGAAACAGCGCCTTGAAGCGGCTCTGCGCGGCGCTGCCTCAGCCCAGGCAGCCGCCGCGAGCAAGACAGTGGCTCGCAGTGCTCAGCCAGAGCAGCCCACAATCAAACTGAAGATGAACTTTGGCAAATTCTAATTATTTATTCTGCCGTTCACCGTGTACACGCTACGTACATGTAGTACCTGTGCGTGTGTTCATTCTCGCCTACCTGTGAGATAGTATTTCTAGTGGACAGAGATGAACACGCTGTTTACGAAAGCCGTTCTAGTGCTGTATATATTCTACCCATCCCTATTTTGTGCTTCAGGCTAGCCCTGGAAAATGTGTGTCATTAGCAGCAGGTCTGGTAGTCGGCCTTTGCTCATTGCCCCCTTTCACCTTTTCCTTAGTACATTTAACAATTACCTTCTCAACATCTGCCTTGTTCTTTCAGGACAAGGGCCGTTACTGAGTACGTGAATGCCAATCCCCCTCTTCTCTCGTCAAGGCTAACAGATTTTATGCTTTAGATCTCTCTTTTTAAATGCTATACTTTCTCTTTGTGCAGCCCGTTGTTTCGTTTACAATTATTGCACCTGACCTATCTCTTTGACTGTGTACATAGTTATCATGGTTCTTATACTCTGTAATTTTCTTGCTGAGAAGTATGACACATATAATACGGACTTTCCACGACACTGCACAAAAATCTATGCTGACAAGTAGGATCTCAAAATTGCTGGACAGACTCCGGATGACTGCTTCATGATAACAATTCGTATGTGGGCTGTCTCTTCCCTATTCTTCTGTTTGTGGAAATACACGTATTTACTTCAAGTGAAATAATAATTATTATGATGAAGGCGTGCGTTGCTGTTGGTATCCTGTATCCAGCATGTTTCCACAAGGGTGCTGCTGGCATCCTGTAGCAAGTTCACTGATGGTATTCTGTACCAGGCTCACTGCTGGTATCCAGTACTCGTACAGGCTCACTGCTGGTATTCCGTACCCAGCGTGAATATTTTCACTAGGCTCAATTAATATTTCGCTGACTCAGCATCGGCTAGTTTTTAGCTGACCAAAGTGCAGCGTGGTCCTGCCCAACCCTGTCGTAATGTAACCATGGTAACCTTCGTCCCTGTTCAACTGTCACTGCTCAATTTGGACTGTGGTGATCTGCTGGACTGCACTGGATGGACATTCTGCTTTTTGGGAGCAAGGTGACTGCATGGCCGACGATATGCACACAATGACATCATCTGTTAGCATGTCCTGGGTGTGGCTAGGTCAATGCACTCGGCGCGAGGTCATGAGAAACGAGTCAACAATTCGCTGATTGGCTTACACTTGCAAACTGGGGAAATAAGCATAGAGCAGGTGCAACAAGATTCTCCCCTTGTGCTCTTCTGTGCACATGTCAAAAGTGCTTACACACCCGCTCCTCACAGGTAGCAAGACTTGAGTTTATCATCAACCGAGCCTATCTGCACATGGCCACCGCGGTTGACTGGCCATGACGCTTTGGCCACATACTCTGCCCCTGTTTTCACATCGGACGGCTGGCGGTGCGTCCGTGAGAAGATCGAACCTGCAGTATAGGAATTTCCACCACTGGCAAGTGGCTCATGGTACTGGGCCGAGGCTTTGTCGGTGATCAGTGGCATCCACAAGCGAAGGCGATCGAGCATGAATCCCGGCCAGAACGGACTCATCTTGTCCGTCACTGTAGCGTCCACCTTGCTTTCAGCCGGCCTCCGGAAGCGTGTTTTCATGCCACTGCAGCAAGAACAACAGAAATTACACCGGAGACAACGACAATGACAGCAACAAAATGTAGATAATAGACGTAGCAAAGTAGATTTACATCTGACATGAACACATGCACACAAGCACGTAATACGCAGTGTACTGGTGCAAGTCGATTATCATTACGAGCGCAGATCTACAAGAGCTGCACACAATACATGTGTACTAGTATGCACTTTTCGACCAGACCCCCCAATGAATTTTGTTTGTTTCAGGGACTTGTGCAAACATTTGCGTTGGCCGCTAAGCAGGCAAGTATCCCCCATACGAGTATCATTTCTTGGGTGTAAGCAGGCTGGAGAACAACTTTGAACAGAGAAAATAGAACAGCACTCCTTCTGTAACAGTTTTGATATTCTCACATAGGAGTAGACACATGACTGTGTGCAAGCACTGCAGAGACAGTACTCAGTAGGCTTGAAGGCGTTGCATTCGCGGCATCAATATGCGATCAGGCATATAACCTACAACAAGTACAGTACTTACTTGGCAAAGTTTGTATATTCCTCTAAGGTCATCCAGCAGTCAACCTTTGGTCCGACAACTGCTTTCCCAGTGGACAACCTCATTAACTTTGGCGGCAGTTTCTGATGATCGTCGTCGTATGCATCACGAGAATCAAAGACGTCCTTGCGCTTCTGCACCACCTTCTTTGTTGTCAGCAAACCCAAACTGCGCAGGTGATCGTTGACCTTCTGCTTGAGTGCATCGCGTGACAAGAGATCCTGCGTGCCACCAGGTTGTCTCAGCGACTGGATACATTCCATCACAGGCCTGTCACCAAACGGAACGAGCACTGTCAAGAACAAGCAGAGCAAGTCACAATGGCCATTAGTTACACACTGAAGTTGGCAGCTGCGATCATGACTTTCACTATAAAAAGATATTCCAACCAAATATGAATAATTATTGTAATAAGTAGTGATTCTGCTAGTGAACTCATTCCTATTTTAAATCTCGCCGGCCGCAAAATTGTACATCTCTGAAACCCAAGTCACTGGTGTTTGGCTTGTGGCTTTTAGAGTTCACAGTAGGACTGCCAGGAGGTTGTTGCTTACAGAGTTTCAGTAGGTCTTCATTCAGCGTGAGCCCGTTGTGCCGACACACTTCGACAACCTTCTCGTACTCCTGCCTGACTTGCTCCTGGTATGCGTTGCGCAACCGCTGGACCTCCGCCGGTGCCCTGGGTGCTGCTTCCACCCTTGCCTGGAGTTTAGCTTCCTCGATGACTGACAGTGGCACTTGCTTGGAGGGTAGCAGGGTACGTTTGCCAAATACAGTCTCACCGGAGCCGGGCTTTGAAGACGGGCTGCTTCCCCACAGCGGCCGTGGGTTGCGCAAGTCACTGGGACTCAACAGGGCATGTGTTGACGGGCTCAAGAAGTCGGGCCAGTGCTCGGCAAGTGGAATGTCTTGCCATGGCGTGTCGTCCAACGGCACAATCTCACCGTAGCGTATCCAGCCACTACCGTCCTTGTCGAGCTGGTCCAGGAACAAGTCGACGGCCTCCGGATCCACTCGGAACGCCCGGAAGCCGAACAGCCGCTTGATGTCATTGCGGTGCAGCCGCCCTTTCTGGTGCTCGTCCATGCGTTTGAACAGCGCGACGATGCGGTACTTGTGACGACACAGCTGCTCGTTGATAGCTTCCATGCTCCGCAGGATGGCCCTGCCCTGGCGTCTCTTCTTTCCCCTCCTCTCCTGCTCCAACGCATCTTCATCCATCTCTTCCCACGTGGCATCAAGGGCCTGGAGCTGCAGTAACAGCACCCATGATGACAGACATGACACACAAGAGAATAATGATATCAGTGCTACTGGCCACCAAGTGTTTGACGCAACCAAATTAAAGAAATTGACGAAACCGCCGCCAGGACCCCAATCTTGTCCTGTGCATGTGATGCACAATGTAATACATAATAGCACTGTCCAAAACACAATGCGCTTACTCTTCCATATACTGCTGTGCTGTTCAACGCGTGGTATCTATTTTCCTCCCATTCCCCTTATCAATTCGAGTCCAAGTCTCTCTCTCTCTCTCTCTCTCCCTCCCTCCCTGCACGACGAGAGTAAGCTACTCTGCATACCGCCCTAGATGCAAATTTAGCTTACACTATCTACTCAAGTCAAGTAAGATAAGTTTGGTCCTGTCCTACCTTCGTATCAACACGGTCCGGCTGCCCGGCTGGTAGCCTCCTCGTCGCTGACGACCTCCTTCTGTGAAGATTTTCCAGAACACGTCCGTCTAGCGGCGTGCGGTACTCCGGAGGATTGGACTCAATGAACGTTGCGGTGTTGGCAAACGTGTCAAGTTGATGATTCAGTTCTTTTCTCTTTGCCAACCACGCTGTCAACTCCTCGCAATTCTTTTCGCGCTCTGCTCGCTCAGTAGCATGTAGGTCAAATTCCACGGCTTGAGGCTGGCGACCGTAGTTTGCGAACATAGGCAAAGCATCAATGTCATGCTTTTTGTTAGTTCTGTTGATACCAGCAGAGGGTTTTTTCCATGTATCCATACCAGGAGAGGGGGTTTCCCATGGTGGAGCTGCATGGCTAGCGAGTCGCTTATGCCTTCCCTGACGTTGGATTTCTATCTCGTGCGTTTCGCCGTCTGGAAGTGGCACTGTCTGGCTCGGTGCTACTATTTTACCCCCACTGTCACGCGTGAACGTGCAATCGTGTCTGCGCACTCGCACGGGATGCTCGTCGTTTGGCGGTCCGATCCCCTCAGCTTGGTGGCGGTTTCTCTCCGCTTGGCGTTTCCTCTCAATCTTGTTCCTCTGCAGTCGATCCTGGCACTGTCTGCTAGCAGTGCTGCGCGTTTCTGCTGGCGATGCCTGTGATGCAGGTTCACCAGCAGTCCTCCGACTCCGGGACCATGTAGCCGCTTTGCCACGGTCGGATCTCGCCTCCATATTCCTGCCGGTCAGTGCTACGTGACTGGGCTAACTGTTTTAAAACACAATCACGGCAGTTCACATTCCACTGTTACTGCTTATACAAGCAGAGGCAAGCCACTAGCTGCTTCCAGCTTGCACTACACTGTAGTCTCTGAGCGCCCGCGTGTCACACCAGTGTACTAACGTTAGTAGACTCAGAATCTCATCGCGGACCACTGGAGAATTGTTGCGTTGCGTTGACCCAGTGATGAGATAGCCCCGGTCTCACTGCTGCATTGCTGGGCTACACACCGCGAATCACGAATCGATGCTCAAGTAATTTATTCAAGTACTCAGCGATATCGAGGGTTAATTCTGGAACTCAGCTGCTATTGAAGATATTGCACGACATTCACATTGCCATTGACCTGGGCTTGAAGTACACCAGACAGCAAATGGGCCACGGTTGCCTGATTAGGAGTTCGAACTGTCGTGACCATCCAAGTGCATGTGCCAGCAGAAGCAGCGATTGCACCCTCGCTACAGACTACGGTTACACCCAGGGCTAGGGAGTACTAGCACTCCCCGGTAACAACATGGATGTGTTGTTGCGGGTGGAATCACAGCAGACTTCGCTCTGCCTCATGACATGATACTGCAGTACTTGGTAGAGCGTCTTGGTGTGGATATGCCCTACGATGCACCAGCATCACGTTACTTGTTACCAAAGGAAGAAAGACTCCGTGATTCTACGAGTACGAGATCCCAGTTCTCTGGATTCTGCTGTGTCCGTCGCCAGGGACAGTACGAGTACTCAGTGCAGTGCGCATTAGTCTACTAGTACTACTACTAGTGTGAATAGTCACTGCAACAACCAGATGAATACGCGTGATGGGACCAGAGAGCCCCCTAGAACAGCAGCCCTGGACAGGACCCCGCGGCATCACCCGATCACAAGAACAAGGCACAGTTTTCGTTCCACGACACCTGGCTGGAGCTGGAGTAGACTGTACGAGTAGGGTAGACCTACAGAAAGTCAGAAACTCTTCGGAAACACAGGATATCCCGGATATCGCTATGGTTTCTTGGCTGCTGTTGCCGTTAGCAGCGACTGATACATTTTTTGTTTTATTTATTTTTTACTGAAAATCGTGTTTCTTCTCCGATCGAATTGATTTGAGACTGTCCATTTTTAAAGCTTCTTGCAGCTTGACCGTCTTGTTTCAGCGTTTGCCTTTGTACTGTTTTCTAGTGCAGGCTGAACAATATTGCTCTTGAGAAAAGATCATGGCAGACGCGGAACTGAAGAGAGCGTTTGCTGAGCTTCAGCAGAAAATGGTGGAGACCGAGCAGAGAATGCGAATGGCTGACGCTCAAATCGACGGACTGAAGCGAAGTGTAAAGCGCACAATTCTCACTAAGCAGGAAATCTCTGGTCTGCCCGAGGGAACTAGAACCTATGATTCTGTTGGCCGTTGCTTCATCCTGCGACCTGCTGATGACATCTCAAAAATGTTAGATGATCGTGTGAAGACGAGTGAGGAGAGAATCAAGACATTGGACGAGCAGAAAGGGTATATGGAGAAAAATGTGAAGGAGAGTCAGGAATCCCTGCGGGAGTTGGTCAGACAGAAACAGTCGAGGGCATAGGCTGTACTGTGCGTCATGCAGCTGCTGTCATTTGCAGAGGCAGTGCTGTTGCGTTGCGGGCACGATACCTGTGCTTTAGTGTATAGCAGTGAGGAAAGCACGGAATCGCAGGCAGGTGTGCACAGAATCATATTCGTTATGCGGTGTACTGTATCATGAGTCGTCCATATTCTCAGCCGTACCGTTAGCGTCTTCACTCAGACATGGACAGTCACTTGACTTCAACTAACCCCGCAGACATGCCATTGTTCTGTGGGTTTTGGTAAATATTTTGATTCCAATGTCTCTGCGAACAATTACACATGCTCGCTTGTACATATGAAATTATCATTCCTACCGTTGCCTTGCTCGGACATGGACAGTCCCAGTACCTCAGTTAACCCCATCTGTAAGCACATCATCGTTATGAGGGGCTTAGCACATCTTTTTTTAATTTCTATTTCATGTCACGCATTTGCCTAGCCTGTACATATGAACATATCATTGTACAATAATTTTAGTGATAAAATGTGGTGTTGCCCACTTGCCACTTTGGTATCTTCAGCCCAGAAATCGGTGCCTATTTGTAACTGTTTTCTGGCACGTATGTGTGTGTGGGGGGGGGGGGGGATGTTTGTGTGTTTTGCACCCACTTTGTCTGTGCTCGTTCGATTTTGTTGTTACGCCTGTCCCAGTGGAAAATCATAGCAGAATTTCTCAGAAAAGGCGCGGTGAAATCAAGGAAATTGCGGTGAATTGCGGTGAAACCCAACCAAACTTGTGGCAGTCGACATACAGAGAACAATGCCGATTTTCATATCACAACACTCATATAGTCTTTGTCAGATACAGTCAACTTTGCTAATAACGACTGCGGATATAACGGCAATTCGCGAATAACGACAGCATTTCCATGCCCAGAGCAAAGTCCCATCTAACTGTAATACATAATTATAGTGAGACTTCGGGCATAAGGACACTTCGGGAATAAGAACACTTTTCTGATGCCCCGCCGAGATGGCGAGTGTCGTTATTCGCAAAGTTGACTGTACATGATTGTATAGTCATGACCTGACATCATGCATGATCACTTCAGAAGTTCAGCACTGCTGCACATCTGTCTCTGAATACGTCATGGTTTCAGTGCCCCAATCGTGGATTTCAGCTTAATTTCTGGGAATTTAGTCTTAAAAGAACGGTGAAATTGCAGATTTTCGCATGGCCATGTTATCTCGACTTTCCACGAGAACAGTGGAGCTACCATGAATGCGGTCTGTGTCAACTAGCAATTGAGTAGTGGGGAGGGTGCAGGTGCTGTACAGGTCATGTGACTATACAGCATCACACAACAGACGTGCTTTTAGTTTTTCGACATCTCCGCCATTTATTGCAAATCCACCAGGTCTCATTTTTTCAGGCGCCGAAACTTACGGCAAGATCAGGGAGCCCTACACATACCGTATATGTAGGGCTCCCTGGGCAAGATAGATCATGAATGACAAACATATAACGCTGGGAAAAATGTGTTCCAAATGTATCTGAAAAATATGAATTCATGATGCACCGTATTAAAAATTGCCCAAAAGGCAAAAATAAAAGATTTCTACAGAAAGCTTCCAATTTCATCATCGGCACAGTGTAGATAGAGACAAATATTGTACAGAGGGACACGGAACAATTACAAGAGCAGAGAGATATTTTAGGTGCTAGAAAAGAACAGGCTCGGACTGAGCTGTGCTATGTACATGCAGGCCTATTTTCAGCAGTCGTAAGGGAAATAGTGTCGATTCGCATGCGTACTAGCAAGCAAGAGTTTGAATAATGAACCAATATCAACAAAGACGTAAACAAGAATTGCCATCGGGAATATTTACAACACACCATTGGTAGAGCAGCAGCAGCAACATGTGAGAAATAAAGACTTGAAACTTATAAGCTGATAGATCACAATATTCACACAAGCCTCAATGACTAATCTGTTAGATCAGGAGAGCAGTCCACCACAACTCGGATCATGTCATGTGTGGATATGTCTCAGCGTTGTGCCGTAAATTAGTTGTGACCGGACCGTAGAAGTCGATGTAGTAGTCTGAACCGTCGGCTGGGCCCACAACCTGTGCTGCTATAAGCACCATATCCACCAGCTGGCCAAGCATAAAGAATCCAAATGTGCACATCTTCAGGAGGCCAAGTGCTGGATAGCCGAGGTACATCCGGTCCACGCCAAACATACCCAGGAATGTCAGGCCCACTGCGGTCTTGTAGCTTTTACCGCCGACATGTCGGCACGAAACATTGCGGAAGAAGCCGGCTTCTTCTCTCGTTTCATTGCCGTCAAACAAGCGACCATTACAATAGGTCCTGGGTGATGGAAAGCATGGTACTAGCACATTACGCTCCTTAGTGCAGCCTTCAGCAGCTTGAGTTTTAGAGTCAATCATGGGCGGCAAGCACTGAAACTGCCCAGGCAGCAGATCCTCGCAGCTCACATTGTGTTGGTCATTTTGAGCAGCTACGAGAGACACATTTAAAGCTACGAAAACACACAGCAACGAGCAGATCGCTGCCACATCCATAAGTCTTCACTCAGCACTTGTGAAACACAAATTCCACGACCACAGTACTGTGCAGCTGTTGACTACAGTTATTGTGATAGTCTGACCAGTAGCACTTCTACTGTTCTAGTGTTGCAAAAGCTGAATTTGATCTTATCCGAAATATATTGTGGCGAGGAGCAAACGCCAGAAAGATGACTAAGAAACAGTACCAGCCTGCTGACCAAGTCAAGTGTTCTTGCAACGACTACGTAGACTTGGTCAGGGTTTCCAGCAGCTCCTCCACGAAGGACTTCTTTGTGATTGGCAGTACTGCCACAACTCAGGTGAGAAAGAAGAAGAGGATGCAACGAAATCGCTGACGTCATGACGAACATGAAATAGAAAAGGGCATTCCCCTTGCAAGCTTCACGTTCACGCGTGGTCTCAGTGTACACGTCTTCTGTGTTCCACGTTTTAATTTTTGAAAAGTACTAACATTACAAGTAATAGTAGAGAGGTTAAGATGCACGTTATTTCTGACGTGACGCGAAAGTTCAGTTCGCGTTATTTGCTCGCACGTCGAAAATCAACGCGAGTGACCTGCTGCTCACGTCGAAATTTGGAGTTTTACGCCAAATTTGACGTGAAATTGCGCGTCACGTCGGAAATAACGTGCATCTGAACCTCTCTAGTAACTGTTAGTTGCCTGAACGTGAACCCCGCGAAAGGACTTGGATTATGAATCCTTGTGCACGTCAGAACATGTTTCAGAAGCATTTGCAGACTACAAATTAGTTTGAGAATGAAAGCTACTCAGATGGTCTCTACATAATCAGAAAATAATTGTACTAGTAATAACTATGCGAGCTGCATTGAGGCATAATATGTTGCAGTAACCTGGGTCAAATCAGAATGAGCTGAATGAAACTGAATTTTTGTAGTCGACAATTCTGTCAAGTCACCATGCATATGGGCAGGGTCAACAGAATCATGTTTGATTAATTTCACCAGGCCTGAGTTGACTGTATGCAAGTAATTAGTTGAAGTCTGAAAGCTGCAGTGAGTGTGTAGTATATTGAAAGAGTGAATTAGCAGGCACTAGCACTCAGTAGTAGTAGTTACTTTGTGCTAAATGGACGACTTTGAAGCTGAAGAGGATGAGGAGTTTTGGGCAGCCACTTTGGAACAGCTGGTGGATGGAGCAAATGTTCCTTGTGAGCAGATTGAAATCAGAACTGATGATGATGCTGCTGGTTCTCATATGCAGAAATCAACAATAACATGCTCCACACTGTCGACACAAACGGATGGCCCGCAAGCGACGAAAAGCACAGCTAGTACGGGTGTTGGCGTGGGTAGCTGCACCAGTGGCAGTAGTGGCAGTGGTGGCAGTAGTACGTTGCAGCATAGTGGGACAACTGCCAATCAAGAGGAAGCCGCTGCAGGCACCGAAGGCGATGACTCATCACGCTGGCGCACGGCCCTGAACACGCATAAAGCAGGAATGCAAGGTCTGGACAAGGAGCACGTTAATCAGATCATTTACGAGGCGTCGAAGAATTCACTTTATTACCAGAATGAAATGAAGAAGGAGAAGGTTGTGGAGGAGCGTGTCGCAAGGCAGCAGCAGGAGCTGGCAGCCGTAACAGTGTCAGATCGTAAGCTAGCCACCCAGCAGGCTGACGCGTACACAGCTCATGTGGAGGCTAGCCGTGACCTCACGCGACACGTGGTGCACATTGACATGGATGCATTCTATGCTGCTGTGGAGATTCTGGATCAGCCAGAGCTGGCCGACAAGCCAATGGCTGTGGGTGGCATGGGCATGCTTGTGAGTAGATCTCCTCTGTTTCTTCACACACACACACACGCACGTGCACACACGTACACATACACATACACACACACACACACACACACACACACACACACACACACACACACACACACACACACACATTTGACCATTTGACGCCCATCGCCGGAGGCGATGATAGCGATGCTACAGCAGAAGTCATAGGAACTTGTACTGGGATTGCATCATTCAATAGCTTGCAAGGTTGAAGAATTGACCGCCACTATTTAGCCTGGTCGACACCACACAACTATGAAGTGGCTTTTTCTGGCCAGCGAATCCCTACTTCTTTGTCATATTTCATTTTTTTCCCCCACACACATCACACCACATACTCATGCCCTGGCTGTTGGTAACCACCCAGGAGAATGAAAGAAAAGTCAGGAGGAGTCTGAGAAACAGAAGAAAGACGTATGTGATCATAATCGTCGGGAATCGAACCCACAACCTCTGGAAATCACTGCACATACCACTGCACCGTATGGACACACACCACCACACACCACACACACGCACACACACACACACACACACACACACACACACACACACACACACACACACACACACACACACACACACACACACACACACACACACACACTCTCTCTCTCTCTCTCTCTCTCTCTCTCTCTCTTTCTCTTTCTCTCTCTACGCACACATGTACAGGTGAGAGCTATGAATGTTCCATGTGACCTGGCCTACATCCAATCAAATGCGAATACAATGAAAAGGCGTGCTACTCTTATTTCACAAGCAGAACAACAGCACCGGACAGCACAACACAGCAAAGAAAATAGACAAAGTTGTGAATGAGTAACTGCATGCATGCCGTTGCCACAAGTCATGCACCTGTCACATGTGCTAATGGGCTGTCGTAATAAATTAATACAAGTAGCGGTTCATTGTTGTCTGGTGATTGGCCGAATAGCCATGGAACTCATGAGTAACAACGAACATAGTATAACCTTGTGCCATTGCAAGCTTGTGTAAGTCACATGTTCTTGTTGTTTTGCTGTTGATTATTGGACCGCAGTCGACCTCCAATTACGTGGCTCGCAAGTACGGTGTGCGCGCAGGCATGCCGGGGTTCATTGGCAAGAAGCTGTGTCCAGATCTGGTGCTCGTCAAGTCACACTTTGATCGCTACCGGACTGCAAGTCAGGAGGTGAGCAAGACTGTGCTTGTTATGTTGTCATGTGTGTGTGTGTGGGATGCATTATGCTGTCTGTTGTAGATTTGGCAGCAACACCTTTTAGTTATGGTTAGGCTAAATTCACTAAGCCCATTGCGCATTGGGAGGTATGAGTAATGCCTGTGAGTACGCTGGGACCAGGAATACACTGTTCAACACCCCACACGACCATGCCCGGGTGGCTGTATGGGGGTGTTTATGGTGCGAATTACGTCATTGCACAATGGGCTTATTATGCTGCACTGCTGCAGCTGGTAGCAAGTCGATGCTTTGATTTTGTTTGCTTTATGAGTCCTCCGTGGTGGTGGACGTTGGTTTATAGTTTACCTAACTACTCCATGCACAAACATGGCCCGATGTTGGCAGTGCTGTGGCTGTGGTGTGCTAGGGGAATTTTTGTCAAATAGTTGGCAGCAAACAGAGCAGACCTTCTAGTACAAGCATGTTTCCCTGTATCTTTGCTTTCATGCTGTCCGTATCTGTCAGGTGCGAGCTATTCTGGCAATGTATGATCCTGACTTTGAAGCAGTCGGTTTGGACGAGTCCTTCTTGGACGTGACAGAGTTTGTCGAGCAGCGGCAAAGAGAAGGTAAAATCCACTCGTACCCGATAGAGCGTCCGGAGCCCGACAAATGCTCAGGCGTGAAGCAGTATATCATGGACGGTGATGCCTTTGCCGGTGGTCACGATCAACTCGTGTCTAGCGGAGCATCTTGTAGTCAAGGTGATCCTGCCGTGCACCAGCCTAGTGACATAGCAACAACAAGCTCCGTGACAACAGCAAGCTCCATGGCAACAACAAGCTCCATGGCAACAACAAGCTCCGTGACAACAGCAAGCTCCATGGCAACAACAGGCTGCATGGCAACAGCAAGCTCCACCAGTGCCACTGCTACCTACTGTAGCCGGTCGCCTGAAGTAGATCAATGCTCTGCTGATCCCGGTAATGTAGCATGTGATTTACCTGCTGGTGCTGGTGGTGGTGGTGCTGCTGCTTCTGCTAGTGAGAATGCAACGGAAACACATGGTGCCTCGTCCGTGGAGGCTTGCGTCGGCGGAAATAGCCGCTGCCAACCCGTTGCCGGAGCGCAGCGGAAGCGATCGTTCGGCAATAGCCTCGCCGATGTGCTGCAAGAGATCATATTTCGTGTTCACCAGCACACGGGACTGACGGCCAGCGCCGGCGTTGCTGCCAATCGGCGTTTGGCCAAGATAGGGTCTGACCGGAACAAGCCCAACGGCGTGTACATACTCCCGAATGACCGCGACGCCATCTTATCCTTCATGAGAGAACTTCCCATTCGCAAGGTCAGTGTACTATCCCCTCCCCTGTTAGCTGACTGAATGAGTGTTAGTGTCCGCTTGCTTAGGTACGCTTACTTACTATACAGCTCCATCGGGCATGTACTGTTGCGCTAGATGAAATCCGACCCAAAGTACGAAACCTGCGCCCTGGACCAGTTCCGATTTCATTACATGTGTTCGTCCAGCAGCATTCACACCACTTCCAGGGCGTCATGGGCCTTTCACTTTGGGTCGGATCATTTCACCCGGCAAAACTGTTGTTCCGGTAGATCGTTGCGCAAATCTGAACACTGCGGTGTATTTTAATACCGCAGTGTTCAGAGTTACACAGATATACTGCAACTGCAAAGTAGGTGTGCCATTTGACGCGTCGCGCTCTCTGCGTTCTACCTGTCATGACCGGACCACCATTCTACAGTGGGAATTGTCCTTAGTATGTCCTGCAGGGTTGACTCCTCTGTGCACGCGGGGAGTTCAATGGCTATCACTGACTGCAGTTTCCAGTCATGACAGCTTCTGCTTTTGTCCATGTTCTTTCAAGTGCACACAAGAGCTAGCCATTATTCCACTGGTGCATGCACATGTACATGTACAGGCCATGTGTTAGGCAGGACTGAAACCAGGGGAGATGTAACCAACATTTGGTGGAGATGGGTGAAAATGCTTATTGAGAATCCTTGATCTCAAATTGCCCCGCAGCACCAGTGCCTTGTGTGTATTGTACATGTGTGTACGTGTACTGCCTGCGTTGTGTACATGTATTGTGCACGTGTGGTCATGTGCTGTCTGCTTTCTGTACATGATGACTATGTGTATGGCAGGTGAACGGCATTGGCAAGGTGTCGGAGCGGCTCCTGAAGGCGCTCGGCGTGAACACGTGCGGCGAGCTGTACGAGAAGCGTGACCTGCTGTGGTTGCTGCATTCGCCCGGCACAGCGCAGTACTACATACACATTTCCCTGGGACTGGGCAGCAGCAGTGTGTCGTCGGCCGACGACTACCAGAGCAAGAGTGTCAGTGTGGAGCGCACCTTCCGCGAACTCAGCAAGCCACAAGATCTGCTTGCCAAGTGCCGAGAGCTGTGCGAGAATCTTGCCGAGGATGTTGAGAAGGAGAAGATGGAAGTGAGTAGGGGTAGTGGCACAATAGCTATACACCACTGCCGTGTCGTTCTAGCTATACACATGTGCTGTTGATTTACATCATTTGTTCTATTCTTCCTGACCTATCTTTCCTGACCGAAGTACGGGGTGCATTCACGATGATAGTTCGCCTATGTTGGTTCTGTAGTGGACATTCTGCATATCATTAGTGAAATTGAGGGTTTGATTTTATTGTGTTTTCGTCAGCCACTGGCAGTGTGACCTCATTACGCTTGTACTTGTGTCATACCTTGTGTACTGTTCTGTGTAGGGCAAGACTGTGACTCTCAAGTTGAAAGAAGTGACGTTTCAGGTGCGCAGCCGAGCCGTATCCTTTCCTTTGCCAGTGTCGTCGGTCGAGGCACTCTTCTCTGCAGCGTCGTCGAGCTTACGCTCTGAGATCGCCGCCACTAAAGGACCACTTCGCCTGCGCTTGATGGGTGAGTTATGTGCAGAGATGCCTTGCATGTTCGTTTTTGTTTGTTTGTTTGTTTGTTGTGGCTGGTGACCAGGGAGACATAGCACCAACGATGTGCATTTCAAGATCATCCCTGGAGCTGATCCCATTGATGGCTACTGGGACCAGAGTTCACCTGTGTGTAGAGTTGAGTCATGTTAATTGTTGTACTGTCATTGCTGGTGTAATGTACAGTGCTCTACCTGTATACATACTAGTATGATGTCGGCGCTCATGTACATGTCATGTACATGTATCTGCATTCTGGGCACTTGTCAACGGTGCCTTTTTCTCAGGTGTTCGCCTCTCCGGTCTGCAGCGTGTCGAGAAGAAGCAGCAGATGAGCTTGACAAGCTTTGTTCGGCGCCCAGCAGCTACGTCTAACAAAGGTCCGTCTCAACCCGTGAGTACCGATGCTATACTCTTGTCGGATGCAACTGATGCCCCACTTGACGATGGTATGGACGACAGTGTCAGGCAGCAGCCGAAGCCAGAGCAGCGGCCAGAGCCAGAGCCATCCTCACTAGATTCTGGCATTGGCTTGTTGGATTCAGCAGCGATGTCTCCCCTTTCGGCGATGGTTGATGAGACAGAGTTTAGCTTGGAGTCTGATGTTCCCTCTGAATGGGCGCCGGGGATGGAGCCTATGTCTGAGGCCAGAGATGTCACTAATTCAGCGGCAACTGCGGAAGCTGGAGCGGTTAGTGGTGTGTATTCTGAATCCAACTGTTGTTGTTGACTGCATGACTGCACCCTTCCAGTATGTACTCTGGCTTAGCGGTCGTTGAAAAACTTGTTGTCATCCCTGAAACGGGCGTTGTTCATTTCATGCTCTGACACCTCTCCTCTCCGGAATGAAAATCCTATGCATGTACAGTGTTGGTTGATTTGCCCCCTGCCTACCCCCCCCCCCCCCCTGCCTGCCCCCCCCCCCCCTGCCTGCCTACCCCCCCCCCTGCCTGCCCCCCCCCTCCAATGAATGATGTTCGTTTCAGGGACTACAACAACTTTTACGACGACCCCCCCCCCCTTAGCTTTGTGCCATTGGTGTTGAATATACTACAGTATCCCTTCCAGCAGCTACTCAGTAACTCTGGCTTAGCTTTGTGCCGTTGGTGTTGACTGTATCCCTTCCAGCAGCCAATCTGGCTTAGCTTTATGCTGTTGATGTGATGATGTGCATCACTGCGTACTGTGCATAGGCTTGACTGACCCAGGCATGCGTGAACTTGATTATCATACTTCAAGTACTTTCAGCAACTTGCCAATAACCACACTTTTCTCATGCACGATTGAGGGTCGTTATTCGCACGGTTGACCGTACTAGAGTAAGGAGATGATGGTGGTGAAACCAGCCAGCTAACATTGCGCGCACAACTGTGTCTTGTGTGTGTTGATCTTTTTCAGAAACCTGCGTCCAATGTGCAATGCCCAGTTTGCCAGAAGTTCGTCCATGCCCTCAGCAATGATCAGCTGAACGAGCACATTGACTCCTGCCTGAACCGCTCCACTATACAGAGCATGGTTGCCGAGCAGTCACAGACTTCCAAGGGAGGTGCGTTATTTCTTGCCCGCTGCATCACTGGATGTTTTATTTCGGACAGTTCAGTGCTGCCTTGACTCTGGCATACTTTTTTATCTCAAGTTGCCATGGTTATTGCAGCTGATGGTATCTGGGAGTGTTCACCTACCGTAGGTTGTTTGTGAGGATATCTGTTTACGAAAAGCTTACCACTGGAGCAAGTAGAGGACTTAGTCTACCGAACCAGTGGTTCTCAGTCTGATCAATAGGTTGCTTACACAATACAGTAATTGCTAGAATCCCGGGCTTGTTCTACTAGTAATTCTCCTAGGCAGGAGCAGTCTGGTCAAACAAAGCTGTGTTGAGCTGTCTTGCTCTGGGTCACTCTGGCTTGTTCTGAATGCACATGCCTCCTGCATGGGTTTGTGGTGTGTGCATGGTTCATTGGATGTCTGTATGGTCTCTCTCTCTCTCTCTCTCTCTCTCTCTCTCTCTCTCTCTCTCTCTCTCTCTCTCTCTCCCTCTCTCTCTCTCTCTCTCTCTCTCTCCAGCTGTTCGGTCATCAACACTTTCATCCTCTGGGCCCATGAAAGCAGCCAGTAGACCTCAAAAGCGGTAAGCAGAGTCTCATTGGGACTGCTTTTTGGGACAGTTTTGATAATGACTGTTGTAACACGGGTGTTTCCATCATAATACGTTTACTGGCAGGGAAATGTTCACTTGAAAAGATACTTCAGAACTAAATATACTAAATAAAGATACTGCCTATCATTGATTTTCCGCTTGGTCCTTTCAGCACACGCAAAAAAGCTAGTGTGAGTAAAACCTGCTAAAATACCCTTTAATATGGCCTCACTCTAGCAGTTTTGCCAGAAATTACTTTGGTAAGGTACAGTAAACCCGCCCTAATCCCTTGGTGCAACGGAAACTGTCCCGATATGACAGGATTCAGCTTGATCCAGGGATGCAAGTTGATCCACAGGACGTCGGTGCATGAAAAGTTGTTCGGTCAATGCAGGATTCTGCTTGGTACAGGGTCCGGCAAACACAGGTTTTACTGTACTTCGAAGTTACAAGTATTTGTCACCGGAGTGCCTCTTACATTCTGGTGAGTACTGTTTCTCGTGCTCTCGTGTTAAAATTATTTCGTAGAGCATCAAGAGAGCAAGACCGGTCGCTGGTCACCGAGTGAGCGTTGTTTTATACGGGCAGCACCTGTTGAGTGGCCTAGATGGACGCCAGCTTGATACAGTACTGTACTCACTAACTGCATGGATGGAGAACACCCAGTACTGGCAGCAGTACACCCAGCACTGGCAGCAGTACACCCAGTGCAGTTTTGTTTTCTCAAAGTAATAGTTAGTAAAAGTTCCAGCTCAGAAAGCGAAACAAAAAGAAAGAGAAAAAGCAATATAAAATTGAGGAGGAAAAGAACTATGAAAGAAACGAAACAATAAAAATCAACGCCGGGCAGCAGTATCTCAGGCCAACACTCAACAGGTAGCTGTCTTAGCGCAGTTTTAGGGGGCTAGGTGACAGTCATTGGCCACTAGAGCCAACGATTCCGCCACTGCTGCATGTCAAGCCCGTTCATCCACAGATCGAACTCAATGTCCTCGGAGGCTGGCATTAGATGAAGTCACTGATGAGCGTATCATTGTGAAAGAAATCTTGGAGCAGATCTAGGCCATCGTTGTAGAGCAGGGCTCCTTCTGCTTGTCTGAAAGCAGGACTACAACCCGTTTCAGAAACTATGATAGCCTCCGGTTGCACTGAACATGAGAGGCAAGAAGGCGGCCTGCTCAACTACTCGCACCCTCTCCTCGTTTGCCCGCCTCTTCTCTTGCTCATGCCTGGAGAAGGTCAACGCCGAGGGATGAGGCTTGGTTCAAACGAGCATGTGGGTTGAAAACCCGGACGTGACAGAGGAACTGTCACTTGGTTTGCCAGCCATGTGTGACGGCTGAGTACACACGCTTTGCAAGCGGCCATGTCACATTATAGCAACATGCAAAGAAGTGAAGGGTGGGAGAGCAGGGACACTGATGAGACTCGAAAACTGACTGAGGAAACAAGAAAAAGAAACGACAATAAAGAAAAATATCATGCTATATTTGCAACTGAGAAATGTTGCGAGAAATAGAACCCTTTTCTCAAAACGTACTACGAAGTATAATTATAAAGTACACGTAACTGATGTCATATCACAGACACAAGGAACTTCCGAAAAGAACGAACCACTGCACGAAGAGAGCTGCCAGGAGTTCAGCCTGCCATGTGATCAATGAGTTGCCATTGTCATGGTTGTATATGGCCTGACATCTGGTGTGTGTGTGTGTGTGTGTTTGCGTGTGTGTGTGTGCATGTGTTTGCGTGTGTGTGTGTGCATGTGTTTGCGTGTGTGTGTGTGTGCATGTGTGTGCATATCTGTGCGTGTGTGTGCATGTCATTGGGCATGCTTTCCTGTTCATGTACATGAATAATTCAGACGGGCCCCGGGCACATCTCAGTCTGCTAAGCGGAAAGCCACCAGTCCTGCGACTCCCACCCTGCACTCCCTATGGTCTGCACGTTCTAAACCAACTTGATAACTGGTACGCAGATGATGATTTCACACAGCTAATTACAACACTTTTTATTGTAGGAATAGCCTAGAATTTATTCTCCTTTTTAGAATGGTGCCTGACCACCTACGGCTTATTGTTCTAGTTGGGTTCTTCCACCGTTCTATCTGCACATCTATGATGTGTACGTTGTAGATCAGACTTGAACTACTGTTACACTTGAGAAAATTCCCCCTCTGTCTGTCTGTCTGTCTCTCCCTCCCACTCTCAATTACTATTCCCAGCTGGCTGGCCAGTGCAGTAGTGAGCTGACTTAGAAATCGTCCACCATCATAGTTCTCGAATCTATTCTAGCAGATGGCAGACAGGAGTTCTCGCCGTGCATGCATGCCACCAATGGTTCATCAGCACTACAATCCCCCTCCCCCAGAGCGTACAACTCCGCCATCAGTGCTGTCCCGACGCAGTCGCCTGTGAACGGCATTTTTCAGATGCCCTCGTACGCTGGCAGTGGGCACTGCTCAATCTGATCCCGTATAGATGTGTTCGATCAGAGACGTGTACGGATAAGAAGCATTGGATTTTCTGTATCACATGCATGGCCGATCAGCTTGGGACAGCACACTGCATGTCAGAGCTACACACTCCTTCTGTAGGGGTTGTGTGCTCTACTGTTTGCAGTTGCCATGGTACTTTCCACTGCTGCAGTGTCGCCACTTTCAAGAGCATGTGTGACTGGGGCTTTTGCAATGCAGTTCATGAAAATGAATTCTTTGTTGTTTTTTTCTTGCCTGAATGTGCTGGGAGCACAATACAACTGAAGCTACAAGTACATGTACATGTATCACCAGTAACTGCTCATACATCCACTCACATTGTACATGCATCACCAGTAACTGCTCACACATCCACTCACATTGTACATGTATCACCAGTAACTGCTCATACATCCACTCACATTGTACACGTATCACCAGTAACTGCTCATACATCCACTCTCATGTAACTGACGCCATGTGAAGAATATGATTGTATACACAGACAGTAGTAGTACATCACCATGAAAAGTCATTACGTAATACTTGATGTAATAGCATGGTTGAGTGGTACCTAGGCATGATGAACAGCTTCGTAATCATAATCAGGTATTGCACAGTGATTCTGTGAGTGGTACGTGGGATATGTTCTTTTCTAAAGAGTTTTTTTTTAAGCAACACACCACCGTGGGCCTGTAGTCCTTAATTAACCCACGTTCCACTGCGGGACAACTACATGCTACACGGCTTGTGTTGCGTTGTCCGCCACCTTAGATGTGGCGTATTCGATATAAAGCTGCGCCGGAGCCGGACATCGAGCCTGCGTTTTGTCCAATGAGCAACGCTGTGTGTCTACAATAAATACAGACTGGGGTACTAGTGGCCATGAAGCTGATCAGAAACATGCCGTAACTATGACAGATAAACTGGGAGGGAAAAGGGAGTGGCGGCGGGGGCTAGCTAGCTCATTTTCAGCACCGACACTGCCAGAGCAGGCTAGTTGCCAGTGTGAGAAATTCCTGCTGGTTGATTCAAGTACTACATTCCAAAGGAAAAAAGTGCATGGTGTGTGCACTAGCTCTGACGCAGCGCAATCTTCCGCCGACCCTCTCTTTCACCGTGTATTGCGAGTACACCACAATGTTGTTTGAAGCAAAGTAGCAGAGGGCTCTTTTTCTTCATCGGAATGGTTGCAGCTCAGCTCTTTTTCTTCAGTTTGGCATACATCTCCTGAATGACCGGGGCAAACTTCTCGGTGACATCCTTGCGACGCACCTTGAGCGTTGGCGTGACCAGGCCAGGGGTGTCTCGGAACGGCGTCGGGCTGAGGAAGATGGCGTGCGGCATCTCCTGGCTGCTGAGGCCGTGCGCGCTGCAGTGCTCCTTAATGCTGCGCATGATCACCTGGTGAACGACGGTGTTCTGGCAGAGATCGACCAGGTCCATGTTGCTGAACGCCTCGCTGTGCTTGTACCCCATGCCCGTCGTCAGCCAGGTCTTCAGACCCTTTTCGGACGGCACCACGATAGCCACGCACATTGCGCGCGACGACGAGCCGTAGATGAAGATGTCCGTGATGTAGGGCACTTCCTGCAGGATGGCTTCGATCTTCTCCGGTGCTATGCTGACGCCGTTTGTCAGCCGGAAGACGTTGCCGATACGATCAACGATCTCCAGGGTGCCGTTGGGACGCCATCGGCCGATGTCACCGGAGTGATGCCAGCCGTTCTCATCACGCACACCGTCGTAGTGAGGTCCGTCCTTCTGCCATAATCCCATGCACACACTCGGACCCTTGATGCACACCTCCCCTTTGCCGTAGAAGGCGTCGTAGCCCATGTCGGGTACAGACGTGAGCTTGATGTGTGTGCAGAGCATGGGCCTGCCCACATGGCCGTGGGATGTATCTGCAGCCAGGGAAAGCGTGCCCGCCGATGCAGTCTCGGTTTTGCCGTACGCTTCGATGACGTCACACGCCATGAACACACGCAGCAGCTGAGCGGTCTTGGCCGACAAGGCGGCCGAACCTACAACAATGACCTCGATGCGTCCGCCCATTCTTTCACGTATGGGTCGCAGCAAGAGCCAGTCGACTAGCGTTCCCTTTGAGCTGTAGCCCTGCTTGACGTACCCCAGCTGCCAGCGCACTGCCCAATTCAGGAGCATTGCAATCGGCTGCCATCGCCTGCCAATGGTACCGTGGATGCTGTCGACCATACCGTGCAGAACAGACGGCACTGTCACGATGGTGGTAGGGCGTAGCTGCTGCATGGACAGAAGCAGGTCCTTCATAGTCGACTTGCCTGCGTAGTACCCGATGCTGCCGCCTAGCTCCATAGCGTACAGCACCACGACCCTTGGCATGATGTGCGCTACGCCGCCGAAGAACATGAGCACTGGCGGCTGGATGGCGTAGGAGCTGAGAGGCTTGCCGACGATGTCTGCACTGGCCGTGGCGATAAGGTTGCGATGGCTGAGCAGGACCCCTTTGGGCATGGAGCCCTTTCCGCTGGTGTAAGATATGGACGCAATGTCGTCTGGTGTGGCGGGGGACACAGCGCACGGGTTCTTCTTGCCAGCCTCCTCAACTTCATGCAATAGTCGAATATCAATCTGCAGCTCTCGGGCCTCCTCAAGTGTTTCTTGTGGTAACGAATCAAAGGAGACAATCGTGGTGGTGCCTATTGATTTATCTTTGCATATTTGCAGGAGAGCTGCAATCTTATCACCGCTGGACAGTATGAGCATTGGCTGTACTTCATCTAGAATGTGCTCCAGGACACGATGCGACGCTTTGTACATTATCGGCACGGTGATCATGTTGAGACGAAACGCTGCATACTCGCTGATCGTCGTGATTGGCCGTGTCGACCCCAGTATGGCAATGCGCTGCTTTTCCTTGCATCCCAGCTCAGCCAGACCAGCACTGATAGTCTTGACTCTGTCGCCCACTTCTCTATAGGTCAGCCAATCGTAGCATTCTGTACAACACATACACACACATCAAAGATCATAGTAAAACAACGAAAATAAAGGACAGGTGGGTACAGAGACAACAGCATGTCTGCACATTGGGCGCTTTCGATTACGCATTCTGGATCCAGGTTTTATAAATCTCGAATGAACAGAATGAACGGATTGCGGCTAATATACGAACGGCTACACGTAAAAATTGTAAAAGGAGATCACTTGGGATCATGTACGATCCCGTAAACCCTCGCACGCATGTGGACATAGCATGGCGTGTACGTCAAGTGCGTCAATTCTGGCGGGGGAATTAGCAATTCCGCCCTCTCTTCAGAATTGCCTTCGGTCGATTCTGATGACGAAATTTGTGTAATCGAACAGAGCATCCACAACTAATTTTAGAACTGACCGAATTGTGTGTTATAAAACGTGCCCAATGACCAATGCTAAATCCGGTCGGAATACTCAAAACCCGGCCGAAACTAATGGTCCATCTTTTGGAGAAATAGACACCAAAAACAGAATTGGAAGAGCATTCCATACTGCATGGCAAAAATTATTTCTTGGAAAAGATCAACCGTTGACCCATTCATGGCCAAAAGCAAGATTATCATCTTCTTCTGAATAGACTGTAGTGTAGTGTGCTACGCTACTTGTACATGTACGTGCCACTAGCTGTACTTGTGATTAGACTGCACACAAGTTTGTGCTACATGCTGATCTACGTGCTGATCTACGTGCAGTGATCTACATGCTGATCTACGCGCAGTGATCTACGTGCTGATCTACGTGCAGTGATCTACGCGCAGTGATCTACGTGCTGATCTACGTGCAGTGATCTACGTGCTATTCTACGTGCTGATCTACGTGCTGATCTACGTGCAGTGATCTACGTGCAGTGATCTACGTGCAGTGATCTACGTGCAGTGATCTACGTGCAGTGATCTACGTGCAGTGATCTACGCGCAGTGATCTACGTGCTGATCTACGTTCTGATCTACTTGCTGATTTTGTCCAAATCACGCTTGAAAATAGGTCGCCTTTGAAAGTTCACCCACAGGTGCTCATCGTCGCCGAACAATAATATTTGATGCCTGGCCAGCTATAGGATTGGCACTGGCTTGTACCAATGGGAGTTCGCCATATCAGTGTTCGTCCTAAAGAGGTTTGACTACAGACTACAGTGCTAATAATAATAATATCTTTATTAGGATGGCTCATAATGATGCCATGGCGGTGAGTCAGCGGAACCACTTATGGGCGATATGTATGCAGCGCGAGTCGCTAGTGCAGCGCTGTGCCGCGACTTTGTTGCCAAAGCCTCTCAACTGATGATGCACTCACATAACCTATACTTGGCATTCACTGGCTGGCGTTCATAAGCAAATCCGCTGACTCACCGCCATGACATCATCTCGATTCATTTGCATAGCCTCTGGGCAGTCTGGGGCTCTGTGTTTACTTGAACAAGTTGAAGTGGTTGACTGATGCCGTGATGGTATGTATCATGCGTTGGCATGCTTCCATACTTCCATTGCCAGTCTTTCACTCACAAATTTAAAGTTTTTTTAGTATTCGTCTAACGTTTACCAGGTTACCTTCTCCGTTCGGACATTTTTGCTGGCCAAGCATCCGCTTATCCCCATTTGTGCGAACAGCCCGCTCGAACCAGCTAAACACTGTCCTGGCATCCTCGTGCAAATACTCCAGGAACTGCCTTCCGCCAACACGTCTCCGCCTGCTGCTGTCGCTCTGTGACTGCCTGCTAGCGTGCCCCGGTGCTGCTGCTGCACCGTCCGTAACCGGGTCACGGTCTTGGTGAGGCGTTTCCGTCTCGACCTGGTCTACATCGATGGTTGTTGGTGCCGCTGCTCGCGCTGGATTGTCATCAGGATCAGGGGCATCAGGCGTAGCTTTACCCGTTAGCACCACGCTTTGCTTGTCCAGCGGGATGCCTGCAGCGACAAGCTTCCTGGGCCGCCAGCGGCGAATGAATGACATAAACGCCACCACTAGGATGGCCAGAGCGGTGTAAGAAACTGTGGGAAACTCCATTGCAAGCAGCAAAGCCGTCTTCTGCGTGCCAATGCACGACGAATTCTGCGCTGCACTCGCACTGTACTACAACCACTAGGCACTAGGCCTGCCCGCCTTCAAAAATTCTAGCAAAACTACTGCATTCTGCACGCCGAATCCGTGGAAACAAAAATACATACTTCTCGCTAGAAGATATCAGTGCCAAAGAAACGTATTTCTCCGGAGATGTAGATCTACAACACAGTACTACTACTATTGTACTACTGGCGGGCACTCCGTTGCAGCCAGTGATACAATAATATCTAAATATTTCTGTTTCAGTAGATAGCAAAATGAAATTCTACCCAAGGAGTCGCCAAAATTATTTTTATACTACAGACAGTCTAGTATTTGACGACGTCCGGGTCCTGATACTACCGAGTACCGGTACCCTACTGTAGGCGCTAGGCAGTGTAGGCCTTTAGGGCCATAGCCTAGGGCCGAGCCTAGCCCATCATGTCATTGTGTCATCGACACAGCTAACGAGTTACATAACGTCGTTACGTATTACGTGTACAATTATGTACTTACAGTCATAACAATACAATCTTCACTGATAGAAACTGAACAGACTACAAAATGTACAATCATAATACTAGTAATCAGGTCTACAGTACTCAGTGGATCCACGTGGCTGTTGTTGTGTTGAAGAGTGTTTGTTGACACTTGATCAAGTGTAACGACGTTCCGTTGATGGTTAGTGTAGGTGACGTGTGTGTCTTCAAAGCGATCTCATCATCAGCTCTTCGCGGCCAAGTACTTGTAAGTACTGATACTGATAACTTACTTGCCAGTCTTGGCTAGAACTCAGTGACTACAGACAGTCATACATACGTAGTCTAGTCCACAGTACTTTGTAGTAACCAGGTAACGTGGGTGTGTAAATGACATTGCACCCGGCTGTACAGAATGTCTAAAGTATATTTTTATAGTGTAAAAAGGCGACGTGGAGACAATAATCTTAATAATAATGCAATGAATATAACTAAATGCGCACTCATATCACAACCATGGGGACGAATCATGTATTCCAGAACGTTTTCTTGTCACAATTATCAATGGAATTCGTCACTAAAGAGAATGATGAAACTACAATAGGATCATTATACACTTGCAGTGGAACAGCGAGGATACAAGCATAGTAAGAAAAATAGCACAAACCTAGGAACAATTTGCACAGGTAATAAACTATAGGTGAGGTGAGAAATGATAGGAAATTCAGCAAGTGCAGTGTGACAATGGACATGCATGTGCAAGTGTGTGTGAGTGCGAATTTACTGGAATAGCGTAAGTGAGGTGACATTTTCTTTTTGTTTACAAAGATGTGGATCACGAATGCGAATGTAGACTGCTTCTAGAACTTTCAACTGCTTGAAACTACTTGCAGAACGAACAACACTGAACCAAGAATCATCATAACTTTCACGACACACGGGGTTAGACAACAAATGCATTTTTATAGTGTATTAAAATTTTTGTCTCCTCTCCGTCCCAGACACACTTGGTTGTGATTGCATCATGGATTCATGATACATCAATAAGTAACATCATACTATCAAAAGTATCTCTGTCACCAGCACATCCTATAATATAATAGGAATTGGTTTCTGGCTAAAGAATTTCGCTAAACAACCTATGCAAAATGATGAAAATGGGTTTCATGAGGTGTTAGGAACTGTTTCCATACACTTCCGTACGAATAATCCAAATTTCAAGCCGATCGGCCAATTTTCCGGGTGAAACTTCCGCTGTAGTACGGTTCCTCAACCAATCAGACATCTATTCATGATCATCATCTGCATCCGGCATTACAACCCTCTGGATAATGCAGAACACTCAAATCCTATGTACAATAAAAAAAAAGAGAGGAATCAAAGGCGTTTCTGCTGTATGTATGTAATAGTGTATGTATAGTCCATAGCCATTCTGGCCGTAGGGGCGCCATGTGTGTCATAAGGCAGCAGCATCAAACAACTAGCTACACTGGTAAACAAGCCGCAGTGCCTATACCTGTCACGATCAGTAGCAACGAAAGAGAGAGAGAGAGAGACAGAGAGAGAGAGAGAGAGAGAGAGAGAGAGAGAGAGAGAGAGAGAGAGAGAGAGAGAGAGAGAGAGAGAGAGAGAATTGTAAGATTCATTGGTCCAGTCTTTGATGTTGGTGAACCAATTGTAAGCCCGGAATTATTTTTCTCATGTAAACGGCCCCTAAGACACTTTTTAGAGTGGCTTCACAATCTTTTTGCCATGTGACTATATTTGTGTAGATACTAGTACTAGAAAGTGATCACGGTATGTACATGTGTCAGTGCAACCAATATGGCCGACATCATGCCTGAGACCCATAGGCATAGATGCCCCTGCATGGAGTTGGAGCCAGCAATATGGCTAGCCTGGCCTGTATTTAGGCTGTAGGGCTGTATGGCCATGTGATAGACGTGCAACAGATCTATTAATGGTTACGGATCGCAGTCAGTGTGTCATGTCGTGGCTCTGTGCCACTGCACAGTGTTGTGATTGCATCATGGATGGTATGCATTTGGGTAGCCCGACTGTCACCGCCCCACCACCACGCTGCGCGATGTCGCACTACAATTATTATGAATAGAAACGTATTAATTTTTTTTAATTGTTATCTCAGTTTATCAAAAGTTCTACTGCTGCTCAAAGAGCGCAAATTGTACTAGAATTAAATAATTCTGCAAGAATAGATAACGGCGCAACGAGGTTATACTCATACGAGAAAGCTTTTTAAAATAGAAAAGAGCAACTCCATCAGCTGATTGCCATCATGCAATGATGAGTATTGGCATTGTCTTGACTCCTTGCGTAGCCTCCTGGCGGAGAGGCCAGCAATCAAGCGCAAGGAGAAGGGTTAGGCTGAGGTCACATACACACGGGGGAGGGAGGGGGGGGGGGGCAGAAATAGAGATTTCAGGAAACTGTACACACTTTACAACAGTGGTGTCAACAAACTGTGGTGTGGTGCCAGTTCCTAAAATTGAGACTCAAGCATCAGTTCAACCGGTGCAGATCAAAGAGAGAATTTGTGTGAAGACGATATCTGCATAGTGATGATGGAGATAACGATCTTGTGAACAGATTGAATGAGGGTTGAGTTGCAGCAAGTGATCAGAGTACGGATGTTTGTGGCACAATAGTACCCGGTAATCAATGTTCAAATGAGGAGAGTGCAGTTGCATCAATTTGCTCAGAACCTGTATACTGAGAAGATACCTTCCCGGGGCAGTAGCTGGTGGCATTTAGCACAATCCCGCCGGCTGGGACTGGGACTGGTCAGCTACTGCTTCGAGAGGCGTGACAGATGCATGCGGATCGGGGCTGGGTCCAGAGAGACCTAGTTACTCAATCCATTTTGCTACTTGATCCAGCACCATGACCCACCTCAGTTGTCCTTCACTCGCGGCGTCAAATCGACTAGGCTGTTCATCCTGCGGAACCAGCTATGCATTCGTCTGACTCATTGCCAGTGACCAGAGGGCAGTGGTCATCGCAGGGGATTTTTCAGAATGCTAATAGCGAATCATCACTGTCAGACAGACATTGTATAACTTCTTTGAAAGATGGCCGATTCTTCTGCTCTGCTTGCCTGCGGGAAAAAAACAACAGATCAACTTATCCACTGTGGCCAGGGTGTGATGTACTGCTATCACACTACATGTATAATTATGCAGATCATGAATCATGTACCATGCTATGGGAGCTCCAGATCCGTCAAGCATTGCTACGATCTATGACTCTATGTGAGGCCATCCAGGAATATTTGTGAATTGGTTGGTGCCCCCCCCCCCCCCACACATGCACACCTTGACTGAGGAGGCACGGCAAGAGTGGGTACTGGCCCGGGTACTTTGGACACACACACGCGCACGCACGCACACACACACACACACACGCACACACACACACACACACACGCACACGCACACGCACACACACACACACACAGACGGTGCCACTGTACATACCAGCATTGTAGCATCAGGTAGTAGACAGTGTGTGGACATTTGCGTGGTGATGGTAGCCGATAGCCACCCTTGACCTGTTTGAATACCTGTGTTGGTTAGAACACAATGCAAGCACGCAACCAAGATACTCAGCAGTCAGTCAAGAATACAACATGATGCTATTTGATTGCAAACTTTTAATATTTATCACTATAGTGTTGGTCGGGCCAGCGATAGCAAAGTCAGGAAGTGTCACCATACTAGCTTATACCGGTAAACAGCACAAACACGTCTGTTCTATTGCAGCCTGCCTATTGTCTCTTTCTCTCTCTCTCTCTCATTGCTTCGGCCACAATCAAGGATATGGTGTGAGTGTTGTTGCTGACTTCACTAGTTGCTTCCTCACCGTACCAAGGGTTCTCACAGACAGAAGACTGGATATGGATGCATGCTTTGAATATTGCCTGTGATCCACATTACATCATCCACTACTTCTCTGTGGCCCGCATTACATCATCCACTACTTCCCCCGCGAACCACATTACATCATCCACTACTTCTCTGTGACCCACATTACATCATGCACTACTAAAGCCCTACCTCCTCGTTGGCCCAGGCACCGTACGGCTTCTCTCCGAGTGACCAGATTTCGTAGAGAGTGACACCGTAGCTCCAGCAATCGCTTGCACTTGTAAACTGAATGAACTCGATTGCCTGCAGTGATGTCAAGGGGCACACCGACACATAGACAGACAGACACCATTGACCATTTGACGCCCATCGCCGGAGGCGATGATAGCGATGCTACACAGAAGCCATAGCAGCTTGTGCTGGGATTGCACCATTCAACAGCTTGCAAGGCTGAAGAATTGACCGCAACTATTCAGCCTGGTCTACACCACACAGCTATGACATGGCTTTTTCTGGCCAGTGAATCCCTTCTTTTTGGTCTTTTTCATATATTTTCATATATTTTTTCCGCACACACATCACACCACATACTCCGGCATGCACTGGCTGTTGGTAACCACCCAGGAGAATGAAAGAAAAGTCAGGAGGAGACTGAGAAAGAGAAGAAAGACGTGTGTGACCATAATCGTCGGGAATCGAACCCGCAACCTCTCGATTGGAAATCGCTGCACATACCACTGCACCATATGGGACACACACACACATACACATACACATACACACACGTTTCATCGACTCGGAATGCATTCCATGTCAAATGTTCAAGGAACAGCATGAATAGCATGTGACGTTTGACTCTGGCTACCTGAAATCTTCACCAAATTTATAGCTGAGCTTGCAAGAGCACAATAATCACGATGGGCGGTCACAACTTGTCCACTCGACATGGTGGGTGTTGATGGGGGAGGAAGAGCCGGAAGCAAATAACGGCATTCTACTTTCCAGAAATTGCTCATGCAATTGTCATAACAACTGCAGCGGAGGACATACCTCTGGGGCTGTCCATTTGATTGGGAAGACACGTTCATTGCCGGATACGTAGATCTGATCCGCGGAGATGTCCCTGGCCATGCCAAAGTCACCAATCTTGCACACAGAGTTCGGGTCCAGCATCACATTGCGTGCCGCCAGGTCCTGCAAGTTTCAGGTAAGCAAATTCCCACCGGCACAACCATGAATAAATGCGGAGGATGATAGCCAAAAGACATACAGTCAACTTCGCTAATAACGACTGCGGATATAACGACAATTTGCGAATAACGACAGAATTTCCATGCCCAGAGCAAAGTCCCATCCAACTGTAATACATAATGAGACTTCGGGTATAACGACACTTCGCGAATAAGGACACTTTTCTGATGCCCCGCCGAGTGTCGTTATAAGCGAAGTTGACTGTAGCTTGAATGATCATAATATCTGCACTGTACTTGCAAACATGTGCAAACCTTGCCACACCAGTCAACCTTACATATTATGAATTTATGATGACTTCGGGTATAAGAACAAACCGTTAATAATGGCACAATCTAGGAGACCAAACTGCCTACTCTGAGATCACATGCGTTCAATCAGGGATACTGTAGTGGCAGTACTTCATGCATACCAGTACCGTTGTACTTCTTCTGGCATCCTGCCACATATGGCTAACTTACTCTCAAGTAGTGTGTTTAAAATGTATGCTCACAGATTTTTCTATTAGATCTATTAGAACAGCCGAAAACGAATAGCATGCCCTGCCCCTGCATTCCATGTTAATTCCCGGCGCTTTCATGCTTACTTCAAGTCTTGTCAGACATTGATGCACACACATTTGAACAGCTTGCTGCATCTAACAATAGCTAGTCATCATCAGAGTCCTGTTCATTGCGGACTTACCCGGTGTACAAATAACCGGCTTTCCAGGTACTCCATGCCAAACGCTATCTGTCTACACAAGGACAGGAGGTGACCCTGCAACTTCTTGTTATATTGACTGGACAGCACAAGCAAAACAAATATTCCAAAGACAGGCAGATTGTCAGGGTAGTATAGGCCAATGACTTACACAGCGTGCACATGTTTACTAGGCAGTGAATATGAAATTACAGGTCAACAATTTGAATGAAAACTTAAATCCAATGCAAGCTGTCAGGATCCATTCGATACTGCTCACAACAGCATCAGCTACAAGATCACAAGAAACATACATAAGTATTATATTGGCAGGGATCTTTCACGGTGATACACAACTTACCTTTCTCGTAACGATTGTAAATGTTGCTGAAGATTACACGTCATCAATTCTAGAACGAGCATCATCTATACACATGGAAGATACGAGCAAAATTAACCTTATATTTAAAAGTAACAAATGCATTCAAACACCCCATGAATACACTTGCACATGCTACCTGGATGCAGAATTACGCTGCTCATCTAACAGATCATGCAACAGAAATGAGACGAAACCAGGTGGATGTGGGGAATTCCCGTTGTTTGTAAGAGCAACGAGTGCGAAGCCACGGCACTTCACTATCCACAGTGCATTGGGTCACAAACAATATCATTAGCTTGTGCCGGCCTGTAGCTATATTAAAGTTGGAGTTGGAAGAAAACACAATTCATGAATTGTCCCGCACGTCGGCACTCACCGGCTCGCCCTGTACGACTACACCGTACAGTCTGACAATGTGTTGATGATTGAACTGCGCCATTATGGCAGATTCGCGGAGGAAACGTGTCGTCGTCTCCGCAGAAGCACCTGATTTGAGTTTCTTGACGGCAACGTGTCTGACTTCATCACCCTGAAAATGCAACAACGTACAGGTATAGAATCATGGTTTTTTTTGTTTGTTTTCAGGCTACTGATCTCCTATTTAGAGGCTGACATAATGTCTGTGCTTGGCATTTTATTCAAGAGACGCAAACCATAGTCAGACCAGTCAATTAATTATCCACCGCATTCCTGGGCTCAAAGCCACACTGTTGTGTAAGCCCCGCCCTCTTCTCCTGGACGAAAACATGACACTCCAGTTTGTATTTGCTTGAAAATACAATATACCGTGACGCAGAGCCTTGCATAAATCAGGATTTGATATACAGGTACCATCACAGTGTGCTGGAGAGCAGTGAACATGCATTGGATATGTAACATTCCATCAGGAAATTCAAGTTGATTTCTCATTTCTCATGTGTTTCTTCTCTCTTTCACATTTTATCATTTAAGTAATATATGTGTAGAGTCCATCTAGCCCCGATTCTTGCCTACCAAACAGATTGTTTGATTACATGATCATTCGAGTTGTTTCTATGGAATGGCAATACAAACATGAGTTTGTCACTCCATACAAGGCATACGCGATGACATCACTCGCATTACTAGTAATACTAATAGCTAGTACATCGTCTGACGCCATGCTGTTTGTTGCTTACCACATTCCATTCGCCTTTGTAGACGTGGGCAAAGTGGCCCTGCCCAATGCGCTCCTTGAGGTGAATGGTGTCGTGATCCAGCCGCAGGTACTCACGCTCCGCCAGGTGGGAGTATAGGTCTCCGGCGGTGCACGGTGGCTGCACGAACGGCTGAGAATAGTCTGCATTCTCCACGGTCAGGTCCTGTGGACAACGTGCAAACACAGGATGATTTTCTACATACCATGCCGGTTATTAAAACCAGGCTGCTTACACATGTACCTATGGTGCATAATAACTGATTACTATTATTACTACTATTCCGCATGATATCCGCCGGATGAGTACACGTGGCCTATGCAATATAGGCAACCATGGATGCAGACCATCAGGTGTTGCCTCAGTAATACATGCAAGCAAAGAGAATAGCAATATAATTATTCATGAAGTTGAGGGAGTTGAAACGGGAACAGTCGGAAGACATAATCGACTTCAACCAGCAGGACTTGAACCGGGGACCCTCGCTTATGGCCAGTGATGCTCTACCTTGCACTAAGCCTAAGCCCTATGGTGTAGTCAAAAAATTTGAGATACGGTTTTCAAAACAGTGTTGTAGGAGACTTACCAGTCTATGATAGAAGTGGTCCCCTGCAGACTGCGGTGTTCCTGCAAGTGCACCACTACTACCAGCTCCACTACCACTACCACCACCAACAGCAGTAGCAGCCGTACCATTACCCCTGCCGAGTGGTAGAGTCTCGCCCGAGTGCTGCACAAGATAGTATTTTTTTCCCAGAGCACATGAACAAGATAGCCAACAGCGACTCAGTCCAGCAAAATGGCACCACTGTGAAGACACTAGCAGTGGATTTTTGCATTTTTTCAGATGATGATACCCGCGTACCCACCACGCGGAGCTACCATCAGAGACAACAGAACACATGGCAACACCTTTGCCTGCACGGAATCAGTTGCTGTAGCAAGGCGACGGGCAGCCCATGATGCAAGGTGAGATACACTCGGAAATAGCAATTCAGTACAGGACATGTACCGTGTATCCTGTTGTAAATGACAAAGGACATGCACGTCGCAGTAACCTACGCCGGAGAAACTTCTGATTCTCCGGAAATTCTAATTATCCAAACATGTACACATATGTACACATGACACAATAACTATGTACGTGAAAATGATCACATTCTCACACAGAGTCACTAAATGCACCAAGACCCGGCTTTCAGGGTACTCAAGTTCGAATTGTCAGACACTGTTATCATTGGGAATCATATTCGCTGAAGCCGTATTGAAAAAAACTCGGATGTTGAGCCAATAGTAAAATCAATATGAAAGAGAAAAGGACCTATAAGTTACTAGTTATGACTAACAGTCCACCAAGGTATTGAGATAATATACAGTCAGACAGTGCGATGTGTGGGAAGTAGGGAACTAGGTGTCAGGTCGTCGAATGTCTCAATATCCTTGTCAGTTGTGTGCCTTGTTGTCGCACTATCTGACTGTATATTATCTCGTTACCTTGGTGGACGGTTAGTCATAACTAGTAACTTATAGGCGGTCCATATTGAAATGCTCAGGTACTAGGACTAGGTCAGTTCAGTTGAAGATAGCTCACCTGGCTGACAGGATTGGAATTCTCATAGCCTGCTGAGCGATGGATCTACAGAGCAAAGACAAAAGCCATCAACCATAGCCGACTGCAGACAATACAATGTCCATGCACAACACAGACCATCATGTGCGTTATTCCTACTACTCCAAGTACTGCATATTCAATCATACAAAATACATCAGTTTGTGTAACCATCGGAATCATGCCAGGTCAGGCGCGTAGCACCGCCGTTGGAGGTGGTCCGGTTGGAGGGGGGTTTGGGGGTGTCCCCCGGGAAAATTTTGAAATTAGGGTGCAAAATCCTGCATTCCGGACACTTCTGGGCGAAAAAGTGGTCCGGCCCAAGCTAAACTGGCCGGACCGGCTGCTACGCCCCTGCAGGTACTAGTAACGGAACACTGAGGTGTATAACTCCAGCCACTGTAGACACAATGTTCTTCATACATGCACATACCCCCGGGACCCCTTGCACACCTAGAAGAGGTCTGAACATACAGTACGGACTAAGAACTGACCTGTGCCTTGCCATTATTATTGGCAAGTGATGTATTCTCATATGGTTTGCGCTTTTGCTGCTGCTGCTCGCCGACCGGGTTCTCCTATGAACAGGTACACATGTGTAGTACGGTAATACAATCAGCTACCAAACTACCAGCATAGTCAGAAGCCGCATTTAACCAAAGTCAAATCTAACCAATACTATAATATCTCTCAGTACTTGCGTCATCTGCCTCCACCATGCATCACTCTGCCTCCACCATGCATCATCTGCCTCCACCATGCATCACTCTGCCTCCACCATGCATCATTTGCCTCCACGATGCGTCATCTGCCTCCACCATGCATCATCTGCCTCCACCATGCATCACTCTGCCTCCACCATGCATCACTCTGCCTCCACCATGCATCACGCATAGCAGATTTAGGCGCACGATGAGCAAATAAGGAGTTGATTAGATTATTCTCGCGATTCGCGACAACTCTGCCTCCACCATGCATCACTCTGCTCTCTATTTACCAATGGATAATGCGTCCACGTCGTAGCAATGGCACTTGATATTCGAGCCACGTCTTGACTTCCCCGGCTTCTGGCATTCTATTTCTAAAGTTGCCCGTATTCATTCCAGCACCTTTCTAGAAGCTTTCTCATATTCTAAGCACCAACGGGCAGCATGATCGTCACCATTATAACCCTCATCACCATACATGCATAGTCATACATACATAGTCATACATGCATGTATGCACTCATCACCATACACGCATCATCATGCATGCACTCATCACCATACACGCATCACCATGCATGCACTCATCACCATACACGCATCACCATGCATGTATCACCTCGGCTCACCTCTATCGTTTGCCGGACTTGCAGGGTGTTGTTTTCATAGGAGTGTGGCTGGAGAACATCGTTCTGTGCAGGACGCAGTCCACAGGCGAGCATGCGAAGAACATGAACAAAAGGATATAAAATCAATGTTGACAACAACGCCTCTTGAATTCTTTTTTTCCACCGTGGCCACCTCCTCGTGGGACTTGAATGCAATGTTCACATTTCAGCTTTTGCCACTCTGCAAATTGTTTTCGCAAGTTTGAGTCAGTCGGATTAGCTATATACTTTAAGACCAACGCTTACCGAAGATGTCTTTCCAGACAATGCATCGCTGCTCTGTCGTGATACACGCTGTAGAACAGGGATTGTCTCTGTACGTGCAGTACACAAAATCAAAGGGGATCACAGAATAAAAATAAGGACATGTGTGGCTTATTTCGTTTGTGTATAACCACTATGTAGTATTGTTTATTTCTTCAGTCCAAAACGACAAGAGTCCAGACTCCACTCATGCACCACAACTAAAAGCCGCGAGGTCCGTTTCCCGCGCGCGTGCGGGAAACGGCACATGCTACATGCACGATAACATATCACGATGTACTACTACTACATGCATCATGAATGTCTGGAGTGGCCAAGGAATGCCACAGCGCGTAGGTACACGTGAACACTACACACTAAAAGGTGCTTAACAAACTAAGGATAATTCGTCCGTATGACTTATATTGAAGAGACAAACTGTGACAGAAATTTCAGGAAAACCCCTCTCGCCTACCCCCTAGCATCAATTCTGTCAGTAACATAGGCTCACCTTCATATCCTGGGTTGTTCATGCTGGCCTGGAACGGGCGACGTAGACCGGCATCTGAGTTGCTACTTCCATTGGAGGATGGCGTCGCCTGCTGCTTCTTGCAGCAGAACACAGCAATGACGGTGACCAGGATGAACGCCACGCAGCCCATGGGTATCATGACGGCCTTGATGTGCCTGCTGTCGTAGTCGGGCTTGCTCTGATCTTTCTCCTTCAGCGATGTGTCCTCCCTCGTACTGCTTACTATGTTGTCCTGCATGTACGTTGTCTGCTGCGGGCTATCCAGTGTTGGAGTGATCAGGTCCCAGGGAGAGCCATCCCTCTTTCCACCTGGGCCCTCTGTAGCAAAGGCGTCTGCAGTAACTGTCGAAAATGGTTCGTTAGGATCACCAAGTGAATTCGCTGAAAGGTGAGCAGCACGCAGATACACATGCATGCACACACACACACACACACACACACACACACACGCACGCGCGCGCAAACACACATGCACACACACACACGTACATACAAACAAACATACGCATACACACAAATACATACAAACACACACACACACACACACAAACACACATACAGACACACACAAACACAAACATAGACACAGACGCAAACACACATAGCACCTCATATCAGTACAGTACATTGGTGCTGTTACCAACGCCTAGTGATGCATGATCTTGCGGACGATGGATGCCTGATACTCGGCTACATCTTTTCCTCCATGTGCAGGGTGGATATCCCAAACAACACCAGAGTCAAAGCCATGCACAACAAGACGTCTATCGACTATTGCATAACGGCACAAATGGAACTGGCAGTTATGCAACAATAGAAATATAAGAGCGTGCATGTCTTGGCAGAAAATTTAAGGATTTTTGCGAAACACAGTACTGAATTCCCTGGATTTTTGGATGCAGGCCAAGGTGTGTCGTGGATTATTTTCTATTGCTGGGACAGTTGCAACACAGCTAATACAACTTGTGCCATCAGATTTCCCGTTACTCAACTACATGTACAAGATGACGCAGAAAGCCAAAGCTCCAAATTTGGTCCACACCGTGTTTGCTAAATCACCCTCCATTTCAAGCAGGAGCCCCCCCCCCCCCCTCACTCACTCTCATTGTCTCAGGTCATCTGTGATCTGTGCAAGTTTCATAACTGCAGGACTTACCTGGACAGCAATGCACGGAGAACCCCTCGACAGTGATAGCCACATTGGGATGCTGTGCCGACGCATTGATCAACAACTGGAATGGCCCGGTCGTGGCGAGCGAGAAGAACTGCTGGCGATGACGCGAGCGAAACGAAACTCCGCTAAAGCGCGAGTACCAGAGGACTTCATTCAGTCCGTACACAGAGAGTTCCAGGCGGCCGGGATTGCGAGGCAGCGCTAAGTTGCTCCGTTTCCGCGGCCACTGGATGGGCTGGGACTGGAATTGCACCACACACTGTGCGGGTCGCGACGCATGCCACCAGTAGAGCGGTGATACCATGGACGCATGCTCACCCGCAGGGCTACTGAACTGCAGCAGACCTGAAGCAAGAGCGTGGCACAGTCACACAGTGGAAACAGTACAGAAATCAGGCACTGCCCGCATTCTCTGTAGCATGTGCACAATGGAGTACTCAGACCAATAGGAGTTGCCATGAACTCATTTATGGCAACCATCCTCTCCAGCATTAGATGATGCTCTCTTAGGTGAAGATGATCAGTTCTACCCTGCAGCATCTTTTCAACTTTTCATTACCTTGCAAATGGTTCCGCTCCCAGGATACCTCCGGTGATGACCGTACTTTGGAAAGGCTCTTGAAGCCAGCCATCCCGCAATGGAAGTCCGGTGATGGATAGTAAATGCAGCCTGCGAATCACACAGCATGGCAGACATACAGCCGGAGAGATACATTTTAGTATTGCAAACATCTGGAATTCTCTTCATCAAGGCACTTTCGGATATTGCGTGTCTGGATGAGTAAGAACAACCCTCAATCTACATTCAGCTGCCTCTCAGTGCAAGCTATCAAGAAGGCAAAAAGGAAAGTCACATACTAGCAAACCACCAGTACCTAACAACTATATTTTAACGGAAATACATGTAACAGTTTTGCTCTCCTTAGGATTGCTTGTACTGAATATCTTCCCATGTTCTATGGCACCACTGCCTTTCAGCACTACCAGTGCCAGCAGTCCTTGTACCGTTCAGCTTGGTGTGGTGGAATGTCATGCATATTATTATGCAGCATCCGAGGCTGTCAGTGTTGGTTAGTGTGCTAAGCACCAATAGCTAACATGTCAGCCATCTTTAGGCATTGTTGGCACCTGTCACAGCAGGTACGTTGTACCATGTTCCAGCCTAAAGCCCTGCTTCTTCCATCCCATCATGCCGACTAGCCGTGCAGTCGCAGTACATGTGGTGGTCAGTAAACAGTGTGTCCGATGAATACATGTACTCTGATGAGTATGTGCAAGGCCATTCTGCAAGTGAAGAACCTACCTTCAGCTGCTCGCTGCTTTCAAATGTTCTACACAAGCTATCCCTGTACTACGTCCACGCAGTGAATGTTACAACTTCATAAGTCTACATTAAACTGCATTTACCACTGCATGTAAAATGTATAAGCACCGAGGGACGCCCAGCAATGTCCCTGGATGAATGCACACTGCGCGTCCCAACAATTAATACCTAAAATGCCAATAAGAGTCAAGAATCTGTCTTCCAAAAAAGTGTCATGATCTAACTAAAGCACAAGTTTTGAATTATTTTGTGCTGCCTTTTTTTTAAAGAGCTATCGAACAGAAGGATATGTATATGGTATTTGTCGGGGAGCCCCTCTAAACATGCTGCCCAGCAATTCAGGCTGGCGTCTTGTGACCATGCGGTAGCCATAATACCATGAATTGCGTCACACCTACCCGACACATCCCGGCAACATTGAATGGCTATGTTCGCTAGGCTTGCGTTGAGAGACGTCGACGCCTTGAGCGGTGAGACATTGAAAAAGACCTGAAGAACGAATAAGAAGCAACCACGGCGGATCAGACGCATGTCAATATGACAACTAGCAGATACTAGTAGCCCGAGCAGCAGAGAGATGAGGTGATGAGCAGGTAGGTAGACTGCAGCTTGATGATTGACATTCCATTAGAAGGTCCCAATTAGTAAGCAAGACCTGGGAACACCAGTTGCAGGTCAATGGTGCATCCTGATCCATTATAGTACTTCTTTCCAGGCACACAATCCTAAGGGTTTTCCTGTAATGAGTGCATTGCAGAGCACCATCACATTTAACCATTTCTTCACGGTGTCACACAGACACCACACGGCAACAATACAGTGAAGTTTCCGCACGGCACGGCACGGCACGGCACGGCACGGCACGGCGTGAAGTAACTTACTCGTAATCTTCCTGTGTAGTGTAGGCGGAAGTGAACTGTTCTCCAGGCTGGATGCTCAACCGTCTCACACCACATCTCCATGAACTTGCCACCGACTAGCTGCTTCACGGACATGTGTCCACCAGAAACCTTGTAGCTGAATGACGCTGAGCATGTGGTGTGCTGCGAATCAGCGCGGATCGGCGTGGACACCAGGGTGGCATAATCGCTTGGCCTCAGCCTGGTACCTTGCAGCTCCAGCGAGAGCTCTGGGATGCCGGATGATTTTGCTGTACAGCCAATGACGCAAGACAAACGAACAATGCTGTAGAGTCATGCTTCACCATGGAGCTGATATAGATGCAGGAAGAGAGAGAGAGAGAGAGAGAGAGAGAGAGAGAGAGAGAGAGGGAGAGAGAGAGAGAGAGAGAGAGAGAGAGAGAGAGAGAGAGAGAGAGAGAGAGAGAGAGAGAGAGAGAGAGAGAGAGAGAGAGAGAGAGAGAGAGAGGAGAGAGAGAAGGAGGGAGGGAGAGAGAGAGAGAGAATCAGATCACTTTGGTGCACTTCACTTACCAACTCTTCTTGTTGTCAGTTTCCAGTGAAACTCTCGGTGTGATGAAAGATTGAAGAAGCCATTCAGGTTGCCCTTCTCGGGCGTAACCGCAGCGACACAGTCTGAACATTCAAAACAGGAGAGTGATTTGCATAAATTGGAAGTTTTGCCAAAAATATAATTATGGTGATCAATCTCTGCCATGGAAATATTGTATAGCCATCTTTAATGCATTCCTTTCCTACGCCGTACTAGCAAAGTTCCATGCAGAAACCTTGCAGACCACTAGGCAGTTTCCGTTGCACTACGACACGTATATCTCACGTGCCATGTTGTTTTCTCGCTCGAATAGCTTTCAGAAATGGTAGCGGATCAGTTCAACCTACCATCACATTGTACACCCTCAAGCCTGAATGATACTTCTACACAAGTTTGCAACGAAACAATGCTAACATTTGTTGCTTGTCTGGGGTTTCATGGCTATTATTCCAATCATCAGACACCAAATGAATGATATTTCTATATTATCTGGCAGGTACGAGTAATAACAACAACGATTACTTCCTGGCTGCACTGGCAAAGGAAAATATGTCATGTTTTCCAGCTGGTCTACAGTCTACACGCATGTGAACTGTAGTGATGTCATTAGATTGCCGGGTTTTGTATTTGATACTTGGAACAAATCGCACAACCTAGTTATGGGAAAGAATTCTTATGGGAAAGAATTCTAGTGTCATTGACATGATGCAGTGACATCATCGCTGAGCAGCATTATAGCCATGTCTGTATTTGCAAGAAATTTGCTCTTCCCATGCTACTGTTGGCCCTGGCCCAGGGCGACAGGACAACCTTAATTAAGTTGTCCCCGCTGCAAACTAGCAAGCACAGGAGACAGTACATGGCCATATGTCAGAGAGCTCTGACTTTCACTGCTGTGGTAGTCCCTGGTGATTATCACTGTGTGATGTAGGTGACACCAGAACCCAGTGCACTCTACAGCATTATAATAGTACTTGTAGCAATAAATGAGATCACCATGTGACCATGCCGCTTTGCTAGCTCATGCCCATGCCACTTCACTAGCTCCATCAAGATACCAGTTCACCGAACAGTGCACCGCTAGTTTTCAACAGAATATTCAAGTGCATGCACATTATTATCCCAAGTGGTGATGATGCCCTGAAGTTTCCTAAAACATTATGTGTTTCAAGGCTCCAGCCAGTCCAGGTGGTCAAGGACTAATGATCAATGTGCACTTGAACTGGAGCTGCAAACACTCTGCAAGATTCTGTGTAGCTGTCACGAAGGGCCTGGGTTATTTGGCCCACCAAGACACACATCAGTCCCTGTATCATGCTACATGTTTCAAAGAGGGTCACAGAAGAGGCTCTAAAACAAACGATAACCTAGTACCTCTCAACAAAGTCCAAGGCCACTCCAGTCTTGTGATTGCAGAGAAAATGTCTTGCATCAGTGTGAATTGCAGCCTCTTCATTTTAATCAATGCAGTTGTTTAATTTTATCATCGCCCCATACAACTGAGCCAGGCCAGACGGAGGAATCTGTATTGAATCTTTGCCTTCATTGGGGGACCATCACTGAATGAGGAGTGAGTGTGTGGCCTATTTTTAGGACTGCTATTCAAAGTAAAGAGTATCATATTTTACTCGGATGGTGAGCCAATTAAATAATTGTGAAAAGAAGATCTGGTTACGGTGGTGGACAGTTAGTCATAACTCGTAACATTTTGTCCTTCTTTTTTTCACAAGTATCATATTTTGTTCATATTGAATGATCATGTTATGTGTGTGCGTGTGTGTGTGTGTGTGTGTGTGTTTCTCTCAGAACCAATGGAAATGTATCCTGGCAATCTGTTCCGCAATTATTATTTTTCCGAGGGCAGCGGATGTAGAGGCGACAACCTCAGTCTCAGAGTTAGCTGTGTCAGTGCGCGTTCCCAACGAACAGTTACATGTTATCGTAGTGCATGAAAAATAAACCATTAATTTTAGACGCAACAGCCATGCGATCGCAGTGCACTGTCCCTTCGTTGTGCAGCGCACCTTTCGCTTCAACGGGAGGCCTGGCCTCTCTACCGCGCGTACCGAGCTAGTAAGACCTAGTCAAGATGAAACGGACTCGAACTAATAAGCCACAGAGAAATAGCTAAAAATGGTACTAGTAGTCATTGTATTGTGGCAAAACAAAGGAACGGAATCACCCGCGGCTAGTCAACTAGCATTGGAACGCACTTGAAAAAGAACAGGAAACAATCGCTGACTGCAAGCGGAAACATTCCATAGGTTTTCCGTCGTGTTTGCGGCCAGTAACAATGTTACCAGCGTGTACGCGACCACTGACTACTGGCATTGCAGTGTGAGTGAGATGTACACGCGCACTTACCAGATGCTACGGTCCCTTGCGCCGTGACGACTAGAAAACTCGCAATCCAAATCCAACAGGAGCTGACAAGAGGTTGCGCTGCATGCCTCTGCTTGCCACAACTCCCCATACTGCAAGTGAAAACAGCGCTAGCTGCATTAGGTAACGATCCACACTGCTTTCTCCACCGCCTCTGTGTTCCTCAGCAATGCAAGTGAGGAAATAACAAGTCACGGTCGCTCTGCACTTTCCACCGATTTTACCACCAGCACCACGGCACTACTAGTACTCAGTAGTGGCGCTGTCTTCGCGCTTCCACAAATCTCAGGTAGTACGAAGTCACATATCTTCAGAGCCCCGCCGTCATAGTCTAGCCATAGAGTGGTCCTTCGCTAGACTGCATCAGCACCGAACCATTAGAGCATGCGGCCAAACCTTCCTGGTTTCTCTTTTCCTCAAATCGTTGAGAGCTCGCTGTTTCAAGCGTTCCAAACCTGCCAAAACGGTTGCGCTCGTGGCACGAACAATGCATGAAGATCTACAGTTGGAGGCTAGAGATCTGATCAGAGCGATAGTTTTGGGAGAACACCAGTGGATGGTGCATGCAGAGCTCTGCGCTGCATATGCATGCAGACCAAGCAAGTCCGTTGACAGCCAGCACGTGCCGTATTTCCGCAGCACAGACAGCGCTAGCGTGACCTCGAACCACACTGTCCTGCCTGCTAATCTGGCACACACTCTGCAGACTCAGTCAACACTGTCAGTACAAATGCGAACGAAGACAGACGGCATAAACACTTGCAAAGGACTATGTCGAGTACGAGTGTGCGTTCAAGGACCTGGGAGAGATGTTCAACCCTGCGAGTCGCTGTCCCATTTGCACCGTGCCCCTCGCACTAGCGTAGCGTAGGTAGCAATGTCGAACTGGGCAAAACAAGCATGTAACGGAAGCGCATTGGCGCGGCTGAAGCAAGCAGGCAAATTTCATTACCAGCTAGGGCATTTTTCAAGGGCCGATACAGCTTCAGATGAAAAGAAGATTGCATACGTTTTGACAGGCTAAATGGGACAGGTGACTCGTTGGCCAAACGGCCCACCGGGACCATTGCATGTCCTTGGCAGTGACGAACCGCGCGTGCTACCGTTGCTCGCCAAGCCGGCATAACGCTATCAGCAAATTTCTCACCCCACTCTGCCGCCCGGTCACCGGGCAATGCACCAGGTCAACCACTACATGCACGACACGAGCATACAACACAAGACAAAGACCAAGACCAAGACCTTAGCCAGGCGCTGCATTGGCTTCAAGGCTTGTTCTTGAACTTTAAGTTGAAGGCTTGATTAGGATCGACCCTGACTTCTGCCTCTGGAGAATGTAGTGAACCTAAGTCCTTGTGTATGTGTGTGTGTGTGTGTGTGCGCGCGTGCGTGCGCGCGTGCGTGCGTATGTGGTGTGTGCGTGCGTACACTGCTGCACTTCAACACAAAACGTTTTATTGGGGAATGCGATCGTAGATCTACGATGAAAATAAGGAACATTGAAAAAATTTCACTCGACAGCGATGGTCCGACCGCGTACCCGGGGTAGACAACCAGGCCTGCACTGGCTGCAGGGTACTGAGATCTACAGCCAGGTGAACCAGGACTTCAGCCAGGAGCGCGCCAGGCACCAGGTCTGGCATGGCAGTGCACTGGTGAGCCGACCTGGAACTGTGGAGGTGAGCTAGCATTCGAGCTGAGGCAGGGACCACACCGACATGGTGCCCAGGGTCTGGTAAACTAGTGCCCGCCCGGCCGTGCATGATCCAGACCAGGAGGTGGGTCTACGAGCACCTCTACATGTACAATACGTCAATAGCTCTGCAGAGCTCTAGTACATGTAGTTACTTGTAAGTCTAGGCCTAGGCTATGCCTCAGCCTATGGGCCTGGTGCTGTGAGCAGCAGTGGCCATGGTGGCCGCATTCCCTGGTTAGTCGGGCACGAGTCGGTGGCACAAAGGAAGCGTCCTGACTCCACCCTGCTGGCAGTGCTGCGAGGAAGGTGAGTCAGCCAGGGCCGCGACACGAAGATTTGATCTGCTTTCTTCTCAGTGACCACACCACACTGTCAGTAGATTCTACGACGTGAAGCAGCGCACCGCGTAGCCATATCGGCTCTCCAGACGACACCACCGACAGTTCTGCGATCGCTCACCCGATCCTGTCGCTCCTTCTCGCGCTTATTTCCCTATGCACGGCTAGAAACATGCCATTGCCGTAACTTCACTTGCAAGTAGTTGCATGTGTCCGGTCGTACGTAGCTAGCTAGTAGTAGTAACATACAATTGGACAATGCGAGTACATGGAGACAACAAGACGTGTAGTACAACCAACACTTTGTGGCCTACACTATCACGATCAAAATGTTCATCTAGATGTAGGTACTGTGCCACATTTAGCATACATGTATCTCTCAAGGTATCGACTCTAGTCTGCAGTGTAATACTAGATACAACGGCTAACTTACTTCACGCTGAACGCAATTAATTGTATTCTGCGGTTACGAGGCGGCTAGCTGATACATGTATCTCGAGATATGACGAGTACAAAGGGCAGCGAAAAACGCTCGCTGCTCCGACGGGCGTTACTTCCGTGCCAGTGAATTCAGCAATTACTCTGAGTCATGTATGTTTTCCTTTCTAAGACTGCTTGCGTTAGAAAGATGCGTGTTAGAAAGATGCGTTCCAGTTCAAAACTCCTTCGAGGCTTGATCGTGTGATATGATTGCTAGAATTCGCTACGCTTCACTTATGTAAATTTATGTATTGAAGCGCCAGCGCACGTACTCGGCCATTCGTCTGAGATGAGGCATACCCTAGCATGTACAGTACATACACGGAATAACAGTTACAAGTGCACAGCATACGGCTAATCAATATCAGTTATCACGCTTGCGAGCACTAAAATAGCTAACACGCAGGGGGTGAGGAAGAGACGTCCCAAGCGCTATGACTGGTATGGACTTGCGACTTGCGATGACCGACAAGATCGGTGTCAAAACTGAAAGTAAGTGCTCGTCGACTTTGAGTTTGCTCTAGACGAGTTAACTGTTGTAGCGCGCGCCGCGGACAGATGGGCTACCTCTACTCCGACGAGGTCGTTGGCAGTGCACTTGCATGATTGTACACTAGATCAGTGCACTTGCATGATTGTACACTACAAAATCAGTGTACTTGCATTTTAGTTTGTTGTCTTTCGGTGAAATACTTTCTTCCGTTGGAATGTTTCTGAGCTACAGTGTACACGGTACTGTGTAGGACAACACTAGTGCCGAAGCCTAGGAACGATCTGCTGTCCACTCGCTGTGCTGCTTGCATGCCGAGCGTCAAAGCGATACGTTTGCATTCTACACTCGTTGCTACCTGCTGCCTAATGGCACTCATCGAGTGGCGTGTGATCCATGGGCCCAGTCTCTTTTGCCAATAACGGCTCTGCAGTTGGTAACACAATGTACATGTATTATGTATGCACTGACTGGATAGCTTGGAAGCATACATGTACATGTATGCTAATGTCACACATTCACAGTACAATGACTATGTACCAATCTGGGTGGCCTCATAAGCACAACACAACCCCAGAAGATTATTATTATTATTATTATTATTATTATGAAATGGCCCAAAGGCAATGTGCCTATCGAGGGGTTCATTTGATTGAAAGAACAGTAGATGTAGATGTATGTACAAAGACAAGAAGGGATCGATGAGGAGAGAAATGGGGAAAATCAACTGCAAGGTGGCGGAATTCCGTTGATTGCATAAGCATGGTCAGCTGTAAATTTCCTGAGGGCAGCTTTGAACTTATAGAGCGAGGCTTCCGATGTTAGACTGGGGGGTAAGATGAAGTCGATGTCTGTGCTGGGTGTACCTACACCCCCCCCCCCCCCCCCTCTAGAGGCTAGCTATACAGATAGTGCAAGGATTGGTCCTCGGAAGAATATTTTTCTCCTCGTCCGATCCGTGCACTATCCTATACATAGTGAACGTTCAGGCAATTCATGAACACGTACCAGGTACGTACAGGTACACTGCACTGCATTCCCTCCTTCTCCGGGTCTCCGGGTCTCCGGGGTAATCATGGCACTTGTACATGATTGTATAATGCACGGTATCAGTCCTGAGCTGAGCAGGAGCTGAGCAGGAGGTTGTTGTCAAAGTCGTTTACTTTTGTTTGCTTCACGGGCATTGTTGCCTTCTCTTACCGTCACATACATGTACACGTGTACATGTAGGTCTGGTTCTCACCGAGAAAGATGAAGGCAGTCTGACAAGTGACAACAGGGCATGTGACATGTGGTGACCGAGCAGAGGAACTGCCTTCCCCTAGACGAGAGCCTGGCTTGCCTCTGCCCTGCTGCTTGTAATACGGACCCGACTCGCGATCATGCTATTTCCCGTATTAGTAGTCAGTGTGCAAACGCCTAGCCGCAAAGTTCTCAGCTATAGCTTCTCAGTCCTTGCCTTGGCTGAGTAACGATAAGTTATAATAATTTCCATGCAATGAAATCAATTACATCAGTTTTGGTGAGTGGCCACCATCATAGCATATCCCCCGACTCTTCAGTAACAGTTGTTTCTCCTCGAGCGTCTTTGGTACGCCCAGATACTGGATTCAACGTCAAGACTTCCAGCATGTGGACGGTTGAACCTCAATGTCATAATGTCGTTGATGATAAAGGAGCCGCAAAGCATGTAGGACATGCTTGATTGCCCTGCGTTCTTGCGATACGAGCGAGTCAGCTCGAGCGAAGCCCTGTTGCATTCATTATCGAGATTGCAAGCAACTAGGTAAGTAGCTAGCAACTAGGTAATAGTTAGTTACTCGACGGTGTGAGTACTGATGTGCGTGTGTGTGTGCGTGTGCGTGTGCGTGCGTGTGTATCACAAATCCATCATTTCTTCTCCTTTCTTCTTCAAACTGCACTTGATCAAGTCCACCGACACGTATTGAGCTTTTTTTGTTGCTTTGCAGTAGAGGTAAATGCTGCAGATCATACTGAATGCATGTACATGTACAAGGGAGTGTACGACGACGCATTGTGCGGGTTTGATGAAGTAAGTTGTGAACTGTGCTGAGCGCACGATCGTGTTTTTCTTTTATACTGAAGTGCAGAGTCCAGCAGAGAACGGAATGGGAAGACAGAACCGAGGGAATACATGATAATACAGCGTGTTGCCCGCTCTCTCTCTCTCTCTCTCTCTCTCTCTCTCTCTCTCTCTCTCTCTCTCTCTCTCTCTCTCTCTCTCTCTCTCTCTCTCTCTCTCTCTCTCTCTCTCTCTCTCTCTCTCTCTCTCTCTCTCTCTCTCTCTCTCTCTCTCTCTCTCTCTCTCTCTCTCTCTCTCTCTCTCTCTCTCTCTCTCTCTCTCTCTCTCTCTCTCTCTCTCTCTCTCTCTCTCTCTCTCTCTCTCTCTCTTTCTTTATTCACCGGCTACAGCTCGTGTAGGATGAGACGGCATCGCGACGGTTTGTGTTGGTACACGGTAAATGTACCTATATGTACATGTACCTCGTGCAGTGTAGTTTTACAACATCAGCATTGCCTACTCGAGCAAGAACCGCCAAGGAGCATTCGGGCGGGCTACAATAGTCACATCACTTGTCTTCGTTGCTTGCGCTGTGTACTCTTATTGGTTAGATGATCGGGCAGCCAACCGGGCGTCACCAGATAGTGCAGGCACGCCCAAGAGAAAATGTACCATGAATCGACAGGATGCGCTCTTCACTCTTTATACATGTACATGTATATCACCAGGAGTAGGTAGATCTACATCAAATCTCACCCATACCTATAGCATCGGAGATACTGGCGAGTGGCTGCTGGAACCTCAAGCAAATACATACCGGTACATGTACATTGCACATGACATTGATTGTATCATCCGATCTATGCCTATGGAATTATGCCTGGACTGAATAGTCACAACGTGTCACTGTCGGCCAGTGTTTAACTTTGAGCTCCGCTGACGAGATCGAAACAGCCGCGCCCGGAGTATTACGCGCCCTCGCCTCAGCTTGGTTGAGCACGCTTTCTGGTTAGCGTCAAAGTGATCTGCCCTGGTGCAAAGCTCGCTGTCTTTATCGCAGTTAGAGCGCTTTGACCGTGATGCTTTGAGCCGGTTTAAACATGCTTGGTCTAGCGATCTGTTCGGCCGTCTGAGCTCCTCTGACGAGATCTAATATTAATAAGATGGAAACGGTTAGCTGTCTGAGCTCCTCTGACGAGATCTAATATTAATAAGATGGAAACGGTTAGCTGTCTGAGCTCCTCTGACGAGATCTAATATTAATAAGATGGAAACGGTTAGCTGTCCTGAGATTGAGCACATGTAGTCACAATGTGTGTATTATTAAACAGTGCTGCTGGGCTTGCATTTCAAGGTGCCTTTGGACGCTTCCTGTAGGGTCATTTAGTATTTTGACCGGAAATGGAGGCATGCTCACCCGTCCGGTGTCATTGCGTTATGCCCTACACTAGTAGAGTGACATCACGGTAACCATGGTAACAGCCTAACATTTCGACACTTCCTGTTCATACTACTACTATTATACTACATGTACACGTACATGTAGCTGTCCTGCAAGGGCACGGGAAGAATCGATGGTTAGTTGTTAGGAGGGGAGAGGAAAGTGTGTGTGTAGCGCGGGGGGGGGGGGGAGGCTGCGGGAGAGGGGAGGAAAAGATGGATGCTTGAACATCATGCTTCCGATGACCAGGCCGGGGGAAGAGTACAGCGCATTGTGGTGATAAATGCACAAAAGCGTTTAGGAAAAGAAGCCCAAGACTCTTGCATGACCAGCAGTGGCCCTATCTAAGGCTCGAGGGTTGATAAGGGACTTTACAAAATAATGTAGTAGTAGTAGTAGTTATTTGATTTGATTTTCCTATCTACAATATACTTGATTGGATTTGTCACCATTGCCTTCTTTGCTTCCGCTTTTTGAATTCTTCATTCCGACACCCAGTTTGTTATCAAAATAAAGTCAACGTTCTCAGTAGTAGTAGTAGTAGTAGAATTTATTATTTTACCAGGGAACTCCCAACAGGCGTTACCTTTTTATTGAAATGAGGCCTCCATGTACAGGTGGTCCTCCGATCCAGGCCGGGTCGTTTGACTGGAAATAACCTCCCATGGTCCTGTCAAAACGGGTTTATTCAAACAATACGACATGGAAAGAAGGACACCAAAGATACAAGGGATGAAACTCGGCAATGAAATCAAAATGATAAATTGAAGTAGTCGAATCCAAAGAAACTCTAGGCAGATGTATCAAGCCCCCCCCCCCCCCCCATAGGGTCCAGCGGATTCTGCCGGCAGAAAAATTGGCAGAATTCGGTACTTTTTCTGGTAAGTTTCATGCATGTTTGGTATGTGGATAAAGAAATGGAGCAGAATTTGAGGAATTGCCCGCCATAACTTCATAAGGTTTGTATGGTTCTGCCAATTTTTCTGCTTTTCGAGCAGCATCCGCCGGTCCCTACCCCCCCCCCCCCCCCTGGTCCTAGTTGTAGTACTCGTCTGGGGACAGGTGGTGACAGGTCGCCTTATAAGAGTGGTCGCATTGACAGGTTTCACTATACATGTACGTACATTCAGGATTCTTGAAGTCGAAGGATGTGTAACTGCTAGTGCTAGCCCAGCACAGTCTCACTACACAATCATTACACTGGAAGTATGATCAATTTCATGGTCCGATCTAGGCCTCGCACAAGTCTAGGAGAAACAATGCGCTAATGCTATCCTCCGCACGTACCATGTATGATGACTCTCACAGTCTCAGGCAACTACATCATGTACATACTACAGTTGCAGGAAAAGGCCTACCAGCTGCCAAGACAAGAGTCCATAGCTCCGTGCACTTTTGATATAAATGTATTTATGATACTCCATTTAAAAAAAAGAGGACCATTTAAATTTTACAAGGTATCCGTTTTGTCCAACACTAACGGTTATAAGCAGGATACTGTTGAGTCAAAATGTGCAACAATTAGCACAAACCTGACTGATGTGATACTGACATTCAACGACCTGATGCTTAGCTGCATCACGTCTGGAATGCGCAAACCAACAGCCTTCCAACTTGGAAGGTTCTAAGTAACAGTTAGTTATGAAGTAACATAAGAAAGGGGAAGGGGAGCGCACTCTAGACGAAAACAAGCTAAACATCACAGCGAACTAAGAATGTTAGGTATGATAAGATGATGGCGAAACGGATAACTAACGTTTGTTACTTGTAAACGTATGGTCCTCTTTTTTTTAAATTGTAATCCTTGGCTCTCCATCCGAGTTACTCCATTTGAACGTCATTACAATCATGCCCTGTCACTGTACACTCCACTATTAACAACAGCCAGAGCCTAGACTACAATGTAGGCTGAAGGTTCATACAGCAGGGAGAGCATAACGTGTTTACAAGAAAACCTTCGGCTTGCGACCAGCGCAGGTTGCTGAATTTTATGTGGTTTACCCGGAGTACGTATATTATGACCAGTACAGTTCATGGTCACGGCACGGGAATACTGTGTTTCAGAAATACTTGTCGATGTGGAGTCGTATTACGAGATCCACAACGTCCCGCACAGTCGAGTTTCAAACGCTGCGCTCACTCAGTCACTGCCTTTTTATCATGGTGGCCTACCAGGTCTACCGCATGCACTACTACCATGGATGGTACCGTTGGACAATGTCAAAGACAGCAGCCATTCCACTCTGGAAGTCTCGATGCTGTATTAGTAGATGTGTGACCAGGTGACCAGGTGACCATGATGACTGCAGTGCAGGCCAAGGCAAAGGCACAGGACTGTCATCGTGTTTATGTGCATGACTGTACATGACTGTACTCAACTCAAGCCTTTTGTACCGGGGCAAAAATGCCATCTTGAAATGCAACTAAAACCCGGACCGACCCGGTCCGACCGTGCCGACCTGAGGGTGAAGGGATTCCGGATCGATAGCCGCAACGCATTTTTGATACAAGGGTGTTTTATCCCCAAGCGTCAAGCTATCGGTCCAAGTCTCTCCCCTCCCTCTACCGAAGGTTCGAAGGAGAGAAGAAGCGTGCTTACGGCGAACGTGTCAATGAAGTCGAGCATGGCTCCTGTCTTCTCTTCCTGTGGTGGGATGGGCTCTGAAGCAGCCGTAGTAGTCAAGAGGCTGGCGCATGGCTTGGCCGCCAAACACAATGCTGCCTATAGCCGGGTTGTAGCTTGGCTGCGGTGCTGCTTGGCATTTTCTCTTGCCAGATCTGCCATCCGTTGCGTCCGTGGATCACGCTCTGTTCGCCGTCGTCGCTTCGACCTTGCGCCTGTCGTCGCTGTCGACCTTGTCCAGGCTGAGGCGCGTCTGGCTCGACAATTTATGACATCAGACTGTATTTACATTAATTTTTATCTCCTTTCTTCCTGTTGTTTAATTACTGTCCGGCGTGTATTTACCGCCAGATTGCCAGGTGCGTGTTTACCACTGCAATTATGAATAAAGTTACTGAGGACGGGACTAAAACCCGGACCCAAAGCGGCAAAGGCCAAGGCAAAGCCTCAAAGGCAAAACTATTTACTTGTAGATCAACATCAGTAGTACAGTACATGGCTGTACTGCATTTCTACGTGACTGTCTCAGTGCTTGGTTGCCAAGGACATCCGCTTCCCAGCACAACGCATCGTAGCAACTGCATCGGCGCATTTCGACGACGCTGTTCAAAAAGCGAAAAAGTGGGAACAGTCACTGCCACTGGTACATGGTAGATATCCATGCATGGCAGCTAGGAGCGATCACAATGAATCATCCGTTGACACATAAAACACAGCGACACTCGACAGGCGTAGTACGTGTACAGCAGCTGGGTGTAGGTTTCCATGATATCCCACCATACCGAGCAAAGGGCTCATCGCGTTTTGACATAATTATCAAGCTGTAGTACAGGTAGTGATAGTGATTAGTGTAGACACTTCTTTCAGTCTTCTTATTGATTTGTTCTGTCAGACAGGCGAACACAGGCGAAGTTTAGTTGAATCAGTAACTGTTCATGGCACCTATGTTGCGAAAGGCGCCCCACCTCATCGAATGAAGGCTAAAAACGCGAGGAGAGAAAGAGAGAGAGAGAAACCTATCCCTAGGTGCAGGACTGTTCGAACTAGAAAGTGGGGGCACATTACGACCGGTTACGTTTAGTGACGGTTCAGCAACGCTCCTCACAATAGCCATTCTGACTTTACCGACAACACTGAATGGTGTTTGGCTAGAAGACTTGAAGTGATCGCCTATGCCCAGCCCCGGCAGGCAGAGTTCAATACAGACAGTCAGTAGTACTAGTAGTAGCTGGTCTAGTCAGTCCCGGACGACATAGCAGAGCGCAGTGCAGTGCAGAGACCACCTGGATAGCGTTTTACCGACAATAGCCGCACAATGTCGGACAAAGACGATGACAGCAGTCTGAATAAAAGCGGTGAGTTGCATACCAGTTACTGTCTTTACATAACTGGCAAACATAATCCTTGCACAGTGGAATAGTTATTATTCCCCTGCTCAAAAGATTTGTTAAAAGGTACTAGGTCGAAACATCTATCCGTATTTCACTAGTTATGCAAGCGCTACCCTGGTCATCAGTCTCCCCCTCCCCCATTATTTGAACCTCAATACAGTTTCCAAATCTGTAATGAATAAATGATATCGACGCAGCCACACCATGGTTTTTGACACACACACATACACACACACACACACACACACACACACACACACACACACACACACACACACACACACACACACACACAGAGTATAATATACAGGTTCAGTAGGCGCCGCATTGAAGGACATTTCCACACCTTCTGACTAGTGTACAAGGACCTTCAATACTCCAACCTTGGCAGTGTCTGCTCCAGAGCCGGGTCAGCGACCCGGTTGGGGGGCACTTGGACCTGTTTGGAAAAAGAACACCGGGTCACCTGTTACCCGGTTGGAAATACATCAGAGAGCTCCAAAATATTTACAACTCCCTGATGTACAATTACAACTCCCTGATGTACAATCATGTACATGCAGTAGCCGCACTAGAACGTACCCGGCTCTGACCCGGCTCTGACCCGGCTCTGACCCGGCTCTGACCCGGCTCTGACCCGGCTCTGACCCGGCTCTGACCTGGCTCTGACCCGGTAGCAATGGTTGTGCCAGGCACACGTGTACCCGGTTGGTTTGAAATCCTGGAGCAGACACTGCTTGGCTGTCCACATGGAATCATACGGGTGCTGCAAGACCTGTGATGGCATTCTCATAGTACAGTTGGCTACTCTCTGAAAGCTGGTGTTGCATTGAGCATTAGAGCTGTTGTTGACAGAAAATGGTTTGACTAAAAACACATTAGCAGGCCGAAATGCTGCTAAGCTGCAGCAAGCAATGCAGTTTCAACGTGCTCAGCCGGTCTGGGGCCTGGTGATCATCACTGATTATGCACGTGCTCCAAATATGTGTGCACGGCCGTGCGATGTAGCCACGCATATTATACATTCTAGTATATGAACCGATGAAGTTTCCTTTGTGTGTGTGTGCGTGTGTGTGCGTGCGTGTGTGTGCGTGTGTGTGTGTGTGTGTGTGTGTGTGTGTGTGTGTGTGTGTGTGTGTGTGTGTGTGCGTACGTGGATACGGTGCGGGCTTGCAAATTTCCTCTATCCTGATTGTGTGCTCCCGCTGGCAGACGATGACATGGCCAACTACTTGGATGACTTTGAAGACGACGATGACTTCAATGCTGACGATGGTGGCGCCAACGATACCCAGGACAGTGACACAGAGGACAAGGAGCTTGAGAAGATGCTCGAAGCTGACGATGCCATGAATGTAGAATTCGAGAAGAGCCTGGCCATGCTCCCTACCAGGTCTGAGGATGAGGGCGTGAGCAAAGTCGCACTGCCACCAACACCACAGGCTGCAGGCAGCCACGCTTCTCCTCGAGCCACGCCAGAAGAGAAGCACAAAGAAGAGACCGCCACCGTGGTATCAAAGACGACCATTAAGGCCTGGGAGTCGGCTGAAAATGCCGATGGCCTTGGGGGGTCTGCACAGGATGTTGTCGTATTGGAGATCGATGGCCGGCTGGAACTGGTCCACAACGATGACATCCGGGCGCAGGACATGATTGGATTGGCACCGGAGGCAGAAGAGAAGGAAGCCGAACAGTTGCAAAGGGAGCGGGAGAAGAATGCACAGCAAGAGTTGGAACAAAAGGAGAACAAGAGGAGAGAAAAGCAATCAACAAGTCAAACTAGTTTGTCCAATCAGTCGAGTATTCAATCCACTGGTGGTACTAGCAGTACTAAGCGGCCAGAAAAACCTGGTAGCAAAGAGGCCTGGGCAGCCCCTGGCCAGTCTACAAAGCCATCCACCAGCACTGCAGCTGCCAGCAAGAAAGCCTTAACTGCCCAGTCACAACTATACTCAACACAGTCCATGCCAAGCTTCGGCACTTCACGGTCTACCTCCAAAGGAGCATCACATCTCAAGTCGATGCAAAGCTCGACCGATGACGGTGCCTTCAATGCCTGGCTTTCACGGAAGAAGAAAAAAGATAGGGCAAAATCAGCGTCAAGACAACCGTCTACCTTATCAAAAGCGGAAATAGAAAAGCAGAAGCGAGAAAGTGGCGAGGCAGCTTTTGCTGGTTGGCTTGAGCAGAAGAAGGAGAGGCAACGCAAGGAACTACAAATGAAGAAGCGGCTTGAGGCTAAACAAAAAGAGGAGGAGAAAGAAAGAGAATCTCGTCAGAAAATGAGTGAGGGCTTGTACGAGGGATGGTGCTCAGAGAAGTCGAAGCAGAAGCGCCTCGAAGCGGAGCTTGCACAGCTTGCAAAGGAGCACGAAGAGGCCAGGATAAAGACAATAACTGAGGAGGAGAACCATGAGGCATATCAACGGTGAGTTCAAATACTTTCCATTGTACAGGTGCCACAATAAAGCCCACCCAACCACTCTACACTGTGTGCACACGGTATTGCCCTCTACACTGTGTGCACACAGTATTGGCCGTTGTTACGGTCACGGGTCATGTGGCTTGACCAAAAGGCAAAGGCATAGTGTGCATGGGGTTTAGTGAGCTGTGTCTGTGTCTGCGTCTGCAATTTCCTGTTACTTTACTAGTGCAATTAATGGTTTGTAGAACACAATCACACTTCACAGCTGTCTTCCTCGTACACCCCGGCTCCATCACACTTTATGGCTGTGCTCCGAGCTCTCGCATGTACCATGTGTACATGTAATGCTATTGAATTGTGACCATTGTAAACATGCACGATGTACATGACAACACCTCCTCATCCACAGCCAAACACTGGTAGTATAGTGAAGCACGACAAACTATAGATCGCACATCCTGTGTGTGTGTGTGTGTGTGTGTGTGTGTGTGTGTGTGTGTGCACGTGTGTGTGTGTGTATGTGTGTGTGTGTGTGTGTGTGCATGTGTGTGTATGCGTGCGAGCGTGTGTACATGTGTGTGTGCACGTGTGTGTGTGTGTGTGTTTGTGTATGTGTGACATGTGTAAGTGAAGAGATGTATTGTACACAAGTAGCAGCGGTGCATTGTGTGCTGTGATGACATGTCACTGAACTCGGCACTGGTGAAGTTACGAAGCGAGCTTGAGTAAGTGAAACCTACTTTGTTCTTAAACTGCCGCTTTGTTTGTAGGTGGATCCAGAGAAAGGAAACGGAGGCGCTTAAAACGCAAGAACTAATGGCACTAAAGCGACAAAAACAGGTTGAAGAGGCGCGGCGAATCAAGAGGTCCCTTGAGTTACGGTATGTACATGACTGTAGTACAGTCTCCAGTCCAGTGGCCGCCGCCGCCGCTGATTTCCTATTCATCTATTCTAACTTTAGCGCCTTCCCTCGCACAAGCAAGTTAAAATAAGCGAGGCATCTTTGGACTTAAGAGTGCTAGCTTCGGAAACACCTGGTTGAAGCTCAGAGTAGAGCAAAATCACTGTGACCAGTTGTGAGAGTGTGGACCCGATCAACTTGTACAACTATAATGATAGTGTTAATGAGGTGGATAGGGAGGGGTGATGGGAAAGACATACTGCAGTGAAGCAAGATCCATTGTCCGGAAAGACGCAGCTGGACAAGAAATATCTGTCTATTTTCTTTCCAGCAAAATAGGCCGGGCACCACTTCAAGTGTGATTTAAAAGAATGAAAGCATAATGATGTCAGTCTTGGGTGCAGTGCAAAGCAATGCAGTGCAGCGTGTGCACTATTGTAGTTCGGATTGCTGTTAACGAGTGCTTCGAGTATTAGCACAGCTAGTGCCCAAAGAAACTTCAAGAAAGCCTTGACGTCACAGTGGTCAACGTGCACTGTATAATTGTCCAAATCCAGAAATGTCAGTCTCGGTCACGGTCTATGCAATACTACCGTATTTTACCGGTTGTAAGCCGTCGACCCCGGTTATAGGTCGACCCCCGTATCCCGGGAGGTCTCATTTCTGCGTTTTAAAGTTTTCACCCAACGAAGCACTACCAACCACTCCCTGCTACTAACACCTCAACAAATCATGTAAACATTCCTTATTGGAGGGTATAACGTCCCAATCCTTGAAAAAGGCCAATAAACTGGCAAACATGTGTACACATGGTGCACTCATGCATGCAGGGCAAGTTATTTTTTGTAAGATTCTGATAGTTCCCGGTTATAAGTCGAATCCCGGTTGTAAGTCGACCCCCACCCTTTCTCCTTCTATTTTTAGTCGTAAAAGGTCGACTTACAACCGGAAAAATACGGTATGTGTTTAGGTGCCACACTGTATAACACACCGTTGGTGACTCCGGAGGTATAAGTGATATTATCCAGTTAAGGAATTAGAACAATCTTGATGATCTCATAACATGTATACGCTGTATAACATGTATACGCTGTAAAGGAAAATACTTGGGTGGACACCAGGGCACACCCATTCCTGCAGCACTGCAAATCGGAGCCAGTTCCATTAGAATACAACAATTTGGCACTTGGCCAACGTCAGCTAAACGAAACAATGGTCATTTACCTGATGTTGGCCAAGTGCCAAAACGTTTAGGAATAGTTCCGGACAAGCACTTAATTAAGAGATGAAGCCTCAAGAAGCCTGATTCTCTGATTGTAGCATTTTCAAGGCAAAGCGTATAGACATGGGCAAGTCTTCCATCATTGAAGGAATAGGTTCAAAACAGGGGCGTCAGAACCGATGCGGCCAAAGCTTTGGCCGCACCAATAATTTTAATGTGAGTTTGGAAACAATGAAATATGGGCTATTTGGGCCCAATTTTCCAAAACATTTCCCGGGGATGGGCCCCCGGACCCATGTCACCCCTCCTCTCGCCTTTCATAGCCGCAATAATGTGGAATACCTTCTGACACTCCTGCTAAGCAAGCAAGTAGCCTTTTCATCCAGTGTTCTTCTAAAAGAATGCTGTATTCTCTTTCCCAGTCATTTCATCTTGAATACAGACGACACCTTGGCAATAAAACGTACCGATTGTTATGTTCCTGGAAGAACATTTTCAACTCATATTACGCTCCCTTGCCTCAGCTTGGTTGAGCGCTCTTTCCGGTTAGTGTCAAAGTTCCCTTCACTCGTGCAAAGCTTGCTGGCTTTCTCGCAGTCAGAGCACTCTGACCCTGATGCTTTGAGCCCATTTAGAAATACCGAGTCTGTTGTTCATTATTGGACTTCATTGCGATTACAGTTTGGCCAGTCCCTTCGAGTTACGCTGACGCCAGGAGACCTAACAAGGTCGAAACGGCTAGCTGTCCGGAGATGGAGAGGTAAATTGTACTGAAGTAAAGTTTGCTTCTCCTGTCTGGTGTGCTTCTTCAATTGTGTATTCTCTTCAGCTACCACCCTCGGTACTAACACTGCACTGCGTGTTGACAGCAGAGGAAAGAAGACTGTTTTCTCGCTCTCAGCCATAGTCATGCAGGCGTCCAATCCAGACCTTGATCCAACATTAGTCAAGTCCTCAGACACTGGAAAGAGTGTGGTCTGATCTGGCTGCTGAATTTGATGACACGTGTCGCTAGGTATGCCATTGTCCAAGCCCGTCAGGTTTTCCGCAACGAGAGCTCCACGTGTGTGTGTGTGTGTGTGTGTGTGTGTGTGTGTACGTGCGTGTGTCAAGTACGGTGCACATATTTCCAGAAACTTGAGTTCACAACAAGATGCTACGACTATGTCTAGCTCTGTGGTGCTGCTGCTTGAGATGTCAGCTGTATGTTGGCGATCTTCTTGTACATCCCAGTTAATGCAGTCACCCCATGCACTAACTTCCCGGCCTTCTCAAGACAAGTCCGCTTTATACTCTATGAGCTTGCACTGCAGCAGCTTTACCAATACCTATAATAACAAAGTGATGTACAGTTGGTACATAGGAGCTACCACATCACACTGACTGTATAATTATAACACTATCGACCCGCACTGTTGGCTTGCCTAGCTACATGTCAGTGGAGCACTGCCGTCCTGTCTCAGTGCTACCTTGGCATCACCTTGGAGGATTATCACGAGCTGCCTTGTTCTTTGCCGTGACTGTCTCGCCGGTATACTGTACACGTGTTAGCCACTCTCGTCTGGTGTTGAGACTGCATATCGGACCAATCACTAACTAGGGAATGACCCCATGTGATAAGTATTTCAAAGCCAAACCTGGCACACTGAGGACAGTGAGGTGCTAGTGATTATAGTTAGTATTACAGTCATTGACCAGTGAAACATACGCCATTGACCAGTGAAACATACGCCATTGACCAGTGAAAGGTCCTGTCACGGTGTTGCCAGTGTTCCAGTGAAGAGTCTTTTCTGTTTCAATTTGTGAAGAACAGGATCTGTACGAGATGAAGTACATGTACACGTCCCGTTATCGGGTGCTGTCTGGCAATCGCTTGTGGGTGAAACTCGGAGTTGTAGCTGAACAGTTTTCATCCTTCTTGGTATGCCTATGTATGTCTCATTGGTGTACAAATAAATGCTTTGCTGGACCAGGCTTGAGTAACATACCCCTAAGTAAAGTAATCATCCCTGAATTCCCCAGTTTGTGTGAGCTCATATGATTTTCACCAGAGCCAACACATCACCACATTTCAGGTTACATGCTGTCGGCTTTCCAAAGGCTTGATCTCCCTGTCACTGAGTCGTTTATAATTATGTGAATTCTTCACTGCTTGTGTGCCGGGTGGCACCAGCACTACAGTATTCATGATCTGATACGCTGTACAAGTACATACATCCATCCAGAGTGGCATACCAGATACACTGTACATACATCCAGAGTGGCATACCAGATACACTGTACATACATCCAGAGTGGCATACCAGATACACTGTACATACATCCAGAGTGGCATACTAATGCACCATTCAGCTACAACCACTTCCAGAAGTCACAAATACAAGTTTGGAACAAATACACATAATATTAAATTTTATATGTACCTGTGCCTGGTGTACTTCGAAGTACATGTACATGTACATAATAATACTACTTTATTATACTGAGCATAGTTTGTAGCAAGCCCGGCCACTGTTACATCTGTCCCCGGGGAAAATCGTGATTCCGCGGACGCGTTTCCCCCCCCCCCGCGCTTTTTGCGATTTTTAAGACCACGTTTTCCGCGATTTTCCCGCGTTTTTTGAACTTTTTTGTTGCACTAGTAGTACATGTACATGTAGTAGTAAAATTTATTATTTTGATAGGGAACTACACGTACACACAGTGCACTGTTCGGTCAGCAACGTCTCATCGTGGCGGTTTTGTACTCAAATATGACGAGTGCTTACACCAGAGACTTGTAACTGATTGATTTCACTACATACTCAATGAAAATTGCCTCATATCAACTGCAAACTTGCCGCATATCAATAATATTCACCGCAAATTATGCCATATTATGCCGCGTTTTTTTGCGATTTTTCCGCGATTTTCCCTGGGGATAGTTACATGCACCATGCATGCTGATCTGTTGAGGAAGACCTAAGCTGCTAGCTGGTACTTCGAAGTATCATGGACCTGGCATGGCACACCGGGCCTGGGCAAGGGCTGCGAGTCACACAGCAGTCTGTCAGCAGCAGCAGCAGACTTGCGGGGTGGGGAATTTGACGCACCCGCAAGAACCCCACTGGCCACGGGTCAAAAGCAAAGCCCAGCGGCCAGATAGCACAGGCCACCCAGCACAGACTCCACTATCATCTCCGAGTCACTCCACACACACAATACAATATCAAACAGCTGAACCACTGCTGCTAGCCTCTGACTTGAGGTCAAGCTGCACGAAAACACAAATTACACATCGCCCAAGACAGCACAACAGACCAGCAGCACAAGTAGTGCACGTTCTACGTGTACACAACCACATTCAGGCAAGCAATCGTCGAGTTTACACTCCAGCCTCCACGCACACACGGAAAAGGACCGTGGCTTGGCTCCCGTCAAAATAAATTCTGGATTAGGGAGAAGAGGAACGCGGCGGCCCTATAAAATGACTGCCAGTGCCTGGTGACCCGGCAACAAAACTATTTGGTAGACCTACTGACCTACTGAGTGTGGCAAACAGGGAGCCGCACCCAAACCACCTGGGGTTGGGAACGACTCCCAGGTGGTATAGGAGCAGGAAGGGTGGGAATGATATCAACACCTACTTGAAGTAAAAAATAAATATCTCAATCAAACATTATTGTGATAAATAGAAAAGCTAGAGTGGAAATACAGAAATTGGTAATGTGGCATAACAGCCTGCAGAAAACAATTGGAAATGAATTCTAAAATAAATGCCTCAAGCCACGATCATCCGTGCATTGTTAGCTATGTCCGTCGATTGTACCATGAGCAGATAGCATGGCCAGAATAATACGTTGGTGAGCAATTTTCAGCAAAGTCTTGAACAATAAACAGCTGGTGAAGTAGTAGGCATCAGCCAAGTAGCTACATAGATAAAGTTGGACAAAACATCACAAAGACCACTACCATGTGCGTTATCCTAAAGTGTCCCTATTTTTGTGCAAAGGACCTGCTGCACCGACAAAGGCACAACATACATGTGTCATACGGCTACAGCAGCTCATCCTCCTCAGATCTGTGTTTCGTCACAGACTGTTCACTGATCCAGTAGGTGCAGCTCCACGGCAGGCAGAGGCAGCAGGACACACTAGCACTGTTCTGTCATATGACATCATCGCCAAATATATGACGTCATTGCACAATAAGTATTTTGAAGTAGTCAAACAGCAGCGTGTCTACAGAGAGCTTCTCTTTTCAAGCAGTGTAGCGTGATTGGGCAAGCCGGAGGAGCCGTAGTGCATAAGAAGACAGTCAAAATCTGGAACGCGGTTGAACGCAATACTTGCTACAGTTATGAGCAACTGGGCAGTGAATCCCCAGATGCGAAACGCCCTATTCCCATGCTCAGGATCAACGTAGTTAAAGGAGTGCATAAGGAACCTGTTCGCATGGAAGTCAATGTACTTTGACGAGTGGTTCTCAGAACTAAGAAACATCTCCAACGGCGCGCGAAACACAGCATCCACTTCTGCCTCCTGAATCCTTGGCGGGAAGTTCTCCGGTATGAAGCCCACCACGGGCACTACGGAACTCTGGTTGCGTGCGAAATGCGGCGGTAACTCTGTGCAAACTTCAACCTGGTGTTTCTGCAGGCCCACCTCCTCACTCGACTCTCTGAGTGCAGTAGCCATGGCACTCTCATCACCCTCATCATACCGCCCACCAGGCAGAGCCACTTCTCCACTGTGGTGCTTCAGCATAGCTGAGCGTTGCGTGAGCAGCACACTCAGCTTATCATCGGCATGGTTGAGAAACAATGGCACTAATACTGCAGCTGGCTGGTGTGGCCTTATGCGATCCTCAGATAGACGACAACGCTCGTGGTCCTCGAATCGGCGTCTCGCCAAAGAAGTTATTGATCCAGTGGTAGCTACACTGGCAGCAGAGGCAGCTGTACACATCGTCCTCTCCACCGATTTTACTAGCATTATAATCCTATTAATTTTTGCTTCGAAGTGAGGATAATGTTTTGGTCTTTTTGTAGCAAATTTCCAGGTAAGGCAATGACTGGGGAGGTAACTAGCTGAACTTGAAGTGAAGGATCGTGAACGGATTGGACAAGGACGTGACGTCTCTACGACAGCTAGCCAACGATGTGGCCAGAGCTACAACTACAAAAGTAAAACCTACAAAACAAAACAAAAAAGCAAGACTCTTATCAAAAAGACTCGAAAAATCTGCATACTGTACATAAAACTTGTGCACGTGTGAATCAAACAGATCTGATCTGTCTGCAATCTGATGCATTGTCATTGATGCAGTTGAGTATCATTCGGGGAAATCCCCATGGAATACTATTGCAGTAACCAGGTAACCACTGGTAACTGTTATCATCAGGCATTCATGGCGTAAGGGGTCGTCCGTATTTTTCGAAAAATTAAAAAATCCGTCCTCAGGCAGAAAGGGCTAGGGGGGGTGGGTGGTCAAGAGCGCTGGCGGAATTTTATTTATTTATTTTTTCTTCAGTGACTTCCATACACTTGTTGCACTGACATGTAGTGCATGCACTGTAGACGTAGCGTAGGATCGCAAACACCAGTATGATATACCGGTACATGACTCTTCATGTACTATAATGTAGTTGTAGGAGGTGCATGGCCGTCGGTAGACCTCCTACTCACTTTAGCTACTAGTAATTGACATACATGTTCATGTCTTTTTGCACATTTTCTCTTTTTCCCAACTCCAATGTTCATTGTATATACACAAATAGGAGATCCCCCCCCCCCCCGATATTGGCGTCAGCCTTTGGGTAATTCTGAAATAAAGATTATTAGATTATTATGTACATGTAGGTGCAATCAGTGAACATGGGGTCAGGAGTTCTTATTTTCGAGCTGGGCATCGGTAAAATCAAAAAATTATTGGGAAAAAATAGGGGGTGGGGGGGGGGGGGTGGGTCAGAGACAATTTTGCACGAGGACGGATTTTTTAATTTTTCGATAATTACGGACGACCCCTAATCGCGGTAATCATACCATCAAGAGTACGGGGTTATGTACTCTTGATACCATGCATACCAGGGCCTGTGATAGGGACCGGCGGATTCTGCTCGAAAAGGTGGCAGATTCTGCTCGAAAAGCAGGGAAATTGGCAGAACCATACAAACCTTATGGCGGGCAATTCCTCGAATTCTGCTCCATTTCTTTATCCACATACCAAACCGTGCATGAAACGTACCAGAAAAAGTACCGAACTCTGCCAATTTTTCTGCCGGCAGAATCCGCTGGACCCTAGCCTGTGAGTGTGAGTAGTAAAATACCCTATGGTATATATACCATAGGGTATATACCCTATGGTATATATACCATAGGGTATATACCCTATGGTATTTTCCTACTCCCTTCAATCAAAGTGTTCTGCCGACACGGTGCTGTAATCGTCTCTCGGTCTTTTTGCGGGAGAAGAATATCACTCAGTAGACACTGATGTATGCGGCTCATTGTAGCCTGAGATGGATACACTGAGGACTGCACCATGGCAATGGCATCCATTGCCATGATGATTGTACGGTACAATGCGAACGGGGAGCAATGCTTGAGAAGAAGTTGACCAGTCCAATCAGAGTCAATATCAATACGGTGTGGAAGACTATGCAACACAGTCACAATTTAAGTAGACCCCTAGCCGGTGTGCCATAGCCTTGAGGAGGAAGGCTGAAAAGGTCATGACAGCACCTTTCTTTTTTTTTAAATAGGTAAGGCCACACCAAGTTAATTCTATGTTTCGTGTCGGATATTTTCTGGAAAAGGCATGCGGGCGGGCGGAAAAAAACAAAAACAGAAGAAAAAACAAAACTCCATTCTATGTGTACTGACTACTGAGCCATGGTGCACACAGAATACCACTACTAAACTGTCACTTCTATCCAAAACGACAACAAGTCGTCACAGGACAGCTGGCAGACTGGGCTGGAGCCATACAGAGATTTCATGGATGGCTCCTCCTGCATTTTGACATGAGTCGAGTGGGATCCCGCTCCATCACAATCGTGGAAAATCTCGAAGTCCTTGACACCTGGAATCTCTGCTCACTTGGTGAGCAGGCCCTAGGCCTACCGCACGGCTTGGAAAAATAGAAATTTTCATCTCTCGCACCTTCTACGTACCATCGCCTGGAATGCAAGATTATCGAGAAGCTGATATTGATAACCGCTGATCTGCCATACTGGCTAGAGAATGTTCGCCAGAACAGCCATCGATTGGCTCGTCTAGGTTCTTTTTTTTCTTGTCAAGGATTCGAAAAGGTACGCGGGCGGGTGACGCGAAACATAGAAATAACTTGGTGTGGCCTAAAGTAAATAAATATCTCAAGTCACTGAATTACTCTGATGATGCCAAACGGGCCAACTAATGAATTATACTGGCAGAACGTTATTCTTTTCGCGCAGCTGAGAGCCTGTTCGGGGATGGAGGTGTTCTCAAGTAAATACAGCAATAACTTAAAAAAAACTAGAGCCACGGGAAAAACAGAAATGAGTAATAACAAGCAGCCAAACCTTACTTCAAAAAATCAATACTTGACACATGATGCTACGGATAAGTCACACATGGCCAACTATGTGTGTTATCTATCACTGATTGCATTGTAAGCAGATGGAAACGAACATTGTTAGCAACTTGTTACGCAACACCAGCAGTCTCCATGCGATTCAACCATGATACTTTCGGCTGAAATCCATTTCAAAATCAGTTTAGCTATTTCGTCAGCTGGTGTGCACACGCCAGTGCACATACTCCAGTGCGATACACTGGTGACAGGACAACGGCTCAAGCTCCCAGGGTCAGCATTTGGCAACAGAATTCCTTGATCCAGGATTGGCAACTGTATTGCCTGGCGGCAACAGCAGAGGCAGCAATGCACCGCGGCTGTTCTATCAAACTGTTGGGTCTTCACCGCAGGTAGGAGAACCGTGGCCACGCAGCACAACTACGCAGAGGTTTCCTTGTTTTCAAGCAGTGTAGAGCAGTTGTTGGACAAAGTCGGACTGTAGTGCCTGAGGCGACACTTGACCTCTGGAACACGGTTGAACACAATGCTTGCAGTGGTCATTAGCACTTGGGCGGCGAGTCCCCAGATGCGAAACGCCCTATCCCCGTGCTCAGGATCAACGTAGTTGAAGGAATGTATGAGTAGTTTTTTGGGGGCCCTGGATAACTGATAATAATAGGAGGTGTAATTTTCAGAACTGAGAAACATTTCCAGTGGTGCGCGAAACACAGCATCCACTTCTGTCCCATGAATCCGTGGTCGAAAATTCTCCGGTATGAAACCCACCACGGGCACAACAAGACTCATATCTCGTACAAGATGCGGCGGTAGCTCAGTGCAAACTTCAACCTGGTGTTTCTGCAGGCCCACCTCCTCACACGACTCTCTGAGCGCAGTAGCCACGGCGCTCTCATCCCCTTCATCATACCGCCCACCAGGCAGAGCCACTTCTCCACTGTGGTGCTTCAGCTTAGCTGAGCGTTGTGTGAGCAGCACGCTCAGTTTATTATCGGCATGGTTGAGAAACAATGGCACCAGTACTGCAGCTGGCTGGTGTGGTCTTAGGCGATCCTCAGATAACAAACGACAACGCTCGTGGTCCTCGAATCGGCGCTTCGCCACAAAACTAACGTTACTTGCGGACCTAGTGTTAGTCGCAGCCAGTGCAGGGGCAGCGAGTGTGCCTGCTGCACATATCGTTCTTTCGAATGACCTCACTGCCATTTTATATTCCTACTCGTCTCCAGGATGCACTATTTACTAGTATTCTAAAGATCTATCCGGCGAGCAACAGCTACATTGTGGTAACGACGAGAGTAAGTGCTAGTGATATACGATCCACCCGTGGTAGATCTACTCCTGGTAACACATCACTAAAAGGCAATACTCGGCAACAGCTAGTCGTCCGCAAACGAGTGCGTGTGTCCAACCTCGGTGCCCCGGTGATTGCCGAGTGATTTGTCGGAATCCTGAGCCAACTCGCCTGGCACGTGCTCCTCGAGCAGGCCAGAACTTGGCAGAAGGACTGGCCAGAGGCACTAGTTGCACTGTACGGACAGACTAGATGCAGTCGGTAGATCCTGTTGTTGTTGACCAGGGAGTTTGTAGGTCTACGACTAGTCGACTACTACCTGGCGTTGACTATTGCCAGTATTGGTCGACATATCACTACATCGTCATGTAGATCTATCAGCATAATACTCGCTATCCGAGGTGACATTACCATGATTATGGGGTGACATACATGTAGATCTAGCTATTCATCACAAAACGTAAGGATATCCGGATGCACTGTAGTGTCTACTACTGCTAGTACTACTAGGCAAGAGCACCGCCCACTGCGAGATTGAAGAAGCAATGTACTCTTGTCCTTTGAGTCTGGCTCTTGCGTCTTGGGGGAATGGTAGACAGGTGCCAAAGACAAAGGTTGCACCACGCGTGCACGGTAGACCTACCATATGCGGTATCACAGACAGTGTCGGAGACAGGTGAGAAAAAGTAGGGGTGTCTGTCATGATTTTGACTCTTGAGGGAATACATTACATTTTCGGGTCAGTTTCAGAACCAAAGCCAGGACATTAACAGTTTCGTTTCACGTTGAGTGGCAGATCCAAAAACCAACTTTATATTACTTCTGTCCGATTTGTTATCGGGCTTCGGCCAAAATGCGGCCTGCAGACTCGGGTCTGATCCTTTTCTGAATGGGCTCACGTGTCAATGTACTGCAAAGACTGTAAATACTGTAAATATACAAAATTTTGGCAGCCGGTTAATTTCGGCTATATTCGGCACCGGCCCTGAACGCCGAAATCAAAACGCTGATGAAAATTCTGACATTGGCTTTGGTGGTGTACTAGTATCAAGAGTACATAACCAAGAGTACATGTACTCCTGCTAGTATCAACCCCGTGCCGAAAATAAATCGCTGCCCAAATTGTGTATATTTAGAGTACATAGATGTAGATGCAGGAGCCGGGGGATTAGCTTGATGGCAGATAATGCCTGAGGAGTAAGTAAGACACAAGCAGCCTTTTGGACTTTCTGTCCAAGAAGTTGTAGTGTTGAATTTCTATGCATGTCCTGAGGCAGAGCGTATATTCAACAGCAGAGGAGGTGGCCATGCACTCTAAAACACCGAGTTCCACACTGATAATTATGGTCGAGCCACATGACCCAAACCTAAAAAGAAGAAAAAAGGGAGAACCGTGAGGATTTTACTACACTGCGCTCCCCACTCCCCAACAAGCTTTGGCATCATCGTGTTTGAACATGGTACATGTACTTGAAGGGGTCTGTGGGTACTCCCCTCTCCGGCCCCAGCAGTTACAAGTGAACGGAAACAAGGCAGCCCGTGTCCTTAGAAGATATGATGGAAAGTTGATGTGGATGAAACACAAGATATATGAACAGTGCTAAAACCAGCAAAATTGTTTAAAAAAATAGCAAGCCTGCAGCTGACACAGACCTATTCGGCCATGACCTGCATGGGTTGGGTTGTGTGTACGTGGAGAGACAGCAGCAAAGCAGTGACATCATCATCAGCAGCCGTGACATCATTAGCATTAGTAGCAGCAGTAGCTCAAAGGCCCATAGAACGACCAGACGGAAAACAGCAGTTGCCAGAATTTGAAAAGTAGCAAAACCGGGTCGCTTTCAATTCAGAGTCCTATGTAAAACGGAATATTGTAGTTCAACAGAATAAACTATCGTTCACATAATTATTGCAGTGGGAAACTAAAGTGAGAAGGAATACTGCAAAATATAACGTTAGAAGAAGCGATGAAGACGGAACAAGAGCAAAACACTCGAACATCTTCAACAATAAGTAAGGGAGGGGGGGGGGGAGGGGGGAGTGCATACTCACATCATGATGAGTGGAAATAGAGATAAATTAATTCTAAGATAAAGCCAGTCAGCGGGATATTTCGCTTGGAGAGCTCAACCGAGCTTCATGGCACCACCAAGTTTCGGCTTGCCAGCCCCAGCAGCTGCCGCCCGCTTGGCTTTGGCTGCTTCTTGGCGCTTGCGCTGCTCTGCACGACGCTGCTCACGGAGCGCATTCTTCTCTGCAGTAGTGGTGGCGGTGGTGGAGCTACTGGACACAGCTGCTGTGTCACTAGATGGAGATGCTGTAGCTGCAGTGGACCGAGCGGTGGGACAATCGCCATCTCCAAGGTCTCCCCAGTCGCCAGTGTCACCCCAGCCGTCATCACCCCCATTACCATCGCCAGTAGTCGTCGTCACCGCAGAAGCAGCAGCAGCCGCTGGTTTCACCATGGCCGTACCAGAGGATTTCGTTTTAGCGGCTGATTTGCTGGAAGACGTGTCTGCAAAGAGGCTTGCAGCGGTGGGCATGGAGTCATCTGTTCAAGCAGTATGACAAGAATAGATCTAATTGTTACGAGCAGTGGGCATTGCGCTGCAACCATACTGCATAATCCAGTGCTTGCCACAGCAAGCAGGAGTGGTGACAGGTCACCTCGGGACATTCTACAGTATGTATGCACCTTAAAACTTCATCTTATTTATCTAAAAAAAAAACAATGGCTTTATAAAGGAGATAACATTTGAAGCACATGTATGTTTTGCGAAAAGAGAGTTTCAGTGACTCGTTTGTTTATTATGAGACGAGTCAATGGGTCAGGTCTGGGTTAGGGTCTCGTCAAGATCTCGTAGATTGGATTCGTTTACACGAGTCCGGCCTATTTGATTGGTGGGTAGCTTTGAGATCGCACAGTCCCAACTACGGAAACATCATACCAAAACAAGAAGTATGATCTAGTACCCGTACAGTTGTACCCGTATTTCTGTTGCTGTCTCTCTGTTGCCGTCTCTCTGTTGCTCTTTCTGTTACCGCCATGTCGCCGTGACAATCAAACTGCACCTTGTTCACGAGTCACTGAACCTCCTTTTACGCATTACACAACTCCAACACGAAATGAAATCGATATCGTTTCGCGTACAAGTTCGCAACGAGTCACTGAACCTCCCTAATAACTACTGTACTAACAGAATTTCCAGGCCAGCAGAAAGGGCAAAAAGCGGGTTTACAATAGAGTGAAATTTTGGAATGGACTGACTTTTAAGCCATGGCGTTGTAATAAGTGGATCATTTCACATCTAAAATAGCTAGGAAAGGAGCGGTGTTTTGAAAGGCTATGGCTTTAAAGGCACAAATATACGGGCGATACTGTAAAGAACAGACTACTGTTGATCACACTATGCTTCATTTCCCCTCCCAGCAGCCTGATCGAGTGTACCTTGCCACAATCTGTGTCATGGAATACCGTAAAGTCGCGGATAAAAGCCGGGTTTGCATACAAGCACATCGCGGATAGAAGCCTGAAAAATCAAACGGGTCAAATGCATATAAGCCTGTCTCGCGTAGAAGCCTGGCTTCTATGCAAGCGCGGACCGGGTAGGTCAAGAGTGCATGCGCTATATACAGTGCATAGTAAAACTGCCGCCATACCGGTAGTCAGTTGTAGATCTACGCGTGTCGCGCGTATAAGCCTGGCTTCTATGCAAGCCCTGATCGGCCGATGTGCATACAAGCCTGGTTTGCATTGAAGCCTGATGCAGAAAGCGGCTTATGTGCTTATAAGCCCGGCTTTTATCCGCGACGTTACGGTATTGAGCAACGAGATTTGTGAAGAGTATAACATGTACTGTGAAAATTTATGTCCGACAAATTTGTTAGTTTGCCGATGTAACTGTTATTCGTGGAATTTAGTATTAAACCAGTCACCGTAAATTAGTTTTATAACACAAAAAAACACATACCTTTCACAAAGCCATCCATGCTGGAGCCACTTGATGTTGGCTTGCTGGCCGATAATGACATTGCGCCCTTCTTTGCCTTAGCACTGCCGCTAGCCGCACTGGTGCCTAAGCCGTCTTTCTTGGACTTTGTTGCGCCTAAACTAGCAGCAGGTTTGGTCGGCGCACTCTGAAGGACAAGAAGACAGAAAACAATTTTCAGCACACGTAGATCTACACAGCATGCCCAAGAGTAAATAAGCTCTCCAGAGTATGCAACTGAGCATATGGGGTCTCCGACGGCGAAAACTAACAAAATGATTGTGTTCAAACTTCAAAGTACATTTCGTACCACGCACAGCGTAGGTTAGCAGGCACACAGTCCAGATATCTGACATTAGCATACTGATGCCAGTCATGACACACATAAGCCGAGTGGGATTCTGTCATGGAGTGCATTTTTAACTACTCTCGCTACAAACAAGCTGGGTACAAACAAGCTGGGAACAAACAAGCTGGGTACAAACAAGCTGGGTACAAACAAGCTGGGTACAAACAAGCTGGGTACAAACAAGCTGGGTACAAACAAGCTGGGTACAAACAAGCTGGGTACAAACAAGCTGGGTACAAACAAGCTGGGTACAAACAAGCTGGGTACAAACAAGCTGGGTACAAACAAGCTGGGTACAAACAACGACGTGAATACTGGACCATGTGACATGAGTTTCCCCATAGCATGAGTTTCCCCATAGCGTGAGTTTCCCCATAGCAAGGGTATGTATAGTAGAGTTGCAAACTCTTTGGGAGCTTGGTTACTCTTAGTATGACTCTAAGTCAAGCAGCAAGAAGACATAACTAGCTGAAGGTTACCCACGAGTAAAGTATTCAGGATGAGGTACCAGCATTTGGAAATTTCTATACATGTATCGACGTGTATCCGTGTGTATCAAACAGACTTTGACAGATAATGAAAAGGGAAATGGCGGAAATACCCGTACATGAGAAAGCAAAGCAAGCAATGCTGTGTAAAATCACAGCAGCAGCAGCAGCAGCAGTGGAAGTAGCAGCAGCATTATCTCCTTACAATGCAATGTACTACAGGTAGACTCCCTCTAATTCGAATACGGTATAATTCGAACATTCCGTGTAATTCGAACTTTTTCGTCGTACCGATCTTCTGCAAGTCACTTCAAGTCAAAATCGAATGCATAATTCGAAGTACGAAAAGTGCGCCGGTTGGATAATTCGAACCCAATCTTCGTCCAGAAGAGATGTTTACAGTACATTGTCTATGTCCTTTGAACACTTATTTCGAAGTGAGATTGAGTTGCTATCCTTGTAATTCGAAGTTCATTCTTTTCTCCTTCTCTAGCCAAGAGTAGCTCAAAAATCGATCGATGGTCCGCTGCAGGATCGACTGTAGCGTTCAAGAAACCCACCTTCTCTCGAAATTTGATTCAAGCCCGTGCGAGGCAAATTGCAAAGGTTTGATTGAAGACGACTTCTTCCAGGTGGCTGACTCTCTTCGCGGATCTCGATGGCCTTTCTTGCCGCGCCAGCTCGTGCGTGGAGATGTTGGCGCACAACAACATTATTGTTGTAAATATTGTCTATGCCTATCGTCCACTTCCGTTCTTCAGAACGACGTGCTGCTATCCGACGGCCTTTCATGACGCGGATTAGGCAGCGCAGTTCTTTTCCGTTGAAATTGTTTCAGGAAAGCTGAAGTGACTGACAACTTCTTCACTAGAAAATGAAGATAATGTCAAAATGATTTTGTGTCTATCCAGTGTTTTGATGATCCGTTGTACATGACGGGTACGACCACCTATGTTTCGTTGATGCAAGTAAAAATGTGCAAAAAATATTCAGCGTGCGATTTCAAGCATTTTGACATACATATCAGTGCATGGGGCTGCATTTGGATAATTAGAAGTTCCGGATAATTAGAAGTTAGGGCCTGGCAATTTGAGGTTCGAATTAAAGGGAGTCTACCTGTAGAACAAGGTCATGCACTTAACTTACATCTATAGCTGTTCCCCAGTCAGCGTCGTCGTCATCATCACCCCAGCCATCTCCAGAGTCGCCCCATCCATCACCACCCCCAGTGGTGGTGGCAGTGGCACCGCTGCTGCCACCGGCACTACCACTCACAGTGCTGTCCGTGTTGCTATTTGCTGTTGTTGCTGCTGCTGCCGCCTTGGTAGAGGTCGCTGCTGGCTTTGACGCTTGTGATCCACCAATTCCACCCAACTTCGCTCTACTGCTGGCTGGCGGTGGCTGGTGACTGTCTGCCTTTCTTGACGCATGAGTGCTGGCGTTGCTTGTGCTTGCACCCTTTGTTGAAGTAGTCTTCTTCGCCGCGGGACTCTGCAAGGAGAAGCCAGAGGACAAGTGCACTGCCGCTGAGCTCACAACACACAGTAGTACACAGTAGTAGATATTAACAGCAAGGAGAGGACTGAAAGTCTGCACATTTTCGGCGTGTTTAAATTTCGACCTCCCAGGGCTAAAACACATTTCGGCCGCATTATAATTTCAGGCTGTACTGCTGCTGCTGCCTGTGTTCACTGTCACACTGAACACTGCGAAACAAACTTTCGGCCGCCACACGTCTTAGGTCAAAAATGGCCAGGCCGAAAATAGGCGAAAATAAACATGCACTGAATACGTGTTGACATACAGTAGGTTGTCAGGCATTACCGTACACTGCCAACAGCACACATAGCGTGCCACAACAGTCCATTCAGAAAAAGACGAGCGCTGGCCCTGGAGAGCGCCCGTGTTTGGCGAATTTGTGGTACACTGTGCAGTGCTGCGAGATTCGAAACTTGAAAAAGGGTCCAAAAAGGTACCTCAACTGGGGTTCGAACCGCAAATGTACTGTTATGCAAGTGGAGTAAACAGCCTGGATTTTCGTGGTTTTTACCCAATTCAGTGCTTTGGGGGCCAAACCTGGCCGAAATCCTATTTAGACCGGCAGCCAAATTTGAGAAATCGCTCGTATCAACAGGCGTGCTTCCTTTTTCTGCTGACAACCTGCAATTTCTACAGTGCATTGACTATACTTGTAGGAAGCTGAATCTTTTAGTTGGCCATGCTAGAGCTGTGCAGAAACAGACATACCGAGAGATTTTCTGCACTGGAATTTCACAAATCTCCGGCCATTGAAGCACCTTCTTCAAGCACTCAATACCCTGAAAGATTCAAAAATTCAAGACGTTGCCGGCTCAAACCCCACATCGGGCGACTTTTTTTTCTTTTGTTTGGAACTGAATTGCAGTGTTCTCGTGGTATTTAGCCAGTAATTTTAGCAGTATGTCAAGCCGATCGTAATTAACTTCTTCACAGAAGTAAGAAAATTCACTGAATCCCCATCAGGACCATCAATCCGGAAGCGTTTGTAAGAGCAAGCATGTTCAGGCTTTCCGTCTTCTTGCGAGAATAAAGTAAAGACAAGACAATACAAAAGAAATGTGAATTAGAGTGTCAACTGCCAGCACAAAGGATCACTAACGATCGTGGCAGTTGCGTGCATAGTCCCCTTCCCATCTAGCGTTTCTTCATTCCGATCGTTGTTGTCCGAGCAGAAAAAATGGCGTTGTTCGGGGTCACGGTGCTTGGAAGGCGTGTCTCTGAGTGCCTAACCTCCATGGCAAGAGCGGTTTCCACCTCAGATACCCTTGTTGCTGACACAGAGTGACCGAATCGGTTCAGCATTGTCACCAACTGCTGCGACCGGGTCAGATGGCGTGTCGTCATGGCCAGTGCAATGTGTTTTGGTGGCACCACTCTTCCATTGCTGGCGGCGTACACAATATCCTGGGATATAGAATCCACCAGCCTGCCCACTCTCTCGTTAACTTCTGCACGCCCGCCAACACAAGCCTCTACGTCTGGACCGCCTATGACCCACGCAAGAAAGTTGTGAAGGACGACAGGGACGCAGCGTGCAACTGACTCTTTGGTTATTTCAGTGGCATGGGGTGTGGAGGTCAGGACCGGCTCAACCTCTCTGACGGCATGCTGCACCATAATGGCGGCATGAAACAAATCCATTTCAGATGTTGCCGGCGCAGCTGACGCCATGAAGACCTCATCGTCTTCTTCTGTTCGCCCTCCGAGATCGCCAATCACAGATGTCATCAAGCCAATATAGTTCTCCTCACTGAGGTGAGCGGCAATCACCTTCTCCGGCCCCGTGACAGAGGAGCGAACGAACTTCACCCGGCCTTGGTACTGATTCAGTATCCTCGCTTTGACCAGCTCCGTTTTGTAGTTAGGGCTTGGTCTGCCGAGTGCTTCAAGCCTAGCAACGAATTTGCCGCGCAGAAACTGAATGGTGACAGCTCGTATGCAGTGGCGGATCCAGGGGGGGGGCCCAGGGGGCCTGGGCCCCCCCTTTGAAAATTTCGACCTTGGTCTAGGATTACAGTAGACTGTAGAATGAGCGCTCGAAATTACTTGGCGTGTCAAGTGGGTCACGCGTGCTGGGTACTTTTATACGTGTCCGGTCACTCCGGTACATGGTGTCACGCACCGAGCATGAGTCTGTACTAGTCAGCGCGCTGTGTACCGGTGTACAACTACTGTACGCACTGCAGTACTGCGACCTGAGGACACGGCCGTACTTCAAACATGTGAAAAACGTGCCAAAAATGCAGGGCCTGGTACATAGTGCAGCGATCGCGTTGGGCTGAAGTCCTGTATGGTGCACGGTGCTGTCGACTTCGTCCTTCCTTTTTTCTTTTTCAATTGTCAGAAACTACAAGTATACGCTCTCTAGCTCTCTACTTCGCTTGTAGCCAACGGGTTACCTTCAGATATGAGATGAAGAGGAAAGGGTCTGACATCAGGTCGTTCTTCAGTGGACCGGTAGATAAGAGAGCTCGCGTTGGAGAGCCGTCCAAAGGTCCGTCGCGGCCGCTGTCGAGTGGAAATGTTCCAGTGCAGTTTGAAAATGTCGTGAGAATGGAATAAAACTAGAAACCGGCGGATTCTGCTCGAAAAGGTGGCATATTCTGCTCGAAAAGCAGTGAAATTGGCAGAATCATACAAACCTTATGGCGGGCAATTCCTCGAATTCTGCTCCATACTATAGTATTTTTATCCACATACCAAACATCCATGAAACTTACCAGAAAAAGTACCGAATTCTGTCAATTTTTCTGCCGGCAGAATCCGCCGGACCCTAAAAACAACTGCTCTTCACAGCTTCAGGACTTTGTTGTTGTTGTATTTGTTGTTTTGTTTGGGGGGGGGGGGGGGGCGGATACCTTGGGCCCCCTCTTCGGCCAAGTCCTGGATCCGCCACTGGTATGCCTCCTCTCCCATCTCGCTGCAAGATCTCGTTGTCGATGACATCAGCGACAACATCGAAGGCCTGCTGGTATATCGATGCAGTCTCAGATCGCTCCCGGCTCGACTGTGTAGTACAGAGGGTGAACTTGGCATAGCACGAGCGATGGTATACAGTATCGGTAGCGATACAATCCGGATTACTCTGGACCTCCAGGAGTATGCGGGCATCTTCCTTCTCCAACGCAGCGTCCAGAATCCTCTGCGCTGCGTCAAAGCTCTCGCACACTGACAGCTTTTCAGCTGGCTTCCCTCGCTTCCGCTTGCTCTGTTGTTGGCAGTACAAACACAGCTCTTTCCGTGTTGGCTGTGGCGCTGTGCTACGTGTACATGGCCTTTTCGGAGGTAGTGGCTGATCATCCTCATCTGAGGCTGAGGAATCAGAGCAAGAACTGTTGGCATTTGCTTGGGCTTTTGAGATTCTCTCGAGACTTTTCTTGTGCGTGTACTTCCTGTAACACTCTACATGTACAAACCCACGAGGTTCAGCATTCTCATCTGCGCAATTCTGTTGAACCAGGAAGGCACAAGTTGCATCCTGCCGTAACAATGCTGCTTTCACGATTCTCGGCCAAGACACATCTGTAACATTCCGCTGATTGGTAGCGCCAGGGCAGCAGTGGCACAAGCATCGCTCCCAAGACATACCAGCTGCAGGAACAGTGGGATACATGCAAAGGCAGTCCGGGCTGTTTGTTCAAGAGCTTCAAAACTAACAAATTTAAATTACAAATAAACTCACCGTGCTGCGTTCTCCTCATTTCCTCGTCGTGTCGGCTCGCATAAAACCAGAATGCTACTGCTGGGTGAGGGGTCCGCACAGTCCTCGTCCTCGGTGCTGCTCTCCTCACTCTCCATTCTACCTCAATACACCTGACGATAACTAAAAACTGTCGTGTGGTCGAAAGGCAAGGACAATTGTCATCTACTTCGAGTGTTGAGAATTGAATTCAAATTTTCCCGGGGGCCGGCGTCGTCATTCACATCACCTGCTCAGGTATTCAAATTTGTGCGGCTTTGAGCAGCGCATGGGGTGCGTATTGTTCGAACCTCGAAATCAAAAGTCGACGATTTCGCGAGGTTGTGCACAGCTCCGCGATGGCCAACTACGCCAGGTACAATCCCAAAGGGGCTGCCTACCAGCATACAAACTTTCAGCTTGTCAGCATAAAAAGGAAACGTAAAACAGGCTTTTGAAAATCGGCAGTCAGACTAATTCTTGTTATGGCTTGCTCTTCGGAGAAATAGACTTAAAAAACACAATCGGAAGAGCATTCCATGGGGGATTGCCAAAAAAATTGTGACGAAAACTCAAAATTTGACCCGTTTATGGCCAAAAGCTAGGATATCATCTTTTTCTGAATGGACTGTAGTCACACTACAACCAACGGGTACCAGTCACTGAGTGTGTGATGTCGGCCAAGAGGCCAACACGTGTTGTATTGGTGTACACTGTATGTACTATGTAGTACGAGAACATCACTACAATGCATCAGTGCTTCGACCACAGACAAAACAAAGACAACCATTTCAATTCATGATAAACGCGATATCGATTGCTGATGACAGCCGGCGGACATCTTACATCGAATGATCCACCAAACGATCCCCAGTCATCATCGTCGTTCCAAGCACCAGAGCCATCGCTCTCATTCCCACCGCCATCACTGTCTTTCCTCTTTGCGGAACTTCCAACATTGCTCTTTGTTGGTCCAGATGATGATGACGACGGAGCTGACTTCTTCGCCGGTGCAGATGCAGTAAAACTATCCTGGGTGTGCAAGGATTGAGCGAAGAACAAGATTGCAGAATATGATGAGCAGTCAGCCACAGGAATAGATACAGTGCCCTGTACAATGAAGTATTAAGGATAAAATCAAAGGGCATGATGGATCCACCACAGCTCTTGAGAAAAGAGGCAGATGAAGCCAAGCCCGGTTATCCAGAACCTCGGGGCGACGGCAGCATTTACAGTGCACTTTACGGTACATCCCTTTCCCCAGCCGTTTGACCTCGGATATAGAGTCAGATCTAATGTACCGATCCGTATGTCCGTTGGAGGAATATTGTACTGGAGCTTTGTTTTGCTGATCATGAAGCAGGCCGGTGATACGCACATGAGCATACATGTAGGGTAGATTGCACTCTAGAGGTAGCATGTCTGTACCTCAATGGCTTCCCAGCTTTCGTCATCGTCGTCATCCCAACCGGTATCAGCTTCAGCATGGCCTGCATAACATACATGGGGCCCACCCATCCACCCACACGTACCCCCACACACACACGCACCCACCCACACACACACACACCCACCCACCCACCCACACACACACACACACACACACACACACACACACACACACACAGACCCAAACGATGCATACAAACAAGACACTTCAAACCAGCCCAAACACCAGCATCATCACAGTGGAGAGGTAGCAATACTCCTCCAGTCAGAGTTAAACTCATTTCACTGGCCTAAAACAAAAAATAGACTAAAGAAAATTGAAATCTCCAGAGTACGAGAATGCTTTGCAGCACGAAGCACGACATCTAAAGAAATATGATTTTAACCCAACTCCATACCCACTCTTCCTTTCCAAGCAAAACAACATTGCAGATGTTGGATACAGTCCGAATAGAGCGCAACAAAGGAAGGATACACTCCGGCTACCGCATAACAATAGTTGCAATGCAACATGCTGTTCAGTGTTCACCTACCTGCAACAGAGCTGTGCGCTGCCTGCACTCTTGAAGAGTCCGCGCGTCCTTTGCCACCAGCAGTGGCTACTGGCTGTGGTGGCTTGGCCTGTGCTGTTGTGCTCGCCATGCCAGCTGATGACTGAGACTGGGCAGCAATTGGCACACCACCAGCTCCACCACCAGCAGCAGCACCACCGTCTATGGATGTGCCGTCGGACCTGTAGATCTTGGACGTCAAGGAGGTCACTGCCCAGCCAGCCCAGCTTGCCGCTGAGGCACCTGCTGCCAACCCGGAACTTCCAACACCAGCAGCTGCAGCTGTACAGGCATATGAACACATCCGCGCAAACAATGACATGCACACTGGTAAATATTCAACCCCACCCCCTTCCCCAATACACACACAAACCAAACATGAATACACAAGGTAAATAATTCATGCCCCCGCTATCCTCTAGCTTTCATTACTTCTTTTTCCCCGACCCACAACAAGCCTCTTGGTGCTAAAGATTCGCAAAAAAAGAAAGAAAGAGAAAGAAAGCAAGTAAAGGCCTTACCGCTAGCATCATCTGGTGCTGCTGCGCCACGCGTTCTTGACGACTCCTCCAGTTTCTGGATGAACACCGAGGCCCCTTCAAAGACCTACATGCATTGAGAACCACATCCAAAGCAGCAGTGCATGCCATGTTATCGGTGTCTGCTGTAGGATTTCAAACCAACTGGTTACTAGCACACGTGCACCAGCATAATTCTTGCAACCGGGTCAGAGCCGGGCAAGTTCAAGTGCGGCTACCGTACATCAGGGAGTCGGAAATATCTTACGACTCCCTGATGTACATGTACATGATTGCACAGTGTACGAATATACTTTGTCTGTGCGGGCCTGCACACGCCTGCAGCCCGTCATATCAGTGTGTACCACCTTGATGTATAAACACAAGTACTCGACATGACTCCCATCGAGTCCCAACCGGGGTCACAATGACCCGGTGTTCTTTTTCCAAACGGATTCAAGTACCCCCCCCCCCCCCTCCAACCGGATCGCTGACCCAGCTGATGTGGCTCTGGAGCAGACACTGGATCTACAAGAGAGTGACAACTTATGCAGCATCTTATTATTGTAGCTGCCAATTCCCCGGCACTAGTTTGCCTTCTCAATGATCTCGTTGATATTCAGAGAAAAGAAAAAGAAAAAAAGAAGAAGAAAAGAGAGACAATGGCTTGGCAGTGAAGGCTGGGCAGGCTTCACAAATTGCAAATCTCAGTAGACAAAAACAAAAAGAAAGAAAAAAGAATGCCGAAACCCGGGATTGAACCAGGGACCTTCAGATCTTCAGTCTGACGCTCTCCCAACTGAGCTATTTCGGCTACAATAGTTACTTGCCATCAAAGAGAATTTATCTGAGAACCCCGTAGACATGGCACTTCGTTTTGCAACAGACAGTTGAACAGCAACAAACGATAATGTGTGTGATCATGCTTATAAGCCAAAGTATGCAGCTGTTGAAAATCGGGCGCGTTCTGGTGCACATAACAGCCACTCTGACTGCCTGAGTCAACGAACTAGTACTTGATGGCATGGCACGATGTAAATACCACTCGAATTGTTGTGAACACAGCTTTCGGGTTCGGAATGCACTCACCTCTCACCACCCCGCACAATAACCACCAAGTGGCCCCGTCGGGGGCTCCCCCAAATACATACTTGCTCATCGCACACAAAGAGGCAACAAAGCACTCACCGCGTCTCTGACAGTCTTGTCCTTGTCGACCATGAGCACACACAGGGCTGGCAGCAGGCGCACGGCTAGGTCGTCGTCGGAGAAGTACGCCACGCAGGACACCATGCCGCGCAGACTGGCTAGACGTGCCGGCGGGAACGGGTCCTTGAGTGCCCGCATGAACGCCGACTGCAGCACCTTCTGACGGGTCTGGAGTAGAAAGAAAGTCATGTACAGCAGAAGGTAGTGTTTGTACGGATTTCAGTACATGTGCAGCCAATAGGATACTAACAATGTGTGCAGTGCACCCAGGGATAGGAACTTGGCACTGCACCCGGAAAATCCACCTCGTTGATATCACACAACCGCTGCATGGAAGGCAGGCAACATTGCCCAGAATGCCGGCGACCTGGGCTAGCTCGTTGGCGCATTGCAGCAAGTGTACCCAGCCGTGGCATACACAGTACCATCACTACCAGTACCAAGAACCATGCGTAACCACCGTGGTCACAGTTTTTGAACTTGGCAGGTTAATGCTTACTACAGTCCATTTCAAAACTATAGACGCGTACCTAGGCAAAAACCGTTATGCCAGCATCTATACCACATAAAATCTGTGATCACTTTGTGCATAAATTTTTCCAAATTGGGCGTCGGTTATCCAATCCTTTAGAAACTATATGAGAGTAATTGTGGAGCGATCCTGAGCAATATTCCGAAAACTATTCTCAAAAAGTTCCAGCCAAATTTGAAATATTTCAAAAACCCTACGCGTCTATAGTTTTGAAATGCACTGTAGGCAAGTGCCTACAGCAGGATCATTTTTTCCAACCACTTTAAAGTAGAGCGCAAGAACATAGAAAACATGATCATTGACGGGCTGCTCTACAATGTAAATACATATCCATGTAGAAGAACAGCACACTTGGAGTGAGTTGTGGTAGCTCGTGTGCTCAAATACACCCGGGTATAGAGATGTAAGCACAAAGAGAGAGAGAGAGAGAGAGAGAGAGAGAGAGAGAGAGAGAGAGAGAGAGAGAGAGAGAGAGAGAGAGAGAGAGAGAGAGAGAGATAGATAGAGAGAGAGATAGAGAGAGAGAGGGAGAGAGAGCGAGAGAGAGAGAGAGAGAGAGAGAGAGAGAGAGAGACTGGGGAAAAGAAAACTGTGTTGCTGTAACTCAAAGTTTCACGCACTAGCAACCATCAAACAGCACACATCCAGTCTTATAGTCGCCCACGTGCAGAACTCAGTGTTACCAGTTTCGACGTTTGTCTATGTGTAGGAGAACGGCAAAGTATCCCCCCCCCCCCCCCCCCCCCGCGCTTTCTACGCATGTCACACCTCAGCCATAGAATTGCAGTACTCACTCCACTGTTGAGGTGACGTGCTAGCTTGCCCAGGCAGATGGTGGTGTTTGTACGGATTCCAGGCTACAAGACAAAAAAAGCAAACATCACAAGCCAAATTAAGCCTCCGGAAAGTTGACAACACGATCATTTAAAATAGAATTCCATAGGCCATCATTAATCGCACTAACACGATTGCCCTGTGTACGGCCTTGGTTGTCTACATGAACATGTATTTGGTTATCTCATGCACTGCCTAAAGAGTCCAGCTCCTGAATAAGAAAACCACCAATCCCACACAAATCAGCAACAGCAGCGATAACACAACATGCTGGAAACGAAGAAGCTATGATGCCTGTGACTAGCTACTAGTTACTAGTTGCAGCAGCAGAGGCACGTGCCACTGAACATACCTGCTCATCCATTTGCAGCTTCGCAAAGTGACGCAACAATTCACCATTCATCGTTTTCTCGCTGAGCTTGGGGGCAAGCAATAGCATCGACTGACCAACGGGCAGTTGTCACATGTACACACACATGTACACACACAGGTACACACACATGTACACACACACGCACACACACACACACACACGCACACACGCACACACACACAAGCAGCAGCCGCAGCAGCCGCAGCAACCAAACCTCAGTGAGAATGTGATTCCCACTCACATTCAAATTGAAAGTAACGTATTCAGCTGCAAGCCATCACTATGCATGCAGAGCTTTGAGATCAATACTTTCATATCAATGTATTTCCAGCCGGGACGCAACAAGTGGGGACAACTGTTGGCCATGGTGCTGAGAAGTCTTCATTGAAAGCGGGCAAAACAGTCACTAGGCGGATTAGACAGAAACAAGGTTCGGGTTGCGAAAGTGAATCCAAGTACAATGCAGACACGCAGACACGCACACACACACACACACACACACACAAACACACACACATGCACACACGAACACATGCACATGCGCACACACACGCACACACACACACACACACAAACACATGCACACACGAACACATGCACATGCGCACACACACACACACACACACACACACGAACACATGAACATGCGCACACACACGCGCACACACACACACACACACACACACACACACACACACAAACACACACACACACACACGAACACATCCACATGAGCGCGCACACACACACACACACACACACACACACCTTTATCGTGTGTTCTCTCATGACGGGCACGGTGTCGTTGAATCCAAGAGCAACGTGCGGGAAGATCTTCTCGTTGACGATGTTCGGTTGCAGATGCTCTACAAATTGGTCCAGCTGCTGGAGCAGGTTAATGCGTGTGCCGCGGTCAGTCGACGAGAACAGCTTGACCACACAAGGCACAATCTGACGCTGGTAGTCATCCGACTGGAGAAGCTTGCCAAGCTGGAAAAGCGGTGCCAGCACCGCTGAGCCGGCCTCGCCAAACTCAAACGCTTGCA